CTCGCCTTTCGACCTGATCCGCACGACTGCGCAGTTTGCTCACTTGCATTCCACTACGCACAAAGTCTCACAGCGCTTTTTGCTTGCTGTGGCTTTCTTTGTCGTTCTCTTCGACAAACTCGCCCGTCTTTGGCATTCTCACTCCCAAACGTGGATGTGAGATCTTGCGGTGGCTTTTTTGTTGTTGTTGTTGTTGTTGTTTTGATCCTGATTTTGTGGTTGACTCAGGATTCTCCGATTGGGGTCCTTTTTGCTTCCCCTTTCCATCCGTCGCTCTCTCCCCCGCTCGCGTGTCTTCCACTACGAATCTGTGCAATTTTTGACATCTTTCTTTTGCACCCTTCTTGCTGGGCAGCTCGCGAGCTTAGTCTTTTATTTTTATTTTTTTTTTCTTTCGTGTTTGTGTGTTGTCAACGTTTGTTGAAGAAGCTGTGAGTTTTTGGTTGCTCTCCTTTTCCCTCGCTCGCTGTCCCCACCCCGCTCCAGTGCGTATCCATGCTTCCAGTATGCTCAGTCCAACCTGACTGGCGGAGAGAGAGAGACCCCATCGAGCCAAAGTCGATGCTTCACCCCAGCAACCAAAAAAAAAAAAAAAAAAAAAAAAAAAGGATTTTTGGATGGGTGGTTTTGAATGCGTGTTTTTTTTTTTTTTTTTTTTTTTTCTGGTTCGCTTGGAAGTGCTTACAATAGGCATTTTTTCGTCTGCTGGTGAATCCCATCCCATTTCCTTGCATCCATGCATTGTCATCGTGGCCTGTTCGCAGCGTTCCCTCCCTTTCTTCGTCTCTGCCTTCCTCGCCGCTCGTTTTGATCCAAAAAATCCCGCGTTTTTGCCTTTCGCCTTTTTTTTTTTTTTTTTTTTTTTTTTCGCATTGCTTCTCCGATTTCTTTTCTTTTTCTTTTCGCCTCCTTTGCTCCTCGTCGCTGTGGCTGTGGCTGTGCGAGGGGAGGGGGAGGGTGGCCTTCTTGTGATTCCTCGTTCGTGCCTCTGCCCCCCTTTGCTCCCCCTTGTTGCCCTTGGCCCGCCTGGCTTTTGTTTCCACCATGCCTTCAATCATGCCACTATTCCACTAAATTCGCAATGCAATTTGTCCTCCTTTTTTTTTTTTTTTTTTTTTTTTTTGCTTTTTGGCTGGATTTTGCATTGCAACTGATTTTTTTTTTTTTTTTGTTTGCCTTGTTATTATTTGCCACAGATTTTTTTTTTTTTTTTTTTTTTTTTTGGTTTGTCGGTGGTTCTTCTCTGCGCCGCCATCGTTCAGCTCCCCAGCTCCCCGTTCCTTTTTCATACTTTTTTTTTTTGTCTTTATTCGCACACTCGTTCTTGTGGTTTTCTCTCTCGTTCAGCTTTTGTTCCTCTTTTTTTTTTTTCTTTTTTTTTTCTTCAGTCCCAACAACATCTCGTGTTGCTTTTTTTTTTTTTTTTTTTTTTTTCGTTTCGGGTCTCCCTCGCTTTCCCCTCCCTCTACCGCGCCCCCTCCCTGCCCAACCAAGCTATCCGAACCACGGCTGGTGCTCCCCGCCAAATCGCATCCACTCAGGAGCAGCAGCCTCTTATTCTGATTATTATTATTTTTTATTTTTTTTTCAATCACAAGAACCACGAGAGCACCGCGTTCTCCCGCATTGGACCTCCGACGCCCTGTTCTCCCGCCTTCCTCGTTCCCTGCCTCAAGTCCCCCCCCCCGGCTTCACGGGTAGCATTGCTTCTTGTTAACCAAAAGCGCGGCACCAAGCGCCCTTCTCCCCCCTTTCCCCATTCGCGCTCTCTCTCTCTCCTGTTGCTTTTTCTTGCTCTCGTGAAAGCCACACAAAGGACCGCTCCATCACCAAGTTAAACACAAAAACCACCTCAGAAAAAGCGGGAAGCACAGTCCAGATGGCGCTCTCTCGGCGATGGAGCCGCAGCATGGACGCGCTCACCTCGGAGGACTTTCTGCTCGAGGCGGACGAGCAGCAGCAGCAGCAGCATGAGCAAACGCCAGGTGGTGCCGGCAGCATGGACGCTGCTGCTGCTGCTGCAATGTACTATGAATCCATCCTGCAGCCAGCATCCCTCTCAACTGCATCAGCCACAAACGGCCAGCAGCAGCAGTCGCTCAGTGCTCAGCACCAACAACAACAACAGCAGCAACAGCTCTTGATTGCCATGTCTGCGCCCGCATCCGTGCTCGCAACCCCGCATTCCACTCCCCCAGTCACCCCGCGTTCTCACGTTGCTCACCTGTTTCCATCCACATCCGCCGCAGCCTCGCCACAGTCGGGTCTTGTCTTCCACGAAACTGGCATTGCTCAGCTCCACCAGCAGCAACAGCAGCAGCAACAAGCACAACAGCAACAACTACCACAGCAACAACTGCAGCAGCAACAACAACAAGGCCAGCCAAAACTGCGGTACCACGTCTACAAGCCGCACCGAACGCGCCGATCCAACTTTATCGCAATCGACGATCACGGGCGCGAAAAGATTAGCAGGAAGAAGGCCTCCAAGTCACGACGGCAGTCCGAGCCTGCGATTCCTGGCCCGGGTGTGCTGCATGCGTCAAACAGCCTGGACTCGCTCTTGAACCTGGACGAAGACTTGACGAGCGCGCACCCAACGCGCATTTCGCCATCGCAGTCCCTGCCGGGCGGAGGCGATCATTTGCTGAGCGGCCTCGGCACCGCGACGAGTGCCAATTTCAACATGTTCTCTGCCTCAAGCGAGTTGCTCACCACCACACTGCGCGACCAGCAGGCGCTCAACTTTCGCACGAGTCTGGAGCAATTCTCTGATTATGTCGGTGATTCGCAGGCCGAGTCGGCACGTTTGCAGCAACAGCAGCAATTGAATCGCAAAAAGCGCGTTCTCAGCCGCTCAGCCAGCATGGGTACCGCTGTTGGCGGCGGCAGTGCGAATGGGTCGCGCAAGTCGTCTATGACCGACGTGACGGCCGGGGTGTCGCTGCTTCAAGTCCAGCAACCTCAGACTGCTCAACAACAACAGCAGCAACAACAGCAACAGCAGCAACAGCAGCAACAGCAACAACAACAGCAACAACAGCAACACCAACACTTGCAGTTGCAGCTCTTGTTGCTGCAACAACATGCTGCGAGTGCTGCGCCTGGCTCCTACACTGTCTCATACGATCCCCTGGCTGGCGCCAGCTATGACGATCCGGCTTTGCAACACCAGCTCTATCTCCAACAGGAAAAGCTCAATTCTCTGCAGCCTTCCCAAACGCAATCGCCATCGCCGCAGCAGCAGCAGCAATCGCAGCACCAGTCGCAGTCGCAGTCGCGCTCCAGCGTTGTCTCTTCCGAGGCGGGCTCGCCGTTGCTTGGAGCAAATGTCAACAACCCCCTGTCTGCCGACCGAATTCTCGGACTGACAAGCGACGGGCTTTCTCCGCTGTTTGAGTCTGACTCGCCGTTGACCGACGACGACTTGCCGAGCGGCATGAGTCCTCTGTCGTCCGTCATTCGCCACATGCGGACGGCGCGCTCCCACTCGCAGCCTGCCAGCGGCCCGACCATGCCCCGCGTGACTCGGCAAGTGCGTTCCGCGTCCGCATCGTCCGCCCATCAGCACCCGGGCCCGGTGTTTAGCGTGCCACTCGCTCAGGCCACGCCCATGTCGTCAATCTCGTCGCTGTCGTCTTTGTCGTCGCTGTCGTCCCTCTCGTCTCTGTCGTCCAGCGGCAGTGGTAGCAGCGTGCACTCGACACCTCCGGCGACCCTCATGCAAGCGTTGACTCGCACGCTCGAGCAGCGTCAAGCAGAGCTGCAGTACGCGCAAGATCAGAGCCAACAGATTCATGCAGAGCAGTTTCAGCAGCTCACGTCGTTGCACCTGCAGCAGCAACAGCAGCAACAGCAGCAGCAACAAATTCTGGCCAATCTCCTGCTGCAGCATCCAGATGTCTTCAACCCTGCGAACGACTGTTCTTCCGATGCCAGCTCCAACCAAGCCTTGCTCGATTTGATTGAGCTGGCCCTCCGATCTGCTGCAGAACCCACCGATCTCGCTTCTGCAACTGCGCAGCAGCAGCACCAGCAACAACAACAGCAGCAACAACAACAGCAACAGCAGCAGCAGCAGCAGCAGCCACAACAGCCATTCTTGTCCCAGTATCCGACCTTTTCAACCGTTCAAGCGTCCAACACGGTTGGCTCTGTCCCCCTCACACCCATGTCGGATCTCAGCCTGGCCTTGTCGTCGTTGCCAGCGCTCTCGGCTGCTAGCGCTCAGTCGCAGTCGCAGGCACTGCCTTTGCCGTACGGCTCGCCAGTCTCGGTGCCCGTCTTGCAGTTGCCGCAACATTTGCGCGGACGTCGTGGGATGGGCGAATGCGAGCCAGGTTCTGTCGCTGGTGCGGCGAATTCCACCCTGATCTCGATTGCAGAGCAAGAAGAGCTGCCAGCTCCGCGTTCGCGCGCGAATGCCTCCTCGTACTTGTCGCGCCCAGCCTCGATTGCTCTACTCACGCGCAGCAATGGCTCGTCTCCTGCGCCAGGCGGCATGTCCACGTCTGTCCTCGACAGCGACCCTCCTCGTCCCCTGTCCAGCACGGATATGGCTGCCGCCGAAGCGGATCTCGGGCTTTCTTATTCTTTGACGGACTTCAACTCGAGCGATATTCTGCGTGTTCTCGACACGTTTGCACCGAAATGAAGCTTCCGTCGGCGTTTCCTGCTTTGATTTTTTTGTTCTATTCTCTTTTTGGTTTGTTTTTCCCTTTATTTTGTAACTAGTTGTCTCGATTTCCCCTTTTGTGCATGCTACTCGTCGTCCCTATCCCCATCCCCGCCTATCCTTCCCGTTTGTCTCGTCTTAGCCTTTTTTTTTTTCTTCTTTTTTTTTTTTTTTTCTTTTTTTTTTCTTTCTTCTTTTCTTTTCTCTCTTAAGGTTCTCCTGTCTGTTAACCTCGCATTGCTACCACCTGCTCGTCATGTTCGTACCCTCACTGTCCGCAAAGCTCGCTGAACTTTGCCTTTGTGTTTCCGGGACTGCCCTTTTCGTTTTCTCTGTTTGCATTTTACTTCGATTTTTTTTCTTGCAAGTTTGTTTTTGTTGATATGTGTACAGTTTTTTCCCCCATCGCCATCCTCCAAAATATACTCTTCATTCATCGCATCATTGTCAAATCGAGTCGTTCATGGATGGCAAAACGCAAAGTTGTTGTTGTGTTTGAATTCAAATGATTTTTGTTTATTGATTTTTGTTTTTGTGAGACAAGTGTCGATCACTGCATCCCTTTTCTTTTTGTTTTCGTTCCGGTTAGACAGTGCATCCAATCACAAACAGCCTCGGATTGTGTGAGCTTTACAAGTTGCCGCGACGGCCCTGCTCGGCTTCGATCGCCTCGAACAGGGACTTGAAGTTGCCAGCACCAAAGCCCTGGTGGTTGCGGCGCTGAATAATCTCAATGAAGAGAGTGGGGCGGTCCTCGAGCGGCTTGGTGAAGATTTGCAGCAGGTAGCCGTTCTCGTCAAAGTCGATGAGAATCTTGAGCTTTTGAAGCTCATCGAGGTTCTCGGCGACCTTGATGGAGGCGGAGGCGAGACGGATGCGCAGGTTTTCATAGTACGTGTCCGGGACGGAGAGGAACTCGACACCACGCTTGGTGAGGGCAGAGACCGAAGCAATGACGTCCTCGGTGCGGAGGGCAATGTGCTGGACACCGGCGCCACCATAGTAGTCGACGTACTCTTGGATTTGGCTCTTCTTCTTGCCAGCCGCGGGCTCGTTGATGGGCATCTTGACCTTCTCGTCGTAGTCGGCAACGACGATCGAGCGAAGAGCGCTGTACTCGGTGTGCATCTGGGTATCGTCGACCGACCAGAAGCGGTGGAACTGGAGGACGCGCTCGTACCACGAGGCGACCGACTCCATCTCGCGATCGGGCTGGTTGCCGACGCAGTGGTCGACAAACTCAATGTGGGTGGCGGGCAGGTTGTCGAGCAAGGGGTCGACGAAAACGGGCTTGGCAAAGCCGGGGAGGAAGTTGGCGCCGCCCTTGTGGTTGGTGCGGTCGACAAAGGTGTGGGTGGTGTCGCCGTAGGTCTGGACGGTGGCGAGCACGACCGTGCCGTTGGCGTCGGTGAGCTCGTATGGGGCGCGCACAGACTTGCCGCCGCGCTGGATGGCCTTCTCGTAAATGCCGCGGGCGTCTTCAACGAGGAAGGCCACGTCCTTGACACCGTCGCCGTGGAGGACGAGGTGGTCACCCATTGCGCGGTCGCTGGGGTTGAGCGCCGACTGGAAGACAAAGACGACGCTGTTCAGCGCAACGACGTGCGAGACGACCTCGCGCGAGCCCGTCTCGAGGCCAGCGTATGCGATCGGCTTGAATCCAAAGCGCAGGCAGTAGTATGCCGCAGCCTGCTTGGCGTTTCCAACCCAGAAGGTGATGTGATCGAAGGCGAGGTATCGGCCGACCTCAGGCTTGGCGCCGCGATCCGCGTATGAAGTCTGTGAGCAGCCCAAGCAACAAAACGGATGAGTGACCGAATTTGAGTGTTTGAGGGGTATGAGCAAGTGTGATCAAAAAAGTGCGAGCATTGAAAGGGTCGAAAGTGCGAGACAGAGTGACAAGTACGAAAGGATGAGTGCCAAACAATGCAACTCCGACAGCTCCCAAAAATGGCCTTGGAATTGTGTGATTCTCCAAATGTAACAACAACAACAGCAACAACAACAACAGCAACAGCTGAGTGAAGTCGAGGTCGAGGTCGGGATTGAATGAGTGAGATTGAGATTCGGCTCTTTTGACTGCGAAAAGGCGTCCCCCCAAAAACAAACAAGTGGGCTGTTTTTGACAGTGATAAGTTCAAGTGGGAAAGTGTTTTGTCAAATGGGTCTTCCATAGCAGAAAGTGATTGAAAGTGATTGAAAGTGGTTGAAAGTGAGTCAAAGTGATAGCATGTGGGTTAAATTGCATGACGGCGAATTTTGAAAAAAAAAAAAAACGACATCCAAAATGTAATGCGATTGTGTTGTTTTGTTGAAGAGCGTGTTGTTTGTGAGTTGCAATTGCGCAGAAGAGCGATGCAGAGTGAGAATGATGCAAGCGAGCGAGCGAGCGAGGACAAGGAGGGAGGAGAGGGAGAGAGGGAGGAGAGGAAGAGAGGGAGGAAGAGAGCGGAGGAAAAAAAAAAAAAAAAAAAAAAAAAAGAGTCGGCAATGCCGAGATGTGCGTGACCATTGTCCATATGACAAGGAGAGAGGGAGCGAAGGAGAGTAAGAGAGAGTGTGAAGGAGAGTAAGAGAGAGAGAGAGAGAGAGAGAGTAAGAGGGGGAGGATGCGCCACTCTGGGTGACATTCAGCAAAAAGAGCAGGAAAGCAAGGAGAAGAAGGAAGAAAAAGAAAGGAGGACCAAAGGGGGAAAAAGAGCCACAGACTTACCATTGTGTGCAATAGAGTTGGCTGAATGTGAGAGTGAAATGAAACTCGATATGACTCGATTTGGGTAGAAAATGATCAATAAATCAATCACTGAGCAATGAGTGGATCGGTTGTGAGGAAGATATCAGATGGAATTTGCATGGGGGTGGCTTAGGTGCGTTAAAGAGCTTGCATCTCAATTGCGGCGAACGAGGAGTCGGGACAGATCGAAAAGGAGATCGTCGCTGTATTCACAAGAAACCACAAACGGGCTCACATCTCAACAACAACACGCAGGAAGAGTAGAGTAAAAGTTCCTTCTTCAAGTAGCAAGTTCTTGAAACGACACGGTGAAATGCTCGTGTTTGGCAGCTTTCAAGCTATGCAATCAGTCCGCCAATATCGCGAATAGCATGACCAGCAGCGGCACTCTCAAAGTGCGCGCGCAAAGATGCAATGTGAGGCCGCGAAAGAGGAGCAATTTCCCAGCAGGCGCGCAAGAGAGCAAACAAGTCGTTCGGACACGACTCGGGTTGCGCCAGACGGTGTCCGGCCTCGACGTCTGCCAGCGCTTGCTGGCCTGTCTTTGATCCATAGGGCGCAGCTCCATACGAGAACACCTCCCCTGTCAAACCTTTGTGAGCGCAACACCTTCCGATATCTATCGAAGAAATCGACCAGATCAAACGCCAGATCTTACAAGCCAAGACGCCAAACGCCCAAACATCACTGCTATGCGAAAACTTGCGATAATGCAGACATTCAGGCGCCATCCACTGTTTGGCGGCAAGTACATCAATCAATCAACAAGTCAGTTGCAATGTTTGACTCAACCCCTTAGCCAGCCCTCCAACTATCGCAATAAGCCGAGCGGTACATCAGTCCTGCACATACCTTGACGGGAAGCTTGCCACGAGCTTCCATGCGGTAGTAGTTGTGTTCCTCGGCGAGTGCGCGCGACAAACCGAAATCAGAAATCTTGACGACAAGCCCTGTGCCAACGAGGCAGTTGCGTGCTGCGATATCACGATGGACAAATCGAATCGACTCCAGATACTCCAGCCCACCTGCGATTTGTGCGAGGGCGTGACTCATTTCGGCCACTGTCCAGCCAATGTTGCGTTTTTGAGACTGCCACAGAACCTGGCGCAGGTCGCCGTATGGCATGAGCTCGAGAACTGACATGAACGGTGCGCAGTCCAGAAGAGACGTGATGCAGCGCACAACATTGGGGTGCGAAAACTGGGCCATCATCTGCGCTTCTTCGACAAACTCCTGACGCGACTTTTCGGTCGCATCAGGCTGCATGGTCTTGACAGCAACATCGAGATACGCGCCCTGCACTCCGGCCAGCAGGTACTGAGCATCCGGCGGAACAAACTTTCGAGGAAGCTGCCCTTTGAGCACAACGCCGAAGTTGCCCGAGCCGAGTTTGGCTCCCAAAACAAGACTTGCGCGCAAACCGAGTTCCACAGACTCGTACAAGACTGGTGAGCTGTAGTGATCCTTTTCGATTTGCTCATACACGGAATGTTGATCCGCAGACACCGAGGCGGGAATTGGACGTTGATTGTCGTAGCTCGGCTGAACAGGACGTTGATTGTCGTAAGTGGGTTGCACCGCGGTTGATTTTGCGAGTGGCTCATAGCCGGAGAGCGCGGAATCCATTGTATGCATCGAAATGGTTGCTGTGCTATCCTTTTCAGAGAGGCCACGGGCCACTTGACGACGACGGCGCCGAATGATCAACAACACGACAAGCACAAGCAAAACCAATATTCCACCAACGGCGCCAGCCACCGCAGGTAATATGGTTGCAGAAGAAGAGGTCTCGATATTGATGGCAGCACATTGCGGAACCGAACTGACATTCCAGTTTCCAGCAGCTGTGCAGCGGAGGCCGGTCGCTCCCGCATCGGCCAACTGAAAGCCCTCATTGCACGACAGCATGCATTCAGAGCCAAAGTCGGTCGAGTTGTTCGTGCAGTTCACGGTGCCGTGCGGAAGCGTCAGAACATTGCATGAAACAAGGGTGCAGAAGGCCTCCATCGGTCGGTCCCACTCTCGCGTTGCCAAGCACTCGACAACATCAGCATAGTCTCCTCCAAGCGAGTAGCCGGGGTTGCAGCTCGGGATGCACTCGGATCCATAGTTTGTGTTGTTGTTTGTGCACAGAACAGCACCGTTTTCAAGCGTCAGAGGATCGCACGATACAATCGTGCATTCTGCTTGCAGCGTTGCGCTCCACTCGCGCGACGCCTGACACGTCACAGGATTTGTGTTGGCTCCGCCAAGGGTGTAGCCTGCATTGCAGCTCGGTGTGCATTCCGAGAGGTAGTTTGTGTTGCCATTGGTGCAGTCGATGGCACCGTTTTCGAGAGTCAGAGGGTCGCACGAAACAATCCGGCAGTCCGCCAGGGTTGCGTTCCACTGTTGCGAAGCGTTGCAGCGCACTGCGTCAATGTAGTCTCCCTCCAATGTGAAGCCGGCGTTACAGTACGGGGTGCACTGCGAGTTGTACGCAGTCGTTCCTCCAACGCAGTTCAGTCCGCCATTACCAAGAGAAAGCGCGGGGCAGGCGATCGGGTCGCAGTAGAATGTCTCGGGACGTGACCAAGTGGTATCCGCTTTGCACACCGAATCGACAGTAGCAAGTGGCGCGTAACCACGGAGACGGAAGCCAGCGTTGCAAGAAACAGTGCAGATACCGCCAAGCGAGTATCCATCACAGCTGACAGCTCCATTGGTTGGCGCTGCCATAGTGTGCGGGCAATGTTCCGCATACAGAACACACGTTGGTGTCGCACGCGACCACACACCGACAGAAGCAGTGCTAGCCAGGCACGTGACATTGGCAACTCGCTGCGCTGTGCCGTCCACGACATAGCCCGAATCGCAAGAGTAGGTGCACACTGCTCCGATGCTGCGAGTGGTCGGCTGGCAGTTCACGCTGCCGAGAGTGATTGAGGTTGGCGGGGCTGGGCAGTAGTTTGTGATAGTGTTACAAGAGCTCGAGTAAGAGGACCAACCGAAAGTGCTGCCATAGTCTGAGCAAGTGATGGTTGCGGCGGCAGACAGCTGATATCCATTGTTGCAGCTCATAGAGCAAGTTCCCTGATCTAAAGGGCATTGTCGAAAAAACAAACGAAAACAAACAAACCATCATTCGATGAGTTTTGCATGCGGACGCATCCGGACAGTAGAACAGCATCAAAACTCTTACAAGTCGTGCTCCCGCAAGTAAACTGTCCATTCGTCGGATTGCTTGGATTGCCACAGTTGATGGTGTTGCATTGGAAAGTGCGGGACGACCAAGACTTGTCCGCTTGGCACGTAACAGTGCCTGAAGCGGATGTTGACCGAGTACCGGTGGCACAAGTATGAGTGCAAACGCCACCAACTGTCTGTCGGTTGCAGCCCCAAGTTCCAGAAGTGAAGAATGCTGGCGAACCGCACGACTTGGCTGCCATGCTGCAACAGGTGTACTTCCAGCGCCGATCTTCTTTAGTGTTCAGATGAACTACAAGTCATTCAGCAGGACGGGTTAAGTAACCATCTTGGGATTCAATTTTGACGTGATTCCGTTTTACCTGAGGACATTCCTGCAATGTACTGAAAGGCGAGAGGACATGTATAGTCCAGAGGTCCGTCATAGTTGTTCACCTCAGCGGTAGTTGAACAATTACCCGCGTACTCGAACTCGGGAATCATGGCAACGGTTTTGACTTGAAAGAGACGGTCCATTTTTTCCTCCGAGTTGCGTGAGTTCATCCCGTAGATTGTTCGACCTGGCGTAGCAGTCCAGTCCAATACCTGTCTTGCCAAAAAAAAAAAAAAAAAAAATCAGCTCCAGTTCAAGCTAAAGCCATCTTGAGTGCGAATTTCAGCTTTCGTTACCAGATCCCACTCGTTCATTTGAAAGTAGGCTTGGTCGGGAATGCTCGCTTTTGTGACTTGCTCGCCAGAGTGCGTGATACAACTCCTGCGATACTTCCACCAACGGTCTTCCTTCAAGTTATCGTGCTGAGATTGAAACTGACAAAAGAAACACACCCATAGCGCAGTCAGCACCAGTTGATAACGCCATGCCTGCAGCTTGAGCGAGCTTACGCCTTTGAACCAACACTGCACGTCCGCGCCAACGGTTGCAGCTTCCCAGTTAATATTATCCATCGTGAACAGATGATACCTGTATCCGTACAAAGTGAGTCAGTTAAACCACACACACCAAACACCGCGCGTGCTTCAAACGTACCACCCAAAGTCGGTATCGTAAAATGTCGCTGATCCAAATTAGTCAAACGGATCAAGTTAGGGCTCATTGTCAACACACGATCCGTGCAAAACGAGTCCCTGCAACAGCGCGCCGTGCTGATTTATACTGCTGCCTTTGCCGATGATGCAGCACCACGAGCCATCGTCCATTGCTGCTTGCTGGAGGGTGCAATGATGGGTGTCGGAGGTTGTCCTGAAAATAGCTCCCGCTCGATGATCGGCTGCATTACACTCCCTGGCCCGTGCGTCCTCGCACACACACACACACACTCTCTCTCTCGCTCACACCACGCCAATACCCATACACCCATACGCACACCGTCTTCCACGTCAGTGTGCAAACGTCGCAACGGAAACGCAGACCCGATCGGCGATGCCGAGAAGAAATCAAAACACTGCAATCAACTCGTTCCAGTCGAAGCGCAATCCCAGCCAGGACAAGGACGCGTACCATGGCATGAATGAATGTGCGGCATCACCGCCAGTAGCACCAGGACGGGTACCAGCAACAGAGGCAGGCGCGTAAAAGCCATCTGTAACAAAACAAGAAAAAAAAGAAGAAAAAAGAGAAATTGAGAGTGACCAATGCACCCCAAATGCACCCAGTTCTGATCGGCGCACAGACAATGCTCGTTCACTTTGTGGTTTGAATTGTGAAGAGGTGTGTGTTTTTGTGTCAGTCGATGTCGATGTCGCTGTTCTTTGTTCTTCATCACCCGCGTTTTTGTGTGTTTTGTCGCTTTTATCATTTTTTGCACATTTGGCTCAGTTTTTTTTTTTTTTTTTCTTTGAAGACAAGCAACAATGATTCGGAGCGTTGCATTCGAGCTGACCAAACGCGCGTCGTCGTCGTCCGTTGCTGCTGTTGCCGCGTCGATGCGTGCGACAACTCGTTGTGCTGCTGTCGCTGCCACTTCCGCCGTCGTGCGTGGCATGTCGACGAGCGCGAACAACAACAACCAGCAGGAACAGGACAAGCAGCAGCAGAACAACGAGCAATCCGAGTCGACCGCGTCCAAGCTCACCAAGCCGGGCTTTGTCGCAGCTGCTGCAGTCGCGCTGGTCGTCTGGCAGCTCGAGTCGCGCGGAGAGCGCTTTGGAGCGTCGGTGGACGGCGGTCATCAGTCGCAGGAGCCGCGCGGCTTGATCTCGTCCTGGGTCGCCAAGGCGCTCGGCCACTCGACCGTCCGCGCCAACGCGCGCCTGTCTGAAGACTCGAACGTGCGTGCACTGATTGCCGAGGCTGCCATGGGCAAGACGGGCTCGCGTCAGTTCACCTCGCTGATGACCACCGTCTGCCAGCACGCCGACCGGCTCTACGACGGCGGCCACATGGACGATCTGTATGCGTTCTTGCATGCCACGATGGCTGCAGACAGCCCTCTCAAGAGCGGCGCCATCGCGTGGCGTGCTGCACGCGCCGCCCGCGAACGGTCGCTGGCCACCACGGACGCCGAGCTAAAGAAGAAGCTCGTGTACGAGGCGTACGAGCTGGCCAAGCGCGCGATCGAGTACGATCCGAGCGACTTTGCCTGCCACAAGTGGCTGGGCATCACGATCAGCGACGTGGGCGAGTACGAGGGCGTCAAGGTCAAGATTTCCAACGCCTTCACCATCAAGAAGCACTTTGACGAAGCGGTGCGCCTCAACCCCGACGATCCCACCTCGCGCCACCTCGTTGGCATGTGGTGCTTCACCTTTGCCGATATGCCGTGGTACCAGCGCAAGATTGCCGCAACCCTCTTTGCCACCCCGCCCAGCGCCACGTACGACGAGGCCCTTGGCCATTTTGTCGCCGCCGAAAACATTGAACCCGGCTTTTACGTGAAAAACACACTCATGATTGGCAAGGTCTACCTTCGGATGGGCCAGAAGGAGGAGGCGAAAAAGTATCTCACCAAGACCATCTTCCAAGCCAAGACGGAGGCTGATCGTGAGTCCCTGGAGGAGGCCAAGCAGATTCTCGAGAAGATGTAAATTTGAATTTCCATCGAGGACGTGGGCCACATCCACACATCCAGCTCAACCAACACAACACCAACAACAAATTCAATCCATCATCGCAACTGTTGTCATCGCAGTTTTTCTTTGCAGTTGTGCTCGTGTACATGTCAAAAACTAAACCAAATTCACTCCATTTGCAAGTCCAATTCTGCGTAGAAAACTCAAACTTTGGGCTTCATGGGATTGGCACCTGCCCCCAAAGGGGGGAAAGCTCGCGATCGAGCGCTGCGAAAACCACAGTCGCAGGCGATTGAACGACAAGCACGCCTTGGTGCGGACACATCCCTTGTGTATATTTCAGGAGATGAGTGACGGTTGTCACAACGAGAACAAGAAAAACAGGGGGGGGGGAAAGAACAACCGAGAACAAACGACAAAAATTACGCATCAATTTTTACATGTCGGAAGAGAAGAAGAAGAAAAGGAAGAAAAAAAAGCAAAGGAAAAACACTCATCATTGCAACAGAAGAGCATTAAGAACAACAAAAAACCATCTAACAGGAAACCGAGTAACTCTTTGGAACCGGAATTGCTCACTTAGAAACGGGGGTAGGGGCGAACAAACGTGGCCTGATCGCGGATAGTGTACTCGTTGGTGGTGGGGTTGATGTGCCAAGTCCAGTCAATGTGAGTCTCGTTGTGGATGACCATGCGACCGTAGCCATAGGCAGCCTGGCGGAAGGCAGACCACGAGGGCTGAGAGAGCCACTGGGAAGCAAGACCCTCCTGGTTGCCACCGTCGCCAATGACAATGTACTCGGTGGGGTTGGCAGTGCTGACCACGTTGCGGTAGACCTGCTTGGAGCGCTCGTACGAGTGGACGTGGCCGTTGAAGGCAAGATCAACCTTGTACTTGTAGAAGAGCGGCTCGTAGATGGTTTGGAAGGCGGGGATCTCGCCCTGGTGAGCAGTGTTCGAGTTGTAGAAGGGGCGGTGGTACATGAGGATGAGCCAGGGGGTCTGGGTGCGGTTGACCGACTCCATCTCCTTGATAAACCAGTTGTACTGGGCCGAGCCGACCGAAAAGTCAGTCTCGGTCGACAGCAGGACGAGGCGGACGTACGAGTGCGAGTACGACCAGAACAGGTTGAGGCCGGGGGAGTTGGACTCTGCGTACGGCATGCGGAAGCGGTAGTTGTAGGCGGTAAAGTTGTGGTAGTTTTCGTGGTTGCCGACGCCGACCATCCAAGCCATCGAGGCCGAGAGCGGCTGCACCATGTTGCCCCACTGATCCCAGATGGGCTGGTTGCCGTTGGCGTAGGTAATGTCACCGGCATGCCAGAGAACGTCAGCGCGCATCGAGTCCGACAGGATGCCGTTGACAGTGTTGAGCGAGTTCGAGGTGAAGCCGAGGTCACCAATCACGGCGACCGTCAGCGGGACCTTGTCGGTCGTCATCGACTTGAACGTAAACTCGTTGCTCCAGCCCTGCGAAGCGTCGCCGACCACGTAAAAGTAGGTGGTGAGGGGCGTGAGGCCGGTGACCTTGACCTGATGTTTTGGAAGAAAAAGAGAAAAAAGAAAAAGAAGGGGAAAGGGTGAGTTTTTGGTTTTCGGCAATCAAGCAATGCAACGTTTGCTCGAGTGCTTACAGTGTGGATGTAACCAGAAGTGTACGAGTCATACGTGTACTGGGTGGACGTGCCGTTGAAGGGAACTGCGGGAGCAGAGAGCAAAAAACAAGAACAAACAAAAACAAAACGAAAACAAAACAAACAAAAACAAAACGAAAACAAAAACAAACAAACGATGATGAGCGACTTTGACAGAAATGATCAACAAATGATCTGAGCAAAAAAACTCACTGTAGTAAGCACCGGACCTGGGGCCGACCTTGACCTGGGGGCTAGCAGGCGAGGGGGTAATCCACATCATGACCTACGAACGCAAGCGAACAAGCAAGCAGCGATCAATGTGAGAGAAGCCGATCGTCGGTTGCAGAGCAGAGAAGTGAAAAAAGAGGGGGTTTTTCCCCCGCGCTGGTGTCATGCGCATCAAACGACAAAATGTCCCATTTTGAATGACTGGGTGTTGTTTTGTAAGGGGTTTTTGAAGGGTGCATTTGGAGTGGATGGAAGGAGCTGGTGGGAGGAGGAAGGGAAGGGAAAGGTCAAAGAAACCGAGAGATACCACTCACCGCCCCACAAAACCACGCTCAACCCATTCAACAGAACCAACCAGCTGTTTAGCTTCAACATTACGAAGCGAGGAGAGCGATTTCAATGGAGGCAGTGTACACACGAGGCCAAGCCAAGCAGCCTGGTTGGTTCACCCTTTCTAACTCCAACTCTAACTCTCTCTCGCTCGTCGCTCCCCCAGCTTCATCATAAAAGCGTGCTGCACAACTGCACAAATTGTCAACGGATCTGTGCTGGGTCTTCCATTGGACGAGTTTCCGCCGCGGTTGTGTTTTGTGCTATCAAAAGAAGTGTGTCACAAGGTCATTTCAAAGCGCCCCAAAACCCCGTTTCATAGGGAAGACCAGCAGCAGCAGCAGCGGAAACCATATCAAACAGCGACAGTTCAACAAAAGAGAGAGAGATATCGATATTGAAGAGCGAAAGGAGGGAGAGAGAGACAGAGAGAGCGAGAGAGAGAGAGAGAAACGGGGAAAAGATGCGAGTTGATTGAATTCAGCCGAACTGCGAAGCATGTTCGTCGATAGAAGCGAAAGTGAGGCTGACGTACGGCTTCGGTGGGAATGCCAGTGAAGGAGAGGCGAATCTGCTCTGGCGGGTTGGACGACAGGCGGAAGGGCGCCGCCGAGACGAGCGCCACCAGCAGTGCGAGAACAGCCGCAGCAATGGTCCAGCGCATTGTTGGAAGAAAAGAAAAGAAAAGAAAAGAAAAGAAAAGAAAAGAAAAGAAAAGGTGAATGAACTGGACGGATTCGGTCGTTGTTGGATTGGTGAAGAATTGGTACATGGCAGAATAAACTCAAGTGCTGGTGGAGGGAGGGTGAGGGAGGGTGGGAAAGGTGGGATGGAAATACTTAAAAAAAAACCAAATTCAGATGGAAAATGGAACAAGAGAACATGCATCGTCGATGAGCGGTTGTTGGATGTTGCAGCGATCAGAAAACTGAGATTAGGAGTAGTTGACAGCTTGCTGGCAGGACTTCAGGCGGGCCAATGGGCCGAGCTCAGATGAAAACCATCATCCAACTGATGATTCCTGGAAGACTCCACGCTTCACCATGGCTCGCCAACCGCTCCAGCAGCATCAACAAACGACATCACACTTAGAAGGGGCTCGTGAAACAACAACGAGCATGGCCAAGCGGAATAAACAGAATTTTTGTATTGATGCACTTTTTGGGTCTTGCGAAACGCAATCAAGAAACACAAAGCGGTTTGGTGCCATCGATTAGTGACCAAGGAAGCTCTGCCAAAGAGTTCAAGTGTCCAGTGCAACGAACACAGTGAGTCAGAAGTGCTGGAAAAATTGCTCGCAATCGTTGCTTTACCATCTTCTCCTTCGCACAAGCTGCCAGTGCCTTCTGGGCGGCAGAGCAGAATCGGAAATCTTGGTTGTTCTTGTCCAGGCACTGCCAGAGCTCGGTGAAGCGCTCGTTGCAGTTACCCCGGAGCACCTTGAAGCTGTATTCAAGGGACAAGCGAGAAAGAAAAGGGGGAGTTGGAGCCCCCCCCCCTTGTCTTGTCCAACAAAAACCAAAAAAAAACCCTTTCTTACAATTCAGCAGTGCACTCTGTCACGTAACGGCCCTCCTCTAGGCAGAGCTCAGGATTCTTCTTGTCAAAGCGGCATTGCATGTACGCGCGGTTAGGAGTGTCGCAGTATTCGCCGAGGTGCTTGGCGGCTGCGAGCAGCGGCGACGAGGTCACCTTGATTTCCTGTAGTGTAGTCCCATGCATGCATTGAATGCAGAATCAACGTGAGCAAGCAGCAAGACGAAAGGCAAGATCAAAGTCGAGTGAAGTTGATGCGTTTTGGTGATCTCTCGCCGTTCCGCCTCGTCCATCCACGCGATCGAAAATCAGCCCAAGCACAGAATCATGTCACGCAGATCGCAGTGGAGCCAGGCGACCAGAGCAAGAGCACAGGCGGCGTCCAAAGCCAAAAAGCATATGGGCAAGGAGCCAAAAGGATCCCTCCAACGCGCGGTCTCACTCTCACCCGCTCCAAGCATGCCACAACGGAGGGCTTTCCAGTGTCCATCATCTGAGAATGGATGAGCCCCTCGCTCCAGCCAACAAGCAAGAGCAAGTGAAAAAGCAAAAAAAAAAAAAAAAAAAAAAAGGCCGCTTTTTGCTCGCTTGTTCTCTGTGCTCGCTGTGTGTCCCACTCCCCACCCCCACCCCTGCAGCACTCAGTGACTGGAATGACCAGCGATCGCATTCGTGGAACGAGGCGGATCGACCGAACGAACGAACGAACGAACGAACGAGCGAACGAAGCTGGCTCAATCGTCAACCAATTCGATCCCATCGCTCACCTCGACTTGGGGTACGTCTGCCATTCTGTATGAAAACAAAAAGAAGAGTGGAATCAACGTTAAAGGAAATAAAGAGTGCAAGAACAACGAGTGCATTTGTATTTGAGAGCTGAACAGAACTCGACCATCCAATGCTCGCTCCCATTGTCAATCCGATTCTTTGACTCTTTGAGTCGTTCTCCCCACAAAATCACAAGCTCAAGCAGCTCAAGCTGACCTTATCAATCCTTCTTTTTTTGGTTTTCTTGCTGCTGTGCTATCGTCGCATCCAATCAACCCCTTCCTTACACAATGGCAGCCGGTAAACGCACTTCTCACTGAACGCAAACCCGCTTCCATCCCCTCTCCTCCCCCTCCTTTTGGACTGCGGCTTGCTACCAACACTGCAAGCACAAACGCACGCAATGAGAAGCGGCAGAGTGAGCGCGAGAGTGAGAGGAACATGCTAAATGGCTAAATGGCCGAGCGTGACTGACTGCTGCACAGTGTGACCATCCTCCTCCACCCTCCCCGCCATCCTCACCCCTGACTCTCTACCACTCTTACACTCTACATGACTATGCACTTGTAGCCCATTGCGCAATGGTGCTCGAACTGTCTTGACGATTTGCTCACTTTGCTTTTTGCTCGTTCGTTCGCCAGCTTCGTCCAACAAGTCGCCACTCAAGGTCAGTGAATTCACAGACGTTGACCACGGTTGAGCGTTTTGCGGACAGGTTGCTCACACTCCCTCCATCATTCTGGTTGTATTGCTGGTTTTCGCTGGTTTAGTACATGCCTGGCTTTGGCAATCACTTTGCCACCGAGGCGCTTCCGAACGCGCTCCCCGTCGGCCAGAACTCCCCGCAGGTCTGCCCGTACAACCTCTATGCCGAGCAGCTCTCTGGCACTGCATTCACTGCGCCTCGCGTGCACAACCAGCGCAGGTAAAAAACAAAAAATGCTCATCGACTGTGGTGCGAATCTCACACCCCGCCACCCCGGTTTGGGTCGCCATCTGCGCACTGCGAAACTCTCGCTCTCACTCTCATCGGCTTTTGCAATGCGTCCGGTTTTATGCGACTCAATATCGACTTTTGCAATCTCCTCTCTTTTTGGTTGTTGTCGTTGGTGTTGTTGTTGTTTTTGTTGTTGTTGGGATGATTCCGCAGCTGGCTCTACCGCATCCGCCCGTCCGTCTGCCACACTCCGTTCGAGGCCGTCGAAGGCTCGGTGCGCAACAACTGGGATGCCTTGCCCCCAAACCCAAACCAGCTCCGATGGAAGCCATTTGATCTGCCCAGGTACGGTTGCCTGTCTTTGTCGTTTTGTGTTGCGTGGTTGATTTGTTGCCGGCTGCAATGGCTCATCACTTCTTCCTTCTTCCTCCCTTTCAATTCTGCAGCAACGACGCCAAGGTCGATTGGGTGAAGGGCCTGCGCACTGTCTGTGGCGCTGGTGATGAGCGCGCTCGTCATGGTCTTTCCGTTCACGTCTACGCCATCAACACGTCCATGGATCACACTGCCATGTACAACTCGGACGGTGACTACTTGATCGGTAAGCAGAGATTGTTTTGGGTTTTGAAAAAACAAAAAAAAAAAAAAGGCGTTTTCTTCTGGATTCGCTCACCCCCTTCTCAACCATCATCATCATTCAGTCCCGCAACTGGGCAAGCTGACCATCACCACCGAGCTGGGCATTCTCGAAGTCAACCCGAACGAAATCTGCGTCATCCAGCGTGGCATTCGTTTCTCGGTGGCTGTAGATGGCCCTTCGCGCGGCTACGTGCTTGAGGTTTTCGGCCAGCACTTCCGCCTTCCCGACCTCGGTCCCATCGGTGCAAACGGCCTCGCCAATCCCCGCGACTTTGAGACCCCTGTTGCTTGGTTTGAGGAGCGCGATGAGCCCTTCACCATCATCTCCAAGTACCAAGGTGTTCTGTTTGCCGCCAAGCAGGTACGAGCAGAGCGGCGCGTCTTGAGCTCGTTTGATTCCCTGATGAGTTGTTGGATTCGTCCATTGAAGAATCTGGCGCTCACAGTTGCCTCTTCTTTGTTTTCTTTTTTTTTTCTTTTTTTTTTTTTGACACAGGATCACACTCCCTTCGATGTCGTCGCCTGGCATGGAAACTATGCGCCCTACAAGTACAACCTGGCGCATTTCATGGTCATCAACTGCACCGCCTTTGACCACGCTGTATGATTGGAGATTTTTTTTCTCAACTCTCTATTTTTTCGTTGTCATGCACTGACCACACACACACACACACACACACACACACACACACACACACACACACACACACACACACACACACACACACACACACACACACACACACACACACACACACACACACACACACACACACATTGTTCTTGTCGTTGTCCGTTTCGCGCAGGACCCCTCCATCTTCACCGTGCTCACTTGCCCTTCGAACGAGCCGGGCGTGGCAGTCGCCGACTTTGTCATCTTCCCCCCTCGCTGGGCTGTGCAAGACCACACCTTCCGCCCTCCATACTACCACCGCAACTGCATGAGCGAGTTTATGGGCTTGATCACGGGCGTGTACGAGGCCAAGGAGGAGGGCTTCCTTCCTGGCGGCGGCTCGCTGCACTCTATGATGACCCCGCACGGCCCCGATGCGCCCACCTTTGATGGTGCGAGCAAGGCCAACCTCAAGCCCGTACGTGTGGCCGACGGCACCCAGGCGTTCATGTTCGAGTCGAGCCTCTCGCTCGCTCTGACCGAGTGGTCTGAAAAGCTCTGCAACAAGCTTGATCCTCACTACTACGAGTGAGTTGCTTTTTTTTTGTTTGAGGGTTGAGGATGTTGGTGCGGTTGGTGTGGAAAAGGTGAGCTGACTTTTGAGAAAACAAATGAAACCTGTCTGTACAGATGCTGGCAAGGCCTGAAGAAGAACTTTGACCGCAACTGGAAGCCCGCTGCTTCTCAGTAAACCGAGTTTCAGGATTTTGTGGAAGCGTGCTTGTATCTGTGGTGGTTTTCGAGCACGACATTGAAGTGATGCACCCCCTCTCGTCGACAAGCCATTAAAAACCCATTGTGATTTGTTGTGATTCTGAGCCCCCTTGTCTCCCACTCACTTCTCATTCATTTTCGAAGCCTTAAGAGAGCCGAAAAACAGCTTGATTGGAAGATCACTCGATCACAGTGTGACGCGCCAGAGTCCGAAAAAACGAAAAAAAAAAAAAAGTGAAAAGCTGCCTCATTGCTTCCGCTGTCAATGTCAGTAGTAGATAGAGAGGATGAAATCGCTGGCGCGATTTGACGTCCGCGCTTCGCGCGGGTGAGAGTGACCGAGGGTAACCTCGATTAAAGTACCACCATCTCGAATATAGCGCATTATTTTGTATGAATCGCGGCTCGCTTCTGAGCTGTTTGTCAAAATGTACATCCGACTGTGCACTGCTCGTGTGTGTACTTGTTTTTGAATTTGTCAGCTCATTCTTCCACTTCCTCCTTTTTTTCCTTTCTTCACACACTACCAATGTCCTACACAATCAAAGGCGACAGTGCAGGTAACAGAAAACGTTAAGCTTTTTTTTTTTTTTTTTTTTTTTTGTTTGTATGGTTGTTGCATTGCAGCGCGCTTTCCAACACACAAACCTGCGGGTGCTTCCGGATCTCCGCTTCCCGCTTCCACATTCACGCACACACATCTGATATACGCACTCGTAGTACACCTTGTCTCAGTTTGCTGTTCCCTGAGTGCGATTGGTTCATGATGCGAGCTGCAGTCCAGCGAGCCATGAGGTTTTCTCTTTTTTTTTTTTTTTTTTTTTCTTTTTTATTATACTTTTGATGGAACGGCTCGCATTCGCCGTCAACACGCCCTGTCGCATTCATCATCGACCCACGGTGCATCCTTTGTCTCGAGGCACCCGTCTGTGTGTGAGGAGAGGGGGCCACTGCTGACAGCATCGCACAAGAACAAAACCATTCAAAGATCTCGCTCTTTTTTATTTTTTTTTTATTCATTCTTTCTGCCCCTTCCCCGCTTCTGTCTGAGCGCTGAGATTTGAGCAACAGCAGCAGCAGCAGCATCGACGTACCACTCGTACAAGCTTTTGCTCCAAGCGAAACGCTGCCGCGCAAATCCATTCGTCTCTCCACCAACAAATCCCCGTTTCACTATGAAGCAATCGCTGCACATGTTGACATCACTCACTCCCATCACTCACTCTCAACTCTCTCGACCAAAAACAACAAATAGTTCTGCAGGTTGTCGCTGCGATCGTCCGCGAGCACGGCGTCCAGGTCAAGATCGAGGGCAAGGGCGTCCCCGCTGGCCAGCTCGAGCTCACCACCGCTCAGGGCGCCAAGGTCGGCCCGGCCACTGCATACAACCTGGCACGATTGCTGTCGCGTCTGGCGCCAGCATCGGGCCTCTATGGCGCGCAGGGCGATGCGCTCGTCGCCACCGAGGTCGATACCTGGGTCGACTTTGCCGCATCCCACCTGCCCGAGTCCGGCGTCACGGAGGCTGGCCTTGCACGCTCGCTCGCATCACTCGACACGCACTTGCGCCTGCGCACCTACCTTGTCGGCTCGGCGCTCTCGCTTGCCGACGTTGCCGTTGTCCTCGCACTCTCCGAGGTCAACAAGCAATGGGCTGCCGCCTCCCGCGACGGCAAGTTTGTCGAGGTGACCCGCTGGGCGACCCACCTGGCCACCCTTGCGCCGTTTGGCAAGCGCGTGCACTACCCTGGAAAGAAGCACGAGCGGGAGCCTTCCTCCTCTGGCGCTGCCTCTGCCTCGTCGGGTGCGGCCCCTGCCTCCAAGAGCCTCGCCTACCAGCATGCCAGCGACAACCAGGTGATCAAGAACCAGTCGGCCAAGTTTGTCGTGCTGCCCGGTGCCGAGATGGGCAAGGTCGTGACCCGCTTCCCCCCGGAAGCCAGCGGCTACCTCCACGTCGGCCACGCCAAGGCCGCGCTGCTCAACGAGTACTATGCTCGCATCTACGAGGGCACGCTCATCATGCGCTTTGACGACACCAACCCGGCCAAGGAGAACTCTGAGTTTGAGCAGGCCATCCTCGAGGATCTCGAGAGCCTCGGCATCAAGCCCGACAAGTTCACACACACCTCGGACTGGTTTGACACCATCCTGCAGTACGGCGAGCGCATGCTCAAGGAGGGCAAGGCGTTTGTGGACGACACCCCCGTCGACAAGATGCGCAGCGAGCGCGAGGCGCGCCAAAACTCGTACCGTCGCGACGCCTCCGTCGAGGACAACCTCAAGCTGTGGGCTGAGATGATCAAGGGCTCCCCCGTTGGTCTGACGTGCTGCATGCGTGCCAAGATTGACATGCAGAGCAACAACGGCGCCCTGCGCGACCCCGTCATGTTCCGCTGCAAGAACGAAATCCACGTCCGCACCGGCGACAAGTACAAGTGCTACCCGACGTACGACATGGCCTGCCCCATCGTCGACTCGCTCGAGGGCGTCACACACGCACTCCGCACCACCGAGTACCACGACCGCGATGCCCAGTTCTACTGGATTATCGACGCGCTGGGTCTCCGCAAGCCCATGATTTACGACTACTCGCGTGTCAACCTCTCATACACTGTGCTTTCCAAGCGCAAGCTGCAAAAGCTCGTCGACATGAAGCTTGTGGACGGCTGGAACGACCCGCGCTTCCCCACCGTTCGCGGCGTGCTGCGTCGCGGCATGACGGTCGGCGCCCTTCGCGACTTTATCATCTCGATTGGCTCGTCCAAGAACTCGAACCTCATGGAGTGGGACAAGTTCTGGGGCTACAACAAGAAGCACATTGACCCTGTTGCTCCGCGCTTCACTGCCATCGAGCGCGACTCTGCCGTGCCCATTCGCGTTCTGAACGGCCCCGCCACCCCCGAGGAGACGGACGTTCCGCTGCACCCCAAGGACGCCAGCATTGGCACCAAGAAGGTTGTTCGCGCCAACGCGCTCATCATGGAGCGTGTTGATGCCGACGCCATCAAGGAGGGCGAGATTATTACGCTGATGAACTGGGGCAACCACATTGTCCGCAAGATTTACCGCGAGCACGGCAAGCCCATCGCCTCGGTCGACGTCGAGTACCTGCCCGAGGACAAGGACTTTAAGAAGACCCAAAAGTTCACTTGGATTGCCAACGTCCCCGGCAAGTCGCTCGTGCCCGTCCTTTCGTCCGACTTTGACTACCTCATCATCAAGCCCAAGATTGAGGAGGAGGACAACATTGACGACATTCTCACCCCCAAGACCCGCTTTGACACGCAATTGCTCGCTGAGCCCGCTGCCGCCAACCTCAAGAAGGGCGATATTATCCAGTTCAACCGCCGTGGCTACTACATTGTCGACGCCAAGAACGACGATGGCTCGTTCACCATGTTCCTCATTCCCGACGGCTCGGCCGAGATGGTTGCCTCCAAGGCTGCCGCTGCTTCTGGCGCCATCGCCTCCAACCCCGCCCTCAAGAAGGAGGCCGCTGCTCCCGCCACGCCCGCCGGCACCTCCTCGGATGCTGCTGTCGCCAAGCTTGCCGACCAGATTACCGCACAGGGCAACACTGTTCGCGACCTCAAGGCTGCCAAGGGTGACGCCACTGCCGCTGTTGCCGAGCTCCTCAAGCTCAAGGCCGAGTACAAGGCGCTGACTGGCAAGGACTTTGCCCCCGGTGCTCGCCCTGCTGCTGCCCCTGCTGAAGACAAGAAGAAGGCTCCTGCCGCCCCTGCTGAAGACAAGAAGAAGGCTGCCGCCCCTGCTGCTGCTGCCCCTGTCGCCGCTGCTGCTCCTGCCGCTGCTGCTGGCTCTGGTGATGAGGCCGCTCTTGCTGCCAAGATCACCGCCCAAGGCAACATTGTGCGCGACCTCAAGGCTGCCAAGGGTGACGCCACTGCTGCCGTTGCCGAGCTCCTCAAGCTCAAGGCCGAGTACAAGACTTTGACTGGCAAGGACTTTGCCCCTGGTGCTCGCCCTGCCGCTGCCCCTGCTGAAGACAAGAAGAAGGCTGCCGCCCCTGCTGCTGCCCCTGTCGCTGCTGCCGCCGCTGCTCCTGCCGCCGCTGCTGCTGCTTCCACCTCCGCCGCTGCTGGTGCTCCCGTCTCTGATGCCGAGGCCGCTCTCGCTGCCAAGATCTCTGCTCAGGGCAACGTTGTGCGCGACCTCAAGACTGCCAAGGCTGACGCCACTGCCGCTCTCGCCGAGCTGCTCAAGCTCAAGGGCGAGTTCAAGGCCCTCACCGGCAAGGAGTACACTGCTCCTGGCGCCCGCCCCGACTCCCACCCCTGCCGCTGCTGCTGCTGCTGCTGCTCCCGCTGCCGCCAAGGCGGAGGCCAAGCCCGCCAAGGAGAAGGCCGCCGCTGCCTCGTCCGCTGCATCATCTGCCGCCGAGGACGAGAAGCGCATTCTGATTGGCGTTGAGGCCGACAAGGCAACCAACTTCCACGAATGGTACACTCAGACCATTGTTCGCGCTGAAATGATCGAGTACTACGACATTTCTGGCTGCTACATTCTTCGCCCGTGGGCTTGCTCCGTCTGGGACCACATTCGCGACTTTTTCGACCGCGAGATCAAGCTGCTCGGCGTCGAGAACGCCTACTTCCCCATGTTTGTGTCCAAGAGCGCCCTCGAGAAGGAGGCAGACCACATTGCTGACTTTGCCCCCGAAGTCGCCTGGGTCACCAAGAGCGGTCAGTCCGACTTGGCCGAGCCCATCGCGCTTCGCCCCACCAGCGAGACCATCATGTACCCATCGTTCGCCAAGTGGATTCGCTCGCACCGCGATCTCCCGCTCAAGATCAACCAGTGGGCCAACGTTGTCCGCTGGGAGTTCAAGAACCCCACGCCGTTCCTGCGCACCCGCGAGTTCCTCTGGCAGGAGGGCCACACTGCGTACGAGACCAAGCCCGAGGCCGACAAGGAGGTTTTGCAGATTCTCGAGCTCTACCGCCGCGTCTACGAGGAGTACCTCGCCGTCCCCGTCATCAAGGGCAAGAAGTCCGAGAAGGAGAAGTTTGCCGGCGGTCTGTACACGACCACGGTCGAGGCCATCATCCCTTCCACCGGCCGTGGTGTTCAAGGCGCCACCAGCCACAACCTTGGCCAGAACTTTTCCAAGATGTTTGACATTCTGATTGAGGACAACGACCGTCCCGGCCAAAAGAAGCACGTCTGGCAAAACTCGTGGGGTCTGACCACCCGCACGATTGGCGTCATGATTATGCTCCACGGTGACAACAAGGGTCTTGTTTTGCCCCCTCGCGTCGCCTCGCTTCAGGCCGTCATCGTCCCCTGCGGCATCACCGCCTCGCTCTCGGAGGCCGACCGCGCCGCCCTCATGGCTTACGGCAAGCAAGTCGAGGACGCCCTCCGCGCTGGCGGCATCCGCGTCAAGTTTGACGACCGTGACAACTACACTCCCGGCTACAAGTTCAACCACTGGGAGCTGCGCGGCGTTCCGCTGCGCATCGAGGTTGGCCCCCGCGACATGAAGAACAAGCAGATTGTTGCCGTTCGCCGCGACACTGGCGAGAAGACTTCGCACTCGGTCGACAACATTGCCACGACTGCCAAGACCCTCCTGACCACCATCCAGGACTCGCTTCTTGCTCGCGCAACTGCCGTTCGTGATGCTCACGTTCGCCGCATCGAGAACTGGGAAGACTTTGTTCCCGCGCTCAACGCCAAGTGCGCCGTCCTTGCCCCCTGGTGCGACGAGACTCCTTGTGAGGAGGACATTAAGAAGAGCTCTGCCAAGGTGTAAGTGACTGTTTTGGGGGGTCGGGGCTTTGGGGGTTTTGAGGTTGAAAGAAGTTTGTGTTTATGTGGCGGAATTTTTTTTCTTCCTCTCATGACGCGATGCTTGATGATTGGTTTTTGTGCGACATTTGTGTTTTTTGCAGTGACACGGATGACGGTTCTGGCGCTGCTATGGGTGCCAAGAGCTTGTGCAAGCCCTTCGAGCAGCCCGAGCTCAAGGCTGGCCAGAAGTGCGTCAAGTGCGACAAGCCCGCCAAGGTTTTCTGCCTCTTTGGCCGAAGCTATTAAAAGTTGCATTCATACATGTGGTTTCTTGCCATTGGTGACTGGATTTTTTGTTGTTTGTGGAAGAGTTTTGTATGAATGTTCAATCGCGTCAAAGTTTAGCGTGCCATGTTCTATTTTCGATGCTTTTGGAGTTGGTTGCGTTCACGACGCCTTTATTATGTCTCGCAGCCTCAAACAAGTGCTCTGATGCAGGAGCTTCCCCCCCTCCCCCACCGCCGTCCCCTCACTTTGCTTCTGGTCCCATTTTCAATCTTGATTGAACTTTCATTCATCTTTTTTTTTTTTTTTTTTTTTTTTTTTTGATTCTTTTTTTTTTTTTTTTTTTTTTTTTACTTTCCAAGTCATGTCGCAGCGCTGGGGTGCTCTGACGCTCGTTGTCAGCGCCACGCTGTTGCTGATGATTGCAGCGACTGCCATTGTCACCCAGCCAGGCGCACTCTCTGGCTCGAGCTCACCGACAGAGACAGGCCAGCTGCAGCAGGACGCCAACAAGGCAGCAGCGCCACTATTGCACCAGCAGCTCAAGCGATCGCCCAAGCGGGCCACCGACATGCACTCTGGATTGAATGATGGTAATGCTTCGTGCTGGTGATGCTCAGAGTGATGGTGCGGACCGCGCTGGAGGCAGTCCCAGCGACGTAGAGCTCACCCCCTGTTCCAACGAACTTGGTCGCAACCCAGGCATTGCTCGAGCACCCAACACGCAACCCCAAGACCAAGACCAAGACCAAGACCAGCCTGGTGCTCATGATGCGAGCAAACTGACTACTCGCGACGACCTTGCGCCGGCGTGCGACAATCCTGGCAATGCAGGCCTCGAAAAGTTCTGCTCGGATTTCCTCACTTCGTACAACATCCAGGCCACGCAGCTGCGTCGGTCGTTGGCGCTGGCACAGTTTGCCTACGAGACAAACATCACGGACGCCAATCTCGCAGACATGCAGGTGATTGAGGCCAACGTGACCGCCTTCGACCAGCAGGTGGTCACTGGTCTCCGCATCATGCTGACGTTCGGCCAATTGCCAGACTACTCGCCCGCGAGCGTGAATGCCGCGTTGTGCCCAGTCACTGCACGTCAAGTCAACAAACTGTTGCTTTCGGACGTCTCCAGCAACGCCACACGCCGCGCAGAAATCTCCTCGCTCGTCACCCAAATGCAGCAGATTTATGCCACAACAACCGTGTGCCTTGGCGATCAAACCCCGCCGTGCACCAACAACCTCGAGCCCGAGCTTGCCAGCATTCTTGCCGACCCCTTGGCCACGCCCGCGGCCAAGCTGGAAGCCTGGCTTGGCTGGCACAACAATGTCGGCGTTGCCGTTTCCCCGTTGTTTGCCCAGTTTGTGCAAGCGTCAAACGCAGCCGCGGTGGAGAATGGATTTGCCAACACTGGCGAGTTTTGGCAGTCGGGCTACGACATGCCCGCGGCAGATTTCGTCACCATGATTGACAACCTGTGGACGGACGTCCAGCCCTTGTACAACCAGCTTCACTGCCACGTTCGCCGACGACTCTCTGCGCACTATGGAAGTGATGTGGTGCCTCCCGAAGGCCCCATTCCCGCGCACCTTCTCGGCGACATGTGGGCCCAAGCCTGGTCGAACGTGGCCTCGTTTGTGCTGCCCTACCCGGACGTCGACGCACCAGACGTCACTGCGGCGCTGCTTGGCCAAGGCAAGACTGCTCTGGAGCTGCACGAGCTTTCCGAATCCTTCTACTCGTCGCTGGGCTTTCAGCCCCTGCCCGCCAGCTTTTGGTCGCTGTCCATGCTGGAGCGCCCTCAAGACCGCGACGTTGTCTGCCATGCCTCGGCGTGGGACCTGGAGGAAGGCGACCTCCGCATCAAAATGTGCACAGTCGTGAACGAGGAAGACTTGTACGTCGTCCACCACGAGCAAGGGCACTTGTTTTACGACCAGAGCTATGCAGCACAGCCTCCGCTCTTCCGCGAGGCGGCCAACGATGGTTTCCACGAGGCGGTGGGCGACACCATCCGTCTGTCTGTTTCATCGCCACGCCACCTCGAGTTTCTGCAACTGGCAACCTTTGAAGGTCTGCCGGAGGCGGAACTCGCCCAGGTGCAGCTCAATGCTCTGATGGGCGTCGCGCTTGACAAGCTGGCCTTCCTGCCATTCGGATACATGCTCGACAAGTGGCGCTGGCAGGTCTTTTCGGGCAGCGTTGCCCCTGAGCAGTACAACGACCTCTGGTGGCAGCTGCGCTTTGAGCTGCAAGGCGTCGCCCCTCCGAACGTGCCACGCCCCAGCAACATTTTGGATCCCGGTGCCAAATTCCACGTCGCTGCCAATGTGCCGTACGTGCGGTACTTTTTGGCGTTCGTGCTCCAGTTCCAATTCCACGATGCGCTGTGCAGGCTGGCTGGCTACTCTGGGCCTCTGTCAAACTGCGACATTTACAACTCCGCCGAGGCTGGCCATGCGTTGCGAGAAATGCTTGCGCTCGGCTCGAGCAAGTCTTGGCCCGAAGCGCTGGAGGTGCTCACCGGCACCCAGCAGATTAGCGTTGAGCCCATGATTGCCTTCTTCCAGCCCTTGCTGGATTGGCTTGAAACTGAGAACGACGGCCAAGTCTGCACTTGGGGCGAGCTGCCCACACCAGCCACGACGGATGTGCCACAAGCGTCCAGTGCCACTCCGGAAGCCTCCTCTGCCACGCCAGAGGTCAGTTCTGCAACACCCGAGGTCAGTTCCGCAACGCCTGAAGTCTCTTCTGCAACGCCGGAAGTCTCCTCAGCAACGCCGGAAGTCTCCTCAGCAACTCCCGAAGTCTCCTCAGCAACGCCTGACGTCTCGTCAGCAACGCCTACATCCACAGCCGCCGCAACGAGCACCAAGCCCGCTGTCGTGCCTCCCAAGCCGATTCGCTACGGCGAAGACCTCACTGGCCTTTGGGTCATGATTGCCTTTGGTGCTTCAATGCTTGCGTTCGGCATTGGCCGCCTCAGCTATTATCGTGTCAAGGCATTTTTGCAAGCTGAACGGTACAACCGGTATGACGACGAGCAAGCAATTCTGGACGACGACTTGTAGGTGATTTGTCACCCCCTTTCCTTTTGTTCGTGCATCCCCTTGTTTTTTTTTTTTTTTTTTTTTTAATTACGTGTTGTCACTCTGTTTCTGTGTTTGTTGATTCGGTTTTTACATTGTGTACTTTGGTCCGATGGTATGATTTGTCTTGTACTTTTTTTGCGTCAATTTGTTTTGTTTTTGTGTGATACAAACAAAAAGCTCCCCCTTTTATTTGCTCACACAATTCTGCACCATTCACGATTATCGCTCGGCGCCGCCTTTCAGGGTCGCAAGATACTGCCCCATCATGGCGTTGCACATGGCCGCGTAAGGATTGGAGTTGACGAGCTCGGTGCGGGAAAAGTCGCTGCCGAGTTCCGCTGCACGACGATGGTCCGCCTTCGAGTCTGCATCAAGCTGGAGCAGCTGTCGAACCAACGCACGCTGCACATAGGCCTGTCGCGCGGTGCGAAGGTGCTCGTCAGACTCAAACTCGGCTGGAGACTTCGCTCCCGTCGGGTCGGAGAGCTCGATGGCTCGACCGAGCAAGGTGAGAATTTCGGAAAAAGCAGATGTAGTCGCAGGAGCAGCAGTTGTGCAGCTTCCAGGGGTTGCAGACTCCCCGCAGCTAGCGGTGGTACTGGCGGTAGGGTGGTGTCGGAGTCGGAGGACCTGGGCGAGATTGTTATACAGCGATGGCTTGCGTGGCGCCAGAGCGATGGCCTTTCGCAGGAGGACTTCTGCTTCAGCGAGACGCTGCACATCGCTATCGCCATCGTTCGTCGCGGCGGCGTCAGCAGCGGGGTGCGACGTCGTCGTCGTTGTCGGAGAAGGAGAAGTAACAGCAGACACGGAAGAAGCGAGGCGCACGGCCTGGAGCTCGAGGGCCACTGCTTCGCGCTCGCTCTCGGACAGCGCAGGTGGCTGTGTCGGTCTTGCAATGGGACGGATGGTCGCCGGCGCGCGCATTGTGGAGAGCGTCAGCGTCGGGTCAAAGATGGCGTCCAGAATGGCGTCGTGCTGAGCGTTTCCGGCCATCGAGGATTGAAGGAATGGCAGCCAATGGAGATTGACTTGAGATTGACTTGAGATTGACTTGAGATTTGACTTGAGATTGACTTGAGATTGACTTGAGATTGACTTGGAGCGAGTACTTTGCTGAATACTGCACAAAAGTACTACTGTATGAGAGAGGACTGAGGATCGGACTCGCGTTGCCATTCATGCTCAACGCAAGCTCAAATGGAGACGACGCAAAGAACGGGCAAGAATGTGAGCGGGGTCGTAGCAACTTTGAAACGTTGACCCGCTGCTCAGACATGCTCAGCCAGTCAGTCAGTTTTGGTTTTACGTTCTCATCTTCTTCCACATTGTTATTGTTCCATCGTGCAATTGCAACACTATTCTCTTTCCAGTTCATTCCAGAGTTGCTCTGTTGTTTTTATTTCTCAGTCCTTTTTTTTCAAAACCCTCGAACTCTGAGAGAATGAGCGCCAAGCCGCATTGCATTGACATCCCCGACACCAACCAGGGCCTTGCGCTCGACCTCTTCACCATCCCGCACCACTACAAGGACGCCGTCAGCTCTGTGCTGATCTCGCATGGTCAAATCCTCGACCGCGTCGAGAAGGTGCGTTTTCGGCTCTGAGGATCGATCGGAGTTGGCTCGCTGACTGACCTGGCTGTCGGAGCTTGCTCGTTTGCGCACTCTCAACGTTGCTCCGACTAACTCCCGTTTCCTTGTGCTTGACTTGTTTTTGGCTTGTTTTTGGCTTGTGTGTGCGTCGGGCCGCACTTTAGTTGGCGCAAGACATTACGCGCGACGTTGGCCAGAAGCACCTCATTGCCATCTGCGTGCTCAAGGGCGGTCACCAGTTCTTTGCCGATCTGCTGCTCCACATGAAGAAGTTCAACTCGCGAGGTTTGTGGGGATTTAATTTTATTTTTTGTTACTTTGTTGCAATGAGTTAGTTGGCTTGGCCTTCTTGTTTGGTTTGGTGAAACCATTCTAACCCAAACGGATTACTTGTTGTTTTTTGCTGCGTTAGAGGGCTCTGCGCCGCTGTCAATCGACTTTATTCGTGTCAAGAGCTACCACAATGATCAGTCGACTGGTACGGTGACCATCACTGGTGGAGATCTCGAGTCCATTCGCGGCAAGGTAACTGAAAACCACAAGTTTGTGAATGTTGCAATTCCTCGCTCGTGCGTTGCTCATACACTCACGTCGCTGTAAACATTCTTGACGTGGCATTTGGTCATGCAGGAGGTGCTCATTGTGGAGGTAAGAAGCTCCTCGACAAGGATTGGGCTCAATGTTGAATGGTTGGCGAGAATTGCGCTCACTTCCAACTGTGCAACTTTTGCTAGGACATTATCGACACTGGCAAAACCATGACCATGCTGCTCAAGGAGCTGGAAAAGTACGAGCCCGCCAAGGTGCGTGTCGCAAGCCTTCTGGTCAAGCGCACGCATCTGAGCAACGGATACGTGCCTGACTATGTCGGCTTCTCGATTCCCGACAAGTTTGTTGTAAGTTTTCGCGATCAACGCCCGCAATGTGCTTTCCAGCTGTTTCTAGGCTGTGTTTTTTCTCATTCATTTTGGGCGTTGCTTTGTTTTGTTTGTGTTTGATTCGGAACACAAAGGTTGGCTACGCTTTGGACTATGTAAGTTTCGTTCGTTGTTGCGAGGTGAATTCTAGACGCAGTCGAATGTCGAGAACGAGTGCTCATTGAATTATGCTGCATGTTGTCTCGTTGATCGCTGGCTTCTCGACTTTGGATTCCTGCTCAACACTTGCAGAACGGTACGATTCGCTTTTCTGTTGCTCTCGCAGCTCGTTTATGCCATTGCTGCACGCTCACACTCGCTTCCCAACACTCCTGTTTGCTCCATATCACCGTCACACAGAGTGGTTCCGTGATCTTGATCACATTTGCATCATTTCTGACGTCGGCAAGACCAAGTATGCCGCTTAAACACAAGTCAAAAAAAGCAAACAACAAAACCGTTGGCTTTTCTACCAGTCCACTGCCACTGTGTCACCTTTGTACTGTCACAAACAGAAGCCACCGCAATACAGTAATTCCTGCATAATTTCAATTCACACCCCCCCATCAAGAACGGTGGACGTTGCCCGCAAAATCCTGAACGAATTGCTGGACGGAACTCAGAATGCCGGGTTGCATCCAAATCGTGTTGTGGTCGCCGTCGGGAAGCTCGACAAAGCGCACGCCGTGTGTTTCCCGCACCTTTGTTCGGAAGCCATTCGCAGTAACGGGCACAGTGTGGAATCGTTGCCCGAGGCGCGCGCGCTCCGTTCGGGCATCGATTGCGCTGTTGTACAGCTGCTCTCCGAGCTCGATGGGTAGCCGCTTGTCCTGGCGTCCATGTACGATAAGAATGGGAATGTCAATGGTCTTGATGCGTTCGACGGAAGGGAAGTTGTGGGCGAGGAAGCGATCGAGCAGCCAGTCCAGCTTTGGAATGATCTGGAACAATGTACCAGCAGGATGATGCAGTGCGCCGTCTCGCAGCGTTGAGAACGGCGCGTCGAGGATGAGGGCAGACGGGAGGGGAAGGATGTGGCTGAGCGCATCGCTCGTCTCGGGCATTGCTTGAACCAAGTGCTGCTTGATGCGCTGCTCTTCCTTTGCGTGCTGCAAGCACAGCTCTGAGATGAACCGCGAGCTCACTCCGGATCCCAATGAGTGACCCCAGATCAGCACACGGCCCGAGTTTTCCTCGCCAATGCGACTCAGCACCCACTCGTACGCAGCGAACGCGTCCAAATTGAGCCCATCTTCGGTCGGAGTGCCTTCCGACTCGCCAAACCCTCGGTAATCGAACGTCAGCACATGTGCACCCAGATGCGAGGTGACAGTGCGGTAAAAGTCGACGCGGTGTCCGACGCCACGCGTGCCAGCGTTGCCATGAAAGTAAATGATGATTTTGGCTTGGGAGGTCTGCAGTAGTCTGTCAAACACCTCGTCCTGCGCTTCTCCGCGAACCATCGCCCTGTAGAATGAATGCATACCAGTTTGTTGTAGAGTCATCGTAGGAGATTTGCAGTGAGTCGAGCAAAAGGTAAATGGAAGCTCCAACAACCACAGCGGGTAGTCGAGCAGGATGAACGAACAGACGCCTCCAAGTGCCCTAGGACGGCGCTCTCGGGATGGCTTCAAATGTACAAAAGAAACTCACATCTCGGCGTGGAGAGTGAGAGGACCGGCGGGGAGGATGTGCCAGGCGCCGAGGGTCAGTCCGTCTTGCGTGGTGATGGTGACTGGGCGAGCGCCGTGCAGGCCATGGAGATGCGGCGCAGTGTAGTGCGTTGGGAATGGGATGCGGAGGACATGCAGGTAGACAAAGACGGCCTGGAACGCAGGGCTCAGCATGACGGCAGCGACAATCCCAGCGTACACGACTGCGACCACTGCAGTGAGCTTGGCGAGCGTTCTCAGCCACCCTGCTGCCATCGGAACAAGAACAAGAACAAGAAAGAATAAAATATGAGAACTGAAGAAGAATGAAACGAAGCGGTTGTTGGAGATTGGACCTCAGAACTCTGAGAAACGAAAGCCGGTTGTTGTTGAGGGTTGCTGAGATTGGATTTGTGCTGAGATTGGCTGACGACCAAATCCAAGCTCATCCATCATCATCATCCCTTCGGATGTCGATCGCATTGCGACACTGGCTGCTGCTGCTGCTGCTGCTGCTGTTTGGCATTGGCGTTGTGTGTTGTTTGTTTCATCCATCACTGTCCTCCCCCTTCCCCACCACCACCACCATCATGCAGACTCTAATTCTCTAATGCATAATGTTTAGTGATGATGATGATGATGAAGGTCCAGTTTCATTCTTCTTTCTTTTGCTTTCATCATCATGTTCTCTGACTCGATTGAGATTGAGACGGAGGCAATGGGCACCTACGTCCCGAGCAGCGCCAACAACCGCAGCGGCCGCCGCGGCAACAACGACGGCAACTACGCGGCATTCCAGCAAGGTTAGCAACCACAAAAAGGAACGGCGATGGCGCGGAGTGGAGTGGAGTGGAGGAGAGGAGAGGAGAGGAGAGCAAGCGTCGACCTGCACTTGTGCTTGAAGCCCGCACTGCAGCCCGACTCGCAACGGGCGTTTTGATGGGCAACACGCGCACCTGGCTTGATGCACCACTCTGCAATCGGCTGCAACGAGGGAGGGGGCGCTTTGACCTCTTGACTGGCCTTGGTCTCTCGTCTCCATGCTTTCCCCCATTGTGGAGCACCCGACGCTCGTGCCTGCCGCCCTCTTTTGAAGATGCGCATTTTTGCGTCGGCGAACTTGTGACTGCGACCAGCCCAATGACAAGTAGAGCCCAAGCGTGTCTGGGATGGCGCTACATTGAAAAGTCGAGATCCCCCATCTTCCAAAAAAAAAAAAAAAAAAAAAAAAAAAAGTCAATGCAAATGCATTGAAAAAAATCAAAATCCATGTGCTTTTGTCAACCAAAAAAAAAAAAAAAAAAAAAATTACAATCAAAATGCAATGGAAAAAGTCAATACCAATGTCAGCACAGCTGATGGAAGGTCTGATTCTCACTCACCCCCTCCTTCTTGCTGGTATTGTGTGCTATTGCGTGCATCTCCTTCTTGCGATTGATTAGGCGACTTTCCGATGAGCAGCGGCGCTGGCCTGTTTGGCTCGGCTGAGGCGGCAGGCGCCATCCCGATCGGTGCCGCCACTAGTGCTGGCTTGTTTGGCACTCCCGGCGCGAACGTTGCTGCTGCTGCTGCTGCTGCTACTGCTGGCGCTGGTGCTGGTGCAGGTGCATCGAGCGCCGCCGCCGCCGCTGCCGCCACCTCGACCACCAACGGCATCCCCGACATTGTCGCAAAGTTCCTCATCTTCTTCCAGCGCACGTTGGCCGAGAACAAGAACGTCAATGAGATCACGTCCGTGTATGATGGCGGCTTTGCACAGACGACCGAGCGCTATTACAAGAATGCGCCTTGGCCCTCGGCAGATCTGATTGCTCCCCTCGTGGACAACGACACCTTCTTCCTCATTCTCTACAAGGAGCTGTACTACCGACACATCTATGCGCGCCTGACCCCCACGCTTGAGCAGCGCCTCGAGTCGTACGAAAACTACTGCGACCTGTTTGACTTTATTCTCAACCGCGATCAGCCAGTCGACATCGAGCTCCCCAACCAGTGGCTCTGGGACATGATTGACGAGTTCATCTACCAATTCCAATCCTTCTGCCAGCTGCGTGCCCGCGCCGACACCAAGACTCCCGAGGAGCTGGCCTTCTTTGAGGCCAACCCCCAGGTCTGGGACGTCCACAGCGTCCTCATCATTCTGCACTCGCTTGCTGAAAAGTCCAACATTAACCAGCAGCTCGAGCTCCAGCGAGTGGGTGGCCCCAACGCCGAGGGTCTTGCTGCCGTTGCTGGCGAGTTTGGCTCGCGCGGTCTCTACCGCCAGCTCGGTTTCTTTGCCCTGATTGGTCTCTGCCGCCTACACTGCCAGCTGGGCGACTACTATCAAGCCCTCAAGGTTCTCGATAGCCTTGATTTCGGCCGACGTGTGAGTTTGTTTATTTGGAGAAGATTCGTTTCGTTCGAATGTTTTTTTTTTTTTTTTTTTTTGTTTGTTTGTTTTTGTTTTTTTTTTTGGGGGGGGGGACGTCGCATTGATTGGGTTATTTTGTTTCTTTCTTGCAACGCTTCATCACAGGGCATGCATTTCAAGGTCCCCGCTTGCCAGATCACTGCCTACTACTATGTTGGTTTTGCTTACTTTATGCTGCGCCGCTACCAAGATGTTGTGCGCACCCTCAGCTCGATTCTCTTGTTGATGCTCCGCACACGTCTTGGCAACTTTGGCCCGTCACATCAAGTGGACATGGTCGGTGAAATTGCAATCCGTGCATCGCGAAAGCTTTGTTTGATGCTTTTTGTTTGTTTGTTTGTTGTGCTGACGTACCCGTTCACAATGTCACAGAGCTCCAAGAAGAACGAACAAATGTACGCTCTCCTCGGCATGGCTGTGGCTTTCAACCCCCAGCGCCTCGATGAGACCCTCCAAGCCACGCTGCGCGAAAAGCTCGGCGAAAAGTACCAAAAGCTCCAGAAGGGGTACGCAGTCGCCGTGTTGCTTTGTTGTTCTTTTGCTTGTGTCAACAAATCTCTCTCGTCTCTCATCTCCTGCTGCTGCTCCCGCTTGTCTTGACATTTCTGCAGCGACGAGGCTACTTTCGAAGAGCTGTTCAAGGCTGCCTGCCCTAAATTCATCGCACCTGTTGTCTCCGACACTCCCTCCGTAAGCAGCGCTTTCCATGTGTTGTCGATCAGCGCGTGCGCGTGCCACAGCGAATCTATGATTCACTTTTGCTCTTTGTGTTTTTTTGTGTTTTTCCACGCAGAATCCCCTCGCTTTGCAACAACGTCTGTTCCTTGCTGAAATGAAGCAACAAATTTTGCTGCCAGCTATTCGCAGTTATCTCAAACTGTACACCACCATGCCGATTGCCAAGGTATGGGTGGTTTTTTTTTTCTCGTTTTAATCTTTTTTTCCACGTTTTCGGAAACTCTGAAAGTTGCGCGTGGTTGACTCACTTTTTTGCCATCTCGAACAATACTCTAATACTCTGTTGCTTTGTGCAGCTCGCCTCCTTCCTTGATGTGGACACCGACACTTGCCGCACACAATTGCTGTCATACAAGCACAAGATGCGTAGCGTCGTCTGGTCTCAGGGCCCTCCGCTTTCTGGAGAGTTCCACTCAACCTCGGACATTGATTTTTACCTGAACAAGGACATGATTCACATTGCCGACACCAAGGTGGCGCGTCGCTATGGCTCTGTGTTTATCAAGCTCATTTCCAATTCGCGGACACCCAACGACAAACTTGCCTCGGCTTAAGGACAATTTGTCAGTTTGTAGTTGCTTGTGATTTCGATCTGTTGCTCCTTTTTTTTGCGTTGTTGTGGTCTTTGGCGTCTTCTTTTTGACTGTAATCAAACTAAAAGCGCGTCGAGAAACAAGACTCACGTACGGCGCAATCCCGTCATGCTTTGTGCACAAACGAATGGACTGAGCCTGAGTGCATTGATAAAACCAAAAAAAAAAAAAAAAAAAAAAAGAGTCAAAGTGCCAGAACGACAAACACAAAAAAAAAAAAGCACTAAGATTGGGTCGCTAACAACGGAGATAACTCAAACAACAGAAACATCTACAAATGGACAACTTCGAGATGGGGAAGGCCGTGGGGACGATACCCCATGGCAACGGCCATCTGGCCAAGCCCTTCACTTTCGATGCGGTGTCGAAAGGGATACGACGGAAAGTTGAGGCCGTATCGGTGCAGATCTGCATGGACGAGCAGAGCGCCAGCACCGACCGCATCCAGCTCGACTGTTGCTTGCCCATCGCCAAAGTCGGGGTTGTCTCGAAAGAAGTTGATGCCTCGCGGAGGAGACATTGATGTTTCATACCCTTCAAGGAGCAGTTGGTCGCGAGGCAGCTTCTCCTCATAGGCGAGTGATTCGGGCGTTTGTTGCCACGAATTGAGATCATACACGCCGCCACCGAGCGCAAGCACCACGTTTGCCACGACAATGGGCTTTTCGGGCTGAAGCAGTTGCTGGATGAGGTTGGACGGGAAAAAGTGCAGGTCGCTGTCGAGCCACAACACCCACCGCTCGTCCCGCAAGCAGGTTGCAAGAAGAATGTTCCGGGACTGGGCCAGAATCGCCCTTCGGTGGGGCTGTACCACGTACTCGTGACGCTCCTGCTGCCCGAGCCGAAAGTTAAAGTCCTTTCGCACGAGCCGAACGCTGCGATATTTGGACTGCAGCTCTGGGAGCAGGCTCTGAACGAGGTCAAACGTGCCATCCTGGCTGTCGCTCACCAGCAGGCCAATGCTGATATGGGTCTTTGGGTAATCGAGTCGATCCAACTTGCTCAGATAGCTCTCAATGTGCAACTCGGCATTCTTCAGCGGCGTGAGAATCAGAATGTTTGCAACTGGGTCTGCTGTTGCTCCAGCTGATGCGATTTCTGGCTTGCTGGCCATCAGGATAACGCTCGTTTGATTGAGAAAGGTTGATGCCGCAGCCTTTGCAGCCGATTCGTCCACCGTTGCAGGTTGCATGGCAGGTCGTTGGTCGTTCGCACAGCGCTCCTGCGCTGCCAGTTCCGCTCTGGATTTGCATCGCTGCAAATTGGCCGACGCAGTCCGGACTCGCTCCATCAATGTAGTTCGCTCTTTGGTCAATTCTTCCATCTTCTGCTTGAGTCTATCAATTTCTGCAAGGCTCGCTTCGAGTCGAGTGTCGAGATCGAGTTGCCGCTCGCTCGAATCTGTCAACTCTGTCTCGAACTCGGCAGCCACACGCCGATCGCTCGACCCTGCGAATTGCGCATCGAGTTCCTGTGTTACTCCCGAGCCCGGCTGAGGCAAAGTTGCAGGCGGACGGCAGGGCGCGCACTGGTAACCGCTCATGTATGCGAGCGTCGAGCTAGCCGCCAGAACACCTTCGAGAGGATTGAACGAGGAGCAACAAAAGAGGTCACAAGCGACACATGGAACATTGCAAAACTGGTGAGTGGATGTGTGACGAGGCAGACAGCTCGAGGGGAGGAGGGCGCCATTTGTCAGCTACCAAATGTGACGAGAAGCAGCAATTGGCCTCGACGCGACATGTTGTTTGGCCGACGACAACAGAGACTGGGACGGAGCTACAAAAGGGCAGCATGGCCAGTAGCATCAAACAAGACACACACGCACACTTAAAAAAAAACAATGAATGAAACAAACCCCAAGATCTAACTGTATCAACGTTTTGGATTTGGAAAAAAAGCAACATGATGCAACGCAACACCACTTCTCGAACAGCAAAAACGATAAAAGAAGAAACCACACAACAAGAACGATTTCGCAAAGTTGGTTGCTCAAGGTTGTTCAGATCTTGGCGTACTCGAGCTTCGTCTCAAGCTTCTTGGCCTCAGCCACTTTGCGTACACCCTTGATCATGTCTTCGCTCACAATGTACTCTCGCTCTGCTCGGATGGCAAACATGCCAGCTTCCGTGCACACATTTCGCAAATCGGCGCCGTTAAATCCGTCACTGAGCTTGATCACAGCATCCCAGTCTGCGCGCAGAAGGAAACAACAAAAAAAAAATAGTAAGTATGACAAAATAACGTCAGAGATTGGGCATGAAGAGTAGCAAAGCCGGCGCATAAGGAACAATGCAAGGGTCGATGCAGAAGAAACAAATCTGCGACGTACCAATTTCTCCGTGCTTGGTGATGGCTGCAGAGTGAATCTTCAAAATGTCCATGCGCGCTTGCTCGTTCGGCAGTGGGATTTCAATCTGTGTGGCAAGAGAATGCAGTGCATGGTGAGACATCGATCAGCTGAAAGACAAACGCAACGACAAAGACAGAGCAGACGAAAACAAGACACAAAACTTCTCAAACTCTCACCTTGCGATCCAATCGGCCGGGACGCAAAAGTGCAGGATCAAGCGTGTCGGGTCGGTTGGTGGCCATAATCATCTTAACTTTGCCAAGCACATCAAAACCGTCCATTTGGTTGAGAAGCTCCATGAGCGTGCGTTGAATTTCTCGATCGGCAGAGGTACCCTCAGAGAAGCGTCGGCCACCGATGGCGTCGATTTCGTCCATGAAAATAATGCATGGTTGGTGGTCGCGAGCGTAGCCAAACATTTCACGGATGAGGCGCGCACTCTCGCCAATGTATTTGTCGACAATCGAGCTGGAAACGACCTTCAGGAAGCTCGCCTCAATGTTGCTGGCGACCGCACGGGCCAGCAGTGTCTTTCCCGTGCCGGGAGGGCCGTACAGCAGGACGCCCTTTGGTGGCTTGATGCCGACACGAAGGAAGAGCTCGGGGTTGAGGAGGGGCAGCTCGATCACCTCGCGCAGCTCGCGCAACTGCTCGCCGAGACCGCCAACCTCGCCGTACGACACGTTGCCGGGGTCCTCGGAGGACATGTTGAAGACGAGCGGATCGACCTCGCGCGGCAGCGCACGCATGATTGTGAGAGTGGTCATGTCGAGCGCGACACGGGTCGAGGGCTTCAAGAGCTCCTTGTTGAGTTGTCGGCGACACCCAACAACATAACGGGGTCCGCTTGAGGCTTTGACGATGAAGCGGTCGTCGTCGAGCTGCCGGAGGACCTGGGAAGAGGATAGAATGAGAGTTGGATGTGAGAGTGTGCGATTTGGAACGAAATTGTCGCACACACCCGCTCTCGCCGACTCTTGCACGGCAATCAACCACTTACCTCGCCAACCACTTGGCCGACGCTCTGCAACGCCTTAAAGTCGTCCTCGGCCTTCTTGAACGTCTGATTCAGCGCTGCGAGCTTTTCGCGACCTGAAACATCAAAGAAACAATCAGCACACCGATCAAGATAGGTACCAAAGTTGAGTTGTTGTCATCGTTTGTGATTGCAAGATCGCGTCACTCGAGTGAGAATCAAAGGCGAGAAACGCAGCCCCCAAAACCCAATGCAAATGCAATCCAAAAAAAAAAAAAAAAAAAAAAAAAAAAAAAAAAAAAAAAAGATGACAAAATAAAAAATTCGAGATCTGGAAAACGAAAAATAAAAAAAAAAAAAAAAGCGAGCAACAGCAGCATTGAAGGGAATGGGGACGAACGACGAACCAACGAAGCGGGACGAGAGTGCATGATGGAATGAAATGGAAGCAATGGTGAACAACGCTGAACACGCAAAAACGCAGCGAAAAACAAAACAACGGAGAGAGAGGGAAAAGAAGAAAAGAGACAAGGAAGAACAAAAAAAAAGCGTTTGATTCTGTTCCATTGCTGCTGCTGACCGAGCGGCGGGGAGGGAGGGGAGACCGCGGATGAGTCGGAGCATAGGATGCAGTGACTGACTAAATGCATCGCACATGCGCAATCTCAATCAACAGGGATCCAGCGGCGTTGAGAACGGAGCAGAACGGGACTCTCTCTCTCTCTCTCTCGGTCGCACTTCGTCAACTCGATCGCTCTCTCCTCAGCCCTGGTCCCCCTTTAGTCCCTGGTCCCCTTTGGTATGACCGTCGTCAAAACACTCACTTTGCCGGACTTTGCTCTCAAACTCGCGGTGCTCTTGGAGCTTCTTGCGATACTGCTCGAGTGCTTTGGAACGCCGCTCAACGTCTTCCATCGTTGCTGTTTCTTTCTGCGTGAGTGGTGAATTTGTAGGACTGACATGACCTCGACCGAAGAAGACTCGAACTGGTGTACGTGAACGATTGGACGCACTTTCATGAACATGAAGGCAAAGACAAAACGAGGTGGATCAAACTAAGGAGAAGACGAAATAAAACGCAGTCTAAAAAGTCTGAGAAGCAAACAAAAAACAAAAACAAAACCAGCATACTTGTCATAGAGTCCCACAATGTCTATTGCACAGCTGCTCGATGCTGCGGAAAACGGCGATATCGACCGCGTTGTGCGCCTGATTGACGAGGAAGGCATTGACGTGAACGGCCAGGACGAAGTGAGTCGGAGCACAAGCCGTTGCACATTGAGACACGAGCTGCACCCCATCGTCGCTCACTCGCAATCACTGCCATTCGAACGCATGGTGACGCTGACTGTTTGACGTTGCAGTATATGGAGTGGACGCCGCTCATCCTCGCTTGCAACTATGGCCATCTGGACGTCGTCGAGCTCCTCCTCGCCAAGGGCGCCGACCTGTACAAGTCCAACTATGTATTGCCTTCGCGCCCCATCACTCACTCACCACACCTCAACCCACCACACGTACATTCGAGAATCGAGAAGACGAGTGGCCGCGGCTGGTTTTGATACGCCTCGTCAGGAAGCGCGCTGAACAGCCGGCAAGTCCCTCGTGGACTTGGCTGAGCGATCATTCGGTCTCAACGAGAGGTTCTCAAGAAACAGATACATAACTCACAGCAGAGCCAAACAAGACAACAATCTTGTTTATTGGGCTGGAACAGGATTCTCAACTCGTTTCTTTTTTTTCTTTTTTTTTTTATTTGCTTGGTTTGGGTTCAGAAACGAGCAACACCGTTCCACCGCGCTTGCCGAGGGCAGCACGCCCATGTTGTCGAGTACTTGCTGTCAATTGGCGTCGACTTTAACAGACCCGATTACCAAGAATCGCCGCCAATCATTTACGCTTCGTCGCCTCACAATGACAACACCGAGGTCGTCGCCCTTCTTGTGGCAGCGGGTGCAGATGTGATGGCTCGCAACCAGTTTGGGCGCTTCCCGCTCCTCTACGTCAGCTCGCGCGGTCATCCGGACTCGATCACCGTGCTGCTCGACGCTAACGCAGACATTAATGGCACTGACAACTGGGTGAGTTTTCGCCTGGAAACCAATCGAATCGAAAATGGCTGTTTCTTTGGATGAGCCCTGACTGACACGACCATCACTCCGCCTTTGTCGCCGCGTTGTACTTGGTCGATTGTGTATCTTGTGTACCTCTTGTGACACTGCACTGGGCCAACGCAGGGCTGGACGCCGCTGCATGAGGCGTGCCGGTGGAATCGCGTGGGATGTGTGCAGGTTTTGCTCGATCGCGGAGCAGATGTGACCATGCTGACGTGGGATAATGGCGACACGGCGCTCGAGCTTGCTCGGCGGCACGGGCATGAAAGCGTCATTGAAGAGTTTCGTCAGCGTGGATCGCTTCTCCAGACTGCTGAGGCCGCCCAGGTCTCTGATGCGGCCCAAGAACGTCGCGCGCAGATTCAACGAGCACGCGACGAGGCGTCTGCGTCGGCCACGACTGGCGTCAACACGAGCGAGCGCGCGCAACTAGATTAGCCTGCTTTATTAACCGTCTTTTTCTTTGCTTTGTGTGCTTGTTTGATCGTTGGAAGTGTGATTCGAGTCGTTTACTTTGTAATACACTCGGCGGACTCACTGTCGTGATTGGTTTTGAAGCGCCAAACTGTGATTTGGATTACGAGCTGGGTTTGCTTTTGATGCATATCCGGGCATTTCGCAAGCCGAGGAAGTGGGGCTCATTACGCTAGCGCAGCTCGAATGCAATGAGGCAGCCAAAATCCAACGCTGAGCTTGCCTCCATTTGGCAGATGCACGCCGGGAGTCTTGTTGATGAGAGAGACAAGGTGATGCGTGCATCTGTAGACAGCAATGGAAAGAAGCCAGAGGAGTCATGTCATACGATGGTTTGACTTGTTATCATCTCTCCGACGCGATAAAAACGGACAAGTCATGACATCACCGATGGTCGACCACTGGCGCGGGGGCGGCCCTCTTCGCCTTTTCATCTCTTCCTGCTGGCTGTCTGCTTGCATTGTCCCCGTTGTTCGACGATCGCTCATCCATGCATTGGACGACACTCGTTGGTGTATGCTCTTGTCTGCAGAACCACATCAACCTTCTGTGCCAAGGGTGTCCCTCAGGCATGTCGCGCGATTTTGTTGCTGGGAGGTGATCGATCCCCCTTATCGCGTTTTCGAGCAGCGCTTTAAATTCGCCTGTTTGCTTCGATACCGTGGCTCAGTCCTTGTTTCTAGTAGCTTTTTTTTCCCCCTTGCTTTCGTTTTATTTCACGCGTTAATTTCTTCATGTTGACAGTTGGAACAGGTAACGTGTACTGGTTGACTCAGTTCCCGTCAGCTCCCATCAGTTCCACTGCATTCCAAAATTCCCCCCCCCCCAAACCGGCCCGCTTCCCTTTCCTATCATTTTCTATCAGTATCTTCATCAACAGTGACGCCATTCCGCCGACACGTCTCAACTGCAAGACGATGACCAAAAAATTATCAAAATTCTTATCAATTCGATTTCACCAAAAAAAAAAAAAAAAAAATCGTGCTTTTTGTTGTTCTTATCTGTTGACGTTTTCCACCACACAACCGACCCCCGTGAAAAGCGAATCGGCGCCTGACGTTGAGTAAGCTCTTCTTGCGCTGCTTGGCATCGACGACGACGACTCCTCTGATGGTGACTTTGCACAGTCACGTCGCTGCTATGTGAGTGAGCTGGAGAGAGAGAGAGAGCGGAGGGACAAGGGAACCGGGGATCAAGTGTGGTGGCTGCGGTTGTCGGCGTTCTTGTTTTGGATCCTGTCAGTTGCATCCACTTTGCAAGCCTGGAGAGCACTGCCAAAAAATCGGACGTCAACTGGGGCTTTGCCTCACACAAGCGCACTCCAATCCAGCGCATGTAACGATGCCAGGGTGAGGACCCCAGTAGCAGCGGGTGGCGGCTTTCTTGGACGGAACTGTGACTCCGTTGTTTGGCATCTGATTCCTTCCACTATCGCGCATCCATCCTCTCCCTCTCCCTCTCCCTCTACCTCTCCCTCTCCCTCTCCCTCTCCATTTCATGCCTCATGTCTTGGCTTTGCCTGTCGCTATCTATCTCTCGCACGCCATCTCTCGTGTTTCTCTTATCCTTGCTGCTCCTGGCTTACATCCATCCAAAATTGACCCGCCATATGTTTTGTTATCAAAATCACGATTTTGGCTTTATTTTTATTTTGTATTTTTTATTTTATTTTATTTCAGTCCTTTATTCTTTCTCGTCCTCATTTCCACCCCTCGGTCCCACCAACTTTCATTCATTGGTCTCTCTTTGTGTGTGTGTGAATGCTTACCATCGGATCAGGTCGTGGCCTGGCGCGCGCTGCGACAAGTGCGCTCGCCGCTCGCTCCTCGACGACTCAGTCCGGCGCCACTGTGGTGAAACCGCAATCGCCCTGCACTCCCTTGCACGCCTCCAGCGCTGCTGCCGTCGCTGCTGCCTGCTTTAGCACTGCCACTGCGCTGGCTCGCAGCAATAGCAGCAGCCTGGCTGCTCGCTTTGCCGCCCGCAACCGCAACCGGCTCTCGTCCATCGGTCGGGCGACCTCCTCTGCGGCGTCGGGTGTGTCCGCCTTATCGTACTCGTCCTCGGCGGTCGTTTCCGTCTCCACCGTCCCCACCATCATGCAGGTGAGTGTTGCGCATATATTTTGCCTTCTGAAGGCAGTTTGGTTGGTTGTCTGCTTCCTCTCTCCTTCTTTCCTCGTACCAAACAACTGAGGTAGTTTGGCGCCAAAATATGACTTCCCGCCTTTTTTTTTCCGTTGTTATCAGCTGTTTGAAGTGGAGCTTTTTTTTTTTTTTTTTTTCTCGTCTTTTCACCTCTTGACTCCTTTCCCCCACCCCCAATTCACCCCATCCCTTCGATTCTCTGCGCTTCCATTTGCACTTGAATCAATGCAACGACAATTCGGGGAGAACCACGCATGGCGACGGCACATTGCTTGAAAACGCGTCACCAGATCAAATTGTTTTGGGTGGAGCTTTTTTTCTTTCTTTCTTTTTGGGAAAACCGCCCCACGCGACTTTATCTTTGACTTGAAACGCTCACCACGCTGCGTGCTCTTTCTGTTACTTTTAAATGGTAATGTCCAGAAATCAAACGCAACCCTCGTCCTCGACGATGGAAGCTCAATCTCGGGCGTCTCGTTCGGCGCACCCGTCTCTGGATCTGGCGAAGTTGTCTTTTCAACCGCCATGGTGTAAGTCTCCACCCCCGTTGTTTTCCTCCGCATTTTCCACATGTGACTACACGCGCTTATCACTGACATTGTTGTTGACATTGTTGTGCGTGTGAACTTGCTCTGCTATCAGTGGATACCCGGAATCCCTCACAGACCCGTCCTACAGCGGCCAAATCCTCGTCATCACCCAACCGCTTGTGGGCAACTATGGCGTGCCCTCGATGGAGCGGGACCAGTTCGGTCTGCTCAAGAACTTTGAGTCGGACAAGATTCACGTTTCCGGCGTGATTGTGTCGGATTACGCGGCACAGCACTCGCACGAGACCGCGGTCGAGTCGCTTCAGCAATGGCTCGTTCGCAGCGGCGTGCCCGCCATTTCGGGCGTTGACACGCGCGCTTTGGTCAAGCGGTGCCGCGACCATGCCACATTGCTCGGCAAGATTGTCCACGACAGCGTCGACGCAAGCAGCGTGCCCTTCATCCACCCTGGGCACACCAACCAAATCGCCCTCGTCTCGCGCAAGAGCTCTGTGCTGTACAACGAGTCGGGCGATGTCACGGTGCTCGCCGTCGACTGCGGCATCAAGACCTCCATCATTCGGTGTCTTGCTGAGCAAGGCGCTCGCGTCAAGGTTGTGCCGTGGGACCACGACATTCTGAACGAAGAGTACGACGCCCTCTTTTTGAGCAACGGCCCCGGCGACCCGCTCCACGCCGAGCCGCTCATCAACCAGGTTCGCACACTGATTGCCAAGGCCACCTCCACCGCGGCCAACGGCGTCAAGCCCATCTTTGGCATTTGCATGGGCAACCAGATCATTGGCCGCGCTGCTGGCTTGAGCACCTTCAAGATGCGCTACGGCAACCGCGGTCACAACGTGCCCGCAGTCCACCAGTTCACTGGCCAGTGCATCATCACGAGCCAAAACCACGGCTATGCCGTTTCGGACGAGAGCCTTGCACAAAACACCCAATGGAAGTCGCTCTTCCGCAACGCCAACGACAACACCAATGAGGGTCTTGTCCACGTGAGCGCACCCATTGCCTCTGTGCAATTCCACCCAGAAGCCGCTGGCGGTCCTCTGGACTCCACCTACCTCTTCAAGGACTTTGTCAGCGCCGTCCGTGCCTCCAAGAGCTCTGGCGTGCTCGAGCAATGGGCGGCCACCCAGTCGCTCATGCACTGCATTCGCCCTGGCACCACCTCCGCCACGACGTCGACCTCCGCGCTGCCCATGGACTTGGCCGCCAAATCGGTCTACTTCCCCAAGCCGTCCAAGCCCACCAACATTCGCAAGGTCCTCGTTCTCGGCTCTGGCGGTCTGTCCATCGGACAGGCTGGCGAGTTTGACTACTCTGGCTCGCAATGCATCAAGGCCCTCAAGGAGGAAGGCGTCCAAACCATCCTCCTCAATCCCAACATTGCGACCATCCAGACTGGCAGCGATCTGGCCGACGCCGTCTACTTTTTGCCCGTCAACGTCGAGTATGTCGACCATGTCCTCCGCAAGGAGAAGCCCGACAGCATCCTGCTCACGTTTGGCGGCCAAACAGCGCTCAACACTGGTGTCGAGTGTGAGAAGGCTGGCGTCTTCACCAAGCATGGCGTCCGCGTCTTGGGCACTCCCATCACCACTCTGATCACGTCCGAGGATCGCGATCTCTTTGCCAAGGCCCTCGGCCAGATTAACGAGCCGGTGGCCGTCAGTCAGGCTGTTTCCACCGTCGATGACGCGCTTGCTGCTGCGGCATCGATTGGCTACCCCGTTATCATCCGCTCTGCATTCGCCCTTGGTGGCCTCGGTTCTGGCTTTGCCGACACTCCCGAGCAGTTGTCCGAGATGGCAACTCGCTCACTTTCGCTCGCCCCTCAAATCCTCGTCGAGCGCTCCATGAAGGGCTGGAAGGAAGTCGAGTACGAGGTCGTCCGAGACGCCGAGAACAACTGCATTACTGTCTGCAACATGGAAAACTTTGACCCGCTTGGCATCCACACTGGCGATTCAATCGTCGTGGCTCCATCCCAGACCTTGACTGACAAAGAGTACCACTCGCTGCGTGCCGCTGCTATTCGCATCATTCGCCACCTCGGCGTTGTTGGTGAATGCAACGTGCAGTACGCGCTCAACCCCAAGACGAGCGAGTACTGTGTGATTGAAGTCAATGCCCGCTTGTCTCGCTCGTCTGCCCTTGCTTCCAAGGCCACTGGCTATCCCCTTGCGTTTGTCGCCGCCAAGATTGCCCTCGGCCACTCGCTCCCTACTCTCCGCAACTCTGTCACCCAAACAACCACCGCCTGCTTTGAACCCAGTCTCGACTACATTGTCTGCAAAATCCCGCGTTGGGACTTGACCAAGTTTGATCATGTTTCCCGCGAGATTGGCTCGTGCATGAAGTCTGTCGGTGAGGTCATGGCCATCGGTCGCACATTTGAGGAGGTCATCCAGAAGGCCCTTCGCATGGTCGATCCCTCGGTGGACGGTTTTATGAGCAAGAACTTTACCGACGAGCAAATTCCCAAGCTGCTCTCTCGTCCCACCGACCAGCGCATCTTTGTCATCGCCAACGCAATGAAGCACAAGGGCTACACTGTCGACCAGATTTACGATTTGACCAAGATTGACAAGTGGTTCCTGCACAAGCTCGACAACATTGTCACAACTGAGCGCGCGGTCGGAGAGTTCAACACGGTCACCAGCATCGATGCCCACACCATGTCGGTTGCCAAGAAGCTCGGCTTTTCTGACAAGCAGATTGCCAAGCTGCTGCCTTCCGCCGCGACCGGGCCCGTCACCGAAATCCAAGTTCGCCAGCATCGCAAGTCGCTCGGCGTCACGCCCATTGTCAAGCAAATCGATACGCTTGCCGGCGAGTTCCCCGCCCAAACCAACTACCTCTATGTTACCTACAATGCTTCTGTCCACGATGTCGAGTTTGGCAGCCAGCAGCAGTCTGCCAAGTCCGCCCAACCCGCCGTCATGGTTCTTGGCAGCGGCAACTATCGCATTGGATCCAGTGTCGAGTTTGATTGGTGCGCTGTCAGCTCTGCCCGCGCCCTCCGCAAGATGGGTCGTCAGACCATCATGGTCAACTACAACCCGGAGACTGTTTCCACCGACTATGACGAGTGCGACCGCCTGTACTTTGAAGAGATTTCCCTCGAGCGTGTGTTGGACATTTACGACCTCGAGCAACCCACTGGTGTCATTGTTTCCATGGGCGGCCAGGTTCCTCAGAACATTGCCCTTCCTCTGTACGAGAACGGCGTCAAGATTGTTGGAACCAGTCCGCTGCAGGTCGACATGGCCGAGGATCGCAACAAGTTTTCGACCTTGCTCGACAGCATTGGTGTCGAGCAGCCCGAGTGGAGCCGTCTGTCCTCGATGCAAGACGCCCACGCTTTCAGCCAACGTGTCGGCTACCCCGTGCTCGTTCGCCCCTCGTATGTGCTCAGCGGTGCTGCCATGAACGTTGCCTACTCGCCCGCCGACCTCGAGCGCTTCCTCGGTGACGCCGTGGCCGTCTCTCCTCTGCATCCCGTCGTCATCACCAAGTTTATCAACAGCGCCATGGAAATCGACATTGATGGTGTTGCCCGCAACGGCGAGCTGCTCTCCTACGCTGTTTCCGAGCACGTTGAAAACGCCGGCGTGCACTCTGGCGACGCAACGCTTGTGCTGCCCTCGCGCGACCTGACCGCCACTTCGCACGCCTCTCTTCTCGACATTGCTCGCAAGATTGCTGTTGGCCTCAAGATTACCGGTCCCTTCAACATGCAGGTCTTGGGTGAGCGCTCGACCGACGGCTCGCCCATCCGCTTTAAGGTCATTGAGTGCAATCTGCGCGCCTCGCGCAGCTTCCCTTTCGTCTCCAAGACGCTTGGCGTCAACATGATCGATATGGCAACGCGCGCCATGGTCGGCGAGCCGGTTGAACCCATTTCCTCCAACCTGCTCAACTGGACTCTGGAAACTGCCCGGGCTTGCGGCTACCAGGCTGTCAAGGTGCCACAATTCTCCTTCACCCGTCTGGCTGGCGCCGACCCCATGCTTGGCGTTGAGATGGCCTCGACTGGCGAGGTTGCTTGCTTTGGAAAGGACAAGTACGAAGCGTACATGCATGCCCTCATGTCCACGAACGCCTTCCGCCTGCCCAAGAAGGCCGCGTTTGTGACGATGGACAATCTGACCGACACGTTTGACGTGGCTCGTGTGATTAAGCAGCTTTCTGCCTATGGCCTCAAGCTGTACGGCACAGCTCAAGCAGCCGAGTCTGCTCGCTCTGTCGGTGTTGCCAACATGGAGGTCTTTGACACTGCCAGCTCGCTTGACGCGCTTCGCTCGCATGTTCTTGACGGCTCGATCGACTTGGTCGTGAATCTGGCTGAAATCCGCGCTGAAGGCGTTACTGACGTTAACTACCGCATCCGTCGTATGGCTGTCGACCACAATGTGCCGCTCGTCACCAACGCCAAGTGCGCTGCCTTCCTGGCTGACGCACTGGTGGGCGTGCGCAAATCGGTCAACAACAAGGCCTTCCAACCTCCAGTCTACTCTTGGCAAGAATACACCTCGGGTGCATTTGATCCCGCCGTCCAGGCCGCAAATTTGAAAGCAACGGCCCCAATTCGTGCTCAAGCTTCATTGTAAAAGACGCAAGCGGGGTTTGCGGTTTGTGTTTGCCCCATTCATCATTACCATTAGCAATGACCTGTCCTTTGTTTGTTTGTTGTTGTTGTTGTTGTTGTTCGTGTCTATGCGTTTTGTCCCTGTAGTGTTCTTTTAAGGCTGTGCTTTTTGCTGTTTTTTACTATTAAAGCCGCTTATATGCAACCAAATGATTTTGAGCAACGAGTTGAAGCAGCAGAATGGAGTCTGTTGGAAGAATATGGTGGCAATCTAAATCGAACACGCCTCCGACTTTGGGGGGATTGGTCCGTCTGCCATCTCACAATGAATGGATGCAAGCAATGGATGATGTACCAGGGAGTACCAAGTGAGTGATGCATTGCGATCCGAGCTGGTCGTCAAAGAACAGGAAAGAAAATCACGAATCCGATTCTGGGTGATTCACACCAATTTTGTGTGGTATGTTCGCATAAGCCCCTATGAATTTGCTTGAGTGATTGTTGTTGTGTGAAACATTTATTCTTATTGAAGGGGAAAAAAGAAACAACATACTGTAAAGAACAGTTGTTTACAAGAATACGTACATTGAGCTGTGTTTGGCATACCGTCGTAAACCTCTGGCGAACCCCGCAGCTCATTCCAGGTCCATGTTCATGCCTGATGTAGCAAGCACTCGTACATATCATTCCACCCGACACCCCATTTCGAAGCCAGCAATTCTGACGCGCTTCGATCCCGTGCCACCAAACATTTTGAGCTTTGGAATGTCGCTGCACGACACTTGAAATACCGCAATGTGTCTCCAACTGCTGGGTGTAGCACTACCATTTCATTCGATACGTCGGACGGTACTTCCAAATGCACGAGCAACGCTGTAGGGTACAAGGGAAAGACGGACGCAAACTACGTCAAAAACCTCTGCAGACTCACAAAAAAAAAAAAACACGTTTTCCCCTGTGCCTTGCTGCGTTATCGTGCTTTGCTATTCGCGTTCTCAAAGTAGCTCATCCTTCTCAGAGTCGTTGGTTGAAGTGAGCCGCGGATTTTGCACAGAGGATTTGCATTCGCAATATCCGCAATCGTAATGCAAAATGCACACAAACCAGTCCCTTTTTTTCCCTTTTTCCTTCTCTTCTTCTTTTTTCAGCTATTTAATTCCTTGAGGGCTGTGTGTTGAACTCAAGGAGTACGATTTGCCCCAGATATCACAACCTTGGTCCTCTTCATCGCCCATCTTGCATTGAACCCCACCAATTCACAAGCGCTCGAAATCAACGAGGACGATTACAAGTAGATCTACAAAATCAAACAAAAGGGAAAAAAAATCTTACACAAAATGTCGGCGTCGTCGTCGCTATTCTACCGCCGCCGCTCACGGCTTCCGTCGAAGAGTGCGACGGCCATGCCCGTGTCTGACTCGTCGTCGTCTTCGCTTATTTCGGGTGTGGCGCGGGCTGGGCGAGCGAGTGTCTCGGCGCCAGAGATGCCCTCGCTGCCCCCGCTCGCGCTGCTGAGCGTGCCACACGAAACGTCCATTCTGCACTCGCTCGCACGGCGCCCGCTTCCCCGACTCCCCGAGCCGCAGCCCTCGTCCACCGGCAACACTCAGTCGTCGTCGTCGTCGTCACTGTCCTCGTTGTCCCCAGGGGCTGAGCTGCACCGCGCGTGTTCGGTGGCGGGTCATGCAATGGCTGACGAGGGGCGTGCTCAAATCCAAATCGCTTGTCGAGGTGCGAATTCCGATTTCGGTGAATCATCCTCCTCCTCCTCCGCCGCCGCCGCCGCTTCTGCCCCTTCTGCCCTGCACGCTTCCGACACGGCCACGGCAGTGCATGCGAGCGCTGCGCAGTCACGAACACTGCGCAGGCAGGACAACAACAGCCTCCGCCGGGCTGGCAGCGGAATGCCAACGTCGTTCGCGGTTGCGAGACCGCAGCACCTCCCTCTCCAGCCGCAAGATGATCACGTCCACCCGCAGCCTCCCCACACGTCGGCTCTTCAGCCTTCAGCCACGGGTCTCACGAGCGTCCCTCTAGCGTCAGATTGGATGGGGGCCATGGACACGGACGTGATGATGCAAGGTCTCCAAGAACAAGCTGCTGCGAGCGGCTGTCTTGATGACGCCGATGCTCAGCATATTGCCAACGACGACAACGACGACGACGATGAGGTCTTTGACGTGTTGCAACCGTACCACGCGCCCAACGATGCAAGCATCTCAGACGCACAAGGAATGGCCCACGTCGTCCCAGGCGCGCAATTGGCTCACGGTACTAGTGGCGGCGAAGCAGACGCCGCAGAAGACGCCAACCGCAACGAGCATCGTCTCATTTCGCATCCGCCCACCGCTTTTCACGTTGACGCCAGTCCTTGCACCACCACCACCACCGCCACCACCACCACCGGAATGACGACGCTGCAAGCTGCAACTGAGGCGCAAGACACCCACGACCCTGCCCTACCATCATCGCGGCTGCAACGGCACGGCTCGCTGACACGCCGAGCAAGGGTTGAGAATTCTCGCAACGTCCGCCAAACTCGGCCTCTACCCGCAAACCACAATCAGCACATTTTCCAAAGCGAGCCAGCCCAGTTTGCGCGCCGGTCTGCCCCGCATTCTCGACTCGCCAGCGCGGACAATTCGCGGCGAGCCAGCGGGCTGTTCATTGCCGAAAATGGTGAGGCGGTGCAGGTCCCCGGGCCCCTCGTTGCTGCTGCCGAAGAGCTTGGAATGGCAGTCACTACACGAGATACGTGCATGGAACAGAGCAGCTTGGAAGGATCGCTGCTGCTCGCCGAGCAGTCACCCGATCAGCCGCCAGATCCCAACCAAGTCGAGTGCGTCGACACCTTCCTCTACACGCATCCGACGCTGACCTCGCAGGATAGCGACATTCTTGTCGCGACTGCTGCCAAAAACGACTCGTCCGTCACTGCGCACCAGCGTCATGCCAAAGGTATCGTCAGGTTTACGAGCCAAGTCACGACAGAGTCGCCTCCAATGTCGGCCGCGTCGCTTTCCCCGGGCCATTTGCGCCCATGCTCTGTTTGCGAGCTGTTGGACGAGCTGCGGCCGCGAACGCTTGCCCAACTGCGCCGCCACGCCTCCAGTACTAGCTCACTCGGGCGCACGGGGGGATCTTCGCGATGCGGCTCGCACAATGCAAGTCGCTGTGGCTCCCGCGGCAGCCTCGTCGAAGCAGCAACGGGTTTGGCTCCGACAGGGCGACACCACCGACAGCGACGCTTCCTCGAGTGCGATCTATCCACTTCTTCTGCGGATGGTACTGGCGGCATCCCTGCAGAAGCCATTCATCTCGCTGTTGCTGGCGAGTTTGGTCGTCGTTCGCGTGCCAGTGGTGCTCTCAGCCGCCGACACCGCGACTCGTTGCTGTTGCTGGGTTGCGGTTCGTTCAGCGCCCCCACCAGCCCAGCGACTCATTCTCCAGTATGCGAACACCCGACTCCATTCGTGGAAACGGAGGAAGTCTGGTCGGCGTTGCTGATGCCTGCAGATCGCTCGTCGCCTGAATTCTTCACCTTTGATCTGACGAGCGAAAGCAACTTTCTGACCGACTCCACCGAGACGACCCCGAGTAGCACGCAATCACTGACCACCACTGCTGCGGCGTTCTACCAAGCGCATAATATTGCTCCTCCTCAGCTCACTGTGGATGACGAGTACACGATTGACTCGCCAAACCGCTCCGTGACGACGACTGCTGCTGCTTCTGCTGCTGCTGCTGCTTCGGCTGCTGCTGCTTCGGCTGCTGCTGCTTCGGCTGCTGCTGCTTCTGCTGCTGCCTCAATGCTGGGAGACTTCTTGGGTGCTCCTCTCCCTGCCGCGCACCTCGTCATGCAACGCTCCTCCTCTGCGCCGTCTGTCAACCGTGTGCGAACCCATCTGGAGCGTCGCCACTCGAATCGTCTCTCGTACGCCGAAAGCCAACATTTGCCGTCTCGGGCTTACGATCCCAGCCGCAAAAGCGGACCCTCGTCTGCTACCAGCAGCAGCGAAGCCCTCAACGCGGAACCTGCTGCCCCAGTCGTCTCGAGCGAACCTTTTCGACCAGATTCGGCTGCGTGGCTCCAGCGTCGACGCAGCAGCGCGACAGCGAGCAGTGTCCGAGCTGCAGCCGCGCGCCGTCCGTCTCTGAGCGGGGCTGGAGAGCGTAGCATGCTTCGGCACTACCAGTCTCGTCCCAACTCTGTCGCTCTCTCTCCAGTCTCTCTGGTGTTGCTGGGCGACGGCAAAATGGAGCCACCGCTCCTGCGCAACCGCCATTTGATTGTTTAACATATCCTAGGCCTCTGCGTGGCCTGGTCGTTGTCTTTTCCTTGTCTTTTTGTTGCCGTTCGTGGTTGTTTTTTGTGATTATTGTACAGTATTTAGCTCGACATGCACTGTTGGGCGTGTCGAGCAAGCTGCAACCAAGTACCAAATCAGAGTCAAAAAAAGGGGGGGGAATCAGTGGAAGTGCCATCCGGCGGACGCACACAATCTGCTGGACCCTCGAAGAAGGGGAGCGGCTGTTGTGAGTGCAGTCCACGTCATGTAGATTGCAAGTTCCAGCCTGCCTGGCTGATTGTATCAGTGAAACAAACTTTCCAACAGCGCCATGTTTCAAATTCTTTCTTTCCCCTCGCCCCATCCCCAACTTTCGTGATCAAGGGGAACAAAGCAAACAAGACACACAACAAAACCGAGTCGCAGTTATGATTTCACCAAAGATCTTTTAAAAAATCGAGAGTTCACTCCCAACTTTTCTCAGGTTTTGTTCAGATTTTCGCTCATCATTGGTTTTTTTTTTTTTTTTTTTTTTTGGTTTTGTTCAATTTCCATTGCGTTCTTGTCGTCGTCTTTTGCTCTGCTGCTGCTTGCCCACCCCCCCACGTCCCTCGCCTCCCAAACCCCACGTTCGTCTCTCTCATCATTCGTTCTCCTCCAAACCTCACCTTCCTCCTTTTGCTTTTTGCCTCTCCTTTCGCCAAAACGCGAACTGCAATCACAAATCTGCGATCTCACTTTTTTTTTTTTTTTTTTTGGCTTTTCGCCCTTCTTCCTGCTGCAGATCTCGGATTGCCGCGTCCCTGTCGAGCCTCACGTCATGTCGTTCCAGGACTTTGTTGACGAGTGCGAGATGCGCGACGGCGTGCGCTGGTCGTGGAACGTCTGGCCTTCAAGCCGCATCGAAGCCACCCGAATGGTACGCCTCGTCTTCCCTCCTCACCATCATCTCCCATCAGAGAGTCAACCAAGTCTGTGCGACCCGACGAGTGGTTGCGTTGTGAACGGCGTGTTGGCGCCTGCGATGGACGAACTGAACGACCCGTTGCATTGCTACTCTTCCTCAATACTGTCCCGCTGCTGACTCGCCAACTCCTCTCGCCTCGAATCACAACAGGTCGTGCCTGTCGCAGCCATGTACACTCCGCTGAAGCCGCGTGAAGACTTGCCGCCGATTTATTACGAGCCCGTTCTTTGCGGCAAAACCACCTGCCGTGCAGTGCTCAATCCGTACTGGTGAGTTTGGCTCGTGTTTCGATTGCTAGTGTACCACAACAGTTGTTGTCTCGTTTGAGGTGCTGTCGTGGCACGTTTCTTATGCCTCGTTGGCATTGGAGGAAGGTGGAGGGGGGGGGGCAATGCGACTGCGTGGCAATGCGACTGCGTGGCAACGTGCCGACGATTGCAGTTGTCGTCGTGGCGAACGACCCGACCCGTCGCTCTTTTGGCAAACCGCTGAAAGGGTTTTGGCAAAATGTTGCTATTCTTGATGATGGCGGTGGTGGTGGTGGTGCTGTTCTTCCAAAACTCCTCACCCGTCTTGCACGAAAAAATTTTCATTGTTTTTGGCTCACTCGATCTGAAAACCCCCTTGCCCCACTTGCCCCACTCCCAATAGCTCGATTGACGTGCGTGCCAAGCTTTGGATTTGCCCATTCTGCTTGCAGCGCAACCAATTCCCAGCACATTACCGTGAAATTTCAGAGCAGCGCTTGCCCGCCGAGCTGCTGCAAAAGTTTTCGACCATCGAGTACACGTTGCAGCGAGGCGCGACGCTGCCTCCGATCTTCCTGTTTGTGGTTGACACTTGCATGGATGACGAAGACTTCCAGGCTCTCAAAGACTCGCTCATCATGTCGCTCAGTCTGATGCCCCAAAACGCCCTGGTCGGCCTGATCACCTACGGCACAACCGTCCAAGTCCACGAGATTGCCTATGCAGAGTGCTCAAAGAGCTACGTCTTCCGCGGCACCAAGGACTTTGCTGCCAAGCAGGTGCAGGATTTGCTTGGTCTGCAAACGGCCGCCGCTCGTCCCCAACAGCAGCAGCAGCAACAGCAGCAGCAGCCTGGGCAGCCGCAACAGGCGCCGCAGCCCCAGATTGGCGGTGCACCCGGCACCTCGCGCTTCCTTCAACCAATCTCCGAGTGCGACTCTGCCCTCACTGCCATCATCGAGGAGCTGCAGCGTGACCCGTGGCCAGTCGCCAACGACAAGCGACCACTGCGCAGCACTGGCGTTGCCCTTTCGGTCGCCGTCGGCCTGTTGGAGTGCACCTTCCCAAACACTGGCGCACGCGCCATGCTGTTTATGGGTGGCCCCGCCACTCAAGGCCCCGGCATTGCTGTCAGCAACGAGCTCAAAGAGCCCATTCGCTCGACCCACGACATTGAGAAGGACAATGCAAAGTACCTCAAGAAGGCCCTGAAGCACTACGACGCGCTCGCCAAGCGTGCTGCCAACAACGGCCACATTATTGATGTGTTTGCCTGCGCGTTCGACCAACCCGGTCTGCTCGAGATCAAGCCCTGCCCCAACCTTACTGGCGGTCACATGGTGATGGGTGATTCGTTCAACACCTCCCTCTTCAAGCAAACATTCCAACGCATTTTTGCCAAGGACAACAAGGGCGAGTACAAGATGGCCTTTGGTGCCACGATCGATGTTCAGGCGACTCGCGAACTCAAGATTTGCGGCATGACTGGCCCCGGTATCTCTTTGGCCAAGAAGGGGCCCTGCGTGTCTGAAAACGACATTTGCCTTGGTGGAACTAGCGCTTGGAAGCTGTGCGGTATTGATCAAGCGACGACATGCGGCTTTTTCTTTGAAGTTGTGGGACAGGTGAGATATTTCTTTGTGTTTGGTTGGTGTTTGTCGCCATGGATGGCTTTCCATCTTTGCCTTCATTCGCTCACTCTGTTGTTGTTGGTTTGGTTGTTGTTATTGTTGGGTTTCGTTTCCTTCTTGGTGTAGCATCAAACTCCTGTTCAACCTGGACAGCGAGCCCTCGTCCAGTTCACCACCCAGTATCAGCATTCGTCCGGTCAGCGACGGCTCCGTGTGACTACCATTGCTCGCAAGTATGTTCCAGTTGTTGTTTGATTGTTGTCGCTTTGGGTTGGATCTGGACTGGAGCATCTCATGAACAATGGCTTGGTTTTTTTGTTGTTGTTGTTGTTTTTTCTGTGTGTTTGTAGTCTTGTGGACGCGGCTACCAACCTTGGCGCAATCGCGAGTGGCTTTGATCAAGAAGCTGCCGCTGTTTTGATGGCGCGCATTGCTGTTTTCCGCGCCGAGAACGATGAAGGACCCGATGTGCTGCGATGGCTCGACCGCATGCTCATTCGTCTGGTGAGTTCTTGTATTCCACTTCTCATCCATTCTGCGTTCTTCAGAGTACTCATTTTTGGGGGCGGGGACTTTTGCCCTTTTTACTTGCACAGTGCCAAAAGTTTGCCGACTTCCGAAAGGACGAGCCTGGCTCGTTCCGACTTGCCGAAAACTTTTCGCTGTATCCGCAGTTCATGTTCCACCTTCGTCGCTCGCAGTTCTTGCAATCCTTCAACTGCAGTCCTGACGAATCGTCTTACTACCGGTGAGTGCTTTGGCTGGCTGATTGTTTGGGAGCCGAAATTGTGTTTGTTGATTTTTTTCTGTTTTTTTTCGTTTTGGTCAACTTTTCCGTGCCTCCTTCCAGCCACAAGCTCAACAAGGAAGACGTCACCAACTCGCTCATCATGATTCAGCCGACACTGACATCTTTCAGTCTGAACGGCGAGCCAGTTCCAGTGATGCTCGATTCGCAGTCAATCCAGCCCGATCGCATCCTGCTGCTTGACACGTTCTTTTACATTCTTATCTTCCACGGCGAGACGATTGCCCAATGGCGCAAGCAAGGCTATCAGAACCAGCCCAACTTTGAGAACTTTAAAAATCTGCTTGCCGCACCCGTCGCCGAAGCACAGGTAACGCATTCTACCTTTGTCATGTTTTGGTTGCGAGCGTGATTCTAACGTGTTCTGGGTTTGCGCTTTCTTTGCTCTCGTTGCTTGCTTAGCAACTTTTGGTCAGTCGCTTCCCTCTGCCTCGCTACATTGATTGCGACCAGGGTGGCAGTCAGGCTCGCTTTTTGCTTTCCAAAGTCAATCCGTCACAAACCCACAACTCGGCCAACGTGTATGGTCAGGAAGCGGGCCTTCAAGTGCTTACCGACGATGTCAGCTTGCAAGTCTTTGTTGATCACTTGAAGAAACTGGCTGTTTCGAGCTCGTCGTAAAGGATCCGACATTCGTGATTTTTGTTTGCTTTTTTCTTTCTTTTCGGCTTGTATTGTCGTTGTGATTGTTGTTGTTTTGTTGTTGTTTTGTTGTTGGTCTGGAGGGTGGTGAATTTTGCGTGACCGCGCTTGCTAGCAACGCCTCCGAAAAAAAAAATCAAATGTTTGTGGAAACGGTTTTATCGCAAAGGATGCAGAACCCCCTGCTCCTTTGTCATGCGAGATATATCATCAGTCGAGGAGTTGAATTGGGGATTTGCTGAGCGCGCTCAGAATCAGTCTTCGTTTCGCAGAGTTCAGCTTTTCCCCCCCCCCCACCCCGCGCCTCCTCTCAATACATCCGCCACCGTCCATTGGACACGCTCCAACTCTCAACTAGCTGCGAATGCGTGCCATTCCGCGTCGCTTTGTCCTTCGTCCTGGGCTGCTCCTGGCGGGACTCGTCATTGCTGGCGCATTGGGAGCTGTGACGTGGTCGTGGCAAGCGTCCGTCGCCGCCAATCTCGAGTGCGGCATGCAGCAGGCTGGACTCCAAGCACAGATTGAATTGCTGCTGCGTCAGTCGGATGCTCTGGACGAGCGACTCGAAGCCGCCAAGTTGGACGCGGCAAATCGACAATCTGCCGCCAGCGAGCAAGAACACGCGCGCCAGGTCGAACTCGCACGCAGCGCACAGCTCGAATCGCGAATTGCAGACTTGGAACTGGATCTCTCAGAAGCTCGGAGGGCGCTGGTCGTCGTCGAGAAGGAACGCGATGATGCTCGTCGAGCTGCAGCTGCTGTTGCTCCCAAGGGTGATGATTCGGATCCGTCCGAATGCAATCCGGCACACGGACTGGCCGTTCTCAGCCCGGCTCCGGCGACGAGCACCACACCTCGAGAGTACCATCACTTGCTGCAGTTCCACTGGACGGCGTTCGATCTCAAGTTTGAGTACGACTCGGCTCAGGCCAGTCCAATCACGCCGCTCAAGTACGGCGCCTCGGCGGAAATCGACGCCGTGGTCCAGGCAGCGCGTAAATGGACGAGTGAGGAGCTCCAAGCACAAGGAGATACGCTGGTCGATGTTATTCGACCGCTTGGGGGACTGCGACGCGTTGACCGTCGGGCAGGACGCGAGTACATTGTCGAGATTTTGCTTCGACAAAACGCCACGGGCATCGAGACAATCCGACGGATGCACTTGTCGCGTAGTCTTGGTCCTCTCGTGCTCAGCGGACAAGTAGTGGACTATCCCATTGTTTCCGGCAGCACGGATGTTGTCGAAGTGCCGCCGGCACCCCTCACCGGTAAAGCCCTCATTGAAGCGCGAAACAAAGAAGCCATGGCACGGATGCAAGAAAAGCTAGCAGCCGAAAAGCAACAGCAGCGCGACCAGCAGCAAGCACGATTTCAGGAAGCGGCGGCACGGCAACGCCACCTGCAGCCACTACAGCAAGACCCCCTCGCTCAATCTCCCAAAACCGGACGAAGGCCTCTTGCCCTCCCATCGTTTGATAACCAGGATCAACCAGGAAACGGCGCTATGGGAGTCATTACTCGTGAATTGCCCGGCAATCCGCCGTTTGTCGTCGACGAAGCCACCATTCATTTCATTGTGCCTCTCGCTGGTCGTGCAGACCAGCTCGACCTCCTGCTACACAACATTCTCTTCTTGGCCAAGCAAGACAAGAATGTTGCACTGGTTCTGGTCGATTTTTTGCAAGGAGATCACAACAAGCTCGAGTCCAACGTCAGCATCCAACGGCAGCTTGGCGAGTTGCAGGCGCTTCGGTACTTTCGGAAGGTGGAAGTAAACGAGACATTTTCTCGTGCGCGAGGACTGGCGATCGGCACTGCCCACACTGTGCGAAGTCCCGTTGTACGACGACAACTGGGTCAGATTGTGCACGACCAACAACCGGCTCGACCCATTGCCTCTTCCTTTCGCCAGCCACCAGCACCTCCAAGTACAGACGCGCTTGCCTTCTTTTGTGATGTGGATATGGAGGTGCAGCTTGGGTTTTTACGACAGTGCCGACAGAATGTGGTTCGAGGAGAGCAGGTGTTTGCTCCCATTGTCCATTCGCTCTTTCGCAACCAAGCCTCCCACATTACCCCAGACTCTGGCTTTTGGCGGTACTATGGCTTTGGCATGATGTGCACTTTTGCAAGCGATTTCGACGCTGTTGGCGGATTTGGCACAAAGCAATTTGACTTTTGGGGTCATGAAGACGTCCATCTCGTCGACACCTTCCTGGCTCGAGGCTACCGGATATTCAGAGCAGTCAGCACTCCCTTGTATCACCGGTGGCATGACAAAGTCTGCAACAGCACAGTCCTGAGCCCCGAGTCGTACACTGCGTGCCAAACAACGCGCGGGCTTCACGTTGGCTCGAACAAGGAACTGGCCGGCATGGTTGCCAACTACGAGACAAGAATTCCCGACCTAGTCGGCACCATTGAGACGCTGCAAGCATCAGTGAGTCGTCTTCAGCGCGAGCGAGGCATTGTTCCCGACTGACCTGGCAGATTTTTTTGTTTGTTTTTTCTCCGAGCCACCAACTCGAATAGAATAAGAATAGCAACAATAATAGCATGTGGAATCTCATGGACCAGATTGTCAACAAGTGCAAACAGGAAAACAGGAGGAGAGGGAACACTTGTGAGTGGCTCGTCCAACAGCGCTTTTGGATGAACCGTTCCAGATTGAGGTCAGATTGAGGTCAGACTGATCTGTTGAATTAGAGTGGCAAGGAGAGCAAACCAAGCAAACCGATCTGAATTCACCTTCCAGTTCAATGCAACTCAGTCGCTGTTTTTCTCAGACAAGAAACCAGCCACACCTTCCAGCAACAAATGTCGGAATCACGCCGCGACCGAGAACTCCGCGAGCGCGACCGAGAGCGTGACGAGCAACGCACTGACGACGGGCGACGCAGCGAGCGCGACGAACGAGAGCGAGACCGAGACCGAGACCGAGACCGAGACCGAGAGCGCGAACGAGACAGAGAGCGAGACAGAGAACGAGACCGAGAGCGAGATCGCCGCTCGCACCACCACAAGCGTGGTGACGAGAACAATGACCGTGATGATGGCGGCCGCGAAGGCAGTCGCGCAGACAAGGACGACAACGAGCGCCGCGGCAGCTCGAGTCGAGACACTGCTGCTGCCTCATCATCATCGTCATCGTCATCTGATAGGAGGCGACAGGAGCACGGAGCAGACAACAAGGACGCGGCGGCGGCGGCGGTGCGGTCGTCAAGCTCAAGGCACGACGACGACGACGACGACGACGACGATCGCGAGCGAGGGCGAAGCAGGCACAGGAGCCGCTCGCCGTCGTCATCATCCAAGTCAAGCAAGAGCAAGAGCAAGAGCAAGAGCAGCAGGAGGAGATCGTCGTCGGCGTCGTCGGCGGGATCGGCGTCGGCGTCGTCGTCGTCGTCCAGGTCACAATCTCCAGACGACAGACGATCGCGTTCTGCTCGCAAATCGTCGAGCTCGAGCTCGAGGCGAAAGTCCCATCGCCGTCGTGATAGCAGTGACAATAGCAGCCAGAGTGGCAGCAGTGATGATAGCGCAAGTGAGGACAGCGACAACACAGCCCACCACCGTCACAGCAGCGATCGACGCGCTTCGTCGAGCCGTGCAAGCTTGGAGGCCAAGGCAGAGCGCGAACGAGCTCGAGCAGAGAAGGCTGCCAACAAGGCCCGCGAGACGCCCGAGGAGAAGCGCGCACGCCGCCTTGCAAAGAAGGAAGCCAAGCGAAAGAAGAAGCTTCTCGAGCTTGGCTGGACAGAGCAGGAGGTGGCAGGCTACACCAACACCGACAACCCGTTTGGTGACACGCACTTGCTGGAGCGCTTCAACTGGGCCAAGAAGAACGCGTCAAACCGCGACAGTGGCCTGTCTGACGCCCAGATTAAGCAGATGGAAAAGGCAAGGCACGACGAGAACCGACGCGAGCTTGAAAAGGTCAAAAAGCGGCGTTTGGAACGCGAGCGCGAACAATTAGAGCGCGACGCCGAACGCACACGCATGATGCGCGAAAACGAGGGCTCGGCCTACTCCCAGTGGGAGGCAAAGGAGGACGAGTTCCACCTCAACCAGGCCAAGATGCGCTCGCAGCTCCGCCTCGCCGACAATCGCGGCAAGCCGATCGATCTTCTGGCGCACTATGCAACAAACTTTGAGAATGTCGAGAACTTTGACCTCCAAGAGCCGTACCATGTGCTGCGCGGCCTGACTCAGGAAGATTTGGAAGACTTGAGCGCCGACATCACCCTGTATGCGCAACTCGAAAAGGGGTCGCATGTGGACTACTGGGCAGACATTAGCACCCTCTGCCTGGATGTTCTCAACCACCGGAAAACAGGCGGCGCAAACAGCAGCACCGTCAGCGGCGCGGTCAAGGCGGATGTCTCGAAAATCTTTTTGGGCAAAACCCCTTCGCAGCTCATTGCCCTTGGCCAGCAAATCCAGAACAAAATTGCCGCGTCAGGCACCACGGGTGTTGATGTGGAGTACTGGGAAACGTTGGCCGTCAAGCTCAAGGTTCACATGGCTCATGCCAGGCTGCGCGACAGTCACATGCAGATGCTCAAGCGAATGCTCGCGGAACTCAAGCGCATGCAGGGGCTGCAGCAGAGTGCCCAGCGCCAGCAACGCGCCGTTCTTGAGCAAGAGCAGCGGCGTCTGCTGCAAGGCTCTGGCCATCAGGGTGAGTCCGTCTTTGACGAGGCCGACTTGCTCACCGTGGATGCGGACGCAGCTGACGCTTTCAACAAGAAGCGATTGGCTGAGCGTCAAGCGCTTGGTCCAGCTGCCGACGATCAGGATGACGACGCTGAAGACATGGATGAAGAGGCCGATTTGGACGATGCCAAGTACGCCGAAGAGCGGCAACGCATTTTGGAGGCTGGCATGCGGTTTGAGCTGCCGCTCTTGTCGGCCGACTCTGTGCTGGATGCGGAAATTCTCAATCCAGAAGACGATCAAGCCAATCTGGACGAACAACGGCGGCGTGTCGCTGCCGAAGTCGCCGAGGCCGCCGCGACAGGCGAGTTTGCGACCGAGTGGGCTGGCCAACAGGCAGCCGCAGCAGCAGAAGACCTTGCGGGCTCGCTCCTGGGCAATCCCGAGGAACATCCCGATTTGCGACCGTTCGACGACAGTAGCACAACCTTGGACTTGTTCCGCAGCGAAGCCTCCAAGAGCATGGAAGAGGATGAACAGGCATTCAACGTGGACATTCCTCTGCAACCGCAGCAGTTTAGCGACAAGTATCGTCCTCGCAAGCCGCGCTTCTTCAACCGCGTGCACACTGGCTTTGATTGGAATTTGTACAACCGCAAGCATTACGACAAGGAGAATCCTCCGCCGAAGGTTGTTCAAGGCTACAAGTTCAATGTAAGTTCTGTCAGCTTGTGCAGCTCGAGCGAGGAGTGTTGGTGGTTTTTGCTCGTCGTTTGACCTAACGCCATTTGTCTTGTTGTTGTTTGCTTGTACGACACTGCAGATTTTCTATCCCGACCTTTTGGACAAGTACGCAACTCCAAAGTACTTTTTGGAACGTGATCCGACGTCGCCCGACTTTTGCATTATTCGCTTCCAGGCTGGACCTCCTTACGAGGACATTGCGTTCAAGATTGTGAAACGCGACTGGGAGTATTCGCATCGCTTTGGCTTCCGCTGCCAGTTCCAGCGCGGCGTCTTCCAGCTTTATTTCCGCTTCCAGCGACTTCGCTATCGTCGCTAATAAGTTTGTGTGTGTGTGTGCGCGCGCTGTGCATGGTTGTTGCTCCTTTGTTGGTTTGTCCAAGATTGGTTGTTGTCAAACACAGTTCAGAACAATGTTTCGTTTTTCTTATTTTTTTTTTAAACACAATTTCTTTTGCCAGTCATATTTTATTTCGTCAGCTCCTCCCATGCAACCTCAGTCAGCACCAATGCGTGTTGGAGCCGGGATGGGACCAGTCCGTCCGCCCTTGTTTGGACTCGCATACGACCAAGCGCACGCGGACGACGACGACGTTGACGACGACGACGACGAACGCAGCGCTTCTGGCTTTCGTGGCTATGATGATGATGACGGTGATGATGATGATGATGACGATGAGCAGCTCGGTCTGCGAGTCGACGGAGGGATGGCTGGGCGCGATCTCGACGAGGACGACGGCGGTGATGACCTTGAGGACGAGGCTGCGGGTGGACGGTCGACGGATCCGCGACGCCGCGAGCTGCTCGAGTTTGAGACAGACATGCTGCGTGACATGATCATGGCATTCAAGGTGGACGAGAAGCGCGAGCGGGCGCGGGAGAAGCAGGCACAGGCCGACGCGGCGCTGGCTGAAGCAAAACGACGACGCCACGAAGCGTGGCTGGAAACGCACCCAACACCTGGGAGCGCGCCGGAAAAGGCATCAGGAGCATTCGAGGTGCCATTGCAAGCTACTGCGCAAGCGGGAGGGTCGTCCCGGCAGGACTCGACGACGCGCACGGTGCGAACTGCCCCGTTCGTCCTGAATTCGCACCAGGCATTCAACGCAATGCCTACGCCGTGGTCGGACCGCGCCAAAGTTGCTGACGTTGCAGGGAATGGTCAGAGCGGTCAGAGTGCAAGCCGGATGGATGTGAATGCTGGCGAAAGTATTAGCGAGGCGGATTTGCTTGAAGAAGTTGTGCGCAACCATGCTCAGGCGACCAAAGAACAACAACAGGTAAGCAACGCTTTGTAGATGTGTGCATTGTCGTTGGCGCGGGAGCTTTCACGGAATGCTGACAATGATGCATTCATTTCACTGCATTGAATTTGCTGGGCCAAAACGCAGAAATTCTACGACGACAGCTACTTTGATTCGGATGAGGAAGAGCTGGAAGTCGACCCGCATGCTTCCACCAACAATAGCAACAACAATAAGCCACAATCACGGCGGCGGCGAGTAGCGCAGCCGACAAACGAGGATTTGATGTATGATCCCGTTGTGGACGATGAGGACGATCGGTGGATGCAGCAGCAGCGGCAGTTTTACCGCAACGGTGAGTGGCATGGATCCCAAGCGCAATGCAGGACGCTCACTCAACTGTTGTACTCATTCAACACTGGCCTGGGGTTGCACGCTTGCCTTGGTATTTGACTTTCTGTGTGATAGGCATCGATCCATTCAAAACCTCCACCGAAGCAAAAGCCTCAGAGCCGCCCAATTCGGCAAACTCGCAACAAGCAGCCCAACCATCGAAGGCTCGTATCGAAAGCGACGCCATCCTATCGTGTCCATTTTGCTGGACCACTGTGTGCATCGATTGCCAGCAGCACACGCAATACAACAACCAATTCCGCGCAGTGTTTGCGCTCAACTGCACGATTGCGCGCGCCGAGCAATTACAACCCGGTGCTCAACCAAGTTCCAGCAGCAGTAGCAAGAGCAGCAATCGTAACACGCGCAAAAATCGCAAGCTCTCTCGCGGCCAAAACGACGCCGCCGCCGACACTGGACCGCTACATCCTGTGCGCTGCACCGAATGCAACACCGAGCTCGGCGTCATTGACGGCGACGAAGTCTACCACTTTTTCAACGTCCTAGCCAGTGCCTCGTAGCTGTTGATGTTGCTACTTTTTGTTGTTTCTGGCTTCGTGTTGTTTGCCTTCATTCATGTTCATTGCTCAGTTACAGTTTATCTTCAAATTCAGCTTCTCAGTCTCACTTTTCGTTGTTGTTGCTTTCTTCGCGAGTTTCCAGATTTCCCAAAGTTTCCCAAAGTTTCCCAAAATTTCCCAAATTTTCTCAGATTTCTCTCAGATTTCTCTCAGATTTCTCTCAGATTTCTCTCAGATTTCTCTCGAGGCGTGTGAATGCACTCGGTTGAGCCGCCGAGCAGTGCCGTTCCCCTGCGTCACCACGCCCCGAGCGACCTCTGATCGTGCCGGCAGTCCACGCACAGCAGCCCGAATCGAGCTCGTATGCGCGCGCATTCGCAGTGGCCAACGCGCTGGCTGGATTGCCCAATGCATTTCCACACGCCGCCCGACGCATTGACGTGACGTCGGACAAGCCATTCGGAAGCATCCACGGCACTGCAGGCACGACCACGACAAACAGTGGCAGTCCTGGAGTGCCTCAACCTGGGGGTTCGAGTCACGATCAAGCCAGCCACTCTTCTGGTCAAGTTCCGCTCTGGCTGTACATGGACCACGCGTCACAGACTGCGGTGATGCTCCTGGCCATTGCTCCGTATGGAGGTTGTACGCTGCACCATCTGATTACGGCATCGAATGTGCTCAACCCTGCTGCGGGGCGATCGACGTCGTCGCCAGGCACTCCTTCGCCAATGACCTCGCACGAGCTTACCAAACCACCCAGCCAACCCGAGTCAAGGCAACTACCCCCGCAGGAGAGTGCTGAAGTTGTGTCAGAGCCTGATGAGCAGCAATTAAGGCGCGCTCAGCTTGCAGCGCTCAGTTTTGCCATCGCCTGCAGCTCAAAGGTGCTCTTGCTTGGCTCTTCGAGCGGAGGCACAGTCCAGGTGCCATTTACCATTGTAACTGAGCTCTTGCCTCGAGCGACACGGCTGCTCCGAGAAATGGCGCCGTCCATTGTGCTCCCGGAACCTTGCCAACTTTCGGTGCTGCATTCACCTGGCGAGGCTCGCTTTGACTTTGCGGCATCGGCTGCGGCCCTCCGCGCCGTGCTACTGCAACATCTCTTGGATCCCACCGTATTGAGTGTACCAGCGAATGACGCGCAGTTGCTCATCTGCGAGCCTTTCGACCCGAAACGCGGCGGCGGGTCTGTTGACGCCATCATCGGGCTCTTTGCGCGAACCCAGCTGATGCCGAATGGCCGTGCATCCGCGCCGTTCGTTGCTCATGAATGGGCCAAGCAGCGGTCGCGCGCTTTAAAACTCGAAAACCATCTAATTGAATTCGTCGCCACCATTCGGGAGCATCTCTTTCCCTCATTTACTCCTCCACAGCGAGAGATACAGCGTCGCCTAGCCGATCCGGATTTGATTTTTGCTCGCAGGTATTACGCTTGAAAGTCCAGCGGTGTGACTGGGGTTGAAAGTTTCGTTGTCATCTAACTTGCGGTGTTTTTTTTTGTTTTTTTTTCTCTACCCCAAAACAGACAATGTGAACGAGCTCTTGCTTTTGGTAAAAATGTCTACCTTGACTCTTTGCCGGCAGTGTACCACGAAGATGTGCATCGTTCTCAGGCAAGTGGGCAGTCTGCGGAATATTGCTTCCGCTTAACCTACTCACTTCCTCTCTCGTCTTTGTTGCACCCAGTCCAAGAAGGCCGTGCGCGCGTATCTGCTGAATGCGTGCGTTGGTCCATACCAAGCTTCTTGTCTGCAAACGCTAACAGAGTCGTGCCTCGCTGTTTGGCAGAACGGTCGCATGGCCTGCTCTGCCGTCAGTGTTGCGGGACTGCGATGTGAGAATCCGGTAGGTTATTGGTGCTCTGAGCTGGATTGGGCAGTGAGGGTTTCTCCATCGCCCCGCTTCAGTCACTTTGTTGGCGGCGCTTGTTGCTCATATTACAAATTTACACTTGCTGACTTTCTCATGGTCGGACTGGCCAACCTCTCGACAGGCCGCCGCAGCCGATAGTCCAGCTCATCAACACTCCGCATACCCATTGTCTGGACTGTGTCCCTGCGGCATGACAAAATGTCTCCCTGCGAGCCAGTATCAACTCGAGGTCAGAAGTCTTTGTTGCGTTTTGATCACATGTAGAGCATTTTCGACCTGACTGATGAGCGGGGTTTGTTTGACTCGGCAGGATGCCAACATGTACGGTGCCGAAGCTGACTGCTGTCGCCAGCTCGTCCAGTTTCGACCCAGTCTTGTCCAACAAATCAGCAAATCGTCGGATGTGCCAAACCCCAGGAAGCAGCAACATGAGCTGTCTCCTTCGAAGGTCGGCATTTTTATCGCTTCGGCCAAGCGGTACAAGCGCAAAAACGGACTGCCATCGCCGCCATTTGCAGAGGACGGTCGGTTTCTGAAAGAGTGGGACGTTTATGCCACTGGCAGCAAGAGTGGACTCGGCACCAGTCAGAAAGCGGCACGCGACGATGCGTGGCAAGTGACACAAGTTGATGCCCTCGGAGGCGTCGCGTGGCCCTCGCCGCAAGAATGTATGACAGAGATGGCGCCCTAACGAGCTACACAGTACACAGGGATGGGCTCTAGTGGTTTCTTCATCTTACTTGACATGGGTTTGTACGTCTCTGTTAGCCTCTCAATCCAAGGCCTCGGCTCGCGTTTTGATTGGAATTGCGTACGAAGACCAAGCCGCCACCTGTCATGCGCGATGCATCCCGATTGTCTGCAAAAGTGACCCGGCTCCCTCCAGCTCCCACGTAAGCACGGAAAGCGCGGATTCTCGTGCTCAACCACTCTACTTGTATTCCCTGCTTACTTTGATTGTGCGCTCTGTTGCACAGGTATCGTTGGATGTTGGTTCCATCCCAATTTTCCGGCCGTGCTCTGACTGTTCACACAATGCTCAGTCGCAATTGTCGCACCTGTTTGTCGTCACGCCCGGAGCTGCTTTCCGGACTTTTCTCAAGCTCGCGGTAAAGGTGCGTCTTTCTTTTTGGATATTTCTATTTCCTTCGCCTCGCGCATGGTTTTTCGCTGATTCTGATGAATTGGGGCGCCCGCAACAGTTTCGGGTTCGATCGACCACCGCATCTCCCAAAGCCGGGCCCGCCCCTGAATCCTTGTTTGAATTTGCTTTGGGTGGCTTGGAAGCGTTAGAACTTCCTGCTGATTCGTTTATTTCCATTCGATTTCCGTAAGAGTCGGCGAATTCGAGGTCGGTCTGTTTTTGGAGGGCTTGTTCTCTCATCCCTGTCCAATTGTCTGTTGTTGCATTAGGCGGCACTATGTCACCGCGCAGGGAGTCTGGATGCCAATCCCTACATTCATCAATCCCGATTCCGCAGTTCCGTTCCGGTCGTCCCGTCCGGACTGCGCGTTCGCCTTTGTGGGGGCAGAGTTACAGCCAGGCTTTCTTTCAGTTACGCATTCCACATCATAACGAACCACTTCCATGTTTTAATAGGTTTTATTGGTTTTGTGTATTAGTTGTTGTTAACAAAAGAAAATGAGCATAATTCCAGCTTCGTAACTTGGCAGCGTCCACTCTATCGAGGGAAAGGCCGCTCAGTTCGCTGGAGCTAACAGTGCGGGAATCTGAGGGGCGATCTGAGCATCCACGAGCAAGGCTGACTGTGGGATGTCTGTACTCGAGGGCTCTTCCTCTTCTTCCGCTTCTTCCTCGTACGTCTGATTGACAAAATCATAGCTCAGCAAATCCAGCATTGAGGGGCGTGAAGCGGGATTGCGTTGCAAACACGACCTCAAGAAATGCCCAGTGGATTCTTGGCAGCTCTCCGGCCACGCTGGCATCTCCTCCGTTGAGGCGATTGCGTACATCAGCGAGAACTGGTTGTCGGTACCGAATTCTTGCGTCCAAGGCGATTGTGCCGAGACCATCTCGATGATGCAGCAGCCGACCGACCACACGTCGCTGGCAAAACAGTCGGAGCTCGCGCCCTTGATGACCTCTGGCGCGAGGAAGGCTGCGGTTCCACGTGCTTCTCGAAGCTCGTCGTGTGAAATGTTCGGGTCGGTCACGCGAACAGCCGAGCCGAAATCGGCAATCTTGAGCACCATCTGATCGTCGGAAAGAAGAAGATTGGTGCCTTTCAAGTCGCGATGTGCAACGGCCATGCTGTGCAAGTAAGCCATTCCTTCCACGAGTTGCCGTGCAAGAAAGCCGGCGCTCGAGTCCGTGAGCTTGCCCATCCGCTGTAGAAGGGACGTGACCGTTCCACCAGCCATGAGCTCCATGATGACACGCACGTGATTTCCGTCCTGCTGAGTGCCGTAGAAGGAAACGACATTGGGATGCACCAGACCGGCGAGAATGGTGATTTCTTGCATGACCTGCATCATGACTTTCTCTTCTTCTTCGTGAGTGTTGCGTGCGTAGGTCATTTGCTTCATGGCCACAAGGGCGATGCGACTGGGTTGATGTGCAGCTTTCCCGCCGGCTTCCATCCGATCCAGCGGAATGGCGGCCATGAAACATGTGGAAAAGGCACCTGTGCCAAGAACGCCCTTCTTGATGGGAGCCACGCCGAGTGAAATCACAGAACGAAGCTCGTTTGCCGTGTTTTCGTCAATATCCGTCAGCGGCGTATCACGCTCTTGCACGTCGGAACCACTATTGCTGGAGGCTGCTTCCAGAGCAGCTTCGCCCTGAGCGGCGCCTGCGACAAGCTCGTGTTGGCCTTCGATCCGTGCTGGCCCTTCAAGCACCTCGCCAGTAGCCACTTTCAGCATTGCTGCCACGTCGGGGACAAGTTCGCTCTGTCGCTGGTCATGGAGAACCAGTTCCTCCTGGAGGCTATCGAATGGAAGAAAGCTGCCCGAGGACTTGGTTTTGGCCGCAAATGCTTGCTTTTCCATCTCCCAGGTGGCATCGGGGGTAGGAAAGGATTGACGGCGCTCGGGCTTGGCAGGAGGCGCGAGCGCGTCGCTGGTGCCAAAACCGAGTTGAATGTTGTTCTGGCGCTCTCGCGAAGGGACGGGAAACTGCCAATCCTCTTGATCATAGTCCAACTGAAATTCCACATGGTACGGCGGGGGCCCGGACATGCTGGTGCGAGCGTGATATTCTTGCTCCAACCTGGCTCGGGTCTCTTCGGCTTCCTCTTGCAAGTTTTCATCAAAGCTCTGCATATTCCGCGATCGGGGTGAGGGAGGCGGTGGCTGCGACTTGGATCGCATGTTCTGGAACTGCTTGACTCGCAGCAGAGAGCTGGACGCGCCCCAGTAGGACTCGCCTCCTGGAAGAGTTGACATGGGCTGGTTTTCCGGCCCAGCGCGCGACGAGCTCGATGGTGGCGTGTCAGATTCCAGGGTAGCAAACTCGCCCGCAAAAGTAAGCCCGGCGAACTCAACATCCCGTTCGGCAAGTGAAAGAGCATGGGCCAGTTGCACGGCCTCGTACTCTTCGCCAGTGGCCTTGGCGTCAGTCTGCAGTTTCTCTCCACGCAGGTTGATCCAGGACGACGGCAACAGCGGATGGCGGTGGAGGCGCGAGTGAGAATTTTCGCCAGTGCCTGCCCAGCCCGGTTCGGCGTTGCGGAGCTCGCGAACAGTTTGATCGAAAGCATCGAAAGGCTTTTCAAATTCCAACCACAAGTTCTTGCGGCGAATGGATGCTTGCAAAACGGCTCGCATGCGTCGGCAGTTCTCGGGCAGCGGAGAAATGAGTTCGTACGCTTGGCAGATGAATTGGCGAGCTTGCTGTCGGACTGTCGCGTGATTGTGCTCGAGGGCGACAGCAATGTGACAGACAATTTCAATCAGATTCAAGCTGTCCTTGCCAGCAGAGACAGGGAGGGGGGCCACGAATTCCTCCGAAGAAGCGGCTGCTTGAGAATACGTTTGAAAGCGTTGGAAGAAGAGGTCCCATCGCTTCAGCTCTGTGTCGTTGAGCACATCGCTGGCGTGTCGACCCGCTGTGGCGATCACAAATGCGTCGCGGAATTCTGCCATGAGCCGCAAAAGAACAGAGAGTTGGCCGAGCCACAGTTTGTACGAGCGACCAGACACGTCAATGCTGGGGACCCTGAAGGAATTTGCCGAGCTGGCTCCCGCTTGAGTGGCGAGAGCAAGCGAAAGCGAAGTGATTGGCGGTGCGAAAAGCTCCACGGGAGTTTCAAAGCCGGGGTGCACCGGCTGCTGGAGCGTCTGCTGCTGTTGCTGCTGCTGCTGCTGTTGTTGTTGTTGTTGTTGTTGTTGCTGCTGCTGCTGATGGGTGGCGGTTGATTGTGGAGCAATGGGCTGTTGCTGAACAACAGAAATCATAATGCAGCACACAATAAACGGAACGCCGTGCCGAGGATCGCATGAAATGTCCATGATCGCGTCCATCGACCGATTGCTGATGCGCGGTCGGGCGTCGCTGCATTTGAGGATGATCAGGTTTATGAGTTGCCAGGTGTCGTGCAGCACTGAAACGCCCTCCAGAGCCGGAAGAAGCACGATGAAAAGAGTGCGCGTGAGCGCCAGCATGGCATAGTAAACCCTCAGGACGGGATCGCCTGCCGAGTACGTTGCGATTGCCACGAGCACTTCAAGCACGCAATGTTCCAAGGCTGCGGGGGCGACGACCTCTGGGGCAAGTGCTGATGCTGCATGTTTGATGAGCGCGTCGGGGTCGGCCGCCCAGGCCTCAAGGCGACAGAGCGCAATTTCACGGGCTTCCCAGGTCTTGGCGAAAAGGCAGCGGACGAGCCGCTGACCAAACAACGCGCTCCATTGCCGAGCAAACTCTGTCATCGAGGGAGGGATTTCGTCATCAATGTCGGGCAGCGTACCTGTGCGCAGAGTCTGGTACCGAACCAACGTCGGCAAGTGGCTCACAGAAGGAATGCCTGGATAGACTGTGACCGAAGAGTTGCTGCTCTTCAACGAGGAGGATGCGCCACTCGAGCCTGAAGCCGTTTGGGAGCTGGACGAAGCGGATGCGCCCATCGCTTCGAGACGGGGCTGTTGGTACTTGGGCGTCATTTTCGACCGCGGCTGACTTGTTGTTTTCTGCTGGTGTGCTTGCTCGGGCGTGGACAAGACGGAAGTCGACGTGGAAGAAGCAGGAGATGGCGTCGCGGAATTGCCGCCGCTGATCGTCCGTGTCAGTGGTGGATGGCCAGCAGGGGATGGGGTCGAAGCCGCCTCGTTGCCACTGCTACTGCTGCTGGCCTCGTCGCTCGCCGTGTTGCCAGATTTCGTTGGAGTAGCGCGTTCCAGACGAGCTTGGGGCGCATTGCTCTCCTCTTGAGCTTGCTCGAGCTGCACCTTGCCACGTTGGACAAAGGCCGGCGAACGATACCAGTCCGATCGGCAGAATGGGCAGACGACCACATCCGAGCGCCGTGTTAGGTCAATCGCCCAAACAGTCATGCAGTGTGTGTGCAGCACATTGCCACAGCCATTACGACACCAGGTGAAATCTTCAGCCTCGTTGAACTCTGCCAAACAAATGGCGCAAGTCGTCTCAACTTGACTGGATGACTGGATGAGCGCTTTTTGAGGGTGGCTGTTGGCATTGTGCGTCGTTGCTTTGTTATTCTCGGCAGATCGCGAAGAGCGAGCAGGAGGTGCTGGAGATGTCTTGGAATTCATCGGACGATGACTGCTGCTGCTGCTGACGGTTGGTTGGTGCGAGTCGCTCCCAGGCAAAGCGCCGTCAGCAATGGCATTTGCAGCGGACGATGGCTGCTGGAACACGCTGAGTAGCGTATCAACCTCGTATTGCTTCAAAGGTTTGTCAGCGAGCAGCACAGGATTGGTGAGCGAAACGCCAAGAACGCGTGTCAGCACAAATAGCAAATGGATGCAATGAGGCTTCCCACAAGTGCAAGTCTGTGTGTTCAGAACATAAAAGAAACAGGCAACGTCGCAGTGAGTAACACAACGGGAGTGTGCACAACCCTGCTGCGCAATCAAAAAACCAAATACCAAAAAAAAAATCAACACCTACCTGAGCACCAATGACCACTTTAAAGGGGGTTTGGTCCTGTTGCACATTGAACGAGTTGGGACCGTTCTGCCGGAGCAGATAGAGCTTGACTGCTCGCAGTCGCTTGACACGAGCTTGAATGTCCAGCAAAGTCAACCCGTGGGCGCATTTCTTGGTTGACGGAAGTGCAGCGCTCAACTGGGCGGCGGGCTGATCGGCATTGACGCCGGAAGGATCTGCAGCTGCTTGGCCGGCAGTATCAGCACGCGAATCATCGGAAGCCAGGCTTCGTTGAGGAGCAGGAGGCGTGAATGGCGGAGAGAGAGTCGAATCGAGGCTGGACGAGATCGACATGGTCGACACGTCAGCGCTGTAGCTCGGGGATCCGATGGAGAGCGTGCTTTCGTCGCTGCTGAGATGCTCTGCGTCAAGAGTGGAGGTTCGAGATACAGCGACGGGCAACGTTGGTTGCTGCACCACGCTCTCCGGCTCCACCTCGATTGTTGGGATGCCTCTGAGTGAGGGAGCAGACGCTTCTGCAGGTTCAGCATGTGTTGTTGGTACATCCGATGGCGGTACAACGAACTCGAGAAGTTGTGGTTTGGAAACCGGCTCGTCTGTGGCCTCTCGATTGCCGTCCACAAACTCCTGCTCTTGGTCCGTTCCAGCTGCATCCTGTTGTTCGGTGTCAATGTTGACTTGTTTGAACGATGCGTCTGACCCGATGGTGAGACGCCCCTGGCCTGCAGACAATGAAGGAGTGGTGCTCGGGCGCCGAGGCGAGGAGTTGTTTGGCGAAACCACTCCTGCTGCTGCTGATCGATTGTCGCGAGACCCAGTGATTTGCTTGAACGCGGCAGTGTTCCCAAGAGAGTGGCTTCGTCGAGAAGCGGATGCTGCTGACGAGTTGGTGTGAAGGCCGAGCTGTTGCAATTGTTGCGACTGCGGTGATTCCTGCTCGCTCCTGGGTCGTGTCTGAGGCACCCTGGCGGTGCCCAGTGGAGGTGCGGGTGGTGAGGATGCCGACGCGGAGGGCAAATGGCTATCGCTGTTGGAGGCATGAAGTGCAGGAGCAGAATTGGCCGAGCGTGCTTGCGAAGCGTTCGTGACGGACAGCGACCGAGAATGGGCGGATTGAACCCTGCTTGGCCTGTATTTCGCTTCCGCAACTCCGCTCGGGACTCGCCTCTGAGAGGGCAAAGACGCAGCAGTCGCGCCCGATCGAAGGGGTGCCGACGGCGAGCCATCGGAAGACTTTTCAGTCGAGGAAGCGTCGGGTACCGACTCGCGTCGCGGCGCGTGCCCGCGTGCTGTTGGGGATGCCCCAGCCACCGCAGGAGATGTTTGTGCGCTAGATGAATTCGACGCTGCAGCACCAGCTGAGGTGGTTCGAGCAGGTGCGGACGGGACGTCACTTGTTGTCGACCGCAACGAACGGGATTGTGTTTGGGTCTGCTCCGGATTGCCGGATGAGTCTGACGAGGACGCTGGAGATGACGATGATGGAGGTGGTGGCGGCGACGTCAAAGAGGACGACGGCGAGGGCAAGCGGTTGGGATTGTTCGAGGCTCGGTCGCGGGTGTGCGATGCTGGTTTCACAAACGGCAGCGCTCCTGCGGCCTGCATGGCATGCTGCTTTTGCTGCTGCACATGATGGCCATCAGTAACATTAGCAGCAGCAGTAGCAGCAGCACCAGGAACATGATGGGCCTGGTGACTGGGTCCTGATGTCATGGATGCCATGGGTTGGGATTGGCTGCGCAGAGAGCGAGACCGCGCGGCGCTCGCTGCAGCCATCGCAACCATGGTCTGTGGCGTGTGGCCGTGAGCAACCACTGAGCGCTCTGTTGTCTGCTGTTGCTGCTGTTGGGACTGCGGCGGGCTCTGGTGCTGGCTGAGCGCGGTGGTCGGCGTCCGTGGCAGACGCTTGACAGGGGCAATGGAAGCTGCAGCAACGGCAGTGGCAGACGAAGAAGCGACTCTGCGCCCGCTCCCTTCGGCCCTGGCATGAGCAGTGTGGTTGGCATTAACAGCAGTATTAGTGCTCGTCTTAGACGTGGCACGAGCGCGGCCGGCGGCGTGGCTTGGCTCAGCCCTGGCTCGCGTCGCATTGGAAGAATCCGAAGCACTTGGAGCGCAGTCGCCGCTGGGAAGTGGCTCGTTCACGGCTACCGCTGCTTCTGCTGCTGCTTCTGTGGTCATGCCAGGCGCTAGTGAGTGACTGTCTGCATGGGTTTGAGCTGTAGAAGTCGGGGACTCGGTCGCACTTGACTCGGTCGTCGTCGTCGGAACTATCATTGTCGTTACGTTTGGGTGGGTTTTGAGTGCGTGGCAGCGCCTTCAACCCGGCAGCCGCACAAGCGAACAGAAGCAGAAAGAAGGAGGCCGAGATGGCGGGTTGTCCCTTGCTATCGGGACGTGCTCCAGAGCAGAGAGAGAGACCTCAAACCAAGCAAATGGAGAAAAGAAAGAAGAAAAAAAAGTTAATCCAAATCAAAAAAAAAAAAAAAAAAAAACCGCCAAATGGAAAAGAAAAAAAAATCAAAGAGTGGGGATCAGCAAGCTCGTGTGTCAAAAGAGCGTGAATCAAGCACCTGGGGGGAAATTGAAGGCGAGCAGTGAATGTGGAACAGCCAACAAGAGACCAACAAGAGAGGGATAGAGAGAAAGAGAAAGAGAGAAAAAAGAAAGAAGAAGGCAAGCAAAGTGAAACGATTGCTTCAGCTTTTTGAATTTTGAAAATGAGCGCGCTGCCACCACGCTGCCACTCGCATCAACCTCCTCTTTGGTCACTGGTGGCAGATCCATCTGATGATGGAAGTTAGAGCGAACCGATGGCGGATGAGGCCAGCCACAGAAGGGAAACGGTGATCGAACGAGGCGACAAGTGGAGAAAAACAAAAACAAAAGCGCGCGAAAGAGCGTGAGTTTTGGAACAACCCAATGACCTCATCCATCGCATCGTACTCCTGTTCCGCTCCAGAGTGCATTAAAATGCAGAACTTTGTTTTTGGTTGTGAGAACACAAAACATGTCCCGAACATGAACAGACAGGGCGCAGTCATTGTTCAGTATGCGAGTCCCTTCAAAGCGCACGCAGCCAATGCGATGGTTTATGATTGCAGCGCTGTGCTTGCTCATAGCAGCAGTCACGAGCTCTGCTAAATCACACGAGCGCGTCGATCAACTCGTGTAAGGCAGTTGTTTATCATCATCGGGGGGCTTGAAATCTACGTTTGGTCTCAAACTCACTGAGAATGGTGGTGCTTGGAGCAGACAGCAATCGGTGCTGTGCCAGCTCGGAGGCGACCGAGCCGGAGCCCTTGCCGCAATGGAAGCCGCCTATGCACTTCAGCCACTGCATGCTGGAGTCGTCCTGCGCCTTGCACGCGCGCTCGAAGCAGGTGCGGCACGGCAACGACGAGACGTTCTCCATCCCCAACGCTACTTACTTTGACTCACTAATCCGCCTGACTGGAACACTATGATTGACAGATCAGCAAGTTGCGCGCGCTCTGACCATTGTAACACAGGCATTGGAGCAGGAGAGACCGGCCGAGCCAAGCGCAAAGGAAGCCAAACTCTATGCCGATCTCGAGGCACTCAAGACCAATCTCGCTCAAAAGGTCCTGCTGGCTCAGCCCAGCGCAACAAGCAAGACAAGCCGAGATGCCCCAATGTCGGCCACGGGCTGGCAAGCTGCGTCGGCGGCTGACCTTTTGGGCAATCGGACGACGCTCGAGACGGAATCTTGGGCGCACGTCTGGGCCACGCCCGTTTTGCGTGATTCTGGCAACATGGCACTGCATCATGCTCTGGTGTTGTTGGCGGAAGGTGCCACTGCCCCTTTTGCAGCCCCTCACGCGCGCGGTGGGAAGGCGCGGCGAATTCGATTGCTCGTTTCGCCTGCTTCGGGAGAACTCGTCTTCCCAACTCCAAACGCTGCACGCATTGAGGCTGGCAAAGTTCTGCTTACTGCGCTTCGGCGGAACGTCCACCTGCTGGACCGCAGCTTTGCCAGTCGACACCACAATTCCGCTGCAGCGGTGCTGCTCTCCACGCCCGAAAGCGCGTTTCAGTTTGACACGTCGTTCGATGCAAATGCTGGAATAAGATCACCATGTCTGAATATTCGACAACTGGATATTCGGCTGCACGAGGATGCCGTTGGACATGCGCAAGCCTCGCATATTGTGCCTCGCTCCCACCTAACTTTACTCGCCGGCCTCCAACAAACGCTGGAAGGGGACTCGTCCAGCATGCAAGTGTTTCTAACAGACCCACGGCCTGGAGCTGGGCCAATTCATCTTCCAGGTGTGTGCATTGGGACTTTTGTGGTGGGATGATTGAGTTCTAACTTTTGTCCTTGTCTCTCATCGCTTTGCTGGGCTGGTGGTTGAACCCACATCACATCCTTGCTCTTGAAATTGTATTGACTCACAGGTTGGGACGACACCAATGTTCCATCGGCGTTTCGGTTGGAGCCAGGAGCTTTTCTGATCTTTCCATCTTTCGTTCGGCATCACATGCTCGCTCATCACCAGCAGGACGCCTCTGCTCGTCGCGTTTTTGTCGAAATCGGCATTGAATTGGAGGCGCAGCGATGTCCCGACTTTATTCCTGCCGATGATCGCCTCAGCACTGGCGCTGTCACGCTGCAGTATTTGTGGGGTACGCCAATGTACTCGTCGTCGATAGTCCCACTCTTAAACCAACTCGGACCAAGCCAGCATCCTCTACTCGAATCGCTCACAGCCACGATTCGACAGCTGGCAAACTCGACTCCCAGCGTTCGTAAGAGCAACAAGGGCGGATGGCAGTCTTCGGCCAAGCTGTTTGACAGCTTTGCAGCCAACTCTGCGGTGCAGGCCCTTCGACGACTGGTTTACGCTGGCGCGTATCGATGGCTACAAGCGCAAGCCTCTCAGGGCATGCTCTTCCCAGAGTTTACTCAAACCAGCAATGCACATGAATGGGTGGAAATGCCGGCATTGCTCGTGGATGGCAAGGACCCTCGAATCAGTCACCCGACCTTGTGTGGCGACGTGCACATTGAGGTGGTCCATTCGTGGGCGGGCATCAACAAGGCTGGAGACTCCAATTCGCCGCACATTCATCCAGGAGCACTCCTATCAGGAGTCTTCTATGTGGCAACGCCAACGGCTCCCCCGACCTATGTAGAGTTTATCGATCCGCGATCCGGTGCGTCAATGCTCCCGGACATTGATCAGACCCAGATTCCTGTCGACTTTAGCCCTGAGGCTGCGCTTGCGGAGGCCGCGGCTAAAGTTGTATCAGTGTCGTCGCAGCAGACCTCAGACGCGTTGAGTCCACCTCCACCTACAGCCCGCGGAGGATTTGCAAGTAGTCGCGTGTTTGGTGCTGGCGCCACTCACGCAGCGGCCTCGTTGCCTGGCCGGCTGATTTTGTTTCCAGCGTGGCTGGAGCATTTCGTTGCTCCCTTTGGCGGTTCTTTGCAGGACGAAGACCGCATTATTGTCAGCTTCAACGTGCTTGTGCACCATACCGTACAGGAGTGTACCCAGGCTGGCCTATTGCTGCATCTTCCAAAGCATCATCTTGCCGAGCAAGTTTGAACAAGCGTGTTGCTGATGCCGCATTCAAGTCGAGCAATCATATCTGTCGTTTCTAGCTTTTTGTGCATTTTGAATCAGTGGTAGTGGAGAGAGAGAGGAGGGGGGGGGCAAGGAAAGCTCGTTGGCAATGATGATCCGAAAATCACTTCTTAAATCCACACCTTCCGAAATAAAGTCACTACCAGCTTTCACCAGTTTGGACCATCCCAAAAAAAATTCTGACACTTTCTTCTGAGCCGCTCAGTCCCGAACCTGAACATGCTCGTTGCCAGTCGCAGCAGCAGCCGACCTGTCTTGGCTTTGGCTTTGAGCGCTGGACGCCGAGCGGCTCACTCTGCCGCAGCTTCTTCTGCTCCAATCCTCGCCACAAGTCTGGCTTCTTCTACTGCGCCTGGTCCCTGCGCGCTGACCGAGTTGCAGTGGCGCGGACTGCTCCATGCACACACGAGGTACAGCATCGAATTGAGTTTTTCCCGCCATATCTGCTCCGATCTTTACTTTGCTCAATCTCCATGCTTTTTTCTGCTTGTTTGTTTGCGTTCAAACCAATCCTGTCATTGGCGTGGCAGCTCGTTCGAGGGACTGGCTGCGACGCTGCGATCGCCCAATCGCGCTTGCCTCTACGCCGGGTTTGATCCGACTGCGGACAGTCTGCATGCGGGAAACCTGCTCGTGCTGATGGGCATGCTGCACTTCCACCGCGCAGGGCATCAAGTCATTGCGCTGGTCGGCGGTGCGACTGGCCAGGTCGGCGATCCCAGCGGCCGCCAGACCGAGCGATCCATGCTCGCAGTCAACACTGTCGCAAGCAACGCGGCTGGTCTTTGACAATGCTACGAGTATTTTTGGCGTGCTGCCCGAGACTAGTAGTCGTAGTAGTCGGAGTAGTACTGCTGCTGCTGCTGATGCTGCTGCTGCTGCTGCTGATGCTGCTGCTGCTTCGTCAGGCTCCCCTACCAGCAGCCCAAAACCCGTCACCGTCGTCAACAACTTGGACTGGTATGCTCCAATGAACGTGCTAGAGTTTGTACGCGATGTCGGCCAGCACTTTCGCATGACTACGATGCTGGGCAAGGAGTCGGTGAAAAGTCGTCTGCAACCCCAAAGTACATCGGCAAGCGGCACGGAGCCAGCGGGGATGAGCTTCACCGAGTTTACCTATCAGCTGTTCCAGGCGTACGATTATTACCAGCTGCACGAGCGCAACCAGTGCCGGCTGCAGCTTGGAGGGAGTGACCAATGGGGCAACATTACAGCCGGCTGCGATCTGATCCGCAAGGTGACTGGGAAGGAGGCGCATGGCGTCACCATGCCACTCGTAACTACGTCGACGGGCGAAAAGTTTGGCAAGAGCATGGGCAACGCTGTTTGGATGGACGCCGCCAAAACAACGCCGTTCGAATGGTACCAATTCTTTTTGCGCTCGGAAGACAGTCAAGCGGAGCGCTACTTGCGCTACTACACCTTCCTGTCCTTGGATGAGATTACCGATATTGCTCGCCGTCACGCGGAAGCTCCGAACAAGCGGATTGCGCAGACAGCGCTGGCAGACCAAGTCACCCTCTTGGTGCATGGTCGCGAAGGTCTGGCGGAGGCGCATCGCTCCACCAAGTTGCTCTATCACCGAGGAGGAAGTGGCAGCGGAAGTCCCAACTCTACCAACAGCAACGAGGTCCAAGCAACCGATTCGTCCAACAGCCCTTTCGAGCTGACTAGCGCCGAGGTGGCGGCACTGCTATCGGCGCAAACGCCCAGCATCAACGTATCGCGCTCCGAGCTGGGTCAGCTCTTGCTGATTGACGCACTGGTGCGGCTGGGGCTGACTCCTTCCAAATCAGAGGCGAAAAAGCTCATTCGCAACGGAGGCGTCTCCGTCAACTCGGTCAAGTCAGTCAACGAGCGCGATGTGCTGGGTGAGAACCACGCGTTGAAAGACAGCAATGCCACGTTGTTGCGGGTTGGGAAGCGCGCGCACGGTTTGGTACTATGGGAAGCAGCTGCAATTTGAGCATAAGTGTTTGCGTTTGTTTTTGGTGGTTGTTCTTGTTGATGATGATGTTTTTGGTGGTTGTTGTTTGTACTTGCATGTAGTTTATTCAATTTCAAAAGCATAAACCGCACTACGCAACCCTAGACTTGTGACGGGGGAAACAAGCCAGAATCAGAGTGCAAACACACCAGAACCAAGAAAAAATTAAACAGGGGGAGAAAACTGAATCGACAAAACATAAAAACTGAACACGTTGCTTTTTTTCGGGTGCAGCTCTACTGACAACCCGAAAGAGAACAGGAGAGCTTGTTACGACGAAGCGGCAGACTTGATCAGATTCTGGTAGACATCCGAACGCAAAAAGCGTGGGTACGAATCCTTCGCCATCAGGTTGAAAATGTGCGCCTGAGCTTCGTCGAACGAATCGTAGCCAGGATTGTCCATATTGCGCGTGGTGATTTCACGCGTGGCCGCGTCGAGGTTGACCTCGTGCGGCGCGTTCGGCGCAATGTAGTTGTCGTACAACACCTTGGCCTCGTGCTTGACAGCCGAGGGCTTGACACGTTGAAGGGTGCGAATTGCTTGCCAGAAGCTAATGTTCTCATCCGAAAACTCCTTCTTGAGGTACTGCTGGAACAGCGCCAAGCCGGGAGGATCGTTGAGCAGCTCCATAAGTGCAATGCCCCAGCGCTTGGCGGACATGACGGAAGGTTCGATGCGGCTGTAGAAGGAAGAGTGGGGAAGAAACGTGCAGCAGTGAGCATCTGAGGAACACAAGAAGCATTGTTTGAGCGTGGCATGGTGAGGAGCAAAACTCCCTACTTTTTGTCGCTCGTGTCCCATGTCGTGGTGTCATCGGTAATCCAGGGGTTGGAAGGCTCCATCGAAGTGATGAATGGATCGTACGGCGCGTAGACTTCACACCGCGAGACCAATCTAAGACAACAACAACCAAAAAAACCAAGAAAAAACCGAAAAAAAAAAACAATATCAGAAACTGACTACTTTTTGCCTTGTTCTTGTTGCTGTTGTTGTTGTTGCCTCGCCAAGCCACCTACCCTTCTCCGGCAAGAGAAACCTTGATCTTGGGACGTGCAATTGCAGACTTGAGCTGGGTGACAGTCTCTTGCAACGCTGCCAACTGAACGGCCTCGAGCTGGGCGGGCGACTTTGTCTTGTTGCTTTCACTGGCCGTGCTGGCGAAAGCTTTTCGGGGGTCGACCTCGCGGTGATCGGGAGTGTCCGGCTGTAATTTCATCGCAACACAGGGGTGAATGATGAGATCACCATTGCTCTATCGCACAGCAAAGCAGGTGGGAGCGATGGCACACATACCGGAGGACGGTGAATGCGCCAGAAGGCATACTCTTGGCTGTCAAACACTTGACGCTCCTTCTTGGTGCGATGACGAGAAGACTTGACCTGCTCCTCAGCCTGCATGAGAACAAACTCCCAGCGGTTGCTCAGGCGGCGCTGGAGCGAGGCAATCGCCTCCAGCTCGTAGTCCACGAGCTGGTACTTTTTCTTCTCTCGCAACTTGCGCTTGATCAGGTAGACGGCGTACTCAAAGTCGGACGGCTCCCACATTTGAGACGGCCAGAAGTAAGGGGTCTGAAACACAAAGTCCAAGCTTCTTGGGTGAGTGCAAGAGAGGGCGACCGACACACACACACACACTCACACACACAGAAAAAAAGGACAAACCTGGAAGCGGCATTGGCTGGAATCGTCCTTGAAGCTGGAAGAGTCGACGGGGAAGATGTAGCCAATACGATGGAGCATGCGAGCAAAGCGAATCGCCTCGTCGCGGTCAAAGAACTTGTAATTGCGCATGAGCCATTCAATGCAATCGGTGCCTAGATTGTTTTCAAGTGACGAGTTCAACGGTGAGTGTTTTGCTGTCGTCACTCACTGTGTGTGTTGTGTGTTGTGTGATTGAGAGTGAATGAATGAGGTGTTTTTTCAAGCGGGGGTCGCTCCTGCTCTCCAACGCCGCCTCGTCCGTCAGTGTTAGTATTCATTGCATGCTGGGCTGGTGTTCACTGCACACAGCCTGAGTTCACATCACAGCACAGCACGGCACTCGGTTCGAAACCAAAAATAAATAATCAAAAAAATAAGCAAACACTTCCAAAAAATAAGCAATTTCGAACCGCAATGCTCGAGTTTTGACGACAAGATGCAGGACGACAGTCGATGTGAGACGACAGAGTCGAAATCATCATCATCGCTTTAGTAGCTGCATTAGAACAAAGGGGAAGAAGGGGAACAGGACGGGGGAAAGGGGGAAGAAGAGCGGCACCAATTCGATCTCACAACCGAAAAAAAAAAAAAAAAAAAGCAATGGAAGATTGGGAAACCATTGAGGTTTGACTTGCGTGTCTCTGTGTGTGAAGGGGGGAAGGGGGCGCCTTACCAGTGAAGACCGAGGCAATGGTCGAGCCGAGCAGCGAGCTCTTAAAGTCGTAGATCGGAACACCGTCTGTCGCCGACATCAACGCCACAGTCGATTCAATCTGATGTTGCAGAAAATAAAAATAAAAAAAAAGCAGGCTAATGTTAGATTGTCCAACACAACAGCAACAAGCAGCAGCCAGTCGGACTTGACCGAAGCGAGAGAGAGACGAGAGACGAGAGAGAAGCACAGGGCCCCTCAAACGAGATGAGAGGTTGAGAATGCGACAATGGGAGCGACGGATGGGAGAGAAAAACCGACCTTGCGAAAGCGCTTCAGGCGAGCCTTGTCGACGGGATCGTCCTTGTCGTCGTTCGGCATGGTTTTGTAGAGGAGAAGAAAATGAAAATAAAAAAAAGAAGAATGATGAATGATGAGCGCAGGTGAAGTTGAAATGCCAGTTGAAACCAAAATGCGTTGAAATTGAACGAAGCATAGGAAGTTGATCACGACTCAAGCAACCTTGCAACTCGCATTGGACAAATAGACATGGTTGATAATTTAATACTCTTTTCTATTTACTGTACATTAGAAATACAACTACAACGGTGTTAGCGAATAACAGCTGAAGTGACTTTTTGTGTGTTTCATGGTTCATTTCTCCATAAACCTTTTTCTTCTTCTTCTTCTTCTTCGTCTTCACTGCACAATCGGTGCGCGACGCCATGCCTGTTCCAAGGAGGAATTCTTTCGCCCAGTGGTCTTTGTGCTCTTGACGGCATTCTTTTGCTGGCGCGAGAAGATGCGCGAAATCAGACGCTTGAGTGCGCTCTGCTTCTCCTTGGACAGCTCGGCGCGCGCGGCAGCCAAAATGCGACGATCGCGCTCACGAATGCGGCGGACCAACTGGTGGAAGCACTGCTCGATATTGATGCGCAAGGCAGCAGACGATTCGTAAAAGTCGCAGCCGTGGCGTTTGGCAAGCGCTTGGCCCTCAATCATGGTGACGACACGGTTGGCCTCGAGATCGCACTTGTTCGCGACCAGCACGATGGGGAGATCGACTGGCGTGTCGCCTCCGTTTCGGCGGATTTGCTCAATGAGGCGCGGAATTTGACGGAAGGAATCGCGGTTGGTGATCGAGTAGACGAGCACAAAGCCGTGTCCCTGACGCATGTACTGGTCCTTCATCACTGAAAACTCCTCTTGTCCGGCAGTGTCGAGAATGTCCAATCGAGCAACCTCTCCGTCAACGTGGCATTGGTGGCGGTACGAGTCTTCGATCGTGGGATCGTAATCCTGAGGAAGAAGAAAAGAACGGAAAAAACGGAAGAAGAAAAAAAAAAAACGCCAAAGTGAATCAAAAACGCTCGCGCAATCTCCATTCTCCGTTGGACCTCTGTTTCACCGTTCGCCCCCCCCCCCCCAGTGATGCAGCCACAAACTGCGACCAAGCAATTCAACTTACATAATCAAAGCTGTTGCTGATGAGTTGGATGGTGATGCAGCTCTTGCCGACGCCGCCCTCGCCCATCACGACAATCTTGGTGTCTTGGATCGAGGTTCGTCGCTGTTGCTTTGTGGCAGCTGCAATGGAAGAGATGGAAGCCATGGCGTATGTGTGTGTGTGTGTGTGCGTGTTGTATGTCTCTTTTAAAACAAAAGATGAAACGAAATGAAGAGTGAAGCAGAACAGCATAGGAAAAATTTGGCTTAAAAAAGACGCTGAGGCTATTTTGGGCGTCGACGTCGGCAAAACCGATTTTTGTTCTTCAATGGAAAGCTGCTCAATCTGAAAATGCAGCAGAAAAGAGTTTGGGAAACAAAACTATAAATAACTGCAGCATGTTAAATCGTGGGGTCGTCTTCTTGTTTGTTTATCGCTGACAGCAACCATTGAGAAAACAAACGCAAACGATTGTCAATGATCGATCTGCAGTACTGGGTTGCTGATGCCACGATCTCAACTCAATTGTCACAATAACCAATAAAAACAAATAGAGTCAATAGTATGCAACGGCGGGGGTGGATTCTGGTGAAGCCCCGCCAGAATGATTTGTGAGTCTCGTTTCGGATGCAACAACGCAAGACTCTGTCGTGCCAGCTCTTGTCTTTTTGCTTTCTTTGTTGATGTCGCGGAGACTTCAATGATTGACTATGTACAGAATTGCTCAGATCTCTCACGGGTTGAAGGGCTGGCCAAGCAAGTCAGGTGGATCGCGCACTTCAGCGACTTTGAAAGGCGGTTTGACAACCACTGCGCAACACAGCGGCGATGGGCAGCATGGTACGCATCTCGGGGAGTGCAGCTCGCGAGCTCGATGATGAAACGCACTTCCATCCGCCAACCGTCGACCGACGACTTGATTTTCACAAAAACAACACACAAACAGCCAAACCCAACTTGGAACTCTGATAGGTTTCCGCAATTTCCTTCGACGCTTGTACCAATTGTAAATTATTGTTCCATTCATCACCGACATTCAATTCCATTTCCAATTCCATTTCCAATTCCATTTCAAGCTAAGACTTTCGAGGATCACTCTTTTGTTTTTGACTTGAATTTTGAACTTGGATTTTGCAAGACAAAAAAATGCCGAAATCTGACTCGCTCTTTGCGACTGCAGGTAAACAAACGCCCCACTTTTATCAAGATAAAGATTGTTTGTGTGTGTGTGCCTTTGTGATCTCATAACAAACCCGGACAATCGCTCTCCGTTGTGCTGATTGCAACTTGGCAACTCGGTCAAGATTTGCATGCAACGTTTGCAAACATGTCTATTTTTTGAAAAAATCATTGGATTTGTTTTGGATTGCGTTCGCTTCGCCCTTTTTCTCACGCTCCCTCCCCTGCACCCTCTCCTCCTCCTCCTCTCTATCTTCCTGCATGCAACGTCAGCCGCCATGTTCCCGCACTTGTACGGCGCTGGCCCGGTGCCCGGCGGCATGTTCCCCGACGTCTTCACCGAGTACGACTACGGTGACGGCGCTCCGCCCAAGACGCTGGTCGAGCTGACCATGATCCAGATGAGCGCCGCCGTCCGCAACAAGCCGAACTGGGAGACCAAGATGCGCGACCCCGAGATTGTCGCCAAGTGGCGCAAGGAGGCCAGCGACGCCTCGGCAGCGGGCCAAACTGACGTTCCGGTCACGCCCAAGATGCTCGACTACGTGTTTGAGGAGCTCAAGGAGTACGCCAAGTTCAAGCAGGAGCATGGCGGCAAGATTGAGCATGCTGCTGTCGACGGCACGTTCCAGGCGGACGGACTCGTGTCGGACGAGCTGCGCCAACGCCTGATTGCCGGAGTTGCTCGCCTCGAGGACGTCCCCGAGCACCTGAAGGACTGGCACCCGGGTAGCGATCGCCAGGTCCTGGATCTTGTGCATCCGTCCTTGTTCTGCCTCGTCTATGGGCGTACGCGCCACACCACCGAGCCGATCGTCGAGGCGCTTGGTTCGGTCGGCGGTGGCGAAATCATCCCATCGCCCCCTCCCCCGAAGTACCGCGACTTTAACACGTCAACCCAGTGCCAGTGGCTGCCGAGTGAATTCCACGTCGCCAAGGACGGCCGTGTCACGATCGAGTCTTACATTAACAACCTCCACCCCGTCGAGCACGCCGAACTCTACCCTGTGCTCGCCAGCGTCTTTGAAGAGTTTGTTCCGCTGTTCAATCTGACTCTGACCGCGATGCTCAAGGAAGAAGACAAGAGCCATCTCCGTGTGCAGCCCGGCGACTGGTATCGTCCGCGCGAGCGTCGCCAGCGCCCCACCACTTCTCCTGCCACTGCTCCTGCTCCGGGCGACGGAGACGGCAACGACGACGACGACGACGAGGACTCATGGGAAGATGAGCACGACGACGAGGATGACGAGGATGACGACGATGAGTTTGACCCCGAGTCGTACTTTGGCATCTTCACCATGCCCGAGCCGGCCAAGTACCAACCGCCCAACGCCGACGACGCGTTCCCTCCGTTCGACCTGCGCGGTACCACCCTCCAGGTCATTGTGAAGCTGGCCAACATTTGCCTGACCCCGGAAAACCCAACCTACCAGGGCGGCTCCTGGCACGTCGAGGGCATGCGCAACGAGAAGATTGTTGCGTCTGGCATCTACTACTACCAGCAGGAGAACATCACCGAGTCCAACCTCGACTTCCGCCAAAGTGTCGGCGAGCCCGACTATGAGCAGAACGACAACAACGGCGTCCGCAGGGTTTACGGCCTGGAGGATGGCGGCGAGCTGAACCAGCCGCTGGGCGGCATCGCGACCAAGGACAATCGCTGCATTGCCTTCCCAAACACGATGCAGCACCGCGTGCGCTCGTTCCAGCTCCTGGACCCGACCAAGCCTGGCTCGCGCAAGATTCTGGTCTTCTTCCTCGTTGATCCCCACGAGCGCATTCCGTCGACCAAGCACATTCCCCCGCAGCAGCGCAGCTGGTACATGCAAGAAGTCTCGAGCGCGCCCATCTTCCCGCCAACGATCCCCCCGGAGCTTGTTGACGAGATTCTGGATCGCGCTGATTGGCCCATGGGGCTCGAGGAGGCCAAGCAGCACCGCGAGACGCTCATGAAAGAGCGCAAGCGCTTTGTCACCGCCAACAACGACGCGGTGTTTGCGCGTGAGTTTTCGCTGTGCGAGCACTGATTTTGTTTTCTGTTCTTTTTTTTTTTTTTTTGCGGTCAAGGGATGTTGCAGTCGTCGTTGTATGTTTTTGCCTTGCGTTCCCGCCTCTTTCTGCGTTTTCGTTTTCTTCTTTCTCTTCTTCTTCTTCTTGTTTTTCTCGTTGGATTTCGTGCCAATCTAACAGTGTTATTTCACGAAACGCACAATAAAGCATGTTGCAGAAACACCAAAAAAAAATGCTTTTGTGTCTGCTCAATATCGTCGCTTCAGCATTCCGGGTTTCCAGTTCAATGGGTGCGATTCGGGAGTCTGTGCGTGAGATTGGAGACAAAAGATGAGCAAGAGACACCAAAACAAACCGATCCAACCACAGAAACACGGCACGCTCAACAAGACACAATGCGTACCGCAGTCTCGTCTTCCTTGTAAACCTTGATCGTCTTGTCGAAATCGCAAGTCAAATACCGTGCGCCAGACATGTCGAATGTGGACGCATACATGCCAGCCTCGCTGTCCAACGAGCCCTATCACATACAGAAGAGGACGAACTGAGAATCCGGGACTTTCGAGAGGAATGATTTTCAAAAAAAAAACCTCTGCTTTTGACATACCGATTGCACAGGACTGGAGAGTTGCTGGAAGTTGTATCCCGTCTTATAGTCCCACGCGAAAATCGTACCATCGCCACCGCCGGACATGAGGACATTGTCGTGGTTGACAGCCACAGTGTTGATAATGGTGTTGTGGCCTTCCATGTTCTGGAGGAACATGCCGTCGGGGAAGCGCCATTGCTTGATGTTGTCAGCGCCGCCCGACACGAACGAAAACCTACGCGATCGAACAGAACGTGCGTGAGACCTCCCTGTCAGACACAATCCAACCAAAGTTGCAAAAAAAAAAAGCAAAACTCACTCGGTTGGATGGAGTGCCAATGTGCGAACGCTCTTTTTGTGGTTGGTCAGAACAACGCGGGTCTTGCCGGCAGCCAAGTCCCACAGGCGAATGGTATGATCGGCACCACCGGTAATAACCTGAGAAAGGAAAAATTGGGGGAGGGGGAAAAAAGCAAATCCACCCAATCCATCCAAATCAGCGAGGGGCTGAGCTTGCTGTCACTCGCGTCCACAACAAAGAAAAACCAACAGACCACAACGCACCTGTGGGTCGGCAGCTTGGGTTTTGACAACATCAATCTGCGACTTGTGCCCTGTCAAGACATGCACACAAGCTTTTGTTCGCATGTCCCAGACGCGAGCAGTGGCATCGCGACTGCCAGTCACGAGCACGTCAAGGGTGGGATGCAAGTCCATCGTGTACACGGCCGCATTGTGGCCGTGGTAATGCCGGATGACCTTGTTGCTCTCCAAGTCCCAGCACTTGACCGACTTGTCTTCGGCGCACGAAAACAAGTACGGGTGCCGCGCAGACACGGCCAGCGAGCGCACCGACGAAATGTGACCCGTCAGCGACAGCCTCAAGGTGCCGCTGGCCAAGTCCCAAACCTTGATCATGCGGTCGGCCGAGCCCGTGACAAACCATTGATTGGTAGGATCCATCGCTATGCAGTAAACCAGGCCAGTGTGACCGCTAATCACGCGCATCAGCTTCCACGGCGGATGCCAATCTGGCTTGGGCATCTTTGGTGCGCTGGCTTGCAACGCCAGGGCACGTGTCTGTGGGAGAGCTGCCGCAGCCGCTGCCGCAGCTGCTGCTGATTCTATCCGCGCGTCAAGAAGAACGAGGATGAGCGAGCGGTCCAGTGAAGCAGGCAAGAAAAGGCAAATACTCACGAAGTACTGGGTTGGATCGACCCTGCGATACCACCATCGCGCGAGATCTGTTTAGAGTGATTGATGCACCGCAAAGAATTGCAAGACATGAATGAGTGCCAGCGACACATGCAGTCGGGAGCAGCTAGCTGCAAACGGAAAACATTACGAAGCATCGGTCGAGCCAGTCACAACTGTGGCCACGTTTCCAGCCGCGCCGTTTGTTAGCATCAGCATGCTGGCTGGTGCAGATCCATTCTGCGCAACCGCAGCAGCGGCACCAGCAGCAGCGGGTCCAAGAGGGCCAGCCGACCCTTTCTGAGCAGCCTGCAGACTGAGATGCGAGTACTCGTCCTGGAATTTCGCGTCCAGACACAACCTGACACTGTGGATCACACAAGCACAAACCAAACCAAGCCCACATTTCATTCGAGTTGAGTGTTTTTGTTTTTTGGATGTGTCGATCCAGCAACGTCGGTTTTTGTATGGAGTTGCATTGGGCTGAGATCTGTACATTTTTCTCGACCCGTCCCTCCCGCCTGGCCCCCCGCCCCACGGCTCCATGCCGCCGCCAGACCCAAGACTCCAAAGACCCAAAGACCCAGAGAGTCGGTTTGCTCGAACGGTTGAGCTTCTGACGCAGGTCGCCTCGCTTGATCTCGTTCCAGCTCTCGTTCTCTCGCTCTACTCGCTGTACCTTGGGTGCTCGACGGGGATCTCGACTGGGGCGCCATAGTCTGACAAGAACATGTCGTGTGTTCGCTTGACGGATCGGAAGACGAGCGTCTGCAGCGAGTGCTGTGGCACTGGCTCATCGTTGCCAATGCTGTCGTTATTGTCTGCAAAGGACTCGGTCGTCGTTGGCTCGACTTCCATGATTAAAAAAAAAAAACTCAGACTGAACCTTGTTGGTCGAAAATAAACAGCAAACAAGAAACAACCATCCAGTTTGACAATTTCATTGATTCAGGCAATGTTCTGTACACAATATTGAAAACTCGGTGCGTGTCGCCGCACAGAGCTCATCATCTTCAGAAAAGAAAACAACAACACGCATTGATCGAGGCTAGGGGTTAAAAAAAACGGGCTTGCTCGTCAGCGAGCAGAGGGTCGGGCGTCACGAGAACCGGCAGCCTGCAGCTTGGCAAACAGCCGAACGTAAAACTCGGGCGGGTTGGGCTTTGTCATCCTCAGGCGAGCGTATGCGATGCGCTCCATCAAGGTAAGTGGCTTGTCGTCCTCGTCGTCGTCCTCGTCATCGTCGTCCTCGTCATCGTCGTCGTCATCATCGTTGGATTCCCAGGCAGAATTGTTCAGAGACATGGCGTGCATTTCATCAGCTAGCTGCGTTCCTTGAGCACATTCAAACGTCGCAATCACATCGGGCCTATCAAAGCGAGCACCGCCACCTTGCATTCGAACAGGAACAGAGGTATCACCGCCACCTTGCGCTTTAGGAATTGGTTGCATCATGTCAGATAAAGAAGCTTGCAAAGCAGCACGGACACCACCAATGACACCAAGGGCACTAGCGATGAAACCAGATCCAGAACTCTCAGAGGGAGAGGTGAGGCAAACGTCCACATGCTCGTTGAACTCTTCGAGTGACACGCCAGTGAACTGCTTGCTGCAAATCGGGCAATCATACTGCGCCATCGACAAGGTGGCGGTTCTGATTGCAGCATACGATCCGTCGGAAGAAGAGGAGGAAACAGCCCGAGCAGGAGCTGGCGCTGGCGAGAAGGCAGCGTTGGATCGGCTTGCAGCGAAGGAAACGGCCGGAGCTGCTGGCGCTGGCGAGAAGGCAGAGTTTGATCGTCTTGCAACTGAGGGAACAACCTGAGCAGTGGGAGCTGGCACGGGCGAGGAGGCAGAGTTTGATCGGCTTGGAGCAACCGGAGCTTGGGCAACTGTCGCCATGGCCATCGCACGCGCCGCAGAACCACCCGTGACGAGAGGCTTGCCGCGCGCTGCGCGAGCTTCGGGGGCGCGTGCACCCAGAGCTTCGGGCCTCGGTAGACTCGACTGCTTCTTTGCCTTGACACCGGGTGAAGCTGGTGCTGGTGGAGCAGCACTGCCATCAGCTGAGCGAGATTGGCTCGGCAACGAGCGAGAATTGATGACAAACCTGACTGGCATCGTTTCTGTTGAACGTCCGGCCGCATAAAGGTCGCCTGATTGTGGTTCCCGGCCTGAAATCCACGTTGTATTAGCTTGAGCTTCAAGCATCTCGGAGTCTGGGAAGGCACTTTGACAATCGGCGCTTTGAGCAACCAGTTTCCACTCTGAATCCGTCTCGATTTCGCTCCGGAGTGAAGCACCCAAGTCTGCTGGCATCTCTTGTTGATCAGCTGTAGTAGCATGGAATGACGACACTGAAGGTGAGCCGTAACCGAACTCTGACGGCATCTCCACCGATCGCTGGAGTGGAGAACGGTCGTGACTGACTTGGGCGTAGTTTTGATCCAACAGTGATGGATTCAAAAAAGCATTAAGGTTGAACTCAAAATCGGGCGGAAAAGGGGCTTCCGGATCTAAAGCAAGACCAACCGGGAAATCGGCGTTGGAGCGCACCGCCTGCGCGAATCTTTGTGTGTCCGCATCGACTGATGTATCGAGGGGAGACGATGAACTGGAACTAGACGAGTCGGAAGAGAGCTGATCGAAAGAGTTTCCCGTCAGAATTGCGTACAGCCGTTCCCTGTTTGTGTCGCTTAGGCGCCATTTGAACCAGCTTGTGCTGTAGGCTTCAGCAAAGTCTTGTCCCGTGACACCCGTTGGAGGGGATTTTGCGCCATGCAGCCGTACAAACTGCGTAACTTGAGACGCCGACCATGTTGTTGGGTTGGAAACACACGTTGAAAAGTGTATCCTGATGTCGTGGACTAGCTTGAAACTCGTGTAGCAGAACGGACAGACAAACGAACGAAGTCCAGAGTGCTGCAGGACGTGGCGTTCAAAATTTTTGCGTACTCTTGGCTTTGGGTCGCATCCCATCCAAGTGCACGAATACCCTTGAGACGGTTCGAGTTTGCCCAAGCGCTGCGCCTCGACGACATGAACAACTTTCAGGTGGCTGTTCAACTCCTGCGCGCTTTGAAAGCGCAAAGTGCAGCCCTGCCACAGGCAATCTGAGATGCTCCGGTCAATTCCAAAAAAGGGCAAAAAACTGAGACTGTGGCAAACCAAAAACAGACGACGACCCAGCAGCAATAACAACAACAACAACAACAATAACAACAACAACAAGAACAATAATCGACGAGAGTAACAGCGAGATTGGTCGGGATGGAACATGATCTGCGCTCGTCGGATTTGGTTTGTTTTGTTTTCTTTGTTTTTTTTTTTCCATTGGAGATTTGCTGTCCTGAGCCGGTCATCAATAATAAATAATAATAACAACAAAAGAAAAATAATAACTAAATAAATAAAAAAGAAAAATACAGAATAAATAACAGAGGGAATGAATCAGGCGGGAAGTCTTCCCTCTTCCGCTGTCCCGTCGTCATCCGAGGCGGAAGGAGGGGAGGGTAGGGGAAGGGGAGAGGGGGATGATTAGGGAAGCAGGGATTTGGGAGGAGTGCGGTGTTGGACAGGGGGGGGGAGCAAAAACACGATGAAAAGCAAAGCAACTTAGTCCGACTGGTTTGAGAGGCAGGGGTGAGGGAGGGGAGGGGGAGGGGGGAAGGGAGGACGAACGAAGGGAGGCGCATCCATGGTGAGGTGGACTTTTGATAGACCGGGGGGAGGGAGGGGATTGACGGCTGAAAGGGAGGGAAGGAGAGAGGGAAGGGGCAGAAGGAGCGGCAGCGACAGATCGCATGGAAAGAGAGAGAAAAGGGAGGACGAACATGGCAGAAGGGAGATGAGAGGGACTACAAAAGTTGGGAAGGGGGGTTAGGTGGGAAGCGGGGTTAGGGGGGAGAGAGAGAGATTGTGCTTGGCTTTACCCATCTGCTCCAAGACTTGAACAATAGACTGAGACTGAACAATAGACTGACCTCTGTCTAAACTGACTCTGACTGTCGACGTGGTTTGATGTTGATTCGCAGTGCTCGCTTTCAACTTCACTTGACTTGCTCATCTTCATCCTAATGCTTTGCTGCTGATCCATTGCTTCAGTCGTACTTTTGCTGTTGTACTTGCTTCACCCCCCCCCTCCCCTCTCTCCCTTTTGACACAACAGAAACATGAGCGACGCGTACTTTGCTGCAGACGGATCGAGCGCGCTGATTGCCGGCGATTCCGTCCCGGCGTCGTCGTCGTCGTCCCAGCAGCAGGCCGACCAGCCGCCGCAGCGAGTGAGCGTCGGGGCGTCGTTCCTGGGCGAAGGTCGCGGCGGCGGTGAGGGCGCCTTCCTCGCCTCGCGCATGGCACGGGCGTCTGGGTCTGGGTCTGCGTCTGGCCAGGGGTCTGCGCAGCTGGGCGCTGGCGGGCGCATGGTGATGGGCTCGGCGGCAGGGCGACCGGGAGCTCCAGCGCCGCCGACCCAGCCAATGCCGCTGGTGTACACGCGCGTTGCGTCGGACTCGCTGGACGGCGATATCGAGGCTGCGTTCAAGCAGTACTACGTGATGAACATTGTGTCGAACAAGGCCGTGACGGCGAGCTCGCTCGTGCCGCCCGTCATGATGCACCGCGAGTCCGTCTCGTCTGCGATGGCGTCCATGCTGAACGAGCCGACGGCCGAGGACCTGGCTGCGCGTGCCTCTGCAGCAGCACGGATGCTGCGTGACGACACGCCCGAGCCCGAGACTGGCCAAGGAAGCACGCTCGGCGGCAGTCAGAACGAGCGCCGGAGAAAGCGTTTCCAGCAGATGATGGCCAACCGCGTCACCAATGTCGACCGATTGAACTGGGTGCTCACGGACGCAGACGCGGCAGGACACACGTTCGTGGGCAGGCGCGAGGACACGGGAAAGAGCTCGTACATGCTGTTCGTCTCGCAAGGCACCCACTTTGAGGTTGTCCCGGCCGCCAAGTGGTTCAAGTTTGTCCCAAAGATCCACTACAAGACCATGTCGCTCGACGAGGCCGAGGAGGAGATGAGCAAGGGTCGTCGTCTCGAACGCGAAATCCAGTCAAAGCTGATCAAGCAAAAGGAGGACGAGGACGGGTTGCTCAAAGCGAAAGGTGCGTTGATGTTGTTTGTTGTCTCTCGATGTTTCTCCCTTCTCTCGCTCACTCTTCTCTTGAATGTTTTTGATGTTTTTTTTCTTTGCAGTGGAGGACGACGACGAGTTTGTGACGGTCAAATCCAACAACGACGACGACACCAGTGACTTTGCAGCGGCCAAAAAGAAGTCGCAGAGCAAAAAGGCTCGACGTCGCACACCTGGCGCCAACGGACGCGAAGAGGATGCCGATGATATGGACATTGATGATGACATGTTCGACGACGATGAAGAGGAGGAGAAGGGCGTGCCGACTGTTGAGGTAGGCTTGTTATTGGCTTGTCCAATTGCGTGTTCGAAAACCCAAACCCCGAGACGCTTATCGTTTTCTGGCTGGTTTTTTTGCTCTTCTTAGGACATTGAAGCTCGCGATGAGGAGGACGAGCTCATGGAGCTCACAGCTGCGGGCAGGGTAAGAGCGTGACATGCACCTCTCGTTGTCTTTGGTGCATCTTGATTTAATGATTGATATCTTGTTCGTGTGCTTGGATGATGCTGTGCAGCAAACAAGTCGCTTGGTGAAACGAGAACAAGATGACGAAGACGAAGCTGAAGACGTACGTTTGTTGATTCCTGTTGATCCAATCGAAACCAGCTCTGCATTTCATTGACTCGATGTGTGCTGTAGGCCGCCGCAAGTGCACTTGCAGCTCACCAGTATCCATCAGCAAAACCGTTCAAGCGCGCAGCAGATGAGACCGAGACGTCGCAATCAAAGAAGGTGTGTAAGCAATTTTGGCTGTTGTTCCGCGACTTGAAATTTGGCTCTCAATTGAACACGTTGTCGGTCTTTTGTTATTGTGCAGCCCCGCTTGGACGGAAGCGACGCTGGTTCGGCCAAAAGTAAAACGGAGCCCGCTGCAGCTGCTGCTGCTGCTGCCGCCGCCGCTGCGCCCAAACCCAAAACCGACAAGACGACACTCGACGATGCGGTTGTCATCCGATTGCTCGCGCGAAAGCCGCTCTCCAGCAAAGATCTCACACACGCGCTTAAAAGGTATCTCACGGATGAGGCCAAAAAGACGCGCTTGCGAGATATTGTCAAGCGCCTGTGCTCCATCATAACGATCGACGACAAACCGCTCATTCAGCTCAAGCCAGAGTACATGCCAAAATGAACTCGACGTTGACGGTGATTTGCATTGACCATGCGTACTGTTGCGTTCAATGGCAGTCGGTTGTCACTTGGTTTTTGCGGGGGACAAGTGTTTTTCAACAATGTTCCAGAATTGACTTTATTCTTGCATCCATTCTAGCAGCTGAAAGGGGAAAAACTACTTGTTGAAACAAGCGAAAAATGCTAACATGTTGTATTCACAAAAACAAACGACCATCAACCCCAAACAACAGGTCGTCGTCCCTTATAGGGGCCCGGTCGGAGCTTGTGCGAGTGGTTGCTGCGGTGCAAGTGGTGCTTGTTGTCGTTCGGCCTCCTGGGCGTGGTACCGCACCAAGCTCTCGTGGAGATGTCGCTCCATGGCCTTGGCATCTGCTCGGCAGAGAAGGCCTTGCCCGACCATTTCGCGAGCGACGGAGGATGGCTTGTCCTTTTGAAGCGAGTACAAAAAGACAAGCTCGCGAGTCATGTTCTCTGGCATCACTATGCTCACGCCGAGGCGGATCATACCCTCTCCCTCTGGCTCAGCAATGCCATGCAGCAGGTTGAGGGCACGCCGCGACTCTTTCAGATTGATATTGGCAAGGGTTCCCCAGGCGCCGTCGGCCACCTCGCGCAGGAAATCGTTCAGCTGCTTCGGGAGCTGCTTGGGCGAGTACGGCACGTTGGTGCGCAGAATGTAGTGCGCAGCCATCACCTTGAGCATGGGAACTTCGTGCAAGAATCGATGGTAGAGCAATTCTTCGGCATTTGGGCTGTGGCATCATAGGCAGCAAGCACACAAAGGAAGGAAGCATTGTGTATACAACGTTAGCAGGGTTTTTCGCTTCAGCAACTGTGCTGCGGAAGCGAGGATGGCACACTGTACCGAATCTCTTGCGGCGCAAGACAGGCAGAAATGAACTCGATGAGATCTGGATCCGTGAGCCGCTCGAAAGCCTGGGGTTTGTCGCCGCGAAGGACCTTCTGATAGAGCTCAACCGCGTTGGCACACTCGCTGTACGGCGTCTCTTCGGTGGCAATTTCAAGCACACACATGCCGAATGCGTAGACGTCGACCTTTGGCGAGTACCCGTCCTTGCCAGCCGCGTCCTCCATGGCCTGGAGCTCGGGAGCTTCGTACTGCGATGCGTCGGCGACTGTTCGAACATGCGTTCGGATGTCGTCCAGGCAAATGGCGCCGACCTTGGCAAGGCCATTGTGCATCAGAAAGATGCTGTCGCACCTCACATTTCCGTGGATGATTGGAGGAACCATGCTGTGCAGGTAGCGCAGTGCAGAGAGAATTTGCCGACACCAGCGCTTCCACACCTTGGGGCTCACAACCTTGTTGTTCTTTTTGTTCTTGCGGAGATATGCGCGAATGGTGCCAGAAGTCATGGACTAGAAGCAGCACAAGAAAAAAAAAAAAAAAGACACAGGTGGGTCAAATGAACCATCCGCACAACCAGCAACTTTGTGTTTTGTGTGTGGAGACGTACCTCTGTAATAAACACAAGACGCTGTTGGTCGTTATCCACCCAAAAGTCGAAGAAACGAACCAAATTGAGATGTTTGAGCTGAGTAAAGTCGGTAAACTTTTGCTTCAAGCGCTCCTGGTCTGTCGCCGTCAGTCGTTTCGTGGTGAATGTGATCTGATGGGAGGGACAAGTGCGCAAAGGGTTTGTTGGTCTCGATTCGAACGTGTTAACAGTTGGAGATGCAAACGCTTACCTGGTTCCAAACGACCTCAAAGCCTTCCTCTGTATCGTACGCCAAATGCGCCTCATCGATGCCTGTTGATTCTTTCAGCATCACCTGTCAAAAGCCAGAGCGCAATCCATGAGTACGACAGTGATGGTTCCAATCGATAAATGGAGTGCTTCTCAGAAGCTCTGAGTAGTTCAATCGACGCAAAACCTGACCAGTTGCTCTCCTCTAGTTATTGTTCAACTGCGCTCTCGACATGTCTGAGTGAACGAGTACGCTCAGAAGCCGAAATCTCTGAGAACTCCCCAAGTCGTCTCAGAAACCAGTCCGTCCTCCGAAGGCTTCCCTCACCTTATCCCCCTCCACCAAGTCGCTCTCTGCATGTCTCATAAACCTCCCCCCCCTCATCTCCCTCCTTCCTCCCTCAGACTGAGATTACCTTCTTGCGCAGCTTTTGCCAGCGCCCGTTTGGACTCGTCTCCAGAATGTCGTTGTCGCTTGTCTCGCCATCTGCGTCCTTCGTGCTAGCTGCTGCTGGTGGTGCTGCTAATGCTGCAGTGTTGCTCGTATCTGCAGTGGCTGCAGTGGCAGTGGCAGTGGCAGTGGCAGTAGCGGGTTGTTGCTTTGGCTGGGCTTCCATTGTCGTCGCAGCTGCCATTGCAGCCGTCGTCGTCGTCGTCGTCGTCGTTGCACCCGTCGTTGCAGCCGTCGTCGTTGGGGCTGCAGCGGGTGTGCTTGCTAATGGCGCGCTGTTGGACGCTGGCACTCCGTTGTTGTTGGTGCCATTGCCAGCCATTGACGAAGCCATCCCCCGAAAGTAAGTCAGTCAGTCAACGCTGCTGCTACAAGAGAACTGAACTCAATGCTCAATCTGAAAGAAGCCCAAAAGCAGTGAATGTACAAGCCAGTACAATGCAATATGAGACGATACAATGGGAGATCCAAATGGTGACTTTGAAATCGATGCTCAATGTCAACGCACTCTACAGAGTTCCATTGCGTTCAGTCTCTGACTCGCTCATTCTGTCTTACTGTACTTGTAAAACCTGTCAAAACCGAACAACCCAGTCTCAGTCTCAGTCTCTTTTTTTTTTGGTAAATGCTCAGATTGATCGCTTCAGCCACGGCAACCGCTGCGCCTTCCGTTGTTGCGCGTTCGCTTCTTCTGCCGATGCAACAAGGTGCACGATCAGCACTCGGAGGAGGAGCAACGACGACGAGCGCAGTGATGCTGGTGCAGCAGGCCAAGCGCGACCTGTGTGGCTGCCAACTGTCCGGCCTGGTTGGCTTTGATCACGATCACGAACATGATCATCATCATCATCATCATCGTGATCAGAGCAACTTGAATCAGGCTCAGGCTCAGGCTCAGAGGCCCAAGAATGAGCGGTCGAGTGCTCAAATCCCGCTCGCGTCGTCCGTCTCGCTCCAGTCAATGGTCAGGTCACTGCCAACGCGCAACGCGTCAACCTCAATCCCGAAGGACGTCGGACTCCAAGTCCACCATGACTATGGCTTTGAGGTATGCCAAGAGACTTGCACAGCGCATACTGTCATCTGTATCTCACAGTGAGTGATTGTGCATCAATCTGCTTGGTTAGGTTACTGCAAATCGACTCAAATTTGGACGAGACGTGATTCACGAACTCGGCAACGCCATGCTCGACGTAAGGCTTTACAAGAGCGATTAACGCAATGGAACACTGTGTGTGTGGTGGGTTGTTTTCTGTATCGCGGTGCACGGCTGACGTTTTTGGCGAGTTTATGTCCATGCCCAACTCGGATTTGGTTCTAGGAACTGCGTTTGCAACACATTACCGGCCGTCGTGTCATGGTGCTCACAGATCCTCGCATCGCCAAACACGAGCGCTTCCAGCATGGCATTAACTCGCTGCTGGCCGCTGGGCTGGACGTATCCGTGTTCCAGGATGTTGCGGTAAAATGGGGTGCTCCACAATGACGATTTGTGTGTGTGTGTGATTGGTTGGCTCACCGTGCACGTCCAACACAGGTGGAACCCACGGACGACAGCTTCTTGGCAGCAGCCAAGTATGCAGCGGACGGCAAGTTTGATGCCTTTGTGAGGTAATTGTTTGGCTGGTTTTCGTGATGGCACAGATTTTTCCAGCGGCTTTCTATTGGTGCTCACGCATCGTGCTCGCACGAATCACTTGCTGGTAGCATTGGTGGCGGGTCTGTCATTGATACGGCCAAGGCTGCCAATCTGGTCTCCACGTTTCCGCATCCAGAGGGCCTGCGCGCGTACATTAACGCGCCAATCGGTCTTGCGGTCACTCCTCCTGGGTATGTTCCCTTGATAGACGAAGAGTTGGGATTGGTTGCTTGACTCGACTCGTGCTTGTCTTTTTGGCGCGACACTCGTGAGGGGCGACTCACAATCTCGACTGTTGGACCTTCTCATAGCACCCTGAAGCCGCACATTGCCTGCCCCACCACCAGTGGCACGGGTGCGGAATGCACTGGATTTGCCGTTTTCGATTTGGTCAAGATGAAGTCAAAGACTGCGCTGGGTAGCCGCTTCTTGATTCCCTCGATGGCGATCGTCGATCCAGGCTTTATCGACACCCTCCCGCCCGCAGCTGTTGCCGCCAGTGGATTCGACGTCCTGTCGCACGCGCTCGAGTCGTACACGGCGCGCCCTTACAACAAGCGTCCCCTCGCTGCGGGCACGACCAAGCGCAACATTGTGCGCCCGTTGCACCAGGGATCCAACCCGTACTCTGATCTTGGATGCCTGCAAGCGCTTGCCATCTGCGGCGAGTACTTGGTTCGTGCCGTCAACGACCCCACCGATGTAGAGGCGCGCACGCAAATGAGCTTTGCCGCCACCCTCGCTGGCATTTCCATCGGCAATGCAGGCACGCAGGTTCCCCATGGCTTGTCCTACCCCGTCTCTGGTCTCGGAGTGACGCGAAGCTACCATCCGGGCGATGGCTACCCAGCCAAGGAGCCCATCATCCCGCACGGCTTTAGCGTGATGCTTCATGCTCCATCGGTAACCAGCGGATCTCCTCCTGTTGCTCTTATACTTTGATTATTGGTTGATTGGTGGCTTTCGCAACGTTTGCTGATGTTTTGGTTGTGGCTGTTTGTGGTTGGTTGTGATTGGTTGTGGCTGTTTGTGGTTGGTTGTGGTTGTTCAGAGCTTTTTGAAAATTGCCGAGCACGAGCCAACCAAGCTTCTCCGTTGCGCAGAAACACTGGCGCGTGCGATGGGTCGCAATGTTGACAAGGTTTTGGGCAATGGCGTGGCGCGGCCGCAGGACAGCGGAGCTATCGTTCACGCCCTGTTGGTGGATATCATGAAGGGAACTAAAGTTTGCCCCAGCGGATTGGCTGCCGTCGGTATCTTGGAATCGGACATTCCGTTTCTTGTGGAGCGTGCCGTTCCGCAGAAGCGAGGTGAGTGAACAGGCGTCTCTGGTTTTCTTGAAGGAACGGCCAACATTTTTGTCTGAAACTCATTCTGGTGACTTGTTTTTGTTTTTGCTGTAGTCCTCGACAATGCTCCCTTTGCCATCACCCCGACAGACATTGCCGACATTTACAAGAACTCTTTCAAGTACTGGTGAACAATATTCCAACGCTGGGAAATTGCATTGCATCGTTTTTGTGTTTTCCCAAAAAACAACAATCGCTCAAGCTCACAACGCAATAAACGCTGTTCATACACCAACATCGGCTTGCTATCAGCTTGTATTTTATTCATACATCATACATTCAAGTATAGATCGCACGCAGTCTTAGAATTCACGAAATGTTGCGCTGTCAAATTCAGCCAACTCGCTCAGGTTAACAATCCCACCACGAAACCCGACCAATTGTGATCTTGTTTAACTAAACTTGTGATTGTCTTGTGTGTTTGCAGGCGATGATGCTGATGATGATGATCGAGCTGGAGCTCGGCTGGTCTTCACTGGGTCGGATTCAACCGAATTGGCAGTAGCAGCAACCGTCCCGACGCTGGCAGCCATCATCCGCCGAGGACACGGACAATCGACGAGTGCGATTGCATCGTCATCACTGCTCGAGTCGCCTGCGGACGATGAGTGGGCGTCTGGCGCAGTAGTGGATGCGCACACGGCCGAGCTGGTCATGCTGCAGCTGGACCGGACGTTGCTGCAGCCGGCTCTGCAAGCATCCAAAGCAAGCAGAGTACAAGACAGGGACTCCCATGACAATGGCAATGGCCGCCGTGGTGGAGAAGTTAGTCAAAGCAGGCTGGTTGCAGACAAGCGCTGGATTGCTGCGTTCGCGCCGGAATCGGATTCTCAGACAATCCACGTCGAATTCCCAGCCATCGCCATCCAGCTGGAGACAGTCACATTCACTGCTGCAGATCCGCATAACGCTGCTGGTATGGGGGTTTTCTCACAATCTTTTGTTGCATCCCGGGTGTTTTTTTGCCGACTGCTGTCTGACAATCTTGTTGCTTTGTTTGGTTGCTTGCTTGGTGATGTAGCCATTATCAAGGCCCTACTTGCTCAAGTCACCGCCCCGGATGCTACGCGACCACTGCTGCTTGTGCAGGGAGACTCGTTGAATATTTCTGTGCTGCGAAGTGGCCTCCAAGTCCGCCAAGACGAACTCGTCGCGTTATCTGGGATACAGATTACTGCATGTGTACCGTCTCTCGCTGGAATTGTCGCAAAAGGAACCACACGGTGTGTATTTACTCAAAATCTGCAAAAGTCTGCCCGTGAAGTCTCGCCGGCGCGCGTGCTCCAGCCTCTAACGACGCGACCAGAGCCCGCCAAAGCCCCACTCCTCCATTTCGGCCTGCAAAGCCCCGTCAGCTCGTTGCCATTGCATCCCTGGCCGTTCCTCGACTATGTGCCAATAGCTCTGCCGAATATTGATTTGCACTCCTCCGTTGGCTTGACGGTGAGCACGATGGTCTCGCTGGGCCTCTCGGCAGGCTGCTTTGCCACCATTGCACTCGCAACGCAGCCTACAATCACCCGTCTCATCTCTGTACATCCCGTGGCGAAGCCATCGGTGCTGGGACTTCGATCCGCAGCAGCGAATTGCGCTCCAGTGGGACATTTGTGGCAGGACAACTTGGCGTACATGTCCTTTGGGCTGTTGTTCAATTTGACAAACGCGTCGAACAGCGGGGCGCCTCGCCACTTCCCTTTCGTACAACCAGATCAATGGCAATCTGTCATTATTACTCCTGTGGCGCAAGAGCCAGAGTTTGCAGCCACCGCTACCATCGCCGAACTCCACGCCAGTACCGAGACGTTTTCTCCCGCCGACCGCGACGCCCGTGTCGCTGCTCGAGACCAAGCCCTTGTTGCCTTCTTTTCAATTCCTCGCCTGCTCGCTCGAGGAGATGTGTTTTCAGTTTGCATCGAGTCAAAGCAGGCGCCACAATTGCCCGGTCCACGCCATTTGCATTTCGTTGTCAACGAGCTGACAGCGCCGTCGTCAGCACAGCCTGACCACTCCGTTTGGGTTGACGTCGAGCGCACTCGGCTTGTGAGCCATCTTTCTGCGCAAGGTTTTGCTTGTCCGCGCTTTGAAACCTCGCAGCTGGCTCGTGCCCTTTGCGGCGACAACTGGCGTGGGTCAGAGTTGACGCGTGCCTGTGCTCCAGTCGGTCAAGCAGACACCTTTTCTCGGATTCTCGAGCTGGCAAGATTCACATTCCAGCACCGCCAAAACTCTGCGCTTCTCGTGCATGGCGCTTCGGGTGTTGGTAAATCTACGTTGCTTTCCACTGCCGCTCGTGCCATGGGCGTTTACTTGGCCGTCTTTGACTGCCGCGCGCTTGCATCAGGCAGCGACGTGTCGGAAGCGCAGGCACTTCAACAATTGACTCTGTTTTTGGATCAGGCGAGCGATGCTGGGCCTGCGATCACCGTGCTGGACCACATTCACCTTTTGCGCTCAGTCGAGCGCGACGCGCAAGTTCGACAACAGCGCTCTGGCGGGATGGCAGCGCATGCTTCTGCGCACGAAGCCGTGTGGCCCGCAGCGGCCAATCTCCTCAGTCAATGGCTCGCCCAGACAACAACCGGCGGCTCGAAATTGCTCATCGGCAGCTGCACTGGGAAGCCAGAATCGGTGTTGAACGATATTCGGGATGTTTTCGTGCAAGATTTGCACGTCGACCTGCCAGAAATGGCTCAGCGACAAGCCATTTTGTCCGATTTGTGCACTGCGTCCGAGTTTGCTCCGGTTGAGGACCAGCTCGAGAGCATGGATGAAGCTCTGATTCCGCACCTGGCACTTGGTGCAGGAGTATCGCAAGTGGTACGTTCTCGGGTTGCTGCGGACGTCGATTTGTCGGCAATCGCGAAAAACACTGCGGGCGCGTCCCCGCGAGACCTTTGCCGACTCGTTTGGCTCGCCACATGCCGTGCAACCGACCGATTTACGAGTCTCTTGTCCAATCAGCAAATCCGTGAAACTAGCCGGTTCAGCTCTCCAACGACCGATGGCATCAGCAGCCACGAGCAGATCGACCGCGCGATTGTTCTATCGGGGCTGCGCCTTACGGCATCGGACTTTGGAGCCGCTTTGGGTGCACTCAACTCGCGCGTTGTGGGCGGTGCAGGTGATGCGGGTGCCACTGCCTCCATCCCCAACGTGACCTGGGATGACGTTGGTGGGCTGGGCGCCGTCAAGCGAGACATTCTCGACACGATTCAACTCCCTTTGCAGCGCCCAGAATTGTTTGCTGGAGGACTCCAACGCTCCGGTCTTCTTCTCTACGGCCCGCCTGGCACTGGCAAGACGCTGCTGGCAAAGGCAGTCGCCACCGAGTGCTCGCTCAACTTTATCAGTGTCAAAGGCCCGGAATTGATCAACATGTATGTCGGACAGAGCGAGAAGAACATTCGGGCAGTGTTTGAGCGCGCGCGGCGCTGCAAGCCGTGCGTCATCTTCTTTGACGAATTGGACTCGCTCGCTCCCAATCGTGGACGAAGCGGGGACAGTGGTGGCGTGATGGATCGCATTGTCTCGCAACTCCTTGCCGAGCTGGATGGAATGCAGAGCAACACGAACGTATTTGTCATCGGCGCGACCAACCGGCCAGACTTGATCGACCCTGCACTGCTCCGCCCAGGTCGTTTTGACCGCTTGCTTTATCTCGGTATCAGCGGCGAGCCAGAGTCGCAGGAACCAGTGCTGCGAGCACTCACTCGCAAGTTTCATCTCGACCCCAATCTGCAGCTGCTGGACGTAGCGCGACTGTGCCCTCGTAACTTTACCGGAGCCGACTTGTATGCCGTCTGCTCGGACGCCATGATGTCTGCCATGCGTCGCCGTATCATTCAGCTTGAAAGTGGAGCAGGTAGGGCTGGTATTTATTCGTTATTGTTGAGGCGAGGAGCCGCCGTGCTGACTTCATTCTGCTTTGTTGTTTTCGGCTACGGAGCAGAAGGAATTGACCAAGTCTCGCCAGTCACTGTTATTCTAGAAGATTTCAGCACTGCCATAGCCAGCATCAAGCCATCTGTCACCATGGCAGAGTTGGCGCGGTACGAGCAGTTGCGTGATGAGTATGCTTCAGCAGCAGCAGCCTCTTCATCGTCTCCTTCTGGGCACAAGAACTAAGTTTAATCAAATGATGGTGATTTGATGGCGTTCTTGTGCATCTGTGTTGATGAATACATGATTTAATGCGAGTTGATGGATTTATAGCTCGATCTCTGTTCGACCGAAAGCGTTTTGCCCGTGTCGTCTCTCGTATGATGTATTTGTAATATTGTCTATATTTTCAAACACGTGTTTCGTATGTTTTGATGGGCGAAGGGGATTCTCATACGAGGCATGTCGGTTGTGGAGGAAGTGCTCTGTCAGGTAACACAGTTGCGTGCATGGTTTGTTCCAGTTTACACTCTTTTCCATAACTTTTAAACTGCTCCCTCCAACCAGTTCAATTCATATTATCCAACAACCCACATGTATCGGCATTCTCGCAAGTCAAACGCGGCGCGATTTGATCAAGCACGAGAGCGGAAATCAGACCCGACAAGTCGCCAAAAAACCGCCATGCCTCGTACAGCTTCACATGGCCCAAAATCCAAACCTCCACCTTGATAAAACAATGTGAATTTATATTTTCAATCGTATCTTTGCTCTTTCCTCGGCGGAAATTCGGGTCGATCATTGACTTTGAGCACTTCAAAGTCGCCTTGCTGCAAAACGAGCGAAAGCCTATTCCCACCCTCTGTTCGACTCCCACATCCACCCGTTCCAGTCTGCAAAACTCACGGAAACGATGTCAAATACACTCCCTCGCATATCAACGGAGTTGCGACCGATTCTCAGAAGTTCGCCGCGCTCAGTCGTCATTTTGGTAAGAATCAAGTCAAAATCCAAAATCCAAAAAAAAAAAAAAAAAAAAAAAGAAAGAAAGAAAAAAAAAAGAAGCGGCTGTTTTCTCTTGGCGGTCGTTTGTGGCTTTCCCCACCGTGACCTGCGATGGTGCTGCACTCGTCCAATTCCCCCAAGCTCAACTTTGCAACATACACTCACCGATTTCGCGTTTGTTGACCGAACTGGTCGTGATCTCGCTCAGGTCTCGCTTCGCTATCAAAACCACACAAAGCCATGCTCCGTCTGCGTCTCGCCTCGATCGCAGTGGCGTCTGCCGCTCGGACGAGTGTGCGCGCCATGCACACGCACAGCAGTGCACCAAGCATCAGCGCCGCCACCGCACGGAGCGCTGGGGTCGCTGCCCAGCCCATTGCCATGGCTCCTGCTGCTGGACGCTCAGTGACCACTCGTGCTGCAGCAGAGCAGACGCCCGAAGGCCAGCGCGCACTGGCGACCATGAAGTCAATGCTGTCTGCCACTGCCAACAACGCAAGCCTGAGCACGGCCATGCGCGCAAAGTCAACGTCTGCACCAGCGACCGCTTCGAGCATGCTCTCCATCCCACTGACGGAAGCATGGCCCAACGCCCCCAAGCCAGAGTATGTCGCTGCATCATCTGGATTGCAGTCACCTGCACAGGTACAGAGCTTTGCACAGACGATCGGGGTTCTGGTGGTGGGAAGAGAAGCGCTGGAGTTTTGTTTGTTTGTTGTTGTTGTTTTTCTGTGTTTGCTAAATTGTTTCACCCCTCTTGTGTGATGCGCAGTGCACCGTCCTTCCCAACGGCCTTCGGGTGGTATCAATTGAAGCGGCTGGTCACATTTCTGCCGTCGGTGCCTTTGTTCACACTGGCTGCCGTTACGAGACAGAGGAGTATTTGGGAGCGAGTCACTTTTTGGACCGTTTGGCATGCCGTGTAAGTGTTTTAGCGCATCGTCGTGTCCAGTCATGTCTGTCCTCTTTTACCTCTTGTCGCGAATGTGGAATTATGGTGTGGAGTGAGGTTGATCTGCTGAAACGCTGCTCCACCTAACATTTCATTCATCGTTGTTCCTTCACTTTGGCCTTTTGCAGTCTACCAAGCGCCGTTCCGCAGAGGACGTTGAGCGTGAAACGGAAGCTCTCGGTACCAACCCACACTGCATTACATCACGAGAGAATGTGGTTTATAGTGCCATTTCGTTCAGCAGCGAGTTGCCGCAGCTGATTGACCTTGTAGGCGACCTTGTGTGCAACCCTCAGCTGACTCAAGATGAGGTGAGTACCAATTGTCGATGCGTCGTTGTTTTTGCTCGTTTCTACTGTGTATCGAGAGAGAGAGAGAGAGAGAGAGAGAAAGAGAGAGATTCGTTCCCTGAGAGGATGATTTCTTCCCTGCACCCATTCTCGCCCCGCCCCCGGTCCCCTTTGCATCTGTTTGGCCTGACTGGCAACTCGCAGGTTGAACTCGCTCGCCAGACAATCGAGTTCGAGTACAAGACAGCACCTGATCTGCACGATCGCATCCTTATTGACAAATTCCACGAAGTTGCTTTTGGCGGAAGTGCGCTGGCCGCAGGCTTGAACTGCCCGCAAAGCCGCTTGCCGCTCATGACACGCGACAAACTTCTCGCCTTCCGACGAAGCCACATCATTGCCCCGCGCACGACCGTGGGTGTGCTGGGCTCGATGAAGCATTCCGAGGTCGTCGAGCTTGTGTCGCGCCACTTTGCCAATCTTCCAACTCACCCTCCATCGGCCGCGGAGTTGGAGCAAATTCTCAAAGGGCAAGAGCCAGTGCCCACTCCACCCTCCAGCGCGGCGACTGTCACCCCACCCCAAGATCTGGCCGACGTCACGCGTGAACGCGCGGCGCGGTACTCTGGCGGGTTTGCCTTCATCCGCCATCCGCCTCACACCAACCCGCTCTTCCGCAACTTTGTCCAGCTCATGCTCGGATTTGAAATTCCTGGCTGCACCAGTGAGGAATGGGCCGAGCTCGCATTGCTCCATGTCATCTTGGGCGGCGGCAACACCTTCTCTGCTGGCGGCCCTGGCAAGGGAGTCCTGTCCCGCCTGTACGCCGATGTGCTGCACGCCCACCCGAAGGTGGAGAATGCGATTGCCATTCTGAGCTCGTACTATGACACGGGCGCGTTCTCTCTCCACATCATGTGCCAGCCCGACTACGCCGAAACTGCCGTGCAAATTCTCGCCTACCAGGCTTTCCGCGTCTCTCGCGACATTCAAGTTTCAGAGTTGCAGCGAGCCAAGAACCAAGTCAAGTCGCTGCTGCTCATGGCGTACGAGTCCCGTCCTCTGCTTCTTGACGATGCTCTCCGTCACCAGGCAGTCTTTAAAAAGTCCGTGTCTGTTGCCGAAATTTGCGACAAGATTGACAAGGTGACGCCTGCCAATGTTATGGCCGTTGCTGCCAAGATGTTAACCAGCAATCCCACATTTGTGGTGATGGGCGACGAGCAATATTTGCCGCCCTCATCGGTCGAGTACATTCGACGAACCTTTCCCCTGCGCAAGTAGAGGAGGAGTACACAGCAGTAGGCAAGCTTGATCCAAGTTTGGGTCTTTGCTGAACCTCTTACATCAAATGGTTTTGTTTGAATACAGACTCGAACAAATGAATGGTTTGCATGATAATACAGACACGCACCCGTCCAAAGTTGGTGTGGGGGGTGCTTTGAAAAAATGAACGACAGCGCTTCAGATAAACTGTGGGCGGAACTGGGGCCACTTGATTGCCAGCCGTTCAGCCAGCGTGGTGATGGTTCGAATGTCAATTTCGGGTGGGTAGTTTTGAAGAAGTTTGATGCAGTCGGCAAACTCGCCCGCCAAAAGTCGAGAGCGCACAGATCTACGAAAGCACAGTAAGACCAAAGACACGGCAGACGCATGAGACAAAGGCTGAAAGATATTCTGAACACTCCACCACCAACATTTGTTTGTGGGACGTACACAATCATGGCGGCACAGATGAACAGGACGAATCCAAAGCGAAGTTTGTGCGCGAAAATCGAGTCCCACAATCGGAAGACGTCCGGCAATTTGAATTCTTGCGAAAAGAGCAATGTAATCCAGCGGAAGCTAAAGAAGGTGGGTTGCACGTTCTTTTTGACCTGTTGAATCACGCGAAATATTCAGCGGCTGCCATCCATCCCTACTACACCATCAAAACACACAATTCCCAATCATACCATCGCTGCATGAAGCACGGGGTCGATAGCGAGCGTCAGATCCATCAACTGTTTCATCGAACCGCCAATGCCAGCAACCGTGTCATCGAGATGTTTGATGAAGTTGTCCCTCGTTTCGGCCATGATGGTTGTGAAGCAAAAGAAGGCGTCGGCCTCGCAGTGATCTACACACACACATTGAAGCAAAAGCCGAGCAGATCAAAAACATGTGATGAGATTCGCCAGCACATATAGTTACGACAGAGACAGTGATGCAACATCACTCACCAGCCCACTCGCTTGATCGATCGGTGGCAAAAATGTAATACAAAGGCCCGAGAATCTCATTCATTCCTTGAACGTAAGCAATGCCTGGATTGAGCTTGGCAAATACGAAGAGAATTCGCTAAGAGGCAGAAAGGTGGGAGTGAGCATTAAAAGAGTTTTGTTTGACCCGAGAAAAACAAAACAACACCAAGTACGCTCACCTCCACCACTTCCCAGTGCGCCTCCTGGTGACCAGCGCCACGAGTCATCAGGTCAGACTCTGTGTTTGACTTTGAGAGCTCTGTCGACGAGGAGGAGAGGCTGCTTGTGCTCGAGCTGAGGGCGCTGCTTCGAGACAGATCGAGCGCATCGAGCGCCTGCGCAGTCTTGGGATCGTCCACTGGAGCAATCAGCGCTGCGAGGACGGCATTTTTGAACGGGGCAGAGTCCGCAGAGGCTGTTTTGGCCGCCTTTTGCTTGGTTGGAGTGGACGTCGAGCTGCCGCCAAACAGGGAAGCGTCGTCGTCATCGTCATCGTCTTGGAAGAGCGCAACGGGCTTGCTTTTGGCTTGGGGCGTGTACGATGTCGATGCCTTCTTCTTGACGCCACCTTCGCTGTGGGTGGTCGACAGACATGCGCGGTCAACCCGTGCGCACAGGGACTCCATCGTAATGCCAGTGCCCGTCTTGGAGGTCGGACGTGGCACATGCGAGATGCTCTGGAACAGGCTAATGTCGGTCAGGGTTCGTCGCACGTCCTTGTCAATCTGCTCGAGCATTTCGTTGTCCTTGAAAAACTCGCCCCACTTGCTCTCCGCGTTGTCGTTGAGCGGATGGTCGCTCTGGGCCGTAGCCGTCGCTGCGTACGGGTTGACAATGACCTCGTCCAAGAAATTTCTACATGCCCCAATGCAAAATATCAATGGATGAGGTTTTTGTTTGATTCGGTACAATCGCCAACAATTGAGCAATTGAAGCGACGACTTACGAGTAGAGTGCACGTCGTCCAGCAAGCACGGCTGGCCAGCGCTCTCGGTCGGGCGGCAAAAAGTCGAGCAGCAACTAGTCTCACCAACATTCAAATGAGTATGAGTGCGACACTGCCCGATGACTCGATGGAGCACAGTCCGGAAGTAGGGTTGCTGTTACCTTCCAGACAAGCGATCGCGTGCCAGGCGTCTCTGGAATCCCGCCAACGCTGAGCTCGCGGAGCTTGGCAATGTCAATGACGGGCGCTTCGAGGAGCGCTTCGAACTCGGCGTTGCGGGATCGGCCTGCTGCTGCTGGCGCTGAGCCATTGGAAACGGGCGCAGCAGGCGAGATTGGTCGTGATGCCGGAGCAGAGGTCGTTCCCGCTGCTGCTGCTGGTGGTGGGACTGCCAAGACTGCATGGGTGAGGGGGTCTGCTCCATCAGCGACGACCGGTTGCGGTGAGACGATGGACGGGGATGGGGTCGTCTCGTCCGAGCCGTTGCCATTTGGCTGGGAGTCAGACATGGAACAAGTGCTCGGAAAAAATGACTGGCTGGGTATTCCATCTGAGCAGGATGTGATATTCTATTGAACAATCGGACAAAGCACAAACGCAAGGGGGAGAGAGAGAGAGAGAGGGAGAGAGACTGATGTAAGATGAGCAGGGTTTGGCAGGTGCAAATCAATGTTGCTCAGACGCTTGTCGGTGAACAGTCCCCCGCTGCTGCTGCCGTTCTTCCGTAACATATGTGCACTCTCTGATAGTGGACATTGATCCGCCAATTCCCCCTGTCTGTTGGACTGGATGCTTCGTTGCACCCCAGACCTAATCTCGTTTGAGCTGCTGCTCGCTTCCATTTCTCGGTTTTTCCCCTTCCACCTCCTCCGCCAGCCCAACACCTCCCATTTTTCATGCTCAGTCGTCAGTATTTTCCTTCTCTCTCTTTCTCTCTCTCTCTCCCCAAATCTGTACCTTCTTTCGACCTGTTCCAAGCCAAACCCAGTCAACAAGCCCAGCAGTCTTTTTTTTTTTTTTTTTTTCTTTGTTCAGTTCTCACTCTTTCAACTCACCTCTTTTTTCCTCTTCTTCTTTCTCTCTTCTCGACCTCGCACAAGCTTCGCTTCATGGGCTCCAAAAGCAGCAAGCCGAAGAAGGGCGTCGACTCGCCTTCCTCGTTGCCGCCACGCAGGGTAATCACAAAAAACAAAAAAAAAAAAAAAAAAAAAACGAACCCCAAAATATAAATCCACAAAAAAAAAAAAAAAAAAAAAAAGGCTCAAAAAACTGAGTATTGCCGTTTTTTTTTTTTCTTTCGCTCTGCGGCTCGTCTTCGACTTGATGAAATGGGGGGAGCTCGTTTGGGCAGCAGCAGCAACAAGAATTGGCCAGCGCGCGCGTCTCAGGCCCTCAGTCAGAGCAGTGGCCTGCCAGTCGAGCAAGGGCCGGGATCAACCTCAATGATGGTTCAAACACACTGACAAAAATCGAGTTCGTTTTTTTTTTTTTTTTTTTTTTTTTTTTTTTTTTTTTTTTGCTTTCCAATGCAAATCTATACAAAAAGGGGCTGCGGTCACAGAATGATTTTTTTTTTTTTTTTTTTTTGCTTTCTTGTGATTGTTCTTTTTTTTTTTTTTTTTTTTTTTTTTTTTGGTTTTTGTGCTCGTGGTGGCTTTCTGTTCCTCGCCCTGTCGCCCCACTTTGCCTTTCCCTACCAACTTGTCGCTTGCTGGTTGGCTTCCACGACCGTCCATTGCTTGTCTGAGCTGGGGGTTGGGGGTGGGGGCGGTGAGCATGGCGCGCGTCGTCCGCTTTGGCGAAGGGGGAAATTGATTTTTTTTGTATTTTTCACAAAATCGGGTTTTGACCACCCCCTTTTGATAGCCATCGCAGTGAGCCTGATCCTATGCGTTCGGTCTTTTTTAACCCTGACTTTTTATTTTTATTTTTGTTTTTGTTTTTGCCTTGTTGCCCGTAAAAACAAAAAACTGACTCCGCTTGGTTCTGCTTGTCCGTTCTGCCGTGCCGTCTCTCGCTGCTCTGGGGCTCTTGCCAGGACGGGTCTGATGTCGGCTTCTCACCGCGTAACAAGAGCCAGTCCACCAACGATCTCACTCACCCGACTCGGTCAGGTAAAGAAAAGCAAAACCAAAAAAAGGCTTCCAAAAAAAAAAAAAAAAAAAAGCCATCTTCGCCACAACATGGATTTATTTTTATTTATTATTTATTATTTTTATTTATTATTTATTTATGATTGATGGATGGTTGCATTTTTATTTTTATTGGCTGCTCATCATCACTGGTGTGTGTCTCTCGCTTGTTATGCGTCTTTGTTTGTGTTGGTGTGCGTGTGCAGAATCGCCAAACACAGGAAGCTTGAGGTAAGCATTCACTGAGCAACCAAAAAAAAAAAAGCAAAAAAAAGCAACAAAAAAAGCGCCAATGCCAATCAACTCGTTCACTCACACTGCCCCCTTCCACCCCTCCCTCCTTTCTTCCTTCCTGTGTCAAAACAGAACCTCGAACGCTCATAATGCGCGACTACCGTCAGAGCGCCAGGCATCCATCCCGACCCCCGAGGCCGCTTCGTCGCAATGGGAGGCCATGTACGACTACAATGCCAACGCCGGCTCGGACGAAATGTCGATTGTCAAGGGCGACATTTTCGACGTGTACGACCAGACCGACCCGAACTGGTGGGGCGCAACAAACATTAAGACGGGCGCCCGCGGCATGATCCCGAGCAACTACATTGCCCCCGGTCAGAGCATTGAGCGCAACCCGTGGTTCCACGGCAAGATTGGTCGGCCAGCAGCAGAAGTGCTGCTCAGCAGTGGTATTAATGGCAGCTTTTTGGTGCGCGAGAGCGAGAGCACTCCTGGCGAGTACTCAATCTCGGTCAAGTACGACGGCAAGCTGTACCACTATCGCGTCACGCGCGAAGGCGACACCGTGTACGTGACGCCCGAGCATGTGTTTAACAACATGCAAGACCTCGTCAAGCACCACTCCAAGAACGCAGACGGCCTGGTCGCGCCCCTCAAGCACCCCGTCCTCAAAAAGGACAAGCCCACCGTCTACGGTCTCAAGCACGGCGGCGGCGACAAGTGGGAAATCGATAAGGCAGAAATCAAGCTCGGCCGCAAGCTCGGCGCGGGCCAATATGGTGATGTCTACGAAGGACGATGGAAGGAGTCCGCTCACGTGGCCGTCAAGACGCTTAAGGAGACGATGGAGGTCAAGGACTTTTTGCAAGAGGCCGCCATCATGAAGAAGGTCAAACACGAGCATCTTGTGCAGCTTGTCGGCGTGTGCACTCAAGAGGCCCCTTTCTATATTGGTATGTTTTGATGAGTTTTTTTTTTTTTTTTTTGTGAATGCTTTTTTTTTTTTGGAGTGGAGCCCCAAAACCATGCACTAACTCTCTGCTCTCTTGCTTTGGTTGCCTTCTTATTCTCCCCATCCGTTTAGTCACCGAGTTTATGCCTAATGGCAACTTGTTGGACTATTTGCGAAGCGAGGCTGGCAAGAAGCTGGACGCCATGACTTTGATGTACATGGCCAGCCAGATTGCGTCGGGCATGGCTTACCTTGAGAAGGATAACTTTATTCATCGCGATCTTGCAGCTCGTAACTGCCTTGTCGGCCAAAACAACCTTGTTAAGGTGGCCGACTTTGGCTTGTCTCGTCTGGTCGAAGACGAGTACACTGCTCGCGAAGGCGCAAAGTTCCCCATCAAGTGGACTGCTCCCGAGTCTCTGCAGTACAACGTTTTTACCACCAAGTCGGATGTGTGGGGTGAGTCTTGGATCTCCTTGTGTGTGTTTTGTTTTGTTTGACGCTTTGCCTTGAACTCATTTTTTTCGTCTTCTTCCGCTTCGCAGCTTTCGGTGTCTTGCTTTGGGAACTCTCCACCTACGGTGAAACCCCGTATCCAGGAGTGGAACTTTCGCAAGTGTTGGACAAGATTGAGACTGGGTATCGCATGCCCAAGCCCAAGGGCTGCCCCGACGAGGTCTACGCTCTCATGCTCCAGTGCTGGCAATGGAAGCCAGCAGATCGTCCGACGTTTGCAAACATTAAGCTCCAGCTCGAATCCATGTTCCCAAGTGGCGGCGTGAACGACGGTGAGATGTTTGAACTATTTTGTTTTTGTTTCCCGATTCCGCGAGCTTTCGATGTTGTCAGAAGCCCCTTCTCACTCCGTCTTTTTCATCAACCCCCCTTTTTTGTAACTGTTTGATCGTTGCCCGCGCAGCTGTTGAAAATGCTCTTAATTCAGACGGTTCTGTCCCCATAACGCATTATGCGGCTCCTTCCCGTTCCGGAGCCTCTGCAGCTGGCGGCCCACCTCGCCCAAGCCCCAACGGCAAGGTATTGGATTGATTTTCGCTGCTGATGTGCATGGTTGTGGTTGGCTGTCGTGCTGTGTTTGCATCCTTTCCATTTTGTTTTTCCGCTGGCATGCCGCCACCCGCGTTTCCTCGTGACTCACTTGCCTGTTCACTCTGTCTTTTCATATTCGCAGCCTACCCTGCCACCACCCGTCAGTGGTGCACCACGGCCAACCGGACCCAAGCCAACTCTTGCCCGAGCGGTTTCGAGTGGCACTCCTCCACCGCTTCCTGCAGGCGGTCCCCCGCCCATGCTGCCCAAGCCTAATGTCCCACGGCGATAGTTGGCATTATTATTGAAGGCTACATTGGTTCTACTCCGGTTTTCGACACTTTCACTGGCAGATTTTATTCCGTGATTGTTTTCTTTTTCCGTTTCGTTTTTTTTTTGTTGGTGAATCCGTCAGCTTTTCCCCATCTGCCACCTGCTCGAGTCGTTTTTCGGGGCGGAATTCTTTCCTGGTCCTTGCCTTGGTCGTTGTATTTTGTGTGTTATGGTGCGTGATCCTGCCGTTCCTGTGTGTATGTGTGTGAGTGTTTTTTTTTTCGTGGTGTTTCGTTCATGCTTAAGATTTTTTTTTTTTGGGAGTGGCTGCTGCCCCTGCTTTCTTTGTTTTTGTGCGTCTCTCTTTCAAGATTCAATAGCAAACATGTCGTTCTTTGACTCTCGTGATGTCGTGCAGCTTGTTGGGGATTCGCGTGGTCTTCCTACCATCTGGAGCAAGGACGGGGAACAACACCTCCAAATCGTTTTGCCAATCCTTCAAGTCAGCCGTTGTTCTTTTCGTTGTTGTTGGTGTTTACTAAGCATGGAATTCTCGCGTCATTGCACAGCTCGCATCATCTTCGTCATCATCAGCACTATTCTGTAAAACGACACATCATTCTCCATTAGCGAGCAAATTTCGAGGTGCGAACTGTCAGTCGCGCACGCGACTGGTGGCGATCAGTGAGTGCGATTTTACACGGCGTCGAATTTCCCTCAGAAATCGCTTAGCAGCCCGATGCTTCATCAATACAAGCTCAGACATTGAATGTGCTTTTGGTTTTTAAACCACTCGTTTTTGTGCTTTTTCGATGAGCGTATTCGGTTTCAGAACATCGCTTTCTGAGCCCGCTCTCCTGGAAGACGTCGACGATTGGCGCACAGTGCGCGATTGGGCGCTTGAATACAAGCAACAGGTCGACTTGACGTGGCGCGAGCTTCTGCTGCTGGAGTCGACTGAAATCACTGCCACAGCATTGCAGTTTCTTGGCCCGGACTCCAACAAGAAGCCGTCGGTCAAGAAAGGGACGATTGGCGCCCAGCTCTACGCTGCGCTTGACCGTCTCTACAAGCGCCGGCATGACCTGCCGCAAACGAGGCGCGAGGCGGCTGCACTTGTTCGAGCTTCGTCGTCTCATGTCTCGCCCACCTACCGCCGCCTTGAAGATACGCTCATCGACGAGAGTAGCCAATCTGCGATTGATTCCATCAGCTTCCGGCGCGACAACTTCGGCAGCCCAGGCATCCAAATCGCCACTCGCAATACTGCCCTCCAGGCCAAACTCGACGCAATCGCCAATGAGATTCCAGACCGTGATCACATCGTTGTTTACAACTTGACGCCCGAGAACTTTCAACCAGTTGCCATGATGTCGGTGACTCAAGCACGGCACAAAGTACGCGTGCTTTCCGGAGGCACAATGATCACGGCTATTCCATGGAATTCGGCACACTCGGCATCATTACAGCGCCTGCGCTAATGGGCATCTCGGCCGCGCACGTGCTTGCAGCGACAGACCAGCGCGATCCGGTCCATGTAAATGCTCGCTTTGACCTCGACTTGACTGTGCCAATCGGTAACGGTTACGTCAACCACAACAACAACGTTGACATCGCGCTGGTGCAACGTGACGACAACACAACCATTTGTTGCCAATGTCGTGACCGAGATTGGACGTGCTGAATTCCCGGCCAACGCAACTCAATTTTACCAGGAGCTCCTTCAAATCTTCAACCAAGGCGAAATCGTCGTTACTAATTTTGGAGCCAGGACGCAGTTTTCGCGAGGTCGTGTGGCGCATCTATCTTACCGACACGTTATGGTCGAACCACTCGGAGCCACCGCTGAGCCGATCGTCGGTCCGGGAGACTCTGGATCTTGCTGGGTGATTGACCTTCCACTTAGGCTTCGTGGAATCGTCATCGGCATTACCACCCACTCGCAGCAATGCAACAGCTCACTTCAAGCCCGCTTGACACCTTCGTGGGTTGTGTCCTTGTTGGTGGCAAAATGCCGCGATTTCAGTGACTTTCCCGACTGCGATCTGGATGACGAAGAACAGTAAATAACTGCACGCGCGCCGCTCCATGACATGACAATGAGTCAGTTGAAAATGACAGCAACGACCGACCGGCACCAGCTGTTGCAGATAACCTAGTGCTAGTGATGCTCACTGATTCTGTGATTTGTGGCGAGTGATGTTCACGTTTGAAATTTAGCAACCCATCTCTCTTTGTTTTTTCCCCCCCCTTCTTCACCTTCTTCAATTGTAAAAATGACATACACTGATCGAGCATTCATTCTTCATTAGCGAGCAGATTTCGAGTTCCAACTGTTTGCGACCTGCTATTTTACACATTCAACGCTCGACCTTGACCAAAAGCAAAAAAAAAAAAAAAAAAAACAAAAAAAAAAAAAAAAAACAAAAACCGTATCGACGGAAATCCACTCTTTTTTTTTTTTTGTAAGTTTTTTTTTTTTCGTTGGATTTTGAATGAGAATATGAAAAGAAAAATCAGTAGTATTTTTGTACCGCACACAATTGTTGATGTGCGCTGGCGTCTTGCCAGTGCGGCGAGCATTGCACGGAAACACATGCGCTGTGCTGCTGCACACACGTGCGGAGTCGGAGCGACAGTGGCCGCGCAAACGTGCGATAAAGCCGAGCGGCACAAAAAAACAAAAAAACAAAAAAAAAAAACAAGTTGGGCTTGAAATTCAATGGAGACCTAGTTCTGTGGTCGCCTGCATCGCGGCCAGTGGGGGCCGAGTCGCGTGCATGGCCTTCGACAGCTGGTCATTTGGGCCCCCCGCCTCGGGTGGTTTGTTCCGGACTGCCATCGCCGCCCCGTTGCTGCCAATCTCGCTTTGAATCAAGTTCAATTGTCACTGCCAAAAAAAAAAAAAAAGATTCAAAAATAAAAAATATTCGGTTGTAAAGGAAAAAAAAAAAAAAAAAAACCGACAAGATTTGAAGCTTTTTAGATTTTAGATCTTTACCACAGTTTTATCAAAGATCTGCTGCTGGGTTTGCAAGCATGACTTTTTGGTCGCTTGTCTGCTTCTTGTGAGCTCTTCATTGGTTCACCGCTCGGCTGTGGCGGGAGACAACCAAAAAGAAGCGTGAACAACAACAAGCCGAGGCAAAAGCGAGAAAACTACAAAAAAAAAAAAAAAAAAGAAAAAGAAAAGAAAATATCGGTTTTTTGATTTGTGGTATTCTCAATTTTGATGCAACGTCTGCTGCGCTTGTGATGATGGCGCCCGTCCTTGCAACACCTTAGTGAGGGGGGGAGGTAAAGGGTGGAGGAGTCCGAGGCTTGGGGCTGCGTGTTGTCTTGTGTGGGCAAAAATCATGACACTTTTTTTTTTTTTTTTTGGGTTTCCCACCTTATTCCCTTATTTCCCTACCTGGCAGTGTGTTTGGGCTGAACTGAACTGCAGTGTGTACAATGCAAAACTCACATGCATTCTCAATGTGTGTGTGTGTGTTCCTTACAAACAGAGCAACCAAAACAACCGAACAAGTTTCGCTACTTTGTTCTGGTTTGAACCTGGCCTGACTACACTTCTCAGTCTGACTACCCCCGCGCTTGACTACCGACGAGCATACAAAGGAAAACAAGAAGGAAAACAAAAAACAAAGCGGTGGACGACAAAACCCTCCCTTTGGAACAAAAAAAAAAAGCCCCCACCCTCCAGTGCACACAACTCAAGCAGCCTGCAACAAGACCCATACAAACAAAATGTCGCGAAGGCTCACACTGATTGTCACCGACAGCGACGGCTTGGACAGCGAAGACCACGCCTCAGAAGGTAGCAATAGCCCGGCGCCAGTCAGCCCACAGCAACTCATTCCCGGTGGTGGCGGAGCTGCGGGCATGCTCGGCGTGGACGGCGAGAATGGCTCGGAAGGCTCGTCACGCATGAAGCGACGGTCGTCGTTGCGCGCCGTCTCGCTTGACGAGAGCTCGTCTTCCTCGGGCAAGCCCAAGATGGTTCGCAGAGGGCTCAATCGCTCCATCGTCTCGGCGAGTGGCAGTGGGCTGTCCGGAGGCGACAGCTCGGCCGGCCCTTCTGGCGACGAGGACGAGGACACGGATGGCGAGACGAGCACCACCGCGTCGCTCCTGCAAGACACAGTGCGACTTGTTCTCGACAAGGCGCCCAAAGACCGCACTCCCGACGAAGTCAAGTCGCTTGTCAAAGACCTCGAAATTCTCAGCGCGTTTGCGGCACTCAAGACGACCGCGCGGCGGGAACTGTGCGCAGCCATGACGCTGCGGCTGTTTGCCGAGTCCAACCAGATTATTGACTTGGTGGACGAGTACTGCAACCCGCAGTGGTTTGCCGTCATCCGCGGCTCGGTCGACGTTGTTGTGGATGGCGACATTCTCTGCACTATCAAAGAGGGCGAGTGCTTTGGCCACCAACCATTCGTGGTCGAGGGCGTGCGCCGAACGGATGCCACCATCATGACGCGCGAAGATTCCTGTGAACTCGTCACTGTTTCGTTGGAAGAGTATGAGCGCATCTTGAAGCTGGTTGAAAGCAACACGACGCGCGTCGAAGAAGGCGGCAAGGTCGTGCTCGTTCTCGAAAAGCGGACCGCCGCCGACTCGTCCGGCGAAACCGTCAACGAGCTGATTGTGACGGCCACAGTGGACAAGCTCATCGAGCGACTCGTGTTGGACGAGCAGCATGTTTCGGACAAGTTTTACGTTTCAGACTTTTTCCTGACCTACCGCACCTTTATCTCGAGCGAGGAAGTGATCAATCGCTTGCTCGCCCGTCTCGCACAGCCAGCTTGCACGAAGCAGGTGAACGGAGCCTCCCGCTCGGAGGCTCAGGTCATTGCGTTCGTGGTGCTCTTCTGGCTGCACAACCATGCTGCGATCGACTTTGCCGGGAAACTGCCCATGCTTGATGCGCTTGCCAAGTTCGAGGGCTATCTCAACAAGTATGAGATGAACCGCGAGGTGCGGCAGTTGGCCTCCGCCAAGGAAAGCACCGGCCTTGTCCCAAAGTCTGCCGAGACTCAAACTTTGACAAAGTCCCTCTCGATCGACAATGCCGACCCCAAAGCCATGGCAAATCTCTTCAAGCGCAAGTCGTCGTTTGCTGGTCGCTTCCTTGGCCGCGGCAAGGACACTGAGAAGGGCATTGCGACCGCGCTGGGCGGCGCTCTGGCCATGGTCAACGGCGGCACCCCGTCCCCGTCCTCGCCGCTGGTTGAGGCAGCTGCTGCCGAAGGCGACATGGACGTCATCAAGATTTATCGACACGACCTGACGCACAAGTTTCTTCTTGTGCGCAAGAACACGACCGCACAAGAGGTTGTCGTCCAGGCTGTGGAGCAGTTCGGCATCAAGGCCAAGCACGAGAACGAGTACTCTCTCATGCAAGTGTTTGTTTCTGAAAAGCAGTCCATGGTACGACCAACACAAGACAACCTGGCTGCCAGCCTCAGCATCAACGCCCGCTTTTATCTGCGCTACAATTTGAATCCCGAGCGCTTCCCCGCTCCAGAGTCAATTGCGATTGAGGGCGAGAGTCAATTACTCAACATGGAGCCCTTGGATGTGGCCCGCGAGCTGACCATCCTCGACTCGCAGCTCTTCCGTGACATTCAAGTGCAAGAGTACGTCGAACACTTGTTCAAGCTCGGTATCGCCCAGACCGACGCGCTCAACAAGTTTGTCGACCGCTTCAACATGATCAACTTTTGGGTCGTCAACGAAATTGTCATGACGCGCGATGTCAAGCGTCGCGTCGATGTCATCAAGGCGTTTGTGGCGATCGGCAAGCACCTGCGCACCTTCAAGAACTACAACTCGCTGTTTGCCATCGTCTCGGGCTTGTCCAACACGGCCAGCACGCGCCTGAAGGAGACTTGGGAGAAGGTCCCCAAGCGCGTGTCCGAGTCGCTCAAGGAGCTGGAGGCGCTCATGAATCCCTCGCGCAACATGGGCATCTATCGCGCGCTGCTGGCCGACTCGAGCGCACCAATGACGCCCTTCTTCCCGCTCCTGATCAAGGATCTTGTCTTTATCCACGAAGGCAATCCATCCAAGGTCGACGGCATGATCAACTTTGAAAAGCTGCGCATGATTGCGCGCACCCTGCGCACGATTTCGGACATGTGCCTTATCGCCTACGAGTCGGACGATTTCGGCGACGCAAATTCCAAGGACGGCCGAGGCACAGTGCGAGGCGGTGGCACGTCCTCCTCGTCTGTCTTCCGAAAAATGTACGAGCAGGGCCGCATGAAGTACTATATTATCGAGTATTTCCGCGATCTCAAAGTGGAGCGAGACCAGGTCAAGCTGAACGAAGGCGCTGCGCTTTTGGAGAAGGGAGCTGGCACTGTTCGTCGCTCCTCGCCGAATGTCCAACTCCAATGATTGTAGTAGTGGTTTCCACCAGTCTTGCAAATCCTGTGTCTAGTTGTTGTATTTGTTTGCCTGTTTCTTCTTGCTCTTCTTCTTGTTCTTGTTCTTGTTCTGCTTATCTCTGTGTCATGCTCATCCCTGTTTGCCACCAGCCTTACCGGAATTTGGTTTGTTGTTTCATTCGTGCGCCCCTTTTCGTTGGTTTTTTTTTTATTGCTTTGGTTTTGTATTGTGTTGCGTGTCTGCTGCATGTCAGAGCCGGGTGTTCTTGCATGTTCTATTTCTTCTCCCCTTGCCACACTTTTCCCCATCTTGTCTGAAAATACAAACAATGGTTCAAAATCGGATTTTTTCCTTCAATTTCAAAAAGCCAAACTCACTCCTTTTTTTTTTTTTTTTTTTTTTCTATTTGATTTACAATGAGCTCGAGTGACGAAGACGCAGAGCGCAGCGACGGCTCCGGCCATGTTCTGGCGAGCAAGCGCAAGTCCAAGAAGCTGCTTGGCCAGCGCACCAACACCAAGGCGAGTCTTGCTTTGGGAGGGGGTGGTGGTGGTTTGGTGGTTTTGGGTCTGCCTGAGCGTCTTGCATTGAGAGTTCAAAACGCCTCGACGACGACCACTCGGCCAACCTACTGTCACTCAAGATGCTCGATATATCAACTCCATGGCTTAAACAGGCTTGATTGTGGAAATGGGTGCGGGGGTTGGGGGTTGGAGGTTTGACTTGTTGAATTGGGAGCGGTTTCATACAGATACTGACCGTTTTGCTTGGGCACTCGCACTTGGACATGCCAGGCGCAATGGCTGCTCGGGGCGGACAACCCACACCACTTGCCAGAGGACTTGCACAAGTTCATCCAGACGTCGGGCGCCGTGCAGACTGCGCTGCTCGCTCCGGCCTTCCTGTCGCCGTTGGCGGTCTTGCAGCTTGTTGGAGTGACCGCCGACGAGCTCACCACCCGCATCACCGCCGCTGCCATCATGGGTATGGCGCACTTTGTTTTGCTTGGATTTGGAGTTGGCACTTTTGCCATTGGTGGAAATGTTTGAATGTTGGGTTGGGCTGGGCTGGGTTGGGTTGGGTTGTGTGTGCCGCTCTGCGCCAAATTGACCACCTTCGCCAAACCGCTCGAGTTTGAGGTTTCTGGTCAACAATATCACACTCAACGTGTCATTGCGTGCGCATCTAGGCCTTGGTGTTTGCAAGTACACACTCTCGGATAACGGCTTTTCCGCCGTGCACACGCTGACTTCCGTCGAAGGCCTTGTTTCGACCTTGGCGGCCACCGGTAACTTTTTAGCCACTGCTCTCATGCAGACGGCGTTATATACCTTTTGGTCTTGCTCTTTTTCTTGGATGTGCCATTCTTTGCCTCACTTGAAGCTCAACGGTGCTGTAGGGGTTATTTTGTCGCTGCTCGAGCGTCCCGCCGCCCGATCCGTGCCTGCCTACATTATGTTTGGCGCATGTATCGCTTCGAGCGCCGCTTCGTTCCTTGTTCATCGACGACTGACCACTATCGCCCGGGATGCCAATCGATAATCTGCTGGTGATATGATGTTCCCTCGTCTGTAGTTGGGGGTTTTCATCCCCACGCGACCACCCCCTGTCGCTCTTCTTGCATTGCTCTTTTTTGTTGAAACTCTTTGCGATGCTTCAACATTTTCATGTGTGAAATTGGTTTTACGTAGTGAAATACAGACCATGTTTTTAAGACCAAACAACCTCCAGCATGTGTCCGCCTTGGTTGCTTTTCTGCCGCCAAACAGCAGAGCTCGTCCCGATTTGAAAAAAACCCCAATAAAATACAAGAACGACACTCGTCAGTCTTGCTTTTTTTTGCCCCGTTTCGTTGCCGCTGTTTTCAAAAAAGACCGGCAATTTTGTTCTCGATTTTAGGGGTTGGCAGTGTGCTTTTTGTGTTTGTTTACCAAAACTGCGAGATTTGCAAGAAAATGGCTACTTGCCGCTCATGCTCTGCGCTCATGCTGGCTGCTGTTAGCTGCATGATTGCTGCTATTACGCTTGGCACGGGTGCTACTTTTGCTGCTGCGCTGCGACCTCCGTCCGGCCTGTATGGCATTGGCGCCAATTTTAACTTGGTGCGCATCGATCCGAAAACGGGCAACATCACGACGGTCGGACCTGCCGTGCCCTTCCTCCAATCCCAGCAGCTGGCGGCGGTGGATCCCGTCAGTAGCATCTTTTATGCCGTTGGACAAAACGCGACGGGTCAGGTCGTGATTGGGCTGGACATGAACACCGGACTCGTCGTTTCTCAGACGCCGCTCCCGTTCGTCTCGAGTATGTTCATTGGCGTTGGTCAAGTGTTCGACTTTGACCCCCTTACAAATCGGCTCATTGCCATGGGGCGCGAAGCAGGCAATTCCACCCACTTCATTCTTTCGATCAACCCAATCACCGGTGTGACCAGCAACGTGGCTCTCATCCCATCAACCACCTCGACAGACTTGCTGGGTGGCAGCTCTGGATTTGACCCCTCTGCCGGCATTCAGTGGGTCGAGTTGGACGTCAGCAACAATGGCACCCTCGAGACGGACTTGTTTGCCGTCAACTTGACAACCGGGCAGATTGCTCACCAGATCCCAGACAAGTACAATGTCAACAGCATGGCCTTTGACCAAGGCACCAACTCTATGCTTTGCTTTACCTTCGATGACGCCAGCACGACGCGGCAGCTCATGTCTCTCGATTCCGCCACTGGAGCATTGAAGAAAATTGGCACTGTCAAAGACTACACCTACACGAACGGCGATATTGTCGCATTCGACTCTGAAAAGCGCATTCTCTACGGCATTTTCACGAAACAATCTGGCGCTCCGGCCACCACTCTCTTCTTGGTTGGCGTCCATCCTGAAACGGCTGCAGTGGTCTCGAGCGTCCAGCTGTGTCAAGACCCGGCGAGCTGTCTCTGGGCGATGGTGTATCTTCCGTAATCGACGGCATTGCATCGATTTTAAATCGCGTTGTGGTGTGTGAAACGTGTGCGTTGATGCTTCTGTGAGGAGCGGTGTTATGGATTGATGTTCTCGTCGCTTTGTATAAGTGAAGTCTCTTGTTTCCTTGTTATTACTCTCATCATCAACCCATTACTCGTATCTTCGTGGAACGATCTCTGATCATAACAGAGAATAAATGGCCAAAGCGCCAATTCTGCACATGATGTCACTCACTTTGTTTCAGCCCGATCCTTCGCTATTTCTTTTCAGAGAGCTTCCATGAGTAAAGGAGACTCCGTGGTGGCGACCAATACACAATGGCCAGGTCTGTTGAATCCAGGCTGAGGGACTTTGGGTTTTTGTGGCGCGGAAAAAACCAATTGATTCTTGGCTTGTTGCAGAATTTTGGACAAGTGGGCTGTGCATCAAGCGCGTTCCCGCGTGGTTTCGCTCCCACGAGTTGGAGCCTCAAGCCAGAATGCACCAAATGTGGGCGGATGTGACGAAATGGCAAGAGACGCTGGTGCATGACAAGTCCATGGCTGCTTTTGCCAAAAGTCGCGCACTAGCCGTCGTGTATTTGTCAAACAAGCTCGAGGGGACTCTCGCCAAAGGCACGAGCGAGCAAGAGACGTACGCTCTACTGGACGAGCTCTGGGAGCAACCATCGCCTCTGGCTCTCGAATCTCCTGCGATTGTGCTGTGGCATTCGGAGGGACAACACAGCAGCGAGCGTTCCTTGTACCAACTCCAGCAGCATCTTCTTGCGTTGCGTCACTTGCAAGGAGCACTAGATCAGCCACTCTCGGTCGAGCTCGTATGTGAGACACATCGTATTCTGATGAAAGGCGCGCTCAGCGACGAGACGACTGCCCCGATCCGAGCTGGCCGGTTTCGCCAGCATCACTGCTGCGCTGGAAAGTACTCGTTTCCTGAAGCTGGTACCATTTCAGCTTCGCTGAGCAAGATCATTGAGCAGTTTAACGAGCGCTTTGCAACTCGGAAGCTGGCGCCTTACCGCCTTGCTGCCTGGCTGTTTGTTCAAGTGATAACGTTGCATCCATTTGAGAACGGAAACGGTCGCCTGTGTCGGCTTCTCGCGTCCTACGTGTTCCAAAAGTGCGGCGTACCATTCCCCGTGGTCATTACTTCCGGTCATTCTCGCGCTTACAAGCACTACATTGATGCGATTGTCGCATATCAGACCCGCGGCCAGGGCCTCGACGAGCTTTGTCTGTACATGCTCACATCGCTCCATCAGAGCTGGTCCATCTTTGCGGCGACCTTGAATCATTCTTGAGGCGTGCCTTTGTCAGCGTATTGAGCTGTTTTGACAATGCCATTCTTCCTCGGGACGTTTTCCCCATTCATTGTTCGTGTTGTTCGCTGGGTTCACTTTTTGTTTGTTTTCTTGTACGTTTTTTTTTTTTTTTTTTTTTTGGGTTGTGTTTTTCGCTGGAGATTTTTAACGCGTTTCGCAGCGGAAGTGACACTTTTTTCGTCCCCAGCTTGCCATTCCGCTCCGTCGCTCAGTTGATTCATCGCTTGGCGTGATGCACCGTTGCACTTTCCGAGTGCGTTCAGAGAGAGCAGAGAGAGCGAGCGACAGCGCAACGGAAGGGAGAGATTCAAACAGCGGAGTGCGCAAAGTGCAGTGCAGCTCTTCGTTACGCCCCGCGTGCTTCGTTCTCGCTGCTTTGCGCTTCTTCCATGTGTGGTGTGCTCTCGCGCTTTTCCTGTCAGGAGTGTCATGGTGGTGATGGCGATGGTGGCGCATTGGTGCGGATTGCCATTGACAGGGAGAAGCCTGCCTCACTCATCGTTTGTCGCTTCCTCCCTCGCCTCTATTTCCTCCGCGAGCCAAGTGGCGATGGGTAGCACTGAACAAGCGGTCATTGAAGAGGGTTTGTGGGTGAGCCAGATGTGAAAGCAACCAAGCGAGATTTCACCCAACTACTCATCGTAATAATACAAAAAAAAAAAAAAAAAAAAAAAAACCACAACACAAACACAAATTTAGTCAAGTCCAGGTTTTAAGGTTTGGCTTTATTTTATGATCGAGATGAAGATTTGATTTGATTTGAAACAGCAACTCGATTCGGATTTGAAGATTCGAATTTATGATGAACTGGGCGCTCAGTGAGACGCGATGGGGTGGAGGCGAGAACATTTGGCATCTCACGGTGGAAAAAGGAGAGCCACTACCGCTACTGCACTGGCCTGCGTTTGCATGGATGTAACTATTTGGATGAACAACCAAGCTCACGTTGTTACACGTTTTTTCGATTCTGGCTATTGGTCTCAGGGGTGACCGTCCAACTTGACCACATTGACTTTCCTCAAACAAAAACATGGCAACCAATCTGGTGAAACGCGTGCCGGGATACCGCTTCGAGGACGGCTCAAGCACGCCGGCTACGATGAACGTCTTCCAACACCTAGTTCTGGAGGATGCCGAGGGCGAGACGCGATGGTACTTTAAGTACTTTCTAGGCCACGATCACAAGAACATTATCGGTCTGGTCGACGAGAAGCCCTTCCTCGTGTCTGCCGTGCTGACAGACCAGGACAACAATGGCAATCTGCAGTGGCGTCTCATCCGCTGGCGCAAGGAAGGCTCAGAGCGGCTGTGTCTACCATTCCTGGAGAAGGACAAGAAGGAGCTGGCCTCTGGCGACATGCTCAAGGTCTTTGGCATCAAGAACGCCGACAAGGTCAAGGAAGTGCTTGATCCCGATGTGCAAGAGGATCTTCTCGTGCTTGAAGAGCAAGAGGGCGCCGTGAACTTCAAGTTTGGCATTCTGTACGCCAAGCCTGGGCAGCGGACGGACGATGAAATGTTCTCCAACAACGACCCGTCGCCTGCGTTCAACGAGTTTGTCGAAGCTCTGGGCACCAAAGTGGATCTCAAGGGCTTTGATGTAAGAAGAGGGGAGGCGCCGGGGGGGGGAGGAGCCGAATTCAACAGCTAGTTGTTTTTTTTTTCTTCAGTTTTTCCTGGTCCACTCAAACTCCCATCATTGTTAGAAATTCCGCGGTGGCCTCGATGTCAAGACCGGCACCACCGGCACACACTCCATTTGGACGAGCTACCACGGTCACCAAATCATGTTCCACGTTTCGACGATGCTGCCATTCTCGGCAGACAACGCACAGCAACTGGAGCGCAAGCGCCATCTCGGCAACGACATCGTGACCATTGTGTTTGTGGACGGCGACGCTTCCACTCCTTACGAGCCACTATTCGATCCTGACGAAATCAAGTCACATTTCATTCACGTCAATGCTATTGTTCGGTACGATCCCTCCCGGCAACAGTACCTTCTGAACATGGCGACCAAAGACTGCGTGAACGAGTATGGCCCACCCCTCCCCAACCCTGCCGTGTTTAGCCACAAGGCCGACCTGCGAGAATTCCTGCTGGTCAAGCTCATGAACGGCGAGAAGGCGTCCTACAGCGCGCCCGTGTTTCTGAAGAAAATGGAGCGTACTCTGGACACGCTCCTTGGCGAGACCCAAAAAAAGTTTATGGCCGGCAACCAGACTCCGCCCGTGACGCTGAAAATGCACGAAGTGGGCCAGATACTTCGCGTCAAGCGCATTCAGAGCGGACTGGCGCCGACATCGCGCGTGGACGCCGGCAGTTCGGCTTGGGCTCCTGTCACCGTGGTCGATGGATTTTCCAACGGAACGATCGTGTGCGGTGCTCTGTGGGGCGAGCGTGTCGTGATTGCCACCACAGCCGGCGTGTTTGTCACCCATGGCGACCTCTGCCAAAAGATTATCGACAAACAGTCGATTGTGCAACTCACTGTTATTGAGCGGCCGGGATTGCTCATCTGCCGCTCAAACAAGTCTGGCAAGGGCGGGCATGTGTACGTCTTCCCGCTGGACTTATTGCTGATTGGCAATGCTGTGCCGAAGGGTCGCTGCAAAAAATTCAAAATTGGCAAGTCCTCCGACTGCCACCTCTACGCCGTCGGCGAATGGGAGACGGAAACCCACTTCTCGGGAGCCCTCAAGCTTTGTGTTGCAGTGCGCAACCGAGTGCTTGTGTTTGAGCACATCGGCCCTGTGGTCACCGGACAGTTCAAGATGGTTCAAGAACTGCTGACACCCGACCCGCCGAGCGTCATTTCCTTCTGCGACAACAACAACCGCGTCGTTGTCGGCTTCCGCACCGAGTTTGATCTCATCACCCTGAAAGGCAGTCAAATTCGCGAGCTGTTTGTGGCCGACGGCAAGGTCAACCCGCTCCAAGCCATTCCCGTCGACAACGAGGTTCTTCTCTGCTACAACCATCTCAGCGTCTTTAAGGATTTCGTCGGTAAAACCAGTCGCAACTATGACCTCAAGTGGACTGCCGTTCCTTCCGCAGTTGGTACGCAATGGTTGAAGGTTTTTTTTTTCCCCTTCTTGCAAACGCAAAAGCATTTTGGCTCAGAGACTTTAGTCATAAACTCATTTTGAATTTTTGGGATGATTTGCTTGTTACCTACACAGCATACCATGTTCCGTTTGTTTGCGGGTTTGCGGCTGAAACGATCGAAATCCGAACGCTCATCAACGGCAAGTTGGTCGCGAGTGTGCCTGCTCCCGGCAACAAGTACCTCACTACCACGCCGGACGCCGTGCTTTACACGACCACCGTGAACGGGCGTGTTGACATTGTCAGGCTTGCCTTCGATGTCTGGCTCTCATCGGCATGAGCGCTTTCAGCAGTTTTGGTTTCGTTTTGTTTTTTGGTTTTTGTTTTCGATTGCTTTCGCTTTCTGAAAGTTTTTTGTTGTTTGTTTTGTTTGTCTTTAGTTCCTCTGAGCAATAGGAGCTGAACTAGATCACAGTAAATGGATGGAAACAACAACAACAACAACAACAACAACAACAACAACAACAACAAAAAAAAAAAAGAGATGCAAGCGTAAAAAAAAAAAGTGTCATGTTTAATAACACATAGAGTAATCACAATGCAAGATTGGGAGTGGGAATGGTGAGTGAGGAGTAAAACACAGAACAAAGAGAAGAGGGTATACAGAATGCTTTACAAAAAGCGCTTGACGACACGAACAGGAACGTTCGAGCGCAAGGGTAAAATGAAAGCAGAGAATAAATCAGACAATGTCAGCAGCTCAGCATCGGAGATCAATCGCGAAGATGGGGCTGCATTCCATTCCTGAAGGCCAGCATCGCCATCAAAACGCGCGCGTTCAAAAAAAGCGAGAGGCCAAAAAACATTTTCGAAAAAAGGAAACTCAATCGAGGAGGAACAGACAACAACAAACAACAACATGACAAAAGCGACAGAAAACCCGAGAGGATGCACGGAAAAAGGCAGCCAGTCCAAGTCTCACAAAAGAGGAAATACCAAAAGAAGAGAAAAAAATGAAGCAAAACGACAGGTCAAACATCCAAAGAAAGTGACAAGAAGCAGAAAGGAAAAAGTCGCTGAAGATAAGACCCAAGGGAAATCCTCCAGTTGCAGTTCACTATCCAGTGGAGGGGGTGGTGGTTTTTGATTTGATGCTTTTTTTTTTTGAGTCTTGCTTCTGGCTTTTTTTTTTTACATGCCCTTCTTGAGCGCCTTCTTTGGCGACGTCTTGCCAGCCTTCTTCTTGTCGGCAGCCTTCTTGTCGGCCGGTTTCAAGATGTGGAACGAGCACATAAGCGTGTCGTCGACGCTCATCATGGCACCGGCGTTGTCGAATTCACCGCAATAGTTGGGGGCGGAGAAAACAGTGACGAGTTGTCGCTTGGCGAAAAACTCGTAGCCATCCTCAACGACTTGGTGAGCGCGGCAAATCAAATCAATGTCGTGCTTTTGCAAGAACTTGCTGACCACGTCGGGACCAAAAGTGAACGAGACGCCGCGGTCGTTCTCGCCCCAGCCTTGAATGTCCTTCTCGGGGTCGGACCAGAGCAGATCGCACAACAAGCCAGTGTCTGGCACGTCGGTGGGTCGCATGACCTTCTTGATTTGCTCCATCGAGTGGAGGTCGGGCGAGAGACCGCCGTGCATGCAAAAGATCTTTTCGTCGATAATGGCGGCAATGGGCAGGCAGTTGAAGCAGTCCGTGAACGTCTTCCACAACTTAATGTTGTATCGGCGCTTGCACTCGTCGTAAAAGCCATAGATTCGGTTGATCGATGCGCACTCGTGGTTGCCGCGGAGAATGAAAAAGTTCTCGGGATACTTGATCTTGTACGCGAGCAGGAGGCAGATGGTCTCGAGCGATTGCCGGCCACGGTCGACGTAGTCACCGAGGAAGAGGTAGTTGGCATCCGGGGGGAAGCCGCCGTACTCGAACAGGCGCAGCAGGTCGAAATATTGGCCGTGCACGTCGCCGCAAATCTTGATGGGCGCCTCGAGCTCGAGCAGGATGGGCTGCTTGATGAAAATGTCGCGTGCAGCCAAGCACAGGCCACGGATTTCGTGCTCTGCGAGTTGCACCTGCTTGCCCGGTCGCTCGCCGCGCACCGACAAGAGTCGCTCAATGATGTTGTCAACGTCGATTTCGGGCAATGCCGCGCTGGGTGAACCGCCGTCCGCCATTGTGTGTATAATGTTTTAGTTGTTTACGAGGAAACAGTGAAGAAGGAGAAGGAATAGGAAGAGGAAGCGAACGCAACGCGGAACGCAATGGGAAAAAAAAAACAACGAAAAAAATGGAACTTCCACAGGAAAAGGAAGCGACCGAGAGAGTTCCCTGTTGCGACCCAAGCAAGCCAAAAAAACAAGGAAGCGCAGAGATACGAAAACAAGTGAGTCGCCATGATGAACAAGAAGCAAAAGGCAACGAAAAAACGAAAAAACCGAAATAAAAGCGGGAGAAATGCAAAACCATCGATCGCTCCAACACTTTTCGGATAGATCACACAAATCACAGCCACAGCAATCTCAACCGACCACCCACCCGCCTCTCTCCTGCCTCCTTCGACCTCAACGAATCGCACAAACGCAGTCCGAAGAGATGAACGACAAGCGATTCTCTCTTTGAAACAAAAAAAAAAAAAAAACAGAGAAGGAACGATAAGGAAGAAAAAAAAAAAGAAAAAGGGGAAAAAAAAACACCAAAAACTGCCACGAGGGGTTGAAAATAAAAAATAATACAAAATAAAATAAAATAACAATGCGAAACGGTTAGAAAAAAAAAAAAAAAGAAGGAAAAAAAAGGGTGCACAAGAACAAGAACAAGAAAAAAAAAAACGGTTCTCTTTTTTTGCTTTGGATGCTTGTGATGCTGAGCAGTGAAGGCGGCCGCTGCGAAACACAACAAGAGCCCACTGACACGCTCACACGCCGCAATGCAGATGGGCGATGGAGAGAGGGGGGGGGAGGACAGCGGCGAGCACAAAGCAAAAAAGAGGAAAACGAAAAAAAGAAGAAAAAAAAAAGGCGAAAAAAAAAAGAAGGCAAAACGTGTTTTTTGTATGGGTTTCCATTACAAAAAAAAGAAAAAAAAAGAAAAAGAAAAAGAAAAAAGAAATTGTTGCCAGCTTTTCATCGCGATCGGAAGGAAGGAAATGACCTTACGCCCCTCCGACTTCCGCTCATGCCTGCGTCTGCCACCACTGCTGCATCGTGGCTTCAGCAACACCCTTCTCCCGAACAGCAACAGGCAGCAAAAGCATCCAAAAAAACAAGCGGAAAAAAACAAAAAAACAGTTGCCCGCCATCAAAAAAAAAAAAAAAAATACAGGCTGGCCTAAGACCATTTATTTGGTCATCCTTCGTGGAAACTCTTTTGCTGCCGCGGCAAATCCCAGTGCTCTGGGAGCAGCCCCTCCTCCCATGCGCGTGCGACTGCGCAGTCCCATCGCATCGCTACAACCCCCTCACGCGCCGCTCGCTCTCGAAACAAGCACAGAACAGCAAAGCAAAAAAACAAGCAAAAAAAAAAAAAAAAAGAACCCGAAAAAAACGAGATCTTTTGAAAAAAACAACTTGATTTTTTTTTTTGCTTGATTTTCAATTGCAATGGAAAAACGCAATGGAAGACAAATTCAATACCAAAAAGCCACGAGTGAGCTCTGAACCATTTGGTCTAAGAAATGACAAAAAGAAAAGTCGTGGAATCAGACAAAAAAAACACAAGTACACAAAAAGTACAGCAACGACAAGAAGAAACGTGGATGGCAAAAGTCAAAAGTCAAAAAGGAAGGCAAAGAAAAAAAACAACAATTGGCTGGAATTGCATTGAGAACGAAGAAACAGCGATCAATCATGCACTCGTCGAAGGACGAAGCGAAAACTCATCAAGTCTAGATCACAGAAATCCTCAGACCTCACAAAAGCGCTGCCGTTGAAGAAATCGCTGAAGCAGGCAGCGTCAACCACCCCATCCAATCGAACGAGCGACAAGTGAGTTTTCCCGCCTTGCGTTGTCGATCTCGCTTCCAATAGTCTGAATCTTCAATTCATCTGTTCTCTCTCTCTTTGTGGCATACTGTTTCGCTTTTGGAGGCTGTTGGAGAGACAGCTCAGTCCAAGCCATTCGTTCGTTTCAATTTGAGCCCGAGCTTCTCCACTGTTTGTGCTCTCTCAAGTCTCATCCCCCAAGCGAAGCGAGGGCTTTCTAATTCTTGAGTAGTCAAGTCACAGGCCAGGTGTTCCAAAGGTCAAAAAAGGGGGTGGGGATCCAAAGGCACAACATACTGTTAGGAGTTGGCTCGAGATTCAACCCTGCCGCGCCGCGCCAAATGTCCACTCCACTGCGGGTCCTGCTGGCGTTGGCTGTCATTGCATGGATTGCTTGGCCCACTCGTCCAGCACAGAGCTCGGCTGCGAATGCGAATGGCAGCGCGGTGCGTGGAAAGCAGCCGCCATTGCCATCATCGCCTGCCAGCGAAATCACTCCTGCAATGCAACGCGAGCTGAGGTACCACTGGGCTGGGATGGATAGTTGGGATTGAATGGATCAACGGGGAGACTCACTTTACAATGATGCCTTCAATCCATCACAGGGACGCTGCAAAGGAAATGTTCTATCACGGGTTTAACTCGTACATGGTGAGCATTGGAGATTTCAGTGCATGCAGGGCTGTCAATGTCGACTCACGCTTGTACGTATTGTGTTGATGCAGAAATATGCCTACCCAGCGGATGAACTGATGCCATTGAGCTGCACTGGACGAGTACGCGGTGTTACCCCAAACCGTGGTGACATGGATGATGCGTTGGGACGGTAAGTCTTGACTGTTCCAAACCTTGGTGCGCTATGATTTGCTCACGCTGATATCGGGGCATCTGCACACGATTCCAGCTTTGCGCTCACTCTCGTCGATTCGATGGATACGTTGGCGGTAAGCTAGTTGAGCGCAATTGCTAAAACCTCTTCTGCACACGAACTCATCTCGATCTCGGTCGTGCTCGTCCTCCTTCTTCCAGGTCATGGGAGACTACGACGAATTCATGTGGGCCGTAGCAAAAGTAGCCCTGGACATACGGTTGGACGCGGATGTGGTGGTGTCGGTGTTTGAGACCAATATTCGCATGGTGGGCGGGTTGATATCTGCGCATGTTCTTGCGCTGGAAATCGCCAACCGACGCCTTGGCCGAAGCCCGCACACGTACAACGGCCGCTTGTTGGCAATGGCGTACGACTTGGGCACACGACTACTCCCAGCGTTTGACACTCCCACAGGCATTCCGTACGCGCGAGTCAATCTGCGCTTTGGCATGACCAAGGAGGCGCTCAAAGACCATTCCACCTGCACGGCATGTGCTGGATCAATGATTCTCGAGTTTGGCGCGCTGAGCCGCCTGACTGGCAACCCCGTGTTTGAAGAGAAGGCCAAAAACGCCATGCGTGCCTTGTGGTCCCGGCGCAGCGCGGACAATCTGATTGGAAACGTCATTCACACGCACACGGGGCAGTGGCTCCGCGAAGAGTCTGGGATTGGCGCCGGCATTGACTCGTACTACGAGTACCTGCTCAAAGCGTACATGCTGCTGGGCGATGCGGTCTACTTGGATGTGTTCAACACTCACTACTCGGCCGTAATGACGCACGTCAAGCGGGGCGCGTGGTTTATCGACACTCGCATGCACCAGCCGTATTCTGCCAACCGCAACAACTTGATTGTTGACGCGCTTTCCGCCTTCTGGCCTGGTCTGCAAGTTCTGAAGGGCGACGTGGATGCCGCGAAAGAAAGCCACCAAATGTACTTTGATGTGGTCAAGCGCTTTGGCTTTTTGCCCGAGGGCTTTACCGCCGACCACCGCGCTCACTGGGTGCATCATCCGCTCCGTCCCGAGTTTATCGAGTCGACCTATTACCTGTATCGCGCCACCAAAGACCCGCTGTACCTGGAGATTGGTCGCCAAGTCCTCGAAAAGATCAAGTCGACGGCTCGCGTCAACTGCGGCTGGGCCGCCATTGCGGACGTCAACACACTGCGCCTCGAAGATAGAATGGACTCGTTTGTCCTGTCCGAAACGTTCAAGTACTTGTATTTGCTGTTTGACAGCGACCGTGCCAGTGGCAACCGCATGGAGGACGATTTGACGATTGACGTTGAGAATTTCGTCTTCACCACCGAGGCCCACTTGCTGCCGCTGAACTTGTCAACGATTGCTGGGCGCACCACCCCGTTTCCTGAGGATGACACCATCCCCAGGAGCTCGACCCACCAGCAACTCTCGTGTCCCGTTTTCCAAGTCTACGATGCACACGCTGCCTTTACTCAGTTTGTTCTGAGTGGTGGTTTGTCGCCCTTGTGGAATATCTGCTTGCCTCAAGAAGCCCCAGCTGTTGCTTCAGAGCCGACTCCTCCGCCATGGTATGTCGCCAATGTTTTTCCCTCTCCATTCAGGCTCCAGATACCACTCAGAACTTGGTATCACTTGGTGCTCATTTTGCTTTGCTGTGTTGAAACAGGTCTGGTGACGCATCCTCAATCAACCCGTCCAATCCCATCCACCGAAACTATCTGAGTTTGCGAGGCATTGATCTGCAACCCTCTGGGGACCACTTTAAAGTCTCATTCAACCCAGCGCAGTGCGTGACCACGCAACTCTTGATGGAAGGGCAGGCGTTGATGCAGCAAATCATCGGCCTTTCCCATGCTCAGCAACCAGCAGCCCAAGCAGCACAAGCAGCTCATGCCGATAGCAGTACGTTGTTTTCCGTCGTTGTGTTTGTTGGTGATTGACGTTTGCCTTGTTATTTTCAAGGGTACTGAGGTGGACTGGCTGATCCGATGATTTGAATCGCTGTGAACAACCACAGAGGACCCCACTGTTGATGCAAGCGACAAACTGCTCCGCATCATCTATCCCTCAGATGCACAGCCGCACACTTTTGTCGTAGGACCGGCGCTATTCGGACCAGTGCTCACTAGCACTTCAACCGTTAGCGGCAGTCTTGCCATCGCAAAGCCTTTCGACGGTTGCAGGCCTCTCGAGCAGGCAGAACGCATGAAGAATCGGATTGTGTTGGTCGAGCGTGGCAGTTGCCTGTTTGCGCACAAAGTTCGGACAGCGGCTGCTGTCGGCGCGGCTGCAGTCGTTATCATTGGTATCGTCGCTGATCCATCCATCGTGTGTGTGCTAAGGTGGTGCTCTCATCTCACGACCAATTTTTTTTGAATGCTTTCCGAAAACAGACAATGAAGACCGACAGCAAGTGTCGGCCATGCGCAACGACGGACTGGAATCAGTGTCCATCCCGTCCGTCTTTGCTGGACGCGCCCTCGGTCTCGCCTTGCTCAATCTCTTGCAGTCAGGCCAAGTGGTCGTCACACTTTCCGGCACGCAGGACCTTTCCGGGCAATGAGAGCGTTGCGATTCTTCAGCTCATGTATTGTAGTTGTAGTCGTTTTTTTTTTTTTTGATTATTGTTATTATTATAATCGAAAGAACAACATCATCATCACATCAACAACCACAACGATTACCTGCATACTTGCAAGTTGCGTCCGCAAACAAAGGCAGTTTTTTTTTCATTGCAGGAGCAAACGTGCATGAGGTAGGGGACGAGAAGGCAAACAACAAGCAACGCAAACACATCATCCGGAACGCATTCCAAAGCAAGCACCAAATACAGAAACGAGAAGGTAGAGGCGCTAGACAATAACAAAATCGACTAGTAGAAAGAAAACAAAAAAAAAAAAAAAAAAAAAAAAAACAGATTCACAAAAAGAAGAAACGAAAAACAAAAACCAACCTAAGCCAGCGATTGGCGGCGGTCATTGCCAGTCAGCTTTTTGATTTGCTTCTTCAGCAAGGTTGGCCGGCGTTGGGACGACTGGCCGCCGCGTGGCTCGACTTCAATAGATCGTTTGTACATTTCATCCTCCGTCATGCGAGGATACTGATCAATCATCTGCAGAATGACTGGGTCGGGCTGGATGGGGTACTCGTCCAGCTGGTACAGGCGAATGCTCTCAATGACGCGCTGGACCAAGCGTCGCTTGGAGAAGTTGATCAGCCCATCGAGCTTGTTTGGATTGCCGTCATCCATGAAGGTCAGATCGGACAGCGACAGGCCGAGATACGGCACACAGGGCAAGCCGCATACAACCAGCTGCTGGCGGTAGTTGCGGTACGAGCTCTCGTGGGACATGAGCTCAGTGAGCTCGACCAGCTGATCCAGGTACTTTTTCGGCACGGCGCTGTACGAGTGCTTCAATCGCACCACACCGGCGCAGTTCAAGCCAGCAATGATGGAAATGATGCTCGAAAAGTTGTTGAGCGTGCGCAAGTGCACCAGGATTTTGATAAACTTGGCAATGACATCGCCGCGAGCAGACGCCTTGTCCTCGCTCAACACCTCGAACGCGCACCAGTTTGACACGTCATTAAAGCGCTTAATGACGCCGAGGACGTTCGGCGAGAGATGCTTGAGCTTGTCGCGACTCCACGACTGGTCGAGCAGCTCGTGGAATTTGATGCGCCGGAAGAGCATTGAATCCACAAGAGTGATTTGCGCGGCAATATCCTCCGACCGGAAATTCAGAGGGGAGGGTCGCGCCACGGCGACAGATTTGACAGGCGACAGGAGATTGGACACAAATTCAGTGTTTCCTGCCCCGGCCTGTTGCTGTCCAGCAGGCAATCCAGCCGCCGCCGTCTGTGGTTGGCCAGGGAGCCCGAGCGAAGATCCGCTCAAGGAACGCAGCGAATTCAGCGACGGAAGAATCGACTGCATTGTTGGCGAGCTGTTTGAGCGAATAAAAGGATCTGCAGACTTGAAAATGCTTTGCTTGCGCTGCGCAACGATGGGCGAGACGGCCGGCGAGGTGTTTGTTGAGCTCGGCGCGGGGCTGCTGGCGGGAGCGGCATTCCGCTTGTCCATGGCGCTGAGCTTTCCAGCAAACGCATTCGCCACATTCTCAACACTCGCCGAGCGAGCCTCACCCTTGTTTGCACGATAGAGGAATTCGCGCATGAGCAGGATGGATCGGCCTGTAAAGTCGGCCCAATGGTCGTTGATGAGCTTTTTGAGGACGTTGCAAACCAGGAATTGCACGCGCGCGTCAAAGTTGGGTCCATTGTTCTGGCGTTGCTTGACCCACTCGGGCACAAAGTAGCGCTGGAAGAGCTTCTTGAGCAACTCTTCCATCGTGGTGAAGGATTTGAAGGTGACCATGAAAACGTGCACAAAGTTCGGGTCGTGGTTGGAGGTGAGGCTCGAAACGAGCGCATTCAGGCTGCCAGCTTTGACAATTTTGCCTTCCGCGTCTTCGAACAGCATGTTTTGCCCGGTGGTGGTGGTTTCGAGCCAAATGTTGTCCGTATTCACCGGCGACAGCCACTCGTCGAGCACAACAGTCCCTTGCTGCTGCGAGCCCAAGGGGCGTCGCAGAATGAGCGACAACGTGTGCTCCTTGTCCGCCAGCGTGTCCGTGATGGCTTGCGGCGACAAGTCTTCGACGCGATTGCCGTTGATGACCATGACCGTGTCGCCAACGTGCACACCGCATCGCTCGGCCAACTTGTCCTTTTCAACGAGCGTCGCCGTGACGCGTAGGGTTGGGGTGGTCACAGAAGGCGTTTGCGGCGAGCGTGAGACCAGATCGTCCGACTCGATCGAGAACGTGCATCCAGAGCCATTCTTGTCTGCCGGGATGTCAATGTACAGGCAGTATTCCGTCGCGTTCCAGATGATGGATTGATGGAGAGCGACTGCATAACCAAAACAAAACAAAAAAAACCCCACCAATTAAATCAGAAAAGAAGAAGCACAAAACCGACCAGCCACACAAAAGGTGTCGTACCAGTGTTGCCCGCTGCTGCTTTCTTGGCGTCGTTCGACTCGAGAGCATTCGAGAGGTATTCCCGTTCCACATCTTCGAGATCGCCCAGCTCGTCGAGCAGCGCCAGCAAATCCATTTTGCCCTCGTAGTACATGCTCCACATTGAGAGACGCTGCGGGGAGAGACCACGGCCACGGACGGTCGTCTGCGACATGCGCTTTGTCATTTCGGCCGCATCGCTGGGTGAGAGTGTGTCGACACCGATTGCGGCGGACGCCTCGGTGACTGCAATATTGAGGACCTCCTGCGAGGCGGTCCGAATGACGTTTGGCAGGGTGCTGTTGTCGCTGTCTCGGATGCCAAACGACTCGCCCTCGTCATCGGCATCAGTAGCACTGCTCGCACTGGCACTGGTACTGGTACTGGCACTGGTGCTGCTTGGAGCGGCAGATTCGCTGCTTGTTGTCGAAGCAGCGTCGACAGAGGACAAGCTGGACAGTGTGGTGCTTGTGCTCGTGCTCGATGCGCTCTTGGGGCCGCCATCGTCTGCTATTGGCATGTCCGTGCTCGATGCGCTTGGTGTTGTGTCTCTGCTGCGACTACTGGTGGTAGTAGCATTGGTGGCAGGAGGCGGGGTTGCTGATGACGGTGATCGCACAAACAGCTCCTCGACAATCATGCGGGACTCTTCCCCGATGCCCAGCGTGTCGTCCTCGTCGAGAACCAGCATGAACGAGTTTCCTTTTGGTCAGCGGAGGAGGGGGGGGGAGAGAGACCGAAAGTCGGAGCGAGAGAGAAGGATCCAAAGCCAAAATGTTGGAAAACAAAACAAACACAAAAGCGCGGTTAGTGAACACATTCGTATGCAGTCAAATCAGGTTTTAAAGCGAAAATGGTGATACGAAAGTAAGCCCCAATCCACCCCCGAATTTCAAACCGCAACTCTGTTGTTTTGAAACAATTCGACCAGGCAAAGCCCGATACTCAGAGCAACAGCAACGAGAGCACATTGGAATGAGAAGGCGAGATTAAGTGAGAAGTGAGAAGTGAGTGAGAAGTGAGATTGAGTGAGAAGTGAGAAGTGAGTGAGAACGAGAGAGATTGAAAGGATGGGAAATTGAACGACCATAAAGTGAAAGCTGCAGGACTCTTCCTTCACTCCTGCCATACAAAACTGCAGTTCGAGATTTGAGTTTGGATTGCTGTTTGGGGGTTGGGTGGTGGGGGGAGGCCTTTTACGTACGGGTCTTGAGCGAGCTAAAGTCAGCTTCACGCTCGCGGTCGCGCAGAATCCGCTGGAGCAGCAGCCGCTCCTCAGTCCAGAGGAACGGGCAGCTGGAGATTGTGGCGAGGCCAGCGGCAACCGCATTGGACGCAGCGTGGGCGGCGCTCGCGGCTGTGAGGCTCGCTCCATCAAGCGACGAGCGGCTCATCCCAAAAAAAAAAAAAAAAAAAACAAAAAAAAAAGTTGACTGAGTTTTACATTGAAACAAACAAACAAACAACCAAAACAAACATCTATCAATCTGGATGGATAACCGTGGATGTGAGGTTGTAATGATACAAGGGTAGTGCTCAAAGGGGTGCAGCAGGAAGAAAAAAAATAATCAGGCGCAAAAAAAGGGAACAAAGCAAGCCAAGAAGAAAATTCGTCCTTTTTCACAAACTCGTCGTGTACGAGAATGGAGCGTTCGTGGGTGTTGGGCCGTACTCGAGCGGCAAGCCAGCCTGGCGCTTCGTCTTGCCTTCTTCGATAGCCATGCGCATGACATTGAGCAGCAAGGCCATGGAGCGTGGCGAGTCGTCGTTGGCCGGGATGCTGTACGTCACTTGGCGCGGATCGCAGTCCGTGTCGGCAATGCCAATCGTTGGCACATTGGCAAGGTTAGCCTCGCGTGCCACTTGGCTCGACATTGGCATGCATGTTAGCACGATCAGGTCGGGCTGTCGCAAAGCACCAAGCGTGCTCATGCTGTTATGGTGGACAAAACAAAACAAGGAGAGAAAACACAAAGTGAGCTTGACCAAACATTGGGATGGGAGACGTGACGCGGAACGTACGGATTGGTCAGGGTGCCAGGCATCCACTTGTTGGCAATGTAGTACTCGCCGACAGACATGGCAGTCTCGCGGACAAGCTGCTTGTGCTTGGAGCGACCACCGACAAACAGAATGACACCGTTTTGGTAGGCAATGTGCTTCAAGACACGGCATGCACGACGCAATGCGACAATCTACGGAAACGAAACAAAGCGAAATCCGCGAGAGTCAGGGATGAGTCATGGCACGACATCCACGACAAATCGCCCGCAACAAACAACACGCACAGTCTGTTCTAGATCAATAATATGAATGCCATCGCGTTCGCCAAAAATGTACGAGTTGGCAAAGACATTGTGGCAACCAGCCTAACCAAACGAAAAAAAGAAGAAAAAAAAAAGAAGAAAGAAAACAAATCAATCACAACAATCAGTGCAAGAGAACAAGCAAAAGGTGAGCCCCACTCGCTACACAACAGCGCCCGAGAAATAAACTCTCTCATCCCGCATCCGACGCTTACCTTGTGACCCAAATGGACACCGGCATCAAACAATTGACGGAGGGTGACAGAGTGTTCCGAGAGGAAGAGCTTGGGCTCGACAATGGCGTTACCAACCGCCTCGGCAGGGCGGCCAAGAGGCAAGCTGGCAAAGAATGCCTCAGTGCGTTGATGTTGCCCAGGGGCTGCACAAAACAAAAACAACAGCAACAACAAACAGCACGCGTGAGCACTGCGCACAAACAGATTCAAACACCTTCTTCACTTTCCTCTCGCAAAATAACCCCAAAAAGCCTTACCAAACAGGACGGGGTCGGGCATGCTGCTGGACTTGCCCGAAAACTCGCGTTGGAGTCGCTCCTCTTCGTCTTCGATGGGCGTTGCGATCGGGCGGTCGGACTCTTCTTCCGCAGCGCGCTCAATGACAAACGCACGCGTGTCGGCAGCGATAACGTCCCGAGCATTCATGGCAACGTCGCGCGGAACAATGGTGACTTGCGGCATGGCGGCAATATCGCCGACGGACGGAGTGCCGAGCACGTCCATTTGGTCGATCAAGGAGCTCACACCGGCAGTGGCAAAACCATCATCGATAACTTCGCGCGGGACAAACTTGCGGTACAGCCGTCGGAGCTCGCCGTCGTTGAGACGGTCAGCGATGGGCGCAAAGTCTTCAATCAGCGCAGGCTTGAGCGCCGGCATGGCGTATATTTCGCGCAAACGAGGGATTGTGCGCAACAAGAGGGCGTCGACAGCGCGGTCAAGACGCGTACCCGTGTGCACATACCCAGACATGGCCTCGACAAAGAACATGTGCAGGAGCTGACCGTTGAAGCGAGGGCCCGAGAATTGGAAGGGCAAAAGCTCGTGGAGAAGATGGACAAACTCGTCCATCGCTTCCGCCTCGATGGCTTTGATGCCCTTAACAGTGACAAGGTGCGGCTCGAGCATGACAAACAGAGCGTGGCGGATGACCAAGACGTCTTCCGAAATTTCATTTTCAGTCTCAGCGTTCGATGCCTTTAGCATGGATGGGTGGTGTTGGGCAATGTGGTAGAACATGAGCACATGGAGAGAGAGATCGATCGAGCTGAGCGTCATTGGCCCGATTTCTTCCAGCTCGACTTGTGGAGTGATGGGCAGGGCAGCGACCAGATCCGGCTGGAACTGAGCCAGCGGCGTGCCACCAATCAGCTCGTGCAGCACATCGGCCATCGCGGCGTCTTCCCGCTCGAGCTTTTGCGTGTGCAGCGTCTTGGTCAAGTTGGCAGCTTCTGCAGGATAGATGGTCTTGTACGCGTCCTCCTCTGCCTCGGGCACTTCCGGGGCAGGCTCGTCACCAAAGCGTGGGCTCTCACCCGCAAGGAAGGCAATAAAGTTTTGGAGGTCTGTCTCGAAATCCTCGGCAGGGAGAATGCTGTGACCCAGTCCCTCCGGGTTGAGTTCCTCGTCCTCCTTGAGCTCTGGCACTGGCTCGTCCTCCGGGCGGACGGGCCGGGGAGTGGCATCGTCCGACCTCCGTACCAGCATCTTGTTCATGCTGGGATCAAAGTCGAGCTGGAGTGCGCCCTCATCGAGCGCGCCGGGTGCCTCGGCAGGCTCAATGACTTCGCCCTCCTCTGCCGCCTCGACCGCCAGTGCAGCTTCCTGGTCCATCGCAAGGGTTGTGTACGCCTCTGCGGTCGCCACCGACTCTGCACGACGCTGTGCCCACGACGACAAGACGCCGACTCGGAAGGTGAGGTCCGAGTCCGAGATGGGCTCGTCCTTGCGAAGCAGTCCAAACCATTCGGCGCGGCGCTCGCTTGGCTGCATGTTCAACACGCGCTGCAGCCACTTGACATTTTCCACCGTGAATCGCGGATCGTCCAGCTCCGGGGCACCATCGTCTTCCATCTCGTCGGTGTACTGAGCTTTGAAAATCTTGGATTCAGCCTCTTCACCATCTTCCTCCATGTCTTCCTCCAACTCTTGCAGCGGCTGCTCGAGCGACTCCGGTGACGATGCCAAGTCCGACTGACGCTGCGCGCGCATAAAGTCTGCAGCAGCAGCAGCGCTCGCTGGCGATGCTGCTGTTGGTTTTGCGCGTTTATCCGAGCCAAAGCCCGAGCTCGCGGTGGCCATCCAGCGCCGGTGTTGCAGCTGCTGGCGTCCATGGACAGCAGCATCAGATCCGTATACAGCCGAAGCAGTCACAGCCGCAGTCACAGCCGCAGTGGCAGGGCTGCATGAGCGCCGCATCCCGCGCAGTCCTGTGAGAGAGAGCGAGAGAGCGCGAGACAGAACGAGAGTGAGTGAGTGAGGATTGATCATCGACCTCAGCACCACTGTTGCGCATTGCAATGCGGCGTGATGCTGGTGTTGTTGCTCTGGTGTGTTGTGGGCTGTTGTGGTGGGGGGCGCGGGGAAAGCGGTTTTGTATGGGCGCTTGCATTGGCGGGACGAGCACATGCGATCTCTGCCTTTTTCTTTAAGGCGTCGTCGCTTGTCGTCCCCCTTCGTTCTCATTCACGACAGAGTGAGAGTGAGCGTGACGGGATGGCATTGATGTTGATTGAGTGCAAAGCAAAAGGGGGCTGCGGAGGGGGGAGGGGCAAGTCGAACCTTGTGCTGCTGCAGTCCGGAGCAACGCAGCAGAAAGCATTGGAAAACGAAAATCAAAGAAGAAGAAAAAAAAAAAAAAAAAAAAAAAAAGGGACTGGGAAAAAAAAAAAAAAAAAAAATCACAGAGACTGAGATTGAAGATGAATCCCAACAGAAAGCAGTCGAACGGACAAAAGGAAGAACAAAGCGAATGATAATCACAGGAGAAAAAAAAAAAAAACCACATACTGTAGGCCGAATTGCTTTCAATTTCATGAGGAGTCGAAAACCTGCCCTTTCTCATGAAATAAAACAACCTGCGATTTTGGGAATGTTTCGGCTCATTAAATTGAAAGCGATTCGGCCTAGATCGATTATTTTTGGAGGGGGGGGGGAGAAAGGAAAAGGGGGGGGGGGAAAAACACTGTTATTAATTCAGTACACAGAAGAAATGACAAAACAACCAGATAGAGGGGAGGGGAGGGGCCTGAAACAAGCACATCAACAAATACATAGGTGTCAGGGTTTGCTACTTTGCGGCAGGCGACGGAGACAGCGGCGGTTGTTGCGTTGCACTGCGCTGTTGTTGTTGTTGAGGTTGCAAGGGGTGAGCCTGATGCTGCTGATGCTGCTGATGCTGCTGCTGCTGCTGCTGCTGAGATGCATCGCCGGGTCCTGAAAACCACGCCGCCTTCTTGGTCATGAAATTGTTCATGAGCGAGGACATGGCGGCCTTGGCGCTGGCGGCAGTGGACGATGCAGAGCCTTCGGAGGCGGCAGCGCCACTTCCAGAGCTGGTTTGGCGCGAGACACTGGATCCAGGGACGGGGGATGGTGGCGTGGCCAGCACGATGAGCTCGTGCTGGAGCTGCGCAATCCGGTGTTTCTGAGCTTCGCTCGCTTCAACCGCCTCGGCCAGCTGCACTTTGACACTGGCGAGCTGGACCTCTGTCGCTTGGACCTGCTTCTCCAGTTGGTTGGCTCGGTGCTCGTGCTTGAATTCAATGACAACCGGGTTGTCCGAGCCCAGCGATGCCTCCAACGTCGCCACTTTTTGCCTCAGGTTGCCAACTTCGCGCTCGGCTCGCTCGGTGACTTGACGAATCAAGCTCTTGAGCTCCTCAATCTCACGCTGACTGCGCGACCGCTCTTCGTCCGCCTCGCTAGACAAGGCACGATACAGGTCCTTGAGCTGAGCCACCTCGGTGTCCAACCGCGTCTTGGTCTCCTCGCCTTCCTGCAGCGAGGCCTCGTGCACGCCTTTCAGCCGCGAGAGCGCTTGCTGTGCCGCGAGACGCTCGTCCACCATACGGTCCAGCTTGGCAGTCAGCTGGCTTCGCGTGGTGACGAGTTCCTTGGCCAGGACATCGTTCTCGTTCTCGAGTCGGCGCTGCACCTCCAGCAGACGCTCGTTCTCCTTGGTGAGACGGTTGATGGGGTCGTTGTCGTGCTCATCCGAGGCGCGCTTGGCATAAAATTCGCGCTCAAATCGCTTCAGCTTCTTTGCGTTGAGCGGAAAGTCGGCTGCGACCGTGACAAGCTCGGACGGGTTGGACATGTACTTTTTGGGGAGGGCCACCCGGAAGAAGGTCATCATGTGCTCAAAGTCACCCACGAGCAAATCCATCTGGTTGAGCGAGAGCAGCGCCATGGCCACTCGTAGCTGCGTCTCCATGCCGTACGCGAGGAAGAGATCCATAATTCGGAAGGCGAGCGGCAGCGAAAACTTGGCCGCGTACAAGGTCAAAAACCACTGCGAAGCATACATTTCCGGCTCCACACCGTGACGGGCAAAGTGGGCATGCAGCTCGGGCATGTGTTCTTCAATGCAACGCTCGAGCTGGTAGAACATGACTTGCAGCGCAACCATTTCTGGCTTGAACAGCTCGCGCATTCCATAATCGTACATGATCTTGACAATGACTGCGAATGCTTGTTCTTCCGGCATCTGAGAGGGACCAGCAGCAGCAGCAGCAGCAGCAGCAGCAGCAACAACAACAACAAAATTAAAAAGACAACCAGGACGAACGAAAGGTCAGCAGATTGTTTTTCTCAACATCTCAATCCCTTTCTCACTACTGACATGAAGAACAAGGATGCCGAGAATGAAGGACAGGCCTTGGACATAACCCGTCTCGGAATCATACGCGGCGTACGCCTTGCTCAGCCGGTACAGCGCTTCTTGCCCAACACTGCCTGCATTCTTGAACGTTTCGTGCGCGGGAAAGGTGCGCATGATGTCCCACTGAATGATGCTTTCCGTGGGCGTTTCTTTCGTGGTGAGGAAGCGGAAGGTGTCTTGCAAATCGTCCGTGTTGCTGCCAATCAGCAGCTGCCACACTTGGCCGCGCAGACGGTCGGGCACGCCATTTCGCGCAAGCTGTTGGACCTGCTTGCGGGGCAGTACATCCCACCGAGCAATCAGCCCTGCCCACTCATCCCATTCCTCGGGCGAGAAGGTCTCCACGACCGTGCCGGTGCCTGAGACGGGGGCGTCGTCGTCCTCTTCGTCCGGCAGCGCAAGACCCAGCGCACTGGCAGCGGCAAACTGGCGAGAGTGAGCGGCGGAAGCGATTGGCAACGGGGCAAATCCAGTGCTGGAGCCAGAATGGGAGCTGGTCGCTTCGACCACGTCTGACGACGACGATCGGCGAGAGTCTGTGCTCGGAACGCTCAGCAGGGAGGTGCTCGATTCCGCGTCGTCGTCCTTGGAGCCGGTGGACGAGACCGAGTTGCTGCGGTTGTGTGGCCGCTTGTGGTGGGCGTTTCGTGCGGCGGCAGCGGCGGCGGCACCAGCACCAGCACCAGCAGCACTACTACTGGCACTTGTGGAAGCAGCGGCAGCGGCTCGGGCGTCGGCAACAGCGGCGTTGCGATTGTACTCGATGATGGGCGCGTCGGGCGCAACGCGACTCATCGCCGTCACTTCAAAGTACGGAAGGCGCAGGCCAGCCGAGGTCTTCATGGGCGTCAGCTCCATAAAGTACTGCACGGGCGGAGCGGCCTTGCCATAATTCCAAAAGCGCTCGGACGGCTTGAATATCTTGACGCGGCATTCCTGCGCGAGACGGACGGGCTCGGTGACGCCCGTGAGCACAAGATCGACTGCGAACGAGACGTAGATGCGAGCGCCCTTGGGTGTCTCGGTGGTGAGCATGATGGAGTCGCGCTCGGACGGCTCCCAGACGCCATCGACTGCGAACGTCCGCTTGTGCGCGCGCCGGTCTGCATTCGAGACGTCCAGCATCTGAATGTCCTTCTGGGTGATGGCGCGGCCCGGGCAGAGGAAGACGCCGACGCAGCGCTCAATCACGAGCGGACCGGGCGTCACCTGCGTGATGGCAAACTGGATTCTGCGCGGCTGCGTCTGCCGCAGCTTGAACACGGCGGGCTCCTTCGAGTCGCCGACGTACGGCACTGGCACGTAGCTGCTCTTGGCGTCCGGCTCGGCAACCACGATCGTCATGTCAAACTCGTACGTCGTCGCCCCAGAGCGATCCTCGACCAGCTTTTGCTGCGACTGCGGCTGCGGCTGTGGCTGTGGCTGTGGCTGTGGCTGCGATGCGTCGTCCGCAGATGCAGCGACAGTGAGTAGAGTCGCGCCTGAATCAGGAGCAGCAGTCGTAGTCGTAGTAGTCGTAGTAGTCGTAGTAGTAGACTCGGCTGGTTGCTCAATGGAGTTGGCTGGATTCGCTGAAGGTTCAGCAGCAGCAACAGCAGGCTCAGTCGACGTCGCTGCTGCTGCTGCTGCTGCTGCTGCATGGTGCTGCTCAGTCGTCACTGCCTGCTGTTGTGGCGGTGCTGGTGTTGGTGTTGGTGTTGGGTCGGTCGCTGGGACTGCATTGGCTGCTTCGACCGGATCACTCATCGCTTCAAAAACCTGTTGTGTGACTGTATGATGAAGGGGAAAAATGGGAGAACTGAGCTGTGTGTATCATTGACATGCCCAAGTCTACTGTACATACAGTCAGAGAAACGATAGAAAAACAAAAAAAAAAGGCTCAAAGACAAAATTCTGCCAAAAAGCTCAGAAATGGTGATTTTTTGGGGTCGTCCGTCAGTCTGAGCATCATGATACTAATAATAATGATGATGATGACAATGATGACAATGATGGTGATCTATTCAATCCCAGTCATCCTTCCCTTCCGGTTCATTCACTTTTACATTTGACGATTTGACAGCCTTTGCCAAAACGTCCAGCAATCGACTGTCACCACTGCCCACCACTGCCCACCACTGCCCACCACCACCAGCCCCCTTTGGAACCAAAACTACAAAACGCCCCCGCTGTAAACCAAGATGGCCGACCGGCGCGCCCAGCAAAAGTACTACCCGCCCGACTGGGACCCGTCGAAAGGGTCGATCAACACGTATATGGGGCAGCACCCCCTCCGCGACCGGGCGCGCAAGCTGTCGGAGGGCATTCTGATTGTGCGGTTTGAGCTGCCGTTCAATATCTGGTGCGGCGGGTGCAACGCCCATGTTGCATTGGGCGTCCGGTTTAACGCTCAGAAGAAGCAGGTCGGAAAGTACCTCTCCACGCCCATTCTGAGCTTCCGTATGAAGTGCCACTTGTGCGACAATTGGTGGACCATCCAGACGGATCCAAAGACGCATAATTATCTCGTGATGGAAGGCGCGCGGAGACGCAACCAGGAATTCTCAGCAGCTGATATCGAGGCAGCGCCGCAACGCGCCGAGGCGGACGAGCGGAAAAAGCTGGACAACGACCCTATGTACAAGTTGGAGCACGGTGTCGTCGACGCCACAGCTGCCAAGAAGGCTCGGTCGCACATTGACGAGCTGCTTTCGATCAACGAGATGCACAAGGATGACTTTGATCTCAACTCGCTTGCCCGGAAGCGATTTCGGCAGGACAAGGCAGTCATCAAGGAGGACGAGCGCGAGCGTGCTGCCTTCCGCAGTAGCACTCGACTGTACATTCCGGCAGCCCCAGAGTCTGCAGCGGACGCGACGCGCGCACGGCAAGTGTTCCGTGGGCAATCGTCAACAACTTCTGCTGTAGCCACCCCTGCACGCGACAGCCTAGATCCCGAACGGAGAATTGCCGCAATTCAGGGAGAGTCCATATTTGCAAGAGCCGCCAAGGATGCGCAGAAACCCCACGTTGGAACGACTCCACGAGCTGCGTCGTCGTCGTCGTCGTCCTCCGCGCCCAACTCGGCTCCCCGTGCCGCTCGACCTGACCAACCAGCCGTGTCCGATGCAGCACTTGCAGCCCTTCAGCGCATGCGTCGAGCAGGGTCGTCGGCGGGGAATTTGCTGGCCAATATCCCAGGGAAGACCTCGTCGATATTTTGAGGCTGTTCTGTTTCTGTTGATGGCTCTGAGTCTTGGCCCCCAAACCATTCTCTGCGAGTCGTGTACTTTTACGTTACATCATAATAGAGTTTAATTAAATAGCTGCGATAACTTCACCAGCTAAGAATAAAAAAAATAGGAAAAAATAAGAACAAAAAATAGAATAAAAAAAACACAGACCAGCCACATCGACTGCGCGGAAAAACAAATAAAATAAAGGCTACAACACGTTTTTCCCATTCGAATCACTGGTCAGCGTCGGATGCGGCTGCAACGCAAGCTCAAAGTCGGACCAGTAAGGTTCGTGGTTTTCCAGGATGTGCTGACGATACCAGTCAATAGTACTTTGCAGTCCAGCTAGAAAGCCCACACGCGGAACCCAGCCCAGGGCGGCGAGTTTTGCCGAGCTGATGGAATACCGGCGATCATTCACGAGACGATCGTCGACTTGCTCAATCCATTCTGCAAAAGCAGCAGCACGAAATGGAGGGTAATTAGATCGTGGTTTGCAAGTCCCCCTTCCCAAAAAACAGGCAATGCAATAGAAAGCAAAAAAAGCCATACCATCGCAATCGCAGTCGGGCCGGATCTGGCGGACAAGGGTTTTGGCCAAGTCACGGATGGAGAGCTCGTCGTCAGAGCCAAAGTTGTAAATTTCACCGCCATGTCCGCGGTGCAGCACAACGTCGAAGGCCGCACAGACGTCATCAACGTGCAAGTACGTTCGGAGAGCAGATCCGTCTCCATGCAAGCAGCACTTTTCTCCGCGAAGCAAACGCAGAATGAACTTTGGTACAACCTGCGAACACGAGGACGACGACAAAGGAAGGCACCCGAGCGATCAGCCAATTCCCGTCACGACCACACGCAAGATCCAAAACTACAAATCCAAAAACCGCCAACCCTATCGTACCTTCTCGGGAAATTGACCTGGGCCATAAACGTTGTTGCTGCGCGTAATGATGATGGGCATGCCAAAGCACATCATGTATGACTTTGCCACAAGCTCAGCTGCAGCCTTGGAGCACGCGTACGGGTTTGTTGGATCGGGAAGCTGCTCCTCTGGCGCATGGGCGTGGCCAACGGCAGTCGCGCCATACACCTCGTCCGTGGAGACGTGAATGAAGCGCTTGACGCCGGCCAGCCGCGCGCACTCAATCAACGCATGCGTACCCAAGACGTTTGTCTGGGTGAACTTTAACGAGTTCCCGAACGACAAATCGACGTGCGACTGCGCTGCAAAGTGGAGCACCGTGTCGAATGCTTCGTCTGCAAACAGCTGTTGGAGGAGTTGAACATTTTCAATGCTTCCTCGCACGAATCGGAAACGCGGCGGAGGAGGAGTCAAACTACCAAGCGTTTGCGATGGATTGGCCTGCTTGACGGGCGTTGCGAGCGAGACTGCAGGACTGGGAGCGGTAGAAGAGGCATTGATAGCGGGCGGTTTTGAGCGGTCTTGCAGGCGATTTTGCTCTCCTCGCGCTCCATGCGCCGCGCCATCATCAAGCAACAACGATGGCAAGGGCTCTGAAACGCCATCCAGACATGCACTGGCGGCAGCGGTGATGGGCTGTGGTCCGCCAAACTCGAATGCCGCGTCGAGGTTTTTCAATGACGCGCAGGGCTCCAGGCTGTCCAAGCAGACGACGCGGTACTGCGGGTACTCTCGAAGCAAGAACGCGCACACATGGCTCCCTGTCAAGTTAAAAGCGGACGGTGAGACACCTCCCCACAGTGAGTGAGTGAGATTGTACATCAAGTAGGTTGAACTGCTCAATCGTTGCAACTTGACCGCTTACCTATAAACCCAGCACCGCCAGTCACCAGAATGCGATGCGGAGTGTAAACACTCGCCTCTTGCATTTTTGGGTCCCTGTAGCTGTAGAATGATCACTCACGAGCACTTCTCGTTGTTTTTGTGTGTTGTTTCAGTCAAAGCTCGACCAAAGCCAACAAACAGAGACTGAGACTCTGAGCAGTTGTTGGTCTTGTTTGGTGTTCACTCTCAATCTAGTTCTACAAAACTCAAACACACTCAGCACACTCATTCACCTTGTTGCCTGGTCTTCTTCAAGATCGCCACAAAACCTGGAGATTTTGACTTCAATCTTCCATCCCCAATCTTCGACGGTTTCTTTTGAATCTAATCTGATTCAACGCAGTCTTTGCTTTCATTTTTGTTTAGTGGCTGAACACAGTCACCAGTCAAAGAGTCAGTCACAAATAGCGTGATCGCAGCCAGATTGAAGCAAGTTTTTTCCCCCCCTTTGACTGAAGCTCAGCAGCCTTCAGTCTTCACGACTCTACTCCTCCGTCCGCCTGCGCACTCTTCGTCCGAGCCGTGCAACACCAACACGCGTTTTACTCTTGCTGCCATGGATGCAAGCCAGCGCATCACCATCGGCCTCTGCGCCATGGAGAAGAAGGTCGGGTTTTCGTGTCTCTTGTTGCTTGCTACAGTCTGTCTCTCTCTCTCGCTCTCTGCCACTGACTTGTCGTTCGCGATCGCATGTGTGAGACAGACCAAGTCCAAGCCGATGCGCATGATCATGGAGCGCCTGCGCGTCTGCGGCGACTTTGATCTCATTGCCTTTGATGACAAGTTGAGTTTTTTTGATTCCTTCTTCATGTTGTTTGCTGGGTTCTTTGGTGAACACGCGCCTGGTCTGGCCTGGAGGGCGGAAACCAAGTCTGCTGCTTGGCCTATCATTGCCATGAAACGTTGGCTTGGCTGGGCTGAGGGCGGCGAGCGAGCACGGCGTTGGGATGAGCAGGCTTTCAATCCTGTTCCGATAGCGATCATCACTCACCCAAAACCATCATCGCAAAAGCCCAGCAGCATTCTCAGCCTGACTTGACACTGAGAAAGCATGTCAAGAATCGCGTTGATCGCTGTACTGACCGATGCAACCACGAATTTTTTTTCTGTTTTTGTTTTTGGTTGATTTTTGGCAGCACCATTCTCAATGTGCCTGTGGACCAATGGCCCATCTGCAACTGCTTGGTGGCCTTCTTTTCAACGGGATTCCCGCTCCACAAGGCGATGGTATGCTGTTGGCTCAGGACTGGCGAATGTTTCGAAATCTGCGCTCCGAATTTTTCCGACTTGCTCACGTTGGTTTTTTTCAGGAATACGCCGAGCTGCGTCGTCCGTTCATGCTGAACGAGCTCGAACCGCAAATAGGTTTGCTCGATCGTCGATCGGTGCGTCTCTGTTGTCGTTGTTGATGATGTTGATGTCTTTCCTCGAGGGATGATTCTCCAACTCACAATGTCTTGCTCAACCTCGCTGTTATTACAGGTCTACGAAACGCTCATCGACAACGGCATCCCGGTGCCACGTCACGCAGTTCTTGAGCAAGACAAGATTGAAGAAGAGTTGGACGAGCATGAGGATTACATTGAGGTGAGAAAACAAAGAAAAAAAAAGAAACAAAAAAGAAATCAAACAATTGTGATTGCGGTGCGTTGCTTTTGGCTAATTATCTGGCGTTCTGGCGTGTTTTTAGATTCGTGGAATGCGCTTCAACAAGCCGTTCGTCGAAAAGCCCGTCAGTGGCGAAGATCACAACATTTGCATTTACTACCCGCGAAATGCAGGCGGAGGCAGCCAGCGTCTCTTTAGAAAAGTGGGCGACCGAAGCTCCCAATTCTACCCGGATGTGAACACAGTTCGCCGCAATGGCTCCTACATTTACGAGGTTTGGTCTTGACATTGTCGGGCCAACGCGTGTCTGGTTTTTTTGCGAGTCTGATTTTTTTTTTGTTGTTGTTGTTGTTGGCAGGATTTTCTTGCGACCGAGGGCACGGATGTCAAGGTCTACACTGTTGGTCCGATGTACGCTCACGCCGAGGCTCGCAAGTCGCCTGTGGTTGATGGCAAGGTCTTGCGCGACGCGGACGGCAAGGAGATTCGGTATGGCATGTCTCTGTGTGCCGCTCCCTCTGACAAAACGTACTCATGTTCTTATTTCCACATTCCAATCGCCCCATTTGCCCCCCCCCTCCCCTTGTTTTCTTTTTTCCCCTTTGATCCGAAAGCTTCCCGATCATGCTGACTCCAGAAGAAAAGGACATGGCGCGCAAAGTGTGCAGCGCGTTCCGCCAGATGGTCTGCGGATTTGATCTCTTGCGCACTGGCGGCCGCTCGTTTGTGTGCGACGTGAACGGCTGGAGCTTTGTCAAGAGCTCTTCCAAGTATTACGACGATTGTGCCGCGGTTTTGCGCGATCTGATTCTGCTGAACATGGCACCGAGTCGGCTGAACATTAATCGGCTGCCGCGCGGTGGCCACCGCACGCTGTCCATTCCCGAGTCGTCGCTCACCGAAAGCGACAAGGCATACCTTGCTGGGCTGGATCTGGAGGGAGGCGAGGACTCTGGCACCACGACGCCTCCCCTCGTCGGCAGCAGCGCCATCTCGTCCCCGGCTCATGGCGGCAGTGGAACGACCACGCCTGGCGCCATTGGATCGGGCACCCCTTCGACATCGCGCCGCGAGCTCGACCCGCTGACGGGCTCCGGCTCGATCTGTGGCACGAGCGCCGAAGAGCTGCGCTGCGTGATTGCCGTCATCCGGCATGGCGACCGCACTCCCAAGCAAAAGCTCAAAATGCTCGTCACCAACGACAAGTTTTTGCACTTTTTCGCAAAGTACAGCGACGACAACAAGACAGAGCTCAAGCTCAAGACGGCCGTTCAGCTGCAAGAGCTGCTGGATGTTACGCGTTCGCTTTTGCAGCAGCACTCTGGCGACGACGACTCTGACATTGAAGAGCGCTTTGACAAGCTCGTGCAGATGAAGGCGGTGCTCGAGAAGGGCGGCCACTTTTCTGGCATCAACCGCAAGGTCCAGCTCAAGCCTTTGCGCTGGGTCAAGCGCTCCAAGCGCACCAATGCTGGCGCCGAGTTCAGCGACGCACAAGAAGCGTCGACCGAGTCTGTTGCCGAGGCTCTGCTCATTCTGAAATGGGGCGGCGAACTTACGCACGCAGGCCGCGTCCAAGCGGAGATGCTTGGTCACACATTCCGCGAAGATTTGTATCCGGGCGAAGGTAGCGGCCTGCTCCGCCTCCACGCCACCTACCGTCATGACTTGAAGATTTACTCCTCGGACGAAGGCCGTGTCCAGGTGACGGCGGCTGCGTTCACCAAGGGCTTGCTCGAGCTTGAGGGTGAGCTCACACCCATTCTCATCTCGCTTGTTCGCAAGGACAAGGCAGCCATCAAGCTGCTCGATGACGCATCTGGCGCGAACGAGGACGTTGCAGAAGTCAAGCAGAACATTCACGCACAAATGTCGATCGACAAGCGCTTTGATCGCGAGATGATTGAACAGGCTGTTCCCACATTGTCGCAGTCCATGGTGCGCTCGCTGCAGCTTGTTCGCAATCCGCGTCAAATGTGCCTGCGCATTCACCGCCTGATCCAGGCCGTCACCGATCAGCTGCGCGACTTGATTGCCGCGGCAACTCCCGAGGAGCGAAGCGGCATTGACTCGCTCTGCAACGGAGAGACGTTGTCCTTGATGCACAAGCGCTGGGAGAAGCTGCTGCGCGACTTTTTCAACAAAAAGAAGGCCAAGTTCGACTTGAGCAAGATTCCCGACATTTACGATTGTGCCAAGTACGACGTGCTGCACAATCGCCATCTGAGCATCAAGAACATGCGAGAGCTGTACATTTGCACCAAAGCAATGGCCGATTTCGTCATTCCGAGCGAATACGGCATGACCTGGGAAGAGAAGGTGCGGATAGGCAGCAGCATTTGCGCCAACTTGTGCTCCAAGATCCTGGCCGATCTTGGCATCGCAAGCACTCCGCCAGAGGTGCCTGCGGCAGCTTCAGTGGCTCCCGTTGTGTGTGGCGGTTTGTCCGTCCCCATTGGGGCAGACGTACCTGCACCGCCAAACCCGCCCGTCGCTCCGACTCCCCCTTCTTCTCGTCCCCTCGGCGCACCCGCTGCTGTTTCCTCGGGCCCGTCCACTGGCTCGCCGTCATCCGGGTCCAGCACCGGCGCTTCTTCTGGAACGGACGCGTCCGTCGACGGCGTTGGGGCTCCTCCCCCGCCAACCCCGCCGCTGCTGCGAGGATTGCAGTCCCAGACGAGCATGATGGCTGGTGGCAGCAGCATTTCCACGCCCACGAGCATGACCGCTGCAGCACAATCCGTGTCCTTCTTCCCCACCGAAACCGTGCATCGTCTCAACTCGAGGTATGTGACCAACATCAAGACCCCCGAGCGCCAGGTCCGTTCTCGTTTGTACTTTACGTCCGAGTCGCACATGCATTCGTTGCTGAATGTGCTGCGGTTTTCGAGCATGCGGCACAGCGAGGTATGTCCCAATCCACGAGTCATATGTGTTTTTTTTTTTCGCTGTTTCTCCGATGTTGTTTTTGCTGCAATTCTCACGTTTCCTCGGACTCTTTGTTGTTTGCTGGATGGCGTGGGTGGTGCTCTTTTGCAATGGATAGGAGTGGCGCGATAGCATGACCAAGCTGAGCGCAACTTCGGAGCTGGATTACCTGACTCACATCGTGTTTCGTCTCTACGAGCGCTTTGATGTCGATCCTTCCCTTCCAGACCGTTTCCGCATCGAGCTCATGTTCAGTCCGGGTGCGGTCAAGGTCACCGAGGCGCCGGACGACACGCACGTTGTTCCTGTTGCGCCAACCATGACCCTCAACTCGTCCATCACCCTGCAAGAGATGGAAGAAGTGCTGGCGAGCGCAACTCGTCAACACTGGGAGAACAAGGAAGCCGAGCAGCCAGCTACTGTTTGAGCGGCGAGTGGTCTTTGTTTGTGTGAAGTGTGTGTGTGTGTGCGTGGTCTTTTTTTGTAGTGTAATTGTGTGGATTGAACGTAAAGGACAAAGTTGTATTGCAACAAGCTGTTGCACACCGCGGACAAGCGTGCGCCGTCCCGTCGTCTTCTACTACTGCAAAATTGTAATCGAGATCAACATGTGACCGCGTGGCGGGACGTTGATGGCGGTGTAGTTGGCCTTGATGTAGCCGATGCGTTCACGCGCCCACAAGTCGCGCACTTCCGCCTGGGCATTGTTTCCCCAGTTCAGAATGGACCATGGAATCGTAATGTTCTTGTCACCAACATCGTTCGAGTTGTACAGGATGACGGCGTAGCGGTTGTCGACCGAAGGACTGAGCGGCTTTGTCCAAACCTGCGTGCCGTCGGTGTTGTTGAGCGCAATGTCGCCAGCAATGGCAAAGGCGTCCTGGTTGATGGCAATGACTTCCGGGTTGAGCAAGATGCTTTGCTTGACGTCGGTCATGTTGCGAATGTCCGTTGCGACAATGAGCGGTGCAGCAAACAGTGCCCAGAATGCAAACTCGGTGCGGGACTCGCGCTGTGTTGGTGTGGTGATTGTTTTGGTGAGTTTTCTGTGAAAGATTCAAATTAAAAGCAAAAGCTAGAGCACAGCCAACCACTCACCTCAGTCAACGGTGGCAACATGGTCATCAGGAAATCGGGATCGTTCTGCAAAAGGTTGCCACAAAACAAAACAAACCAAAAAATGAGAACTCAAACCCAAGAGTTCAACTGAAACGCACAGAGAGCGTACGACTCACCCAGCCTCCAGGTCCAGCATACTTGGACAAGTGGGCCATCGACTGAATAATGTTGGCCGTGCCTTGCTCCGATCCCCAAAGGGGAAGATGATCCTTGTGCACACGCCACATGTTGGCAGTCTCCATGCCCCAGGTCCACGGCTCGTCCTCGCCCCATTCGCAGGCTGAAAACACAATGGGGCGCCCGGTCTTGTTCAGGGAATCGCGCATCATGCCGTAGACAGTGGGCGGAGGAAGGTTGGGATGGTTGCACCAGTCCAGCTTGACAAAGTCAATGCCCCAGTCCGCAACAGTCTGTGCGTCCTGATCAAAGTAGCCCCACGAGCCAGGACGCTTGTACTTGCACGTTTCGTTGCCAGCACACAGATACAGGCCCATCTTGAGACCGAGAGAGTGGACATAGCTGGTGACCTTGGCCAAGCTGCCGCTCGGAAAGCGCGAAGTGTCTGCGGTAAGCGTGCCGTTCGCAGAGCGCGGGCCGCCCCAGCAATCGTCCAAGTTGATGTACTGCGGTGATTTGGTTGAAGGGCAGACTGTCAGAGTTGGAAAAAAGGGCAAAACCCCGGACAAGAAATGAAACAAAATGGACCAACCTGATAGCCCAAGTCTTGCATGCCCGAAGACACCTACAAGCATGTCGCACGGTGTGCAGCAGCAAGCCGACTCTAGTGAGCATTCAGCCATGGAGAGACACCAAAACAAAACAAAACAAAAACAAAAACAAAACACCAAAAAACACTTGCCATCGCATCGGCCATCTGCATAATCTCTTCCTCGTAGCAGAAATCAAACAGCCCACAGTAATCGTCCGTGCACCTGTCACAATGCCATATGACCAATGAGCACTATTCTCCTCTGCAAACAGAGCTTAATTGCTGATAGCGGTTTGGTGGTGACCAACGACTTTGTCCACTTGCCATGTATTCCAGCCCATGACTGTCAAACCCAGTCCAGAGACGCACAGTCAAAAGCATTGGAAAATCGGTACATTTTCACCAATGTGAAACGTGTCAAGTTTTGCACCAAACAGAACAGAGCAGTTCGGATGTGAGTGATACGCAGCGCGGGGACTGGAAGCAGACTAGAAGCGGCTTGAAACCTGCGCAGACCCAATGAAAAGCAATGCAACTGTACCTGGCAGTTCGGCGAGACCTGTGCGAGCGGAGTGTGGATGCATTGGAGGGATGATGGGAAGAGGAGGGACGATCAGTGAGTGAGTGGAGCTTCAATTGGCGGACGATTGCCAGATTTTCTCATAGTCCGTCAGTCAGTCAGATGACAGAGCAGAGCAAAGGGTGTTTGTGGATGTCCTTGTTAGAGAAAGCAAACGCACCGTTGTCCAGCGCGAGGGCGGGCGGACTGCTGGCGGACAGAGCAGTCGCAACCAGCAACAAGGAAGCAAAGAGCGGCAACATGAGAAAAACTCTGAGCGCACTCTGAGAACGAAGAGAAATGGAAAAAAATAAAAAGGACTGAGACAAAGTATTAGTGATAAAAATGATGGGATCAAATCACCTGATGAGCATCGTCCAACTTTGAGAGATCGACGTATGGGGTTGTGCATTGCGACGTAACGAACGAAGGCGATCGACCCCACCATTTCGCTTCCACGACGCTAGAAATTCAAAGTCAGACGAGTCGGGCAAGTCTACCAGTGACTTTTTTGTTGATTCAGAGTGGCAGCTCAACGGAGCTCATTGAGTTGGTACAGTAACGAGAGGTACCTTTCTGTTTTCTCATTGTCATTGCATTCGCTTTTGATTCACCTCATTTTCACTCTTCATTCTTCATTCTTCCATCTTTCCTTCCTTCACTTTAATTTTTTTGTATGTCACTTGAAATTCTCACCTCCGCTCAGCAAAGGCGGGCTTGCTCCCCATACGAGACTTTGACATGTCCTTTTTGTTCTCTCTCTCCCGTCCCCTTCTTTCCTCGCTCTTCTCTCACTCTCTCTCTCTCTCTCTCTCTCAACAAAATCCCCTTCCCCCTTTCCCCTTCCCCTCTTCATGTTGCTGCAGCGACGGCAACTCAGCCACTCCTTGCAAAACCGAGCGGTTCGCTGCGAATTTATTATCATTTTTATTTTATTATTTTTTATTTTATTTTTCGATGGACGAACTCTCGTCTCGTCTCGTTTCGTCTCGTTTGTTGGAACTTTTGTTCTCTGTTTTCTCATCGCAGTTCTATTTTTTCACTCGTTTCGTTCGTTGTTCGCGTCTCAGCTTCAAAATCGTAGGACGATCAAACAAAAAAAAAAAAAAAAAAAAAAGAAAAAAAAAAGAGGAAAAATTTGAATTTGCATTTTGGATTCAACTGTTAAAAAAAAAAAATCAAAAAAAAAAAAAAAAAACAACCAATACGTTTTTCAATGGAAGACCTTTTTTTTTTTTTTTTTTTTTTTTTTTTCCTGTTGACTTTTTGTATTGAGTTTTTAACGTTTTTCCCCCTCCTTTTTGTTTTCTTTGACAGACAAACAACCGAACAAACAACCCAAAACAAGAAGTCAGTTTTATCATCATCATCATCTCCATTTTGTTCTCTGTGGCGAATGAACCCGCGACACAGCCGGAGCAGCGGCGAAATTGATCTCGTTGGAGCAGCCGCGCCGAGGTCCTCCTCACCGAGCACCAGCACCAGCGGCACCAACCCACTCGCCCTCGCTGCGTCTGCTGGTAGTACTGCTGGTAGTGCTGGTAGTACTGCTGGTAGTACTGCTGGTAGTGCGCGTGGGACGGCGAGCGCAGGGACACCGACCCAGGCAACGAGCTCCTCGTCCTCTAGCAACGGCTCAACCACTACCACTGCCACTCCGACTCCGACGCACCCCGGACGCGTCTCGTCGCCAGCCGTGCTCCTGACGTCCGCTTTGCCATCCGCCATCGGAGGCGGGGCTGCTGCAGCGTCGGTGACGACGGCCGCTGCGCTCGACCACGCTCAAAACCACCAGAATGACTCAGCCGCAACCACAGACATGGCTGCTGCTGGTGGCTCTGCTGCTGCTGCTGCTGGGACTGCTGCTGGCGGAGGGTTTGTACGCACGTCGGGCATCACGGGACCGCGGCGAAACAGCAACAACCGGTCCTCACTGCGCGTCCACTCGCAGCTCTATGAGAAGGACCCGCTCGCCGCACTGCAGCAGCAGCAGCAGAGCAGCATGCGCAGCTCACACTCGTCGTCAAGCGTCAATGTTCGGGAAAAGAGCGAGCGGCGCATCTCCATGATGGACACGGTCTCAATCATCAACGATGGCGGCAACAGCAGCAGCCAGAGCAAAGACTCCTCCTCGTCGGGCCTGTCCTCACCCGTGTCGCGGTCGCGAACCAGCAGCACCTCGTCGTCCAACCCGGCGCTCAACCGCTCGGGATCGGCGAACAACGTGGCGCAGCAGCAGCTGCGGTCGTCAGGCAACTCCAGCCAGCGCAATTCCATGCTCTTCTCGTCCGAAGACGAACTCGACGGTTCGAAATCAGCCAGCGCAGCGGGACAGTTCTTTTTGATGCGAACACACTCGTCTCAAGGCCTGATCACACCGGGTGATCCGTCATCCAGTCGCTCTGGTGGTGGTGGTGGTGGCGCACCTGCCAGCGGAGCCCCTCCACCGAGCCGGTTGTTGAACCGGTTCTTGTCCCAGAACAACCTCGCAGCGCGGCACTTACCTGGCGACGACGAGCTCAACACCACCATGTCGGACGATACAACTGATTATTCCGACGACGACGACGACGACGACGACGACGATGACGACGACGACAATGAGGACGACGACGACGACGACGACGATGAAGAGGACGACGACGATGACGACGACGACGATGACGACGACGACGACGAGCGCACCAGTGATTCCGCTGGCTCAGACTACGAGGGTGAGCAAGCCACTCCGTCCAGTGCCAAGTTTTTCTACTTTGACACTGAGATTAACGACACGGAAGAGTCGCTCACCGACCCTGTCGACGTGCCAGTCACGAGCAACGAGCCAAACCGATTGGCTGTCGAGTCGCCCGAAAGCAGTCTCAAGAACAAGCCTCGGAATCGCAGCTTTGGCGAAACAACCTCGGTCGCAGATGCAATCAAACGCATGTCCGGCACGGAAGACAGCCACTCGGATGGCGGCTACGGTAGCGACACCTCGCTCAGCTCGCTGCCAGCCACACTGGTGACCAACTGCGCCAATTTTGTCAACGAAGTCGCGCCAGGCAAGCCTCGGTCTCTTTCCTCTAGCGGCTCAACAAAGAGCATGCGCCGCGCGCTCTCATTGAAGGTGGGCAGCGCTTCCTCCCTGAGCTCTACGCCGTCATTCTCAGAAGCCACCTTGTTGTCATTCGAGTTGGCCGATCCCACTGGCAATTACTTCCGCAAGCACTTTTATGGCAAAGAGCATGAGACGTACGCCGGCACCGATCCCACCCTCGGCCCTGTCGTCCTGTCTGTACTTCAAGAGTCGGTCGACAAGGTTGCCGCCAAGCAGAATTTCCGCATCGTTGTTCGTAGTGCAGAGGTAAATCGAAAAACAAAATTGGTGCAAAAGGCTCTTAGCTCTGAACATCCCAACCTCCAATTATTGTTGTCTTTGTTTTGCTCATTTGTCTGGTTGTTTTTGTTTCTTCCCCCTTCCATTTCTTCCGTCCACTCTCACCTTGCTCGTTTTTTCCAGCAACCCGACATCCGAACAACTTGTGCGGTTCCTCTTTCATCAGCAACAAGCCTAACACGCAAGGCTGTGTCCAAGTATGTGATTTCAACAATGGCGCCCTCAATCGACTTTTCCAAACTGCGGGCCATTTCTGGGGCCAAATTGCACGATCGGCTGCTTCAATTAGACGAGCAATTGGTAAGTCCAATTCGCCTCTCCCCCTTTGTGTTTTCTTTTCGTCGCTTTCACACCTTTTGGCTGGCTGGTCCGGTCTGGCGGTTGTGGCTCAACCCTTTTTTTTTTGTTGCTGACTCATCCTTGCCCAACCCTTCTTCTTCAGTTTGTGCGGCAGTACAAGTTTGGCATTTTGTATTGCAAGGCGGGCCAGAGCACCGAGGATGAGATGTACAATAACGGTATGGTTTTTTTCACATGTCATTTTTTTTCTTTCCCCTTGCTTTCGGTTTTGGCCTGCGTTTGATGCTTACTGTGTGTTCCAATTCCCCTTTTGACCGCGTTTCTCAGAAACCGCCGGTCCGGCTTTCACTGAATTCCTTGATACAATCGGCACCACTGTTCCACTCCTCAACCACGCCAAGTTCCGTGGCGGTTTGGATGTGAAATGTATGTTTGTTCCTTGCTCGTGGGTTGCTGTTCTCGTTGGTGTCCACGCACTTGTGTCCTGTTTCGCGGCTTGCTCACACACGTGTCTAATGCACCACCACTCTCGCTGCAGCGTCCACAACTGGCGATACTTCGGTCTTTGCCGAGTTTGAGGATTGTGAAATCATGTTTCATGTTTCCACAATGCTGCCATTCACACCCAAGGACACGCAGCAGCTTCAACGCAAGCGACACATCGGCAATGACATTGTCACAATCATCTTCCTCGAGCCCGGTGCCAAGCCGTTTAGCCCGAAGGTTATTCGATCCCATTTCCAGCACGTCTTTATCGTCGTTCAGCCAATCAACCCGAACTCTGCCACAACAGAATACACGTATGTCGCAATTTCGAAGGAGACGGTGTTTCTCCCCCCCCCACCACCTTGTCGGCTGCACTCACACAAAAATGCTTGCTTGCAGAGTTGCAACGGTGCGATTCGAGGACGTGCCCAAGTTTGGGCCTCCTCCGCCTTCGTCTGGCACCTTCCCGAAAGGCCTGCGGTTCCGCGAGTTCCTTTTGACAAAGCGTGAGTTGAACTTTACAGACTGGTTTGGTCATTTTTCGGGGGTGCTCGTCGTGCTCGTCGTGCTCACATTTTGCTCCTCCTTGTCCCATCTCTTTGTGTCTCCTCTTCACAGTTATCAATGCCGAAAACGCAGCCTATCGATCATCCAAGTTCTCGGCCATGAACAAGCGAACCAAAGTCTCGCTGCTCACCGACATTGTCAAGACGTACACCTTGGACGCCGGCGCGCCAGTGTCGCCCACAGTCCCTGGCAAGGACGACGGCCAACTCTTCCGCAGCAAGTCTGCTCGGTTTGCACGGTCTGTGTTGCGCATCGCCAAGAGCGGGCCGGCCGAGCCTGGCGTTCCACCTCCCACTCCTGGCGTGCGCCAACGCACTGACTGGCTGGTCAAGGTATGTGGTTTTCGAGTTGATGTTTTGGGCCATTTTGGTTCAAGTGATTAACTGGACTGGTTGGTTCCCTTTGTGTGTCTGTGTTTTTGTTTTCCTGGTTGCTTTTGTAGGTCAAGGATCCGAAGAATGAGGCCAGCCTGAGTGCCACCTTCACCATCACGCCAGAGACCATGACCTTGCGGCACGCTGTGTCTAATGTACGTTCGACAACCGCGAGCGATTCTTGTATGGATTTGCGAGCTAACCTGTTGTTTTGCTGCTCCTTTCTCCCGCCACGAACAGGATATTCTGGTGGCCTGGCCAACGGCTTCGACTTCAGGCTGGGTTCTTATTCCTCTTGGGTGAGTTTTGTTCATTCAGTCGGATTTTTTTGGTCCCTCATTCCCTCCCAAACAAAAAAATTACTCATCAAATTCTCAACCGATGCTTTGCTTTACAGCATCAAAGTGTCGTATGGCAAAGGAGCAACGCAGATTCTGCAAACCACCGATGCAGCCTCCATCCAAAACCAGCTCGAGCAATGCCTGGGCAAAGCCATGGCCGCCGCCAAAGACAATCCCGACAGCATCCTCACTGCGTGGTACTCGAAAAAGAAGAAGGGAGACAAGAAAAAGGACCGCGCAAGCAAGTCCGACAAGGAGAAAAAGCCCAAGAAGGCCAAGGGCGAAGGCGACAAGAAATCCAAGGAAGAAAAAGCGGCTGCCAAGGCGCTCAAGAAGCAGCAAAAGCTCGAGCTCAAGGAGCGCCAAGCCCAAGAAAAGTTTGAAAAGGAAGTGTCCAAGCGTATGCTCAAGGGCATGTCTGGCACACCACTCGGCAAGAGCAAGCAGTACGGCTCCGAGCCCGCCCTTGATGACGGACCGTTGTCGCCTTCAGCGCTGCTCCAAGACGAGCCGTTGACCCCGTCTGGCCAGTCCACCTTTTCTTTCGCCCGTCCGTTGTCTCGAGAGTACACGAGCAAGTCGCTCAAGTCGCTTCTCAAGGTCGGGCGACCAGACAAGGAGCTGGACGCTCCCAATAGTCCATCCAGCTCGCTGTCGGCCAATAGCTCGGGCTCCAGCCCTGGCGTTGCTGCAACTTCTCCTTCCAACCCGTTTGCCAAAATGGGGTCCCGCATTGCGGCTCGTCGCTCATCGCGCCCAACCTCAAGCGGATCCATGTCATCGTCGGGCGTGACTGGCAGCTTGGACGACCTGTCGTCCTTGTCACCGGCGCATGTTGCCGCGACCGTCAACCGCAACCAGTCCTTCCTGACCGCCACGACCCACCAGGCCCACACCCTGTCGCTTCCTCCCGTTACTTCCTCCGCCTCGAGCAGCCAGCGCAGCTCGTTTGTCAGCCCGCCCAGCCCGAAGAGCACGGATTCTCCTTCGCGCACGCCGGTCGGCTCCACTGGCGGTGCCGAGGAAGTCGTCGCCCTACGTGTCAAAACGACGTGGCTCAACGAACGCCTCGAGAAGGCCACCGTCGAGAATGCATGGCTGGTGGCCGAGAAGGAGTTTCTTCAGCAAACCATCAAGCAACACGAGGAGGCGCGCAGCGAGCTCGAGCGCCAGCTCGACTTGGCCAAGCGTCTGCTTGCATCCTATGGCGTGACCCTTCCAGCAAGCGCTGCAGGAAGCACGGCCACACCAACCGTGCACCCGTCCATCTCGGTCTCAAGCGGTTCGCTCAACAGCAGCGGCAGCGCTTCCACTGGCCCAGGCCTCGACAGCGGTCTTGGCTCGAGCTCGTTTGGCAGCACGTCCAGCATTCCTGCGTCGTTCGCTCCTGGCTCCAGTGCCAGTGCCAGTGCCAGTGCCAGTGCCAGTGCCAGTGGTGTCACCACCGCTGCTTCCCTGATTGCGCGCACTGCCGCGTCGAACGGCGGGTCTGGACCCAACAGCGCGCGGCCCGAGTATGACACAGTTCAGGCCAAGTTTGATGCCATGTACGACGAGTTCAAAAAGATTCACACGCGCAAGTGAGCAAATTGGCCGCAAGTTGTCGATGCTGCCATCAATTCTCTTCCTTATTTTAAACCCCTACCCTGTCTAGTTTGTGCCGTAACCTTATCTCTTTTGTCTGTTTGGCTTGTTTGTTTGCTGCTTTCTGTTGTCTGGAAATTACACAACACCAACAAAAACAAACAAACATCAAACAACTGAAAACAGCTTCCTAACTTTTTGCATTTTTATCTTGACATTGAACCACTGCAAGCCAAGAACCATTTCATGCTGGTCATTCATGCTGGTCACAAAATGTTCACAACCGGAGCATCAGCGCCAGTGGCAACACGAGAGAGAGCAACGTGGCCTGCAGACCAGACGCAGAGTTTGTGTTTTTGTCTTGGTTGTAATCGTTGTTGGAGCCATCGCCGTTGTATCCGGGATTGGGATAGTACGTCGGATACACAATAGTCGTCGGTCCAGGGCCAATCGGACCCGGAGGTTTGAAGGACGGGTAGAGATTCACCGACGACTTGGAGCTGGTTGCAGGCGCAGAGGACGACTGAGCGGCCGAGGATGACGAAGACGACGACGACGACGACGACGACGACGACGGTGCAGAGGATTGGGCAGGAATAGGAGTACTCGAAGAGACAGGCGCAGGAATGGGGGTGTTTGAAGAGACAGGCGCAGGAATGGGAGTGTTTGAAGAGACAGGCACAGGTGTGTGGGACGAAGCGGGCTGCGGGGGCGGTGCAGCTGTCGTGGGAGCAGGCTGTGCCGCCGAAGAAGGTCGTGCTGGAGGTGTCGAGACGGGCTCAGGAGCCTCCTCACCATCTTCTGGCGAGTTTGGCGTGGTCGAACTTTGTGCTGGGGGCTGTGGCGCGGGGGTGGTTTGGGCGGGCGGCGCAGGTGTATTTGCTTGGTCGTCATTGTTCGAGGAACGCGTCTATACGTATGTGCAACGAACGCAAATGAGACCAAATGTGCGTTTGCGGTGCGTGTGCGGCTTTTTCTATAACAATATTGTTTGGGTTGGCGGTTTTTTCTTTCTCTCTTTTTTTTTTTTTTTGTAATCTGAGCCAGTTTCCTTCCGCTTCCTCCTTCGCGTACAACGACTCAACCCACCCGTTTCCTCAAAGGTCTGGGCACTGGGCACACTAAAGTACCCCCGAGGCGTCATCCCTGGGTTGTTATTCTGGACATTCTTGCACGTCGTGTGGAGGCAAGTGTTGGGAGGAAACAGACCGCCGTGGACGCGGCTTAAATTTCCGGATTTGGGTTGCCAAGCTGCTCGACGATCGAGGTTTCGGAAGCCGCTTATCGCAACGCACGATGCATCTTCAATCGACAATGCATGACTCATGGTTGATTCGACAACGAGGGGCACTGCAGTCTTTAATGGGGAAATGAGGGGGGAGGGGAAAAGTGGGCCGCTTTTCTTACGCTTTGTCCCAGAGCTGGAGCGCCAAGCAATGCAATGAGCAGTAAAATGAACGCGATTCGACACGGTGATTTGCGCATTTTTTTCTTTGGTTTTTTTTTTTGAGGAAAGCTGCCAGAGCACCACAAAGAAAGAAGACTGAGGAAAAGCCCGATTCAAAGTTGGCCGGCCTTGGTGTGCGTTCGAGTGTTTTCCAAATGTTTTTTTCAAATGTCATTAGATCTAGTTAGTTTTTCCGATTAAGGATTTTGCACCAAATTCAAATTCATTATTAAGGTAAAGAATACATGACAGGGGCGGCGAGTGCTGGAGGTAGAAGAAGGCACGAGGCCAAAACAAGCCAACAAAAAAACCAACAACAGCAACAACACCAACAGAAACAAAAAAGGCGCCTACTGCGGGGCCCCGTCAAACTCGACATTTGTATAATATACACCAGCAGTTGGTGGCGATGTGCCGTAATCGTACGCCTGCTCTCCAGGTCTGCTGTACACTGGTTCTGGCGGATTGCTGCTGGCTTTGCCCTTCGGGGTCGGATCGCTGTAGATTGGCTCTTGAGCAGCGGACGGATCTATCCGCCGCATGTCGGCGTACTCTGTGTGCCCTTCTCGAGCAGGGTTTGGAAGCACGAGATCCGAGTACAGGTCGTCCGGGTCCTGAAGCTCCCGATGGCCCGTTGGAGGCGTGGCCGGAAGACTCGCCGGCTTGGTGATTGAAGGAAGATTGGCAGGAATGCGTGTCGCACGCTGGGCGTAGATGGGCGGTTTGGTATCGTACGACGCAGGGCTGGCTTCAGTTGTAGCCAAGGCCAACGGGTTGCCGAGCATGGCCATTTCAGACGCTTCCCCCATATCTGCCGAGGGCGTGTACGGCGGGGGCTTTTGCAGCAGGTGACGCTGACGGCGGCGACGCCACAACATCACGCCGACCAACACAGCCAGACCCACGCCAGCAACAGCAACAACTGCTGCGACGATCGCAGTCGTGCTTCCCGAGCCTCCGGACGATTGCGTAGAGCACGTGCTTGACGCACCAGATGTGCAAGCAACGTCAGAGTACGCGCATCCTGCCACGGGCCGGCATGGCAGGCACCGGTCAGCAGTCGTGTAAGTGTGGTTGGCATACGTGGTGGCCATGCAGACACCACACCGTGAGTTATCGGCCGCAGTGCACGTCAACCCAGAGGTGCAGTTGACCACCGGCGTGCAAGCCGGGCAGACAGTGTTTGCCGTGCTCGAGCATCCGGTGGTGTTAAAGGAGCCGGGAGTGCAAACCGAACACGGGATTGCAGCGGTCGAAGAGTTGCTGTCGTGGTCGTACATTTTGCCTGCTGGCACGGCATACTGGCTGCAGGGACCGGCCAATCCGAACGAGGAAGTGTCGGTTCCAGCGCCACAAGCAACGCACGCTGTGGCAGGAATCGAATCGTGGTCTGTCGTGCCAGGCAAGCACCGGCGTTCCTCGCAGGTGCCCACTGCGTTGCTTGATGGAACATAGGTGCCGGCTGCACACGAAACGCAGGCGGATTCAAAGAGGAGAGTTGCTCGAGTGGTGTCAGCGGGGCAGGTGAAGGTCACGCTCATAGAGGAGGTGCCAAGGGCCACCGTTGAAGAATAGGCTCCCAGAGAAATGTAGTACACGACTCCTTCATTCACGCTGAGGGTGATTTGAGACTGCCTGGAACCGCTGTAATCGTCGCTGTACGCCAAGCAGTTTCCAGGCAAATGGGTCGAGTTGGAACAACTCGTTCCAATTTGAAGAATTGTGTCGGCCGAGGTGAGGTCCATGGTGCTTACAACCAATTGACCAGCCGAGGGAGCAATGAACTTCCACTGAAGAATGAAATTTAAATCAAAGCTCCCGCCGCTGCAACGAGTCAGAGTTCTTGATCCAACGCTTCCAACATACGAGACCTGCCCGGACGGGCCGGCCAAAAGAGGGGCCGTGTCGCAATCGGACGACTGAGCGACCGTCGACGAAACTGTCGCGAGCAGACAGAGGCACAGGAAGAGCAGCGACATGCCCGCGGCCGACTTGAGTAAAGTGCGCATCGCTGAAACCCTGCGATTCTTTGACGCAATCCGCAGAATTGGCAGCCTCAGCAGGAACAACAAGCAAAAAAAACCAACAAAGAACAAAGCACAATTTCCAGCTTTGTTGTTGCTTTGCTGAGAATCGGGGTCTTGTGTTGTTGTTGTTGTTGTTGTTGTTGTCTGTGCAAAGAGACCATCCAAAAGTCAGCCACCGAAAACTTGACAACAACTCAAAAACACTGGAGTAGCACAAAGTACAATGCTCGACTGCTGAGTCAGAAGTGCTTTGCTCAGGTGTCGCAGGCTGCAAGTTCGGGGAAAACCTGCTCTTTTTTTTGTTTTCGCGGTTTTGCTGGCTTTTTTATTATTTTATTTTATGAGAAGATTTTTTTTTTTTTTTTTTTTTTTTTTTTTTTTTTTTTTTAGGAGATCGAGAGAGCGAGGGAGGGGTTTTGCTGGGGTTGTGATTGGTTTGGTCATCTCTCTTCTAGCGAGTGTCCTTGACTTTGTCGTGCATTAGACCATCCGTGTTTATGGCTGGTCCTCGTCAGCCCTGCGCCCCTGTCGCCGTCGCTGATCGCAAAGTCGAAAAAAATAAAAGAGCCAGTGAATCATTTGGCTGCGCCCCGACGGACTACCTGTGCTGAGCGACTGCTGCCCCCCAAAGAGCCGCCTGCCCCACGCGCCATCGCCACCTGCTGGATGGCCGACGCCTGCCCTGACCATCCTGCGTCGCGCAAACACCAAGCAACCCCCTCCACCTCCCAAAGCGAATCGAGTGAAGGACAGACCGCAAACGCGAGCATGACATTGTGAACCCTAAATTTGTCGCGCTTGTTCTAAAATCTTGCACTCGCCTCTCCTCGAAGCTCAAACAAGCAGCATCATGGTGCAAGCAGCAAGTGGAGTGAGAGGGGGAGGTTGGAGTGAGGCGCAGACAGAAGAGCGAGAGAGAGAACGAGAATAAAACCAAAAAGAAGCCAAAAGTCATGCAAAAAACTCACAAGTAAATTTTTTAAAAAAAAAAAAAAAAAAAAAAAGAAAAAAAAAAGAAAAAAAAAAGAAAAAAAAAAAAAGAAAAAAAAGGGGGAGTGACAAAATGTAAAGGGAGAAAAAAAAGCATGCGTTGTCCAGAAAAGGCAAACGGGAGGATAATGATGCACTTGAAAACGATGGAAAGGAGGGAAAAAAAAGGAAATAAGCGAGTAATTGAAAGAAGAAGAAGAAAACACGTTGAACGAAAAAAAGCGAAAACAGAAAAATGAAGTCACGCCAAATGAGAAGTTCGCTTCAAAGAAAAAACAAAAAAGAAGATCAAGCGAATGAAAGTCGGATTGCTCGCTTGGTGTGGCTGCAATAAGTGAGTAATTGAAAGGAGAAGAAGCAACATTGAACGGAAAAAAGCGAAACAGAAAATGAAGCTTGCTTGAAAAAAAAAAAAAAAAAAAAAAAAAAGATCAAACGAATGAAAGTCGGATTGCTCGCTTGGTGTGGCTGGCAAAGTGGCTGGCGTTGTATTTCTCATCGTAAGAAAGCGCGACAGCAACTGACAACAAAACGAGCCATCGGAAACAAGCAACACGAATTCAAACAACAAAAGGGACGTAGATGGAGAAGGCGGGGGGGGGGGAGATCAGCAACTGTCACGATTTTGCACTGCAAACCATGCCCCAAAAACTGCCCCCAAAACTGCCCCAAAACAACCAACACAATTAGGAGCAAATTACGAGCTTGGGTCGATCGTCGCATAGGTCTGCTGCGAGCTCTCGTTGCTCTCGTTGCTCTCGGACACGACTTGAGCGTAATCGGTCGAGGTCACGGCTTCCGCTTGGCCTCGGAGGATGCCGCTGGCCGAAGCTGCAACGGCGACTTCCGCATACGCCGACACACCGGGAGTTGCAATTTCCACGTACTTGGGACCTTGGGCAGGAGGGACTTGACCAACCGGATCAGGATCAGGATGCACGACGACAGCGATGGCGGCGTAAGTCGCGGCCGGGATCTGGGGACGGGTTGTGTTGAAGCTTTCCGCGCTTGATGTTTCGATGTAGGTCACATCGGAACTTTCCTTGTTGCGCAAGGATGCGCTCGTCAGGTTGGTCGATTCGTAAACGGACTCGTTTCCGACGGCAGTTGCAGTCGTCGAGCCAACGGCTTCGTACAGGTCGGCACTGGTGGCAAGCGCGTCCAAGCGCTCATAGTGTGCTTCAACGGATTCATAGTGAGCTTCCGACTGGCGGATGTTGGCACCATCCATGGAAGCGTCAGAGCCGCGGCCACTCTTGAGCAAGACGAGGGCGGCTGCCGTTGCAACCTGTCGTCCTTGGCGCCGACGATGCAGCACGATTGTCAAGACAAGCACAACCAACACGACAACACCAGCCAGGATTCCAATGATGATCGGAAGCCAGGACGAGTCGCCATCCTGCTGGGACAAGGATGTCAAGAGTCTCGTCGTTGACGTGACGGACGCAGCAGACATTGAAGGAAGAACAGCCGCATGGGAGACTGATGCATCAAACGCAACAGACGCAACCGAGACGGAGGACGCAGGAGCAGCCGAAGCAGCAGACATTGCAGAAAACACAGACGCTGCAGAAACGGCAGAGTTTGCCGCCTCGACAGATGCCACAGAGGCTGCTGATGCCGCAGCATCGACCAAAACGCTCGACGCGCTCATGGCAGCAGCGTCTGACGCAGCTGACGCCACTGACGCGATAGCAGCCACCGACGCCTCCAAGGATGCCACCGAGGCAGCAGATGCCATGGACGCGGCAACCGTCGACGCACCAGAAGCGCCAGAAGCGACGGAGGCGGCAACCTCAGCCGCAGCAGAGGCAGCAGAAGCGGCGACAGTCGATGCACCTGAAGCCGCAGAAGCGATAGAGGCGGCAGAAGCGACAACAGTCGATGCACCTGAAGCAGCGGATGCAAGAGAAGCGGCAACGGTCGATGCTCCAGAAGCGCCAGAAGCGACAGAGGCGGCAGCTTCAGCCACAACAGAGGCAACAGAGGCATCAAAAGCAAAGGAGGCATCAGAAGCCGCAGAAGCCGCAGCAGCAGCAGAGACTAGTGATGCAACAGTTGCCGCGGAAGCTGCAGATGCAACAGACGCAGCACCCGTCGATGCACCTGAAGCTGCAGAAGCGATTGAGGCGGCGACCTCAGCGGCAGCAGTGGCAGCAGATGCAACAGAAGCGGCGACAGTCGATGCTCCTGAAGCAGCAGATGCAAACTCGGCAGAAATCGTGGAAGCAACGAAAGCTGCAGATGCAACAGACGCGGCAACCGTCGATGCGCCGGAAGCTGCAGACGCAACAGAAGCGGCAACCTCAGCGGCAGCAGAAGCAGCAGAGGCATCAGAAGCAGCAGAGGCTAGTGATGCATCAGTTGCGACGGAAGCTGCAGAAGCGATAGAGGCGGCAACCTCAGCGGCAGCAGAGGCAGCAGAGGCACCAGAGGCAGCAGAAGCAGCAACAGTCGATGCACCGGAAGCAGCAGATGCAAACTCGGCAGAAATCGTGGAAGCAGCGGAAGCAGCGGAAGCGACAGACGCGACAGTGGCGGCAGACGCAGCGGCAATCGAGGCAGCCGACGCAACAGCGGCATCACTAGCGGCACTCGCGGCACTCGCTAGACTTGCCGCACTCGCAAGGCTGGCAGCACTCGCAAAGCTTGCAGCGCTTGCAACACTAGCAACGGAAGCAGCGGCGGTTGAACCAGCAGACGCACTGGATGCCACAGTTGCCGCGATAGCGGATGCGGCTGAAGCGGCAGAAGCAGCAATTCGACTCGCTGCACTCGCAACACTCGCTGCGCTTGCAGCACTGGCAAGACTTGTTGAAACTGCACTCAGGTGCGATGCAGTCGACGCAGTTGCCAGAATCGCGTACGATGCACTCACCGTACTAGCGGCACTCGCCACGCTTGCCAAGCTTGTCGAAACGACGGACAAGTAGGATGCAGTCGAGGCAGAGGCAATGGATGCCGCTGTAACCATCGATGCTCGAGACGAAGGAAAGCCAGGACCACACTCAGGCATAGCCCTGCACAAGAATGTGTTCCAGCCCGGTGCATTGCAAGTCTCGCAAAATTCGGTGACGGTAAAGGCCAGAACGAACGTTGGGGTGCCTTGTCTCCGGTCATTGAGTCTCGGGTCCGGGTACTGCAGCACCTTGGTCTGGCTTCCCGCGTAGTACAGGTCGTACTGGTTTTGTCCTGCCGGGGTGCTGATCACAGTTCGAGCAATCGCAAAGATGGCGTTGTTCGAAACACGAACTACACCACCAACGGCCGAGGACGCCTGTTGATGTCACAGATGCACTCAGTACCAAGACGCAGCGACTTTTCGTGCAACACCAAGTTTCGATCAACTCGACGTGTCTGTGACGTACCATAGAATGCGTGAGTGAGGAGTTGACCATGTAGCCGATGATTCGCGCCAAGTACAGCGCTTGACCCGTGGCACTGCCTGAAGTTTGATCGTGGTTGTTGATCATTGTGCTGTTGACAATTGACAGTTTGGCTTGATTCGCGTCCATGACAAGAACCGAACCATCTGTTGCCATGTTGCGCTCAAAGACACAAGCCACAAAGTCCAGGTCCAGCCTTGAAGCAAGTGCAACAGCGCCACCCATTGCGGTCCTAGATCCACCAATCAAGCACAACACCATCAAAAGAGTAAGGTTGATGTGGGAGGGTCGGGGGGGGGCGGGGCGCTGATTTTGAAAACACAGATGGCAAGTTCTTACCTGGCCACATTGTCTGCAAACAAGCACTTGTCGAAGCTGACCAGCGAGTTCTGCCCTTCCAGGTAAACCGCCCCGCCTTGATCGATGCTGCGGATAAAAACCAAGTCAGCAACTGACCTCATCAACACTCGGACACGAGGACGACACTACTTACAGCGCAGTGTTGCGGAGGAAGTTCACAGCGGAGAAGACTGGAGCCAAGCCATAGTCGACAACGTGATCGATTTCCAGGTGAAGAGCTCCGCTCTTGCTGGCCTGACAAGCCTCGAAAGTGGAGTTGCGAATGGACAACCCATACGCAGGACCATTTGCGAGATAGGGAGCCCCCACTACGAGCTGGAGTGCGCCTCCTTGGCCGTTCACAGCCGAGCATTCGGAGAAAACACTTGTGGAAATGCTCACAAGTGCTGCTACATCAATCGCCAACGCACCTCCATCGCCGTTCGATGTGTTGCAGCTCAAAAAGTTGCTTCCGGAAATGTCCACGACTCCCACGTCCGAAATCGCCAGTGCGCCGCCGTTGCCGTCCGACGTGCCGCAGTGCGAAAAGTTGCTTCCGGAAATGGTAATGTTCTTGCTGGTCAACTCCAAATCGATTGCCCCGCCTTCATGCAAAGCAAAGCAAGACACGAAGCGAGTCTCACGAATGTCCACCCAAGATGCTGCTGAAGCGCCAATAGCGCCTCCGCTCGCTTTGGGAGCCGTGCAATTGTTGAACACTGTGCTCGACACGTTGAGGGTGCTCGCATGATGGAGATTGAAAAGAGACCTCACATACAATGCTCCGCCGTTGGAATTGTGTGAGATGCAATGGGAGAAGTTGCTGTTCCACACGGTCACCAGAAGCGGCGTGCCGACCGCTCCTTCAGCAAGAAATCCGCCTCCAGCTAGGCGTCTGTCAATATGATGTGCAACGTAACTCACAGTCAGGTGCAATGTTGTTTCGAATCAAAGCCTTTTTCTTTGCAAAACAAACAGATGGATGCTTACGAGCTGCAAGAGGTAAAGTCGGAGTTGGCAACCTGCACAGATCGGGTTCCTAAAAGCGTGTCAACCCAAAAACCTCCGCCATTGCTCGCTGTGGAGCAGCCCTCGAAACGAACAGAGTCAACCAGAACCGAGCCTGTTGGAGTGTTGTACTTGTAAGCGATCGCCACACAGCCTCCGTTGCCTTCCGTTGCTCCGTTGCGAAAGGTCAAGTGCCGAAGGACAACATTATTGGAAGTGATGTTCACAATGCGAGAGAGACCAGCACCATCGAGCACAGTGTCGCTGCTAGTAAGCCCAGTCCCGCGCAGTTCAATTGGTTCGGCAAGCCGGTTAATTTCAAGTTCCGTGCCGCTCAAGGTGATGGTCCCGGCAGCGATACAGACGACAGTGTTTGCTACGTTGTCGAGCGCAGAGCGAAGATCTTCCGAAGTTGAGACAGTCACAGAGCAGGGGCTTTGCGCGGCGACTTGGACGACGAACAGCACAAGCAGGAGCGCAGCTCCCAAATTCATGAAACGCATTGGGAGAGGCGGGAGGGAAAGAGGCGTTGTTTTTGCCTACAGCGCAAGCAATCACAGCAATACAGCAACATTAGAATGATAGTGCAATCAGGGGGGCAGTTTCGCATCCATCCATCGTCATCATGGTGATTGGGTGGGAAGTTGAGATTTTGTAATTTTTGTTTAGGATCGATGGACAACCCCCCCCCCCGTGTTTACGCCTCGATTCGCGGGTCCCCCTTTGTTTTAAAAAAAACCACTTGACGCTCTTTGGTCGGAATTCTCGTGATTTCTCATGATGTGTTGTGGCTTGGTGGAAGTGGCGCTCAATCGCTGACCAGAAGTGGATGATTTCGGCGATTTTTGAATTCGTTTTGTATTTGTTTGTTTTGTATATTTTTGGGTTTCCGATCTTTTGTTTGAGTCGTTTTAATGGTTGCGTTCGCCTCCGCTGTTGCTCTCCCAGCGGTCCCTCCGCGCCTGTCGCTTTGATCAACCTCATAAAATGCGTCCTTCTTTTGTTTTTTTTTTCTTGTTCTGTGAGCAGCGTGGGGGAGGGGCGGGGCTCTCGGAAAGCACGGCTTCTTTGGGTCGGGTGCGAGTGGCTGTCTTCCAAACCCCAAAACGCGCTCAAACTTGACGTCGGCGCACGCGTTTCTCCCCGCCCTCTGCGGATGATTGCGTGTATGTGGGAGCAGCCTTGTTTTTCCAGAGGATTCTGGCATCTGCTTGTCCTCGAATGAAACGCCTCTGTCGACTTTACGGGGGTGCGGACGGGGGGGGGAAGAAGGTGTGCGCCAGTGTCACCCGAATGACCATCGAACTCTTCGCAGCGGCAACCCCACAACCACGCACCTTCCCCCGAGACCGACGGGCATGAAGTGGGTTTGAGAGAGTGATGATCGCCCGTGCATCACAAGCATGCTTACAATGGAAAGCGAATGGCAGCGAGAGTGCGACGCAACGAAAACGAAAACAACCGACAAAACAAAAAGAAGAGTAAATCCGTTTTAATTGGGTTTGGCGAAAAAAGAAGTCAGCTTGGTTTTGCGACGACCCGAGCAGCCGCTGCATTTTCGCAATGCAGTTAAACACGATGAAAATAATTGTTGCGATTTATGGCTCTCGTGCGCGGCGAGAGAGGGACGCTGACTCTGAGCGCATGCAGTTGACGAAACGCGACATACAAGCTCTCCCCCAACAAAAAACAAAACAAACAAAACGCCAAAACAAAGAGGAACCCGTCGGAAGCGGCAGATCTGGAACAGGCACGCCCTACATGCTGCACAAAAGCGCAGGCTCTACGAAGTACAAGGCGGACCACGCACAGTCCTCCCACCAGCATTTAAAAGAAGGGGTGGGGCGGGGGTGGGAAAGGAGACCTCGGCTTGTCGGACAACGAAACGCCGCAAACGAGAACAATTTACTTGAGGTGTGTTTACTGATGGAACAACACAACTGAAAATCGCGCCACGCCCCCCCTCCTCAATTGCGCCACCACCAACAACAATCAAAAACGAATCAAATCAAGCGTGCGTGTCACGCACCAATCACGTTCAGTAGGTGCGTCGCGCAAGAGAATCGTGAGCAAGCTGGTTTAGAAGCAGCTCGCGTTGATCGTCGCCGAGACGATGGACAAGGCCAAGAATGGCCTGCAGCGTCACTGACTCGCTGGGCTCATCGGAAGAACCAAGCGATGATGCATCGGCCACGGCTGCAGCGTTGAGTGCCGACATGGCAATTTGGCTCGGAGTGGCTGCGACTCCGTCGCCTGCCGCCGCGTAGCCAGCACCGCCGCTAGCGAGGCTCGAGACTTTGCGCATCAAGCTGCTGTGAGAGGGCTGCCGTGTGAGGGCGCTACTCGTGGGAACGGGACTGACGTGCCCAGTCGCAGCAATCCGCTCGCTGCTCCCGCTCAAATGGTGGCTCAGCGGCGTGGACGTGGGCGAATGCGAAGCTGAAGACTGCAAGTACGCCACAGATGCATGGGTAAATCCTGTAGGGATGGAGCCCGTTGAAGTGGAGGCGTGCAAATGTGGGGCAGGCGGGGACGTTGCAAGAAGATGGATGGACGCACGACGACTGCTTGTATGGCTGCTTGAGAGCGCGCTCGCTCCTTCGGTAGACGGTGTTCCTGCTAAAGAAAGCAAACTAGCTCCTACAGCGGCCGAGCCAGCCGCAGCCGCCGCCGCCGCCGCAGCAGCAGCAGCAGCAGCAGCAGCTGAAGATCCAGCGACAGCAGTATTGGACCCTCCAGCACCACCGCCGCCAGGCAGCTCGCCGCGGAGCAACCGTGCAGCAGCATTAATCACCGCGGCAACAGGCCCTTCAGACACAGGATGTGCAATGTTCGCATGCGACAGTGCACTGAAGGATGACGAGGGTGACAAGACCGACGCTGGGGTGTCGTCGTCTCCGCTTCCGTCCACGTCACCACCGCCGGTCAGGACGAGGGCGTTGCTGGACGAATTCATGCTTCTCAGGACGCCATCCGACGAGACCATTGCGCGAACGCTCTGGTCGACGTATGCCTCGCGCAGGTGAGTGACGTTCTGATCGAGCTGCGTCCGTCGACGGTCAAACCACTCTGACAGCAACTTGTCCTGTTTCCAGTTGCACACGCTGCCTTCGAATTCAAGGAACCACCGCCCGAGCACAGCTGTTGCACCAGACGGGGTCAGAGACGGATTTGCCTTGAGAATATCTGCAAGAACGCGGGTCTCGCTCAGTCGGCGGCGCAACCGCCAGTACAAGAAGCGACGAGCGGACTTCCATTGGATCACATCAGTCACCATTGCCTTCTCCTGCAGACGGTACGGCGTGTCGTGCAAGTCCGTAAAGGCCGAGGCCAGCGCCAAAAACGCTGGAGAAATCTCATCTTCTCGTTGTCGCAAACGCGTGAGCAGCGTCTGGACTTCGGCGTCTTGGTCGCTTGTGGGCGGCATGGCAGAGAGACTGGTGTTGCTGTGAGCCAACTGGTGCAGGCGGAGCAGTTGCTGCGGTCCTTGGCTGGGTGACGAGGCGACTGGTCCCGAGGTAGCCGCGGCTGCTGCGGCCTTCGTCTCGGCCGTCAGCTCGTGCAATTGCGCGACAAGCTCTTGGTAGACGGGATCGAGTCGCTGCATCGCATTCAGCAGGTCGCGACGTCGGAAGCACATCTCAGCGGTGACATCGGAGGTGTTGACGCCCGCGCGGGAACGCTCGTCCGCAAACAGCTGCAAGAGGTTGGGATTGACGTTGCAGTCAAACAACGACCAAGTGGTGCCGCGCAGTTCGCCATACGGAGGAATGTAGACAAAGATGGGCTGGTGGTACTGTCGGAGCTCGTCCACGATCGCCGACGAAAACCGCAGCACTTCTTCGTGAATGTCGTGCAACGAGCCGGCAAGGCCCTTCCAATTGGCCAAGATGAACAGGGGCAGTCGCTCACGGTCAAAGTCGCGGATGCTGTCAACCAGCTTGCGAGAGCCCGCGCTATCGAGAACATGGCCATGGCGGATGCGCATCTGCATTTCACTGGCGGGGTTGAGCGGGTCGGCAGGCACGTGGACCTCAACAGAGCGCGGGTCGACCGCCACCACACCAGCAGCAATCCCTCCAAGTCGAGCTCGACCCACGACCACGCCGCTGACCCACGACGCCAACGTCTCAACAAACGAATCGCGATCAAAGAGACCGCTTTCCCACCGCCCAGCACCAGTACCTGCAGCAGCCGGGTTGGATGCGTCGTCTGCGGCGGCTGATGGTTTGGAAGTCGCACCAAGCCCCATCATTCCGCCCGGCCCACTCACCGGCGGGGCAAACGGAGACGACCCGACCGCGGGCGAGCCCAGCACATTGTTGTTGCCCGGAGAGTTCACGCTCGAGCCGAATACGTGGGGTGATGCAAAGGATGGGAAGTTTGGCGAGCTCGTAAGCGACGAGAATGCGGAGGGGGTGGACGCCGCCAGACCGTTGTTGCGAGGGTAAGGGAGCTCAAAACTGCCGCCCGCCGCAGCCGACGACGCAAAGGCGCCAGATTCGCTTCCACCGGACTGAGTTCCAGCAAGACCTGCGTTTGCTACAGCGGAGGCGGATACGGTGGAGGAGGAGCGAAGAACGCGGCCGCGAATGAGGTGTCGCGGATCGTATTGTCCGTGTGCAGGCGGCATGAACTCGACATCGCGCTCGATCGTGTCATGATGGCACGGAGCAATCATTGGCTCGCGCGCCGCTGTAATCACTGGCGGTACAAAGCTGAGCCATTTGAGCAGCGCCACGATGCCCGAAAAGTCGTCTTCCACAACGACGTGGGCAATGCCAGCCATTGACAAGACATCACTGCCACCCAGCTGCATGTCGGCATTGTAGACGCCACGACCAAAGAGCGTGTTTAGGGCACTGGCTGTGGCGACGAGAATCTCTCCAGACCCCTCGGTAGCCGGCTTCAGCGACGTGTCGTGGATGGTTCCGCGCGCGCCTGGCTCGGCTTCGGCAGCACTGGCGTCTCCAGCGCGGGCCTGCGTGTTTTGCACCGAGGATGAGTTGACGGGCTGCACGAATGCACCGTGGGTGCCAGGATGCCGCGAGCGCGGATCCACCTGGACAACACGGCGGCCCATGCGAGCCAGCTGCGCGCCCAACCCGACGGCCTTGCAGGTGACCATGGTGATGGTAAAGACGTCGTCGTAGGCTCGCGCAATCGAGGCGAGTTGCGAGGCGCTCAATGACTCGACGCCCAGGCCGTCTGCCAAGCCCACAATGTCGGTGAGCTTGTAGCGGAACTCGCCGCCTTCCTCGAGCAGAACGGCACGCATGGTTGTTCCGGCAGCAGAGAGCCGCTTGTAATCGGCGGGAGTCAAGTAAATGTATCGGAAGCCACGCTGGGGTTGCCCGTCCTTCACCCATGCAACGCGGAAGCAGTCCTTCACTTCTTGAGCAACACCGACGCGTGCTCCGGACGTCGCAGCAAGATACAGGAACGGCAAGCCATGTTCGCGCGCGTAATCGACAGCCTGCTGGTAAAAGTGGACCTCGCGCGGACCAAACGAGCCGTTCAAGAGCGTCACGTCGTTGGCCACAACGACCAGCTCACGCCCGCGTGCCATGCATTCTGGCGTGCGAACAAACATGCGCCACGCCACAAGCGTGGTGGTATTTGCACCTGGTTCGCGATGGACCAGTTCGAGCCCGTTCCCCTGGGCGTTGAGCACCAATTCGGACACTTGGAAGAGCTCCGAGGAGGGCTCCGCCTCGCGAGCGGCCTGGGTCGCGGATGCAGTGGCAGAGTGTGCGAGTGCCGTTGCAAGCAGCGACTGCGCATGGGACGGCGCAGCTTGGGTCATGAGGTAGGAAGACGAACCCAGGCCTGGCGAGGCGCTGTAGACGGACGGGTCCGACATGGCAAAGCTGCCGCCGTTGCTGTTGTCACCGGATGAGCCACCAGAGCTGGCGATGTTGCCGTGGCCGGAACCCAATGCATCCCCGTACCGGCTCGACTGCGACGACAATGGCAAGTGGCCAGAAAAGCTGCCAGACAATGGGCGCGAGGTCAACGAGAAGGCGCTGCTGCCAAACGACGAAGCCGATCGCGGAGTTCCCACCGAGCTGGTCACACTCAGCCCGTCCAAGTTGACGCTGTGCCTGGGAGTCGTCGAGAGGGAGGCCGGTCCCGAAGACGCAAAACCACTGCCTTCGTAAGGGGAGGAGAAATCAGGCACGGATCCCGCGGCTGTCTCGGCCCGCTTATTCACGGCCTTGGTCAAACTCGCGTTCAAATCTCGGACGACGTGATGGAAAATGTCTGGAAAATCGTAGACATAGGTCGTTCCCAGAGATTGGGCAAGGTAGCGCTTGGTTTGGAGGTGATCCTTCGTCACGTAGCGCGTCATGATGTCGTGGCCGTGCAGCGGGCCCTTTTCGTGGCCAACCGACTCGTACACGTTCTTGTCCGAGCCGGGCACGGAGCGTTCGCGGTACATGTGGATGGACAGCATGTATCCTGACGTGTTGGACATGAAGACGCGAATCGGCATGGCAGCGTCGCCGCGGCCAGTGCTCACGTTCAAGCGCATCTCCGCTTCAAGGATGCGCAACTTCCACAGTCGCCGCCCGTGGCGGGAGATCAGCAGCCGCAGTCGCGGAAGCAGCTTGATCGGATCAAGAACAACAACGGGCTGGAACGAGAAGAAGATGTGGTTGCGGTCCGTGTTCGCGTACAGCGGATTGACAAAGGCAATCTCCAGCTCGTTCAGAACCTCGTTGATTTGTCGCTCGCCTTCCAAAAAGAAAAAGTCAATGGGCGTCTGTACCGAGATGACGTCTGGCGAGCGGATGATGGAGCGCAAGAAGAATCGGCGGTCGTTGGGTTCGTTTTTGGCCACACCAAAGTAGAGGTGCTGACCGAGGTTTCTAGAGTAAGATTTTGAGGGGAAGGCGGGGAGGAGAAGGCGGGGGGGGGGTGCAATCACGACGAGTCGAGTGAGTTGCTACAAACAAACAAAACCAACAAAAAAAAAAGCACGAGAGAAGCAAAACCAGGTTGAATCTAGTTCGCTCACCCGGTGGGAATCACGTTGATGTGATAGTTTGACAGACGGAAGAGCTCCAGTTGGAATGCAAGACCGGGCTCCACGTGGCGGTACAAGATATCCTCCGCATAATCGAGGCGCTCGCGGAAGGAAAAGTACCGAGTGTGTTCGGTCGAGGTGGGACCTAGCTTGAGAATAAACGTAATTCGCCGAATATCATGCGCCACCAGAAGGATTTTGAGGCTTTGAACAGTCGAGGCAAACATGGCCGACAGCTGCTGATCCAGAGCGGCACTCTGCTCAGTCAGCTCTTCATCGGAAATCCAGTGAGTGGCCGTGGCGTCGAGCCGCTTGGCCCCCTCTGGTCCAAGGTCCACCGACCGCAAAGCAATGTTGATCACATTCAGGGGTTCGTTGTTTTCTGTCAACGAGACCAGAACATCGAAATCAGCACCATAAGCGGCTTGAAGCCAAGTTGCTTCCAACAAAAATCATCTCTGCAAGCAACATCCATCGTGAAAAAGCGCCGAGCCACCCTACCAATATCACGCGGCGCATCAAATCCTGGCGGACGATGCGGGAACTGCTCGAGTAGCGCGCCAAACCGCGCGAACGCAACCATGACGCCAGTGCGGAGGTAGGATTGCTGCAGCTTGTCGTCCACATGCAGAGAAACGGCATCGGATGCGATCGTTCGCTTCAAACCCAGGACAGAGTACATTAAAGCATGCGGATGATTGGACGGCAGCAAAAAGCTCCATTTGACGACGGGACGGTTGTCAAGGTACTCGCTCCAGACGCGCTTCAATCGGAACGCAGTGTACGAGCGGCGGACATAGACTTCCAGAGCGGCGGCCTGAATGGACGGCTTGGTGTGGAAAAAGAAGGCAAACAGGACGTCATAGCACGAGGTTGACTGAACTACGAGCGCCTGCAGCTTGCGCGCGCAGTCCTCTGCATGCATACTGTCCACAGCATCTTCGAGATAGAGCTCCATGTCAAGTCGACGCCGTTCAAAGGAAGGCAGATGGGTGAGCACCAGAATTCGGCGAGCACGGACGGCGACACGCGAGTTGGCCACATCCACAAGATCAGCAAGCTGAGACAGGATTGCCTTGTCCTCAGGCGTGATGGAAGTCGAGTCTTTGAGGTGCAATTGATCCTGAAGCAGGGACGAGAGGCAGCCCGAGATACACGCACACACACACACACACACACAAAAAAAAAAAAAAAAAAAAAAAAGAAAGAAAGAAAAGGAGTTGAGTTTCCCAAAAAACCATTCGCACAAAACACTGACATGACGCTTCCTTCCTCTTCAAAGAAAAAAAACAAAAAACCACTCACCATGAGAGCCAATGCGAGTTGGTACTTGGTCTTGCTTTGACGCGAAAATGCCATGTCCATCGCATGCGCAATGCCAGTCGTCTCCTTGATCTTGTAGATGCACTCGTTGTCACTGCGGCCATAGTTGGCAAAGATGCTTTCGACATCGAGATAGGCGCGCAGCAGAGAATGAATGGTGGCTTTTGTGTGGCCTCGAGAGCCTGTTCGGTAGCGCTGAATAATCTGGATGATGGGCTCGACAAGCATGTAAAAATGATCGCGTTCAGTCTTGTTTCGAATGTGCGCTGCGTGGCTGTCGACAACGAGTGCAATTTGTTGAACGGGGAACATGGAAAACATGGACGTGTAGCCGGCAGAGTACGAGGCGACAGTGCGTCCGATCGCACTTTCCACTTCGGGAGGGATGCGTCCTTCGAGCGACGACAGGACATCGTTCAGCTCGAGCAACGGGAGTTGCGGGTTTGCCAGACTGGACATCATGCGCTGCACGTGTCGATCAATGTACGAGCGGGCAAACGGCTCAGGAATGTCGTAGCCGAGCATAATGTTGGACAACGAGCGCAGTGCAGCGCGGAAGCTCTGGTGCACCTTGCCTCCGTGGACGGCTCGCAGGTCGTTGTGCGCAAAGCAACCCGTGAACGGCGTGATTACGGCATTGTTGGCAATGCCGGTCTCGTCCAAGCCGCTGTTTTGCGGTTGTTGGGGCTGCGAGCCTACCAGCGTGGTTCCGCCGGTATTGGAGGAGGATGAATTGGATGCCGAGTGAGCGGCCGCATCGTCCCCAATCGCAAACATGGAGGACTTGTTGCCTCCCTCACTTTCGACAGAAATACCTCCCTGGCTGTCGACGGACAGATTGGGCAAATCGATTGCCCCTGCTGCTGGAGATGGAGAGGCTGCAATCGAGGTGCCGGAGGACTGGAGCGGCGAGATGGACGCGGCGTTCCATGCGCTCAGCATGGCAGACGAAGCAGAGGCCGAAACCGTGTTGGACGACATGAGGGCGGACAAGTCCATGCCTTTGGGTACAAAGAAGGAGCAGCTGCGACCATCGACCGTAATCCGGCAGCCGTTGGCCTCCTCTTTGAGTAAGGTGACGTGGCTATTGCCATTGTAGATGACGAGACGTGTGCCGTCGGGCAGGGTGTGCATGACAACCTCCACCCACTCGCCGTTCATGACCACAAAGTAAGAGTCGGATCCGGTTTGCGTCACAGTCAGCGCGAAAGATTGGTGACAGGGAGCAGCGGCACTACTTCCATTCAGACTTGCATCCAGGGAAGGTGCAGCGAGACCGTCGCCAGAGATGCCAGAGATTCCAGAGATTCCAGAGATTGGAGTGGATGGAGTGGTAACGCCAGCAGCGGGAACAAAGACGCCTTCTTCGCCGACCAGCTCGATAGAGACCGAGTTGCGCAGATATTCCTTGTTGAGCATCTGCCCGCGCTTCATGGCTCGAAGGTACAAGTCGCGCATTTCGCTCATGGCGCTCTCCGCGAGCTGCAGGCCGGCACAAAGCACAGCCAGCAGCGTGTCCGGCCGGTCTGCCGTGAATCGCTCGGCCATGACAGAATCAAGCCAAGTAACATCAACGTCGTTGTCGCGAAAGTTGGGTGACTCGAGCAGCTTGACCAGATTCTCGACGACAGAGGAAAATGTCCCACGCACAGACGCCTCTTTCAGAGCGACCACAAGGTGTCTACAAAAAAAAAAAAAAAAAAAAGAAGAGATCATTGAATGAGTGTGAGAGAGGGAAATCAACGCGAAAAACCAAGAACAAATCGGAGCGAGATGAGAGCGGGGACATGAATCATCGCTCCTCTCCTGAAAAACACTTGGAAAAGACAAACAAACTTGCAAGAAACCATCTACACCTACCTGCGTGCTTGCTCGCGAGTGTCGCCCCAGGCAAAAACTTGGGCAAACGGCGCACTGGAGGTTTCGCGCCCAACGGAGGCCACGTTTGACTCGTGAGCGAGCGCGCTCGAAAAATAACCCCAAACATGCGCAGAGCGGAAGCTGAGATCGTGAGCAGTGGTGGGGCTGTCGTTACGGCTGCTTTCTTGGAGGATGCGGGCCGAAATCACGTGGCCGTACGGCAACGGGTTGGGAATGATGGTTTTTGGCTTGCCTCCCTGTGCCGTGATGGCAGCCATGGCAGCGCTGGCAGCCTTTTCGCGCTCGCGGCGATCGAAAACAACGGTGCTCGAGCCATGAGGCGCCTCGCCATACAAGACCCGGATTTCCGGGATGCGGTGCAGCGGAATGCCCATGGCGATTTGAAGCTGGGCGGCAGGAAGATTGGTGCGCGAGATGATTTCGGCGAGCGGATGTTCCACGGGCAGATGCGGTTGGATTTCATAAAAGAAGAACTGTTTGGTTTGCGGGTTGTAGAGGAACTCGACTGTGACTGCGCTGGTGCATCCAACCTGGCAGAAAAAAACAAAACAAAACAAAAAAAAAGATTCAAAGTTGCAAGCAGTCAGTGAGTGATCAAATGCGAAAAAGAAAGACTCGGCGGGATTTCTTGTGCATCGCCAGCTAGAAACAGCACTTTCATACCAAACGCAACAAGCGAACGGCAGCACGCTCCATGTCCGTGAAAATCTCGGGCGGGACAATCGATGCAGGCGCTTCCTCGATCAACTTGCGGTTGCGGAGCTGAATGGACGAATCGCACCCAAAAATGGACACAATTTGGCCGTAAACATCGGCCAACAGCAGAATCTGGACGTTGCGAGCCTTCTTGGCCACCTGCATGATGCAAATAGCGCTTCCGGGCACATCGCCTAACGACAAGAAGGGAAAAAAAAGGTGCAGGTTGGAACTTTCATCTCCACCGAATCAACATCCAAACCCCCACACCCCTCCCCGTTGGAAGCAACAACACAGCACAGAAAGGAATCAAATCAACTCGGGTTGCCAACCTTGCACTTGACGGAAAGCAGGGCCAAACTCTTCAGCATTTTCAACCCGACGGACACCTTGACCATTCGTGCCCTCGGCTGCGCGAATCATGACAGGAAACCCGACACGCTTCGCTACGTACAGGCCTTGGTCAACGCTGTTGACAGTGCCCCGAGAATACACCTCGTCCGGGACGGCAATCAACACGCGCTGCTGTTGCGGCTGAGCGGCGATTTGCGGGAGCTGCACACGCAACGACGAGCCGCCCCATGGCAGCGTCGGAATGCCTGCAGACTGTGCCACAATAGTGGCTGTGATTTTGTCGCCAAGAGAGCGCATGGCGTGGGCTGGGGGACCGATGAAGATGGTGCGCGAGCGACCCAGTGCTTCTGGGAGGCGGGGGTTGTCTGCAGCGTGGTCCCAGCCAGCCCAGACGGCGTCATTTCCCGTACGCTCGGCAATGTCAACAATCAAATCCACATTGGCGTAGTTGTTGTTGGGTGCTCCGCCGGAAACCGGGACGTACTGATCCGCCATCTTGATGTACTCTGCGTTCGCCTTGATGTCCTCTGGGGTTGCGAGCACTGTGAAATGAATTGCATGCTGTCCCACGGACGGCACATGCACATGACAAACATACCAACATACAAAAACACCCCACAAACGATCGAGCGGTTGGTAAAATTTTCAGACGGATTGATTTGGTTGAGTTGTTTGAGGTGAGTTGAGTGAGTGACAAAACTTGCCTCGTTGCCGCCGAACGCATCGTATGCAAACTGGCGAACGGAGCGAATGAACTTGACTGCAGCAATCCCATTGTTGGCAATCAGAATGCGCGTCAGAGCACGCTGACCACCGCGGTGACGAACGAGCTCAGCCGGCGTCGCAAACGCAGACACCGCGGTAGCAGCAGCAGCAGCATTGGCAGCAGCATTGGTAGCGGATGATGACGACTTGCTGGACTGCGTGGCCGGGGTGGTTGTGGTTGTGGTAGTGGTAGTGGTAGTGGTGCTTGTTGAGCCAGCTTGCGTTTGCGAGGTGGAGCTCGCTGCTCCAGCTCCAGCTCCAGCTCCAGTTCCAGCAGATGCGGATGCGCGGGAGGACGGCGCTGCGTCGTCAGAGCTGGTTGGAGTGACTCCTGGCATCTTCGGACGGCCGTCTGTCTATCTATCTGTCTGTCTGTCTGTTGGGGTCAAAAAAACAAGTGACAACTCGAAAGAAGAACGTAAAAGAAATTGGACTGAATTTTTTTGTTCTTTGTTCTTTGTTGGGATTTTTTTTCGTTCTTCTTTCTTTTGTTTGACTACAAATCAGCACATACACGAACATGAAAATTAAACTACAAAAAAGTACAATCACTGCTGAGCACAATCGCCGGGCTGCTCGATCGCAGGTGTGGCAGGCAATCCGAACGACGCGGCGGCGGCAGGAGTGGCAGTGGCGGCAGGAAGCGGCGCTCGGCCGTCGCTGACCGTCATGTCCAGATTCACATCGCCGGCGACAATTGCAGTGCTCTTGCGGGACGAGGCAACCAACGGGCGCATTCGGTTGGATGCGCGAAGCAGGCCAGTGCCCGCGACAGCCAGCGAGGGCGCCGTTGAGAAGGATCGCAAATGTGACAGCGAGCCGGACGTAGAGTTGGAAGACACACACTTGGCGTCCAGGACCGACGCTGACGACGATCCGGACAGGAGAGCTGCAAACCCGCTGTGGAGCGCACTGTCCGCCTCCAAGGCACTCTTGTCGGACGCCGCGAACGACGACATTGAATCAAGCTGGTCGCTTTGGTCGTTTTCCTTGTCGCTGGCAAGCGGTTGCACGAGTAGCTCGTTGTCTTCGGTGGTTGCAGTCGCTGTTTCGGCAAACTTGACTTGCTTTGGCCCACCAGTTGCCGAAGACGCGGATTTGAGCGCCGCCTTGACGGGCACGTTTGCTGCAGGTGCAGGGGACGCTGTTGATGTCGATGTCGATGGCGAGGACCACCCAGCAACTTCAGCCGACATTTCCACGTCCGACGTCGGAAGATCGGCGGTTGATTCAGCCGCGACTGGGTCGCAAACGGGCTCTGACGAGACTTCGATCGGCTTGGACTCTGCACGTACATGCTTGGACTCTGCACGTGCATGTTGCTCCAAGGCAACAGAGGCCGAAACAGCCCTCGAGGCTGGCGCTGCAGCACTGCGATTCAACAGAGAAACGGGCCGGCGCACATTCCCAGGGAGCTCCGCTTTGCTTGCCAGCGAGCTTGACGTGAGAGCAACTGGTTGCGATTGCGAGCTGCTGGGCGAGCACAGGCTGGCGGTTGAAGCGAGAACCGTCGAGCCAACTGCCGCAGAGCCAGGAATCGGTGTCGGCGAAGATGTCATGGATGTCTTGTAATCCAACCCACGAGGCGAGGGTGCGTGCGTGGCGGGCGCAGGAGTTGCACTACGATCGCAGCCAAAGTCGACAACCGCATCCGTGAATACCGCTGATGCAGTCAGGTTGCGCGGTCGCGGCGCGTCCGTTTGGACTGCACTCGCGACCATGCTCTGCTGGCGTTTCTCGATCTCGGCCCAGCGCGCAGCAAGCGCGGTATGAGCTTGACGAATGGTGGCCGCCTCCTGTCGAGCAGCAATTGCCTCCTTCTCGAGAACAACCGCCGCGTTGGCAATCTCGCTGCTATCGCGCTCAGCAAGCTCCAGGCGGGCTTGGACCGAGTCGGCATAGCACAGCGCCTCTTGGGCTTGGTGCTGCAACTTGGCCACCTCTTCTGCATGCTGCTGCTTTGCGGCATCCAGAAGGGCGCTCGCATCCGCCTTAACGCCCGCCAATTCTGTGGAATGGACCTGGCGCAGAGCATCGAGTTGAGCGAGCTGCTCCGCGCGCAACGAGGCCTCTGCAGCAACAGCTGCCTCGCATTGATCGAGGGCCTGATGAAGCTGCTCCTGGGTTGTGGCATGCTCAGCATTGACTTGGTCGAGCTTGGACGCAAGCCCTTCAATGTCCGCCTGCAGTGCATCGATTGCACTCGAGCTGGCACTGGAGCGCTCTTGCAGCTGTTGCGTCGCGCTATTCAGTCGCGCAGTCAGACCCTCCACGTGAGTGCGTCCCTTGGCAATGAGCGCCTCGAGCTGCGACTTTTCAGCCAGAATGGCCTCAACATCAGCGCTGCGAGATTGAGCTGCACTGCGTTGGGCAATCAACGCTGCCTCGCATGCCGCATAATCCTGCTGCAACGCCTCCAGATCGGCCGTTGTGCTTTGCAGCTGTGCGCGAGTCTCCTCAAGGTCGGAGAAAGCCGTTTCCAACGAGCTCTGTGCGACACGCGCTTGCTCAGTCAGCTTCAGAGCATCCTCAGATGCGTCAGAAAGTCTGCCCTCCAGCTCTGCTGAAAGGGTCTGTGCCTGGGCCAGCTGGGCCTCAAGCACCTCGTTGCGCTGAGTTGCCGACACCGCTTGTGCGACATACTGCTCCTTTTCCGTCTGAAGCACATCGAGTTCAAGTGTCTTGTTGCGGATTTCGTCGCGCATGGCAAAGACTTGGCCTTGCAAGTCTCGGCAGGCAGACTCATGCTCGGCAGCGATGGCGGTGGATCGAGCCAGCTGCCGTTGCATACTTTCCACAACTTCCGCGGAAACGAGCGTTGCGCTTTGAGTTGCCATCAAGGCTTGCAGCTCGCCAAGTTCCGCCAGAGTGCGGTCACGGTCCAGATTGGCTTGCTCGACGCGAGCCAAGGCATCCGCAACGGCTGCCTCCTTTGCATTAGCGCGCTCCGTCGCTCCACTCAGTTCTGCTTGAAGCCGAGCAAACTCAGTGTCGCTTTCGTCGTGGAATGAAGCGAGCGAGCCGTTGAGCAGTTCGAGCTCTGCTTGCAGCTCGCAAACAGTCTGCTTGTTGTTCTGCAGCGAGGCCTTGGTGTTGTCCAAGGCGGTTTGCAGACTGGCTTTCTGCAGTACGCTCTCGTTCAGAGCTGTCTGCACCTCGGAGAGATTTGCCTCAGCCTTGGCCAGCTGTTGCTTGAGCTGCTCTTGGGACTCGCTGGTGCTGTCAGCTTGCGCGGCGGTTTGCTCTTGAAGGGTCACGACTTCTTCCAAGAGTGCGGCATGAGCAGTGTCGACGGAGGCCAACTGCTGCTTTAGCTCTTCGACCGTCGATTGTGCGAGCGCTAGCTTGTCCTGGGCGTCTGCCAGTTGGGACTGCAAGGCTTGTTCAAGGTTGCTCTGGACACTCTGTTGCTCCTCCTTGAGAAGGGCAACTTCTGCTTGCGCAGTCTCGAGCTCCTGCACAAGGCTTGCCATGCGATCTGCGTGCGACTCAGCTTCGCTGTCAGCTTGCTTCAGCTGCGCCTCAAGCTCCGCTTGGTCATTGCAAGCCTTGCTGAGGATTTGCTCCAGTTCAGCAGCCCGCGTGGTTGCAGCATCACGCTCCACACCAGTCTGGGTGAGCTGCACCAACGCAGCTGACAGTTTGGTCTCCAGCTCCGCAGCCAGCTCCATTGCTGCATGGTTGGTGTCTTGGTCTTGCATGGACTTGGAAGCAAGCTCCACTTGAGCCTCCGCAAGCTGTTGCGTCAGTGCCTCGCATCGAGCTTGACGTTGGGAGGCGAGAGCTTGGACCTCGGCCAAAGCAGCGGCTTGCGCTTGCTCCAGCTCGCAAAGCTTTGCCGCAGCCGCGCGCTCCGCTTCTTCGGCTTGCAACTCAATGCGCTCTTGCAGGATGGTCTGCTTTTCCAAGTCTACCATCAGCGATTCAGCATGGTGGTCCTTTTCGGCAGCCTCAGTCTCAAGCTGTTGCACGCGTAGGTGAAGCTCTTGAACCTCTTGGTCGAGTTGGTCGTGCTCAGCCAGCATGTGCTGATGCAGTTCATTGTGCTCGGCCTGCAGTGTGGCAATCTTGGCTTCAAAATCGGCAGTGACTGTGTCAATCTCGGCCGAGTTGGAGACCGGCTCGGAAGACGGTACGGCGGAAGCGGCTGCCGCCAGATCTTGTTCAAGCGACTGGATTTGAGCCTCTGCGTTTGCCAGCTGAGTGTTGTGCTCACGCTTGGCCAGAGCAAGCTTTTCGTCAAACTCGCGTGCCAGCTGCTCTGCTGCCTCCTGTTGTTGCTTTTGCAGCATTTCGATCTGCTGAAGCTGCTCGTCGTGTTGTTGTTGCAGTTGCTGCTGCTGCTGTTGTTGTTGTTGATGCATGACTTGTGCTTCAGAAAAGGCGAGCTTTTCCTTCTGCAGCTCGACAACTTGCTGCTCCAGCGTGGCCAGGATCTCGACCAGCGCCTGATTCTCGTTGCGGACAAAGTCTTCGTTTTCGGCCAACGTGCGCAATTGGATCTCATGCTGCCGAACCAGCTCAGCCTTCTCTGTCTCCAAAGTGGCAAGGCGACTGAGAATGGCAAGATTCTGCGTCGAGTCGGCAGCGTTGGCGTTGGCCGGCGGGGAGTTTTCGAGCTGGAGTTGCAGCTGCTCGTTCGTTTGTTCCAGCAGCTCTTCCATGCTGCGAATCTGCTCGCGCGCTTCATGAAGTTCCATCTCGAGAGCTGCCACTTTGTCTTGCGCTTGCTCTGGTGGGGGCATTTCCTGAAGTGTGTGTGTGTGTGTGTGTGTGTGCGCAAGGTGAGGCCTGTTTCAAAAAGCTCGAACAAATGTGTCGCAGGTAACGCTTACAGGTTGCATTTGCTTTGACCGCACTTGCTTTGCTTGAGCGTGTTGTTGCGAACGCTGAGAATCGTGAGCTACAGGAGCAATGCTGACACGCTGTGCGGCCGAGCGACCACTGTGTCCAAAGCAAAACACGCACACAAAAACACAACCAGGAACGAAAATAGTCCGGTTAGGATCCATGCGCAATGCTTTTCGTGTGTTTCAAAACCGACTGATCAAAACTACAAAACTTTCATCTTACGCTGTAATCGAGCTCATCCGGATGCTCGAGACGCGACGGTCGTCCGTGCGAGAGTAGCTTGCAGACGAAAACGAAATGTCTGCACTTTCATTGACAACACGTTGTGCAGTAGTAGCTGTAGCTGATCCGGGGTGAGGCGCTGTCGGAGCTGCATTTGCGCTGCGGACATCAAGGCGCTTGGCACCCGCCCACCACGTCTCGCGGCGAGACTTGTTGGCTTTGGTCGGGAAGGGGAGCGTTTCGTCAAGTCGAGCATGGGTGTCAAGGCTTTCAACAGTGCTTGCAATGCTGTTGGTTGAGGAAACCAGAATGAGCCTTGTCAGTTTGTCAATCTTGTCCTGCTGCAGCTGCTTCTCGCGCTCGCGCTCGATGAGCGTCTCTTGCATCTTTTGGCGCTCATTCTGAAGCTCGGCCAGCTCGGCTGTCACTGCGGGCGTGTCTTGAGGATCACGCTTGTCGGTCAGCATGCGCTTCAGCTCGGAGATTTCCGTGCGATAGCGCTTGAGCAGGGCCTCATCTGAAATGACCTCATTGATGACTGGTTTGTTCCGGATTGTCTTGGCGCGAGTCGCAAACTTGAGGGTGGAGATGGTCTCGTCGCAGTGGACGGTGGCCGGGGTGATGGTGCAGACGATCGCCGTGCGTGCGTTGCCACCAAGCGACGGCTGTAGAATGCGCGTCAACTTGGAGTCGCGGTACGGGATGTGACCTGATTCGTTCACGCCATCGCTCAACTTGCCAATGACTGTGCCGAGAGTCAGGAGGGATTTGTTGATAAAACCACCTTCCTTCAGGCGGACGCCCTCCGCTCCAGTGTGTCCAACGCGCTCAGAGCCGGCCAAATCGACCAAGTTCAGGCTCGACACGAGAACAGCACCGTCCATCGACAGGCGCTCGGGGCTGTTGGCGGCGGAAACGCGGTCGCGACTCTCGACAATCATGCGGAAGATGGTGTGCGAGCGCGAACTGTGCTCGTTCATGTTGGTTTCACCGACGTGACGACTGCTCTCTCCGCGCTCCATGAGCTTGAGAATTTCGTTCGGCGAAACGACCACTTCCTCGGAAATGTCGCTCACGAAAATTTCGCCCTATTTCGAAACCGAGAAGAGCGTGTTAGGTACCAAACTCTCAAGTGCTGTCCATCAAAGTCGACCTGCAACCCATATGACTAGACGAGTACTTACGCTCACGTTTTCGCGGATTTTCAAGTTGGTGTTCTCTGGCTTGAGAAGATCGGTGATGATTTCGTTGTAGATTTCAATGTACGAAACACGCAGCAAAAACTCACGATCTTGGCTCTGTTTCAGAGCAAAAGTGGAGGAGCGATGTGAGCTGCTGAAATCGCAAAAAACAAAAAACCAACAACACCCACTGAGCGCCATGCTCGGAAAGCAACATACCTTTTGAATGCATGTAAAGACATGATCAATCGCAAGCGGGAGCAAGCCTGGCTCTGAAGGCGAGCCCTTCATTGTGTGTGTCTTGCCGGAAGATGTTTGACCGTACGCAAAAATGGTACCTGTTCAGTTCGTGGCAGAATTGGCAGATGAGGCACAAAACACAGAGTGTCAAGCAGTCATCACCATAGCACGGCAATGCAACCTACCATTCACACCATCCATTGCCGACTTGACGATATTCGCAGCAACTTGGTCGTAGACATCGCGAGTCTTCGAGTTGGCTCCAAAAATGCGATCTGATTGGCGTGTTTTGACATGAAACTCGTCGTCAGCACTCGTGCAAGAAAAAATTCACTGTCGCGTCATACTCAAGCACAATGCTCACCGAATGTGTAGGACGAGCTTGGGATTGGGCGACCCGATGCATTGCATTGGACAATGCTGTTGTTCTCCAAGCTCCATGTCTGGCCTTGGCCTCCATTGAGCTCTCTGGTGCATGGGCGGATTATCACAAATGTAGATCATGTTAGCGTTGTGTGTTCAAATAGCATCATCGAGTGAGAATCCAAAGTGCAGTCTAGCCAAAAGAAAGCACGAGAACACAAGAACTGTTTGAAACAATCAAAAGTTTTTTGGCGCCATTTTTTGTTTTCGTTTTCAAACACGACCGCAACTCAATGCAGCCACACTCTCCTCCACGAGCATCACCGCGCCTCCCATCTTGGAGGTAAGTGATTGAGCGTCGAGTACTTGTTGATACAGTGATCGACGCGCTGTGACAACTGTTTGACTCCAAGGCAAGTGTTTCACGTTGAAACCGTTTGAGCGGTTTTTTTTCTTCTTTTTCACTCAGTTTCCCTCTTTTTTTTGCTTCTCTCATAGCCCGATGCGACATCGCTTCTGCTTGTGCTCAAGACCGTGGGGTTGTGCGTGCGATGGTGTTCATGAATGGGGGATTTGACTTGCCGCGAGTTGAGCGGACGAACGCGAATGGTGACGTTGATATTGTCCATGATGGCGCCAAAAGTCCAGCCAAGAAAATGAAAAGAAAAAGGAAAAATGAAGCAAGCCAGATTAAGAAAATGACAGGTTTATTCAGAATGGGAAGAAGGGGGACAAATGTTACTGAATGGTGGGGGAAATCAAAAGGGAGGGCGCGGATGGCCTCTCGCCTCAAAGCGCACTGCCGCGGTAGGCCATCGGGATTGCATTGTACAGCGCCTTGGATTCAAGCCATTCCTTGTTGAACAGACGCGCTTGGTAACGCTGAGTCGAGAGTCAACGTTAGCAATTTGTTTGCAAGACTCTACCTCTCTAACGCAACGTGAATAGGTCTGGACACTCACCAACCCAGAGTCGCAGAGAATGGTCACGACGGTCGAGCCTTTTGGCAGAGACTTGGCCACCTCAACGGCAGCTGCCACGTTCAAACCAGTTGAGGCGCCGACAAAGATGCCCTCCTCGTGCAAGAGACGATAAGTCTGAAATTGAGCCAGCACAAGTGAGCGGAGATAGGAAAACAATCACCAGCTCGTCAAAAACAAGGCTCACCCATTCGACCGAAGCGCTGTCCGGGACGTGAACAGCGTCATCCAGCTTCGAGCCTTTGAGATTTTCAGTCACACGACCTTGGCCAATGCCTGATTGGACAAAGTTCCAGCAAAAAGCCAAAAAGAAAAAAAAATCAGGATCCTTACGAAACATCACAACAACAACGGCCTTGCAAACGCACCCTCGGTAATGGAGCTGTCCCCGGTTCGTTCCAGCTTGTCCTTCTTGAACCAGCTGAAAAGAACGCTGCCTGGAGGATCGGCAAGGACGACCTTGATTTTGGGATTCTTCTCCTTGAGGAACAGACCGGTGCCCGAAAGCGTGCCACCGGTTCCAGTTCCGCAGGTGAAAGCGTCCACCTTGCCATCTAAAGTTGATGTCCAGTCAGAGCAGAGCCAAAATAAATGCGAAAAAAGGAAGCGGAAAACCAAAAGGAAAAAATATCTGCAAAAGCTCAACGAGACCTACTTGTCTGCATCCAAATTTCGGGTCCAGTTGTGTGGTAGTGCGCCAGGCGATTGGCAGTGTTGTCAAACTGTTGGACCAAGGAGGGATGAGAGCTCGGACGAACATAAGGAGGCTAGCCGCGTACCTGATTCGTCCACACGGAATTCGGAGTTGCCTCTGCAAATCGACGGGCTTGGTGGTTGTAGTTCTCTGGGTTGTCGAACGGGACGGCAGGGACGGGGCGAACCTCAGCTCCGAGAAGCCGCAGCATGTCCTATGTTGCAGAAAACCACGTTTCACGAGCATCTTTGGTGAGGCCGCGCTTCCACAGCAGGGTTGCAAGCATTCATCGACCGCAATTTCGACAAGCACTGACAATCTTTTCCTTGGACTGCGTGTTGGGCATGTAGATGACACACTTGTAGCCCTTGGCGTTGCAGATGTGCGCCAAACCAATGCCAGTGTTACCCGCAGTGCCCTCGACGACCGTGCCTCCAGGCTTCAGGAGCCCCTTCTTCTCTGCGTCCTACAAACCAGACATTCTCACACAGCGTCAGCCACCTGCTTGACTAGGATCCCGAGCACGAATTTGTGAACAAACCTTGATCAGGAACAAGGCCGCGCGATCCTTCACCGAACCGCCACAATTCGCGTACTCTGCCTTTGCCAGAATGTTGCAACCCGTCACCTCGCTCGCCCTGCCAACGGACACCACCAACAACAAACAAGAGCTCAGAAATCGTTGCCAAAAATCTAAACTCGACCAATTCACACAAATTTTGGCAGCTCGATCGCTTACTTTTGCAGCCGGATCAACGGAGTCTTTCCAACCGTGCCAACGATGCCGTCTCTGTATTACATCGCAACAAAACAAAATTGATGCATTCGAAGGGTTGAGCGATGGCGCGCGAACAAAAAACGGTGAGAGATTGACATCCACAGGTTCAAGTCAACGACCTCCTCTGTTTTGGGCGACCTAAAGCCAAGCAATTGGATTGAATGGCATATGGCGTGTGACTTACCGCCACGAGTCCGTCCAGACACCCGGCGGGGCGGCAGCGGTTGAAGCGAGGCGTCGGCCGAGACAATCACGCGCGCTGGATTGCAGGCGCAGCAGTGCACGGCCGGTCGTGGAAGCCGTCGTAGTAACTGCGTTATCCACATGTTAAAAGAGCGAGTTTTTAACAAACCCAGGGCAACCGTGAGCTGTCAATCGTCAAGGACAAGTCAAAGTGATTGAACGTACGCATTGTCTCTTCAAGTTAGTATGGACTGAGCTAAAGAACGTTTCCAATAATGATTGTTAACAAACGGAGATGAAGAGGATGTAAACTAGTATGTTGCATTGGTAGGAGGACACGGTTGAGCAAGAGGAAACGCAGGCAATCGCAAAATCCTAAAAAAATGTCGAAAAAACAAAACCCAACAACAGCAAACAGGCACGCTCTCAAAATCCAGCAGGAGAAACACGGCCAAGCAACAATACTAAGAACGGAAGTGAAAACAAAAAAAAAAAACACGATGAATGGGAGACAGAGTAGGAAATGCGAAACAGCGCGAAAAAAAGCCCCAGAATAAAAACTACTTGGACAAAAAGTCCAAAAAGTCCTTCTGAACAGCCGCTGCTGCATTGTCGCCACTCGGTCGTCGACGAGAATCGTCTTCGCTGGAAGACAGACTGCTCGAACTCGAATGTGCGTGACTCTCGCGGTTGAGTGTCGCCGGAGTGCTCGAGAATGACCCCGACCCGCGAGATCGACGAGAGTCCGTGTTCGACACTGACGAGTTTGTGGATGGTGAAGCAGACGGGACGGAAGCGGGAGGCGCGTTGGTCGGAACCGCCTGACCAGTGTTGATTCGGTAGTCGTGCGGTGCGTAGAAGGGGCTGTCCACAATGTGCTGCCCGTCGACAGTGACTGCAACCACGTAATCGCCCTCTTCCTCACACACATAGGTGACGAGATAGGTGCCGTCGCAGTTGTTCTTGATGCGCGGTTCTGGCGGCCGAGAGCCGTACGGACCGTTGACCTTGATCACGAACGGATCGCTGCGGCCGACGCGAACGTAGCCGTTGGCGTCGCGCGCGGTGATTGTAAAGACAGACGGCTCTCCGACATAGCCTTGCTGAATGCCCTGCCCTGCAGCAGAGCACCGTGCCGGGTACAAGGCACCGAACGCGTCCAGACCGAGCAGCGCGCTCGAGCTGGGCACGTGCGCGCTGCCATTTGCGCCGAGCGCCGTCGCGGGACTGGCCCCAGGTCGCGAAATGCCGCCACCCCCTGCGCCTCGCGACCCCGTGCGCATCAAGCCGCCATCGCCCCGCGGCACATCATCCTCAAACATGCCGTTCAGCAACGAGAGCCACAAGTCTCGGTCGTGCACCGTGTCTGCAGTGAAAAAGTACGTCGTGTCGCCGCTCGTCACCTTGAACGCGTGAGGTCGCTTGGTTTCGCGATCGGCGTCCTCAAACAGAGACTGTGTTTTGTCGAGCGAAATGACGCCCAGCGGCTCGGCGTACGTTGCGTCCGATTTGAAGTAGGCCAGTTTGCGGGGGAAGAGCACGCACCATCGTCGCTTCCAGTTTTTGCCGTCCTTCTTTTTTTGCAGCCAGCCCTTGATGAGGGCTGTGTCGAGTGGTGGCAAGGGTGTAGAGCCGGAGGAGGAGGAGGAGGTTGTCGATGCCGATGAGGAAGAAAATGTGCCAGTCGCTGCCGCCGTGCTCATTGCAGCCGAAGGCGATGTTGCTGCTGTTGCAGAGATGCTACTAGATGACGACGCTGCTGGCGGATTGAACAGGTCGTCGTTGTTTGCGCTCGATCCAGCGACGGCAGTGTCGTGGCCGAGGCCGGCTGCGGTGAGGTCGACTGTTGCAGATGGGTTGAGTTCTTTCAAGCACGCAGCGAATGCCTCCGTCCAAGAGGTGAGTTCTCTGTGATTGCGCGAAGGAGTGTGTTGTTTTGGAGAGAGCACAGTGAGCATTGTTGCGGGACTGCACCAAGACAATCCCTTTTGGCGACCAGCGAGCGAGCGCACTCACCGTTCGTTGGCAGCGAGGAGCATGTACGTCCGACCTGGCGTTGTGAGCGCAATGCAGTATGGGCGCTTTGTCTCCGCATCGCCTCGTCCGACGGATTTGACGTCTGAGAGCGAGATGGTTCCCATACACTCTGCGCGATCGTTGGACTTGTAGTACTTGAGCGCCCACAGCGGCTTGTCTGGGCTCGCCACATTGAGCTCGTTGATCAGCACGCACCAGCGCTTCTTCCACGTCTTGATGGCGCCTGCAAAAGAACAACAAAGAAATCATTCGATTCAGCATCAGAAACCAAAAAAAAAAAAAAAAAAAAAAAAGTCGAACTTTTGTATGGTTTGTTGCTTTGAGGACCGACTGCTGTTTTGTTGTTTTTTCCCCAACTCTTCGTCGAGTTATATCTTTGGAAAGGGTGAATGAGTGAATGAATGAATGACGTGATTGATCGGGAAAAAAAAAAACTGAAGCAAACTGAAACAAACAACGTTGTCGACCGCAATATGAAAAAAAAAAAAAAAAAAAAAAAAAAAAAGAGCGGTTGAAAAAAGGAAAAAAGCGCGGTTTTTTTTTTTTTTTTTTTGTGATTTGCAAACGATTTTTACAATTTTTCTGTTCGTTTGACTGCTTGTCGCGTGTTTGAGATTTGGATTGAGAAAGTGTGTTGCGGGGCAAGCGGCGCGAGCGAAGAGGAGTTTGAGTGGCTGAAAAGCTGTAAAAATATAAAATAAAATAAAATAAAAATAATAATAATAATAATGATAATGATTTCAACCGATTTTTGCTTTTTTCACAGTGGCACAAAAAAAAAAAAAAAAAAGCAAAAAAAAAAAAGCGAGAACGAAACAAACGCAGTTCGCGGAGGTCGAAAAGAGAGAGAAAAGCGAGGTCACTTTGTTATTGGACGACTGGATGTTGGATGGTCGAGTTTGGCTGAGGGACGACAGGAGAAGAGGAGAAGTAAAAGGAAAAGTGTGTGTGAGTGTGCGGTTTGATGGGGAAAAACGGCACAAAAAAAAAAAAAAACAAAAAAAAAACAGTGGCAACCGACTCAATGGGAACAGCAGTGCAAGTGAAGAAGGAAGGAAGGATGAGGGAAGGAGAGGGAAGCGAGGGAGGAGAAGAGTGGGAAGACGCACCGCCTTGCTTGACGAGCCAGCCTTCGCGACGACTCATGAGGAGAAACTGGTCGCTTTGAGTTGGAAAAATAAAATAAAAAATATAAAAATTATGACAGTGGAAAAATCAATGGAAAAAAGGAAGACTGCTGCTTTGGGAAACGAACATATGAGCGCTTGATGACAAACGTGCGTGCGAGGGATTGGTTCAATGAAGGGAGGAAAGCCGAGAGGACAACAGCTTGCACTCGGAGGGCTAACTTGGACTTTTGGTGCATGTGCGGATGAGGGGAAGGAAGGAAGCGAGCCTTTTTGGAGCGAGAACGATCGGTGCGCTGCTGCACCGCGTTGCTCAGATCGCGATACAGCAACAAGTGCAGTGTGGGGACAACGAGTTGGATCTATCGTAGAGGAATCATGCGAGCCTTTTGCTTGACTTGAACGGGCTCCAGTTTGCAGCAAAATGGCAAAAAGGCGAAAATTGCTGTTTTTGGGCAGCGGTGTCCAGGTGATGAGCGGAAACGAGCTTGTTCTCGACCATGTGCGTTGGACGTGTTCGATTAGCCTTCCATTCGAGAGCAAAAGTGGCAATCTGCTCACGCGGCGAGCTGCTGAGCACGGATGGAAAAATCATGCATGCACATTTGTTGCGCGGCTGGGCTCCTTCTCAAAAGCGCCCGAATCGAATCACAATGCCATGCAAACTGGAATCAAACACCGGAATCAAAAAATTTAACAGAGTGTGGATTGTGGCGATTGAACACAAAAGGGGGCAACTTCGGCACAACAAACGAGAAGAAAGAAAATTACAACAGAGGAAACAAAAAACCAAGGAAGACAAATGTTCAAAGAGATGGTGTGGTGCGTGTTTGCTCGGCCAGCTTGCTGACATATTGCTGAGAAATGATGAAAGCAAATTCAACACCAACAAACAAGGGAAGGAAAACACGAATCAGTTTTTGTTTTGTTTTTTTCCGATACCGGTCAAATAGCACTTGCTCCTCTGCCGCCACCACCTTAATAACAACGCTTTGAACTCTTACCGTTTGATACCGAGTAGCACAAGTCGTGAATGCACGGACTAGCTCAGAGCAGTCAAGCGGGCGGTCGGGATTGCTGCGGTAGCATTTCAACGCAGCCGCTTGTTGCTGCGCGCACGGCGTGCGCTCTGTCGTCGAGGGTGATACCGAAACAACCGGCTCTCTGTGATTTGGTAGGACAAGGTGTGGCAACAAACAGGGCAGCGTGAGTCGCGCCGTGCTCGCACGCCACACGCGTAAACTGCATTTCTCTCAAGCTAAGCGGCGTTGCTTTACACAAAACGGGCATTCGCTCGAGCCAGATATTGACTCAGCTCGTTCGCCAATTGCTCCTCGCTTAGCCGAGTTTGCTCGTTCGCTTCCTGATGTTTGCCGGAGCGAATCGCGCGCAGCTCATGCTCGACCTCTCCCTTTGCCCGTTGGTAGCCCTAGATTTCGCAAGGTAAACCAGTGAGCGACCTTCCGTTCGACCTTGCATCACGGACGTGCTTGGATTCAACGTGTTAACAACAACAACAACAACAGCAGCAGCAGCTACCTCTGTGACGCCCTGGGCATGAGCGCGTTGGAGCAGCGGCTGAATCTCCTGACGATTCTGTCGGACAAAGCTTTGCAGGTGAGCGATTTTCGTCTCATACATGCCACGGTGAGCCTCTCGTCACCCAATGTCAAGGGTGACATTGAAGCCTGGTCAATCACACAACGCATCACACAATGCATTGAGCCGTACCATTCGCCCATCGCGGCCTGTGATTGTTGGTCGCGCCCGCTCGCCAGCCAGGCTCCGCAGCAAGTTTTCCGTGATCTGTCATTGTTTGCGTGATTCGACCCCGCCGCAACGCAGAGAACAAGTGAGAGTGAGTTGAGAGAGAGCGAGGAGAGAGACAAACGCGAGATCTCCATTGATGCCCGTCTTCGTCCCGCGCCCATACGCCACGACCACCACCACCACCACTACCCTAACTCCAAGCGTCATCGTTGGTTTGAACGCACGTTGACGGAGATGCCGGTGGGGTTGGCCGCGCTCGCCTCCGTGCGATTCATCGTGACTTTGCGCGTTGGCCGCGGTGCTGAGCTCGTTGCGCCCATTTTTTTTTCTTTCGTCTGAGAACAATAGAAAAAAAGACTAAACATTGTGAAAAGTTTAATTGTGAAGGCATATCTGAGTGTTGTTCGTTCCTTTTGAATGAATAGGATTCAGTCTTTGCTTGTTCCATTGTAACAGGATTTCAACCATACAAAGATGAGCCAGTCACACGCAAAGCCAGCGCTCGCCGATCTCGAAGCCATCGAGAAGGTACATCCGCAATAGGAGCTCCGTGTGAAGTTTGAAGGCGAATGGACCTGACTGGGACTGGCGCTTTTGGCCTGGGACTGGCTGAACATTGAGCTCACATCCTTCCCACTCGTATTCGTGCTTGGTAGGACATCCTCGCGTCCATGCGCGCGGCGAGCAGTGCGATCGCACACTTGGCTGCAGAGACAGCCGATGCGGATGGGTTTGAGCGCAGCGTCGCGGAAGTGTTTTCAACCATCAAGGTGAGGAATGGGATGACAATGGGAACTCCATACAAATGCCAAACTCACGATTGTGTCCCACTTGGAATGGTGGTGTTTGAGTGCAGGCCGTGCAAACAAGCTTGCCGCCACATTTCCATGAAATTGCGCAAATCCAACGGCTGCCGTTTGAGAATTCGAGCTATGGTAAGTTTTTCTTTTCTTTTCTTTTCTTTTTGCGTTGTGTGTCGATCTGGTGAGCGACTCACTTGTGTGATGTTGATCGATGCACGCCAGGTGCAAAGCTGGACTGTGAGCTGGCAACGCAACGCCATGCTATTGCTCTGCAGCATGCTGAGAAGCTCGTGCAGCTGGCCACCGTTTCAGGCGAGCTTTGAGGGAATCTGCTTTCGCTCCCGCTTCACTCGCAGACCACCAAAGCCAACGAACGACAACACACTACCAAGATTAAACCTCTAGCGGCGTCTACACTCCGTCGAATCTCGCGTCGCAGCGATGCGAAAGGCAAGAAGAAGAAGAAGAACAAGAAGAAGCACGTTAAAGAGGAAGGATTCGGCTTTGTCCGAACAGCAGCTCGCATCATTTTTGTGTGATCGAGTTCTTGTGAGCTTTGCAAATCCTCGTGCTTGTCAAACTCCCGTGATGCACCGTTGCTCCATTCGCCAAATTCACTCAAAACCCAAAAAATTTAATCGATTTAAGATGCAAGCATCTTCTTCAACACAAACGTTCAAAACAACTGTTCAACAATTCCAGCATCAAAAACACGCACGGGTCAGGCTTGGCATCAGATAGTTTCCACAAAACTTTTGTTTTTGTTTTTCGTACAGCACAAAGAACAATAATTGTCTACCCCCCCCCTACTTGTCAGAAGTGACGGGCGTCGCGCGACGCAACACGAGACGCTGGCGCATTTCGCGCAGCCTGGACGCCATGTTCATGGACAAGGTGGCTTGGCGTGTCGCTGGCAGCTCCACGTTTGTCAGCAGTTGGAGCTTGCAGCTCATGGAAATGTTCTCGCGGTGGACGCGATCCATGTCCTCGTGACACTCGCGCAGTTTCTCGGCGAGGCCGTGGATGGCCTGCTGCAAGGTCAAAGACACGTCGACGCGCACCGGGTCGAGGCGGAGCTGCTCGGTCAGCTGGGCATTGCTTGCCACCAAGGCAGCAAGCTGGGTTTGCAAGTCAATCACGGTTTCTGCGACCTGGTCGACTTGCGAAATGGTGGACAGGTTGGAGCACAGATGGCACTCACGCGAGCGCTTTGTGGCGCGGCTGTAAGAGTCCGACGAAGAAGTGCTGGTGTCTGAATCACCGCTGCTGCTGGTGCAAAGGTCGCTGTGGGACGTGCTGTTGTGGCTGCTGCCACTGCTCATGCTGATGTTGCTGCTGTTGGGGCTGTTAGAGCCTTGCACAATAATGACGGGACTTGCCGCCGCATGCATCGTGCAGACGTTGGGCGTCGAGCATGCAGAACTGAACTGCGCGTCATCGTCGTCCTCATCCTCGCGTTTGGGCAGGGTCGCCTCCATGTGTGCCTGCTGCTGGTGGTCTTGCGACGCAGCATCATCCGTGTCGGCGGTGCAGTCATCGTCAATGCAGGGCATCACGTAGTCGTCCTCGCTTTGCTCGTCGGTCTGCTCGTCTGTCGCCTCGAGGGACCGGCCAGCCGCTTTGAGAGCCTGATTTTCGGCCAGCAACGTCTGGATGATTTCCTGCTCTGCCATCTCGATCGCCTCTGTCTGGAGATCAACCAGCTGCTGCAACTTGGCGCTGTGCGCGCGAAGCAGGTCGTTCAACGCGCGCTGCTTGCCTTCGCGTGCAGTGACGGCAGCCAGCACCTTTGTCAGCGTTTCGATCGTGTCGTTTTGTCGCGCGAGGGTGGCTTCGGCCGCGAGCAGCTGAGGACCAAAGTCTCCATCCGTGCACACCCAGTCCTGCACATCTTCGAGGGTGAGTGCTCGCTCGCTGGCGTGGGAGGGCACTCCGTTGCCGTTGCCGACAGTCTCGTCTTCCATCAGGAGACTGGCGCCGGTGGCAGAAAGCAGCACAGCGTCAATGGTGGCGAGCGCTTCAACCATGTTGCTGGCTTCAGCGTTCATCTCATCGAGCCGAGCCACGGTCGCGTCCTGGTGAGCGGCTTCACGGGTATCGTTGTCATCATCGTCTGCAAACTGCACCTCTGCTCCATCCGCGATTTCGAAGCAAGCCGACACAAACCGAACTTGCTTGGGGATCTGCGGGCTTGCCGGCTGGACGTACTGCATGTCGGGAGCATGCGAAACTGCTTCCTGGTAGTCTTCAGCATCCATCTCGCTCTGAGCATCGTCGTCACTGCAGATGGCTGCGTCGGACGCCGAGCGGACTTCATCGTCGTCGTCGTCGCTGTCTTCGCTCAGCTCGAGCCAAGTTGAGTCGTTGTCGCCAGTGCCATCTTCTTCCACGTCGCTGGAATGGACGGACAGAATCTCGTCGCGATCAGCCAGGCGCGCACGCTCCGCCAAGGAGGATGTGGACGCAGTGAGGGGTGCGTTGCGCAGCGAGCCGGTGGCCGAGCTGCTTGACGAGTTGGAGGTTGTGGTCGACGACATGGACGACGACAGAGACCCGTCCGCGACGTGTTCGAGTGCCGACAGCAGGTTTTCCGAAAGCGGCGGCACAATGACTGCTTGCTGAATCGCAACACCGCGAACGAGCTTGGCACGATAGGTCGCAATGTTGACAGGAACGCGCACGGGCACTGGAATTGGCGAAGGCAACGGGACTGCTTCCTGCTCGATGACTTCAGCGCACGGGTGCAGCGAAGACGTGCGCGGGGGAAGGGCGGGAGGGAGTTCGGTTTTGGAGAGGGTCAGCGTGGGCGGAGCGGGCGCACGACGACGAGGTTTGGCGACCGGGCGTTCACGCAAAGACGGCGCCGGTTGTTTGCTGAGCAAGGAGTTGGTCTTGCCGGGAATGGGCGTGTCGCTACCGCGTGTCGCAGGTGATCGGTCAGCCGAAGCAGGGATGGAGATGTCGGCAGCGAGAAACTCGGCCAGATCGTACAACTTGTCGCTTTTCGACGAGGCAGAGCTCGAGCGCGAAGCAATGGAAGTGTCAGTGGAATCCTCGTTGGTGGGACTGGCGGATGGCGCGATGACTGATGTCAGATCGGATGCCTCGTGAGCTGTTGGGCTCAAATTGGCGAGAGTGTCAGCTTTGACCTCAGCGTTTAAATTTTCCACCGACGACGGTTCCTCCTGAGCACTCGCACCGCTGGCCTGTTCCTCCGATGCGGTCGAGGAGGTGCTGCTGCTGCTGCTGCTGCTAAAGAGTCTCTTGGCAATACTGGAAAAGAATCCGCCCGAAGAGGAGGACGGGGTGGCGAGGGAGGATTTGGAGGACTCGGACGCGGTCGGCGGCAGATCAACGCCCAGCGTAGACGTGGCAGCAGTGCTGGATGGGTCTGTTCCAACAAACGACTTGCCGTCCGCAGTCAAAGTGAAGACCTTCTGCTGCTGCGAGTCTGCTTCGGGGTCTTCGAACAGCGGGTTGCAATGCTCCTCGGCCAACTTGAACGTTGAGGAGGAAGGCGGAAGTTCCTTTTGAAGAAATGAAAGATTGCAACAAAAGTAGTTGGTGAGATTTGAAAAGGAGTGGATTGAACGTGCCGAGAGGGATGATGCAAAGAAGAATGGAAGGAAATAGATTGTTTTTCGAGCAACAACAACAAAAAAAAGGTGGCGGAACGAAGGAAGGGAGGCGGCGGTAGCGACAAGGAAAGGAGGTGGCCAACATTTGTCTTTGGCGCCTCCTGTTTCAGCCCGTGCACAAGTTACTCCATCACACCCTCCCCAACTTCCGTGCTTCCATGCTGTTGCATCGGTCTTTGATAATAGTCCCCATGACACAGAAAAGCGAGTTGCGACGAAATCAAACCGTGGTAGGAATTGGAATTGAAATCGCAGTTTTGTGTTTCTTTTTGTTTTTTCTTCCTTTGTGTGAAACAAAAAACACACTCCGACCAAGGAGGAAAACCAGCAACATAAATACCGCTGTGAGCTGCTCTCCTCTTTTGCAAGTGTTGAGACATGGTCTTTGAGACGAGTTTAGTTTGTCGTGCATAAAGCTGTGGGACAAGGTGCTGCGGACGAGGACTCGAAAATGAGCTCAACTCAGGCTTCCCATAAAAATCGAGAGCGCCGTGCAAAACACACGCTTCTCATCAAGCCCAGAGAGAACAAAGTATTTCTCAGTAATTTCGCGTCTCTGGAAGCACGATGGTCGGCTGGTGACACTACCAACACTCTTCTGCGTTGATTCTATCGCTCGCGCCACACTGTGCCATTTCAGTGATAAACATCGTGAATTGCTGCACGTACTGCAACTGGCATTATTGGGGGAGAGGTGTGAGTGAAAGCTGCCAAAGCACAAGAAGGAAGGAAACAAAGCAAAAAATCAAAAGTGAGCTCGTTTCGGATTTGGGAAGAGGACGATTTTTGATTTGAGAGGAACTCGGAATGCGGCTTGATTTCGCATTGCTTCCTTGCAGGGAGGAGTCTCCCATCGCATGTTGTCATCAGATCCTGCCAAGATCTGAGATCGCACGCTGCGAGTCTTTGTTGTTGTCTTCAGCTTTCGCTCAACAATCACTTTTCAACTTTTCAACGCTCATTTCTTGAGATTTCTTTTGGAGTTTATCAGCACAAAGGCATTTCGATGGAGCGGCAGGTTGACTTCAGATCAATACTCGTTGCAAACAAAATAAACGCAGGTTGACGTTAGATCCATACTCGTTGAAAACAAAATAAACGCAAAGTCTGAGCGGCCAACTGTTGCCATTTATTCTCAATTTCAAATCTTTACTCCTCCACACGTCTACAGCGGATCAACGCCTTCTTCAGAAACATCAAGACCAAGCTCTCGGAGACGCGACACAAGCACACCAGACGGCTCTTTGGCGGCGTTGTACTGAAGACCCACCATGCCATGCTTGTGGGCGGCATCCGTGTTGCGCTTCTTGTCATCAATCAACACGGCGCTGTCCTTTGGGATTGGGCCGGCCGAGCCCGCGGCGACAGCATTCACGCGAGCAAGAAACACGTCCAGAATGCGATGGTCGGGTTTGGCAGCCGCAACGTCGCACGACACAACAACGAGCGATCGGTCGGGGAAGAGCGATGCAAGGCCGTACTTGACGAAAATGGCCTCAAACCAAGACTGGTTGTAGTTGCTCACAACGCCCAGAATGATTTCGGGGTAGCGTTTCCTCAACCGCTCGACGATTGCGAACGTGCCCCAGAATGCGGTCTGGAAGTTGACCAAGGCGATGTCGAAACGTTCCCAGTCGCTGTATAGTTGAGAGAAAGCGGGGAGAAAGGGGGAGAGAGGGCCGAGTCAGGGATGGAGGCCAAAAACAACACAGCAACTCAGGTGCAAACTTGAAAGCTTTGCATCACATCCACATCGGCCGGTTTGAAACGCACCTGGGATCAAGCGTGGCGGCCTGAAGGACATCTAGCATAGAAATCACACAACAGTTGATCACATGAGTGCGGGAGCCAGAACACGACAACTGCCCCAAACTTTTCCACAAGTAAACTCACTCGCCCAGAACAGTTGCGTCGGGTACGTTGAGTCAAGCTTGAACTTGTCCCACTCTGCATCGATAGCTGCCTTCACAGCGGGGACCTTGTCTTGGTGGACGTGCTGATTTCACGACAAGAGTTGAGCGACACGGCGAAAAGGGTTGCCCTGTCCTGACCAGCGTTTCGGTCACACCCAACCTACCTCAAAAAGCATCGTGTAGTTGCAGTCTGCCGCAAGAATACCACCACAGTCAAAGGCAATCGCACGGAGCGGGCGAATCGCGCGACGCATGTGCCGATGTTCAAGCCCGACTTCGTGGAATGGCTCGCCGACGCAGGAATAGCCGCATCGCTCGTAGAACGGCACAGCATGGGCACGCGCATGCAACGTCAGTGTGAAAAATCCGTCCTCGGCCAAGCGTGTTTCCAATGCCTGCACGAGTTTCATTCCGAGTCCGGTTCCCTGGTTTTCAAGTTCAACCCATTTCAAATCATCATTAGTTTGCCAACATTGACCATTCACTTTGTGGTGTTTTTTGTAATACCTGACGATGCTTGGCCACAGCCATTTGGAACAGTCGCCCGGTTCGCCGACGCAGCGGTTCCGGGTGGAACAAGACGCATCCGACAACCGTTTCCTAAAACACAAAAGTCAAGCTCAGTATAGTTATTACCAACGTCCTCCAACAAAATCCCCTCAAATGGTCCATATGAGATTGTTAAACCATGATGATGGACAAGTCCTATGAGCTCATAGCTGGATGATGGCACGAATGCGTTGTGGTTTGTACCTTGCTCTCCACGAGCTCGACGGCGACCAGGTGGTAGCTCGCTGCGTCCATGTGCTCAAAGCTGTACTTTGCGAGCCCGACTGTGCTGAGCAGGACGTCAAAGCGCAGTTGTCGTTCGCCTTCGTACAGCGGGTGGACCGTGTCAATGAACTGGAAGCTGGTCATCGAGAACCGAACGAGGTATCAAATTGTAATGGAAAGACTGCGCCGACAGTAAAAGGAACAGTATCCGAAATTCATGCCTTTTAACGGTCTATTCCATTTTCCAATCAAAACGTTTGAGCGGTTTTCGCTATGCATCCAGTTTTTCTTCCCATGTTCTCAGACTTTAGCCAAGATTGTCCATTCAATGCCGACTCTCAGATTTCCATTCTCAGATTTCCATTCTCAGTCACTCTTTTCTTCTTTCCACAGATGCGCAATCTTGTGCTCGCGTCGCAGCGGTGCCATCCGCCAAAGCTCGACCTGAGCAATGTAGCGCTGATTGCGACGGATCCCGACACGGACACGATCTTTGGCGCGAGTCCTGACGGCTGGGTCTTTGCGTGGAATGGCGCCAAAGGCGATGTAAGGCCTCCCCGCATTGTTACATCCACCCCCCGATCATGTCATATCATATCATATCATGCCATAGGAACTAACTCATCATGAATCACGAATCATGAATCAATGCGTAATGCTAAACTCTCTCTCTCTCTCTCTCTGTCTCTGCTGATGTCGTTCTCAGTGGATGGCCGAGGCCCACATTGACTGGTTCTACCCGCCCGCAGGCACCACCCCCGACCCCCAGCGCACCCCAGTAGACCTCGACCGTGGCGCTGTTGCTGCTGCGGGTGCTGCGGGCGGGGCGCCGGTCTGCTTGACGTACCTGCCCGACGCTGGCCTGCTCTTCCTCGCGCTGGCGTCCGGCAGCATCTACACGTGCAACCCGGAGATGCAGGTCTGGGACGCGGTGGGCGCCGTGGACGACGGGCTGCTGGGTGCATGCTGGAGCCCCGACCACGAGCTGCTCGTGCTGACGACGGGCGCCAGCAAGGTCATCCTCATGACGCGCGAGTACGACGTGGTTGCCGAATCGCCCATCCTCACCGACGACTTTGGCGAGGCAAAGCCCGTCGCCGTCGGCTGGGGCTCGACAGACACGCAGTTTGGTGGCACGGCGGGCAAGGCGGCCGTCCGGAAGGTCACGGAGGCAGCGCAAAAGGCCGCCATCGACGCCGTGACGGGATCTGACAAGGACGTGACGGCATTCACCGACGATGCGTTGGCGCGCGTATCCTGGCGCGCAGACGGCCAGTTCTTTGTGGTGAGCATCAAGGCGCCTGCTGCAAGCCACAAGCGCATTCTGCGAGTCTACAACCGCGCAGGCGTCTTGCAGTCGACCAGCGAAGAGGTCGCCGGGTTGGAACATGCAGTCAGCTGGCGACCGTCGGGAAACCTCATTGCGTCATCGCAGCGCTTGCCCCACCGCCACGACATTGTGTTCTTTGAGCGAAATGGCCTGCGACACGGCGAGTTCACGCTGCCGTTCGGGCGCGATCAGGTCGTGGTTCGCGAGCTCGCGTGGAATGCCGACTCGTCCGTGCTCGCCGTCTGGTTGGAGGCAACGCCCATTGTGCTGGCGCGTCTTGTCAAGACCGCCAGCAGCGTTTCGAACACGGCATCAGCATCAAAGTCGGCGGCAGCGGTCGGCGCCGCGGCGTCTCAGAACAAGCAGCGCGACGCGCCATTGTCGTGCCTGCAGCTGTGGACGGTCGGCAACTACCACTGGTATTTGAAGCAAGAGTACACGTTTGGTGCCGAGTCGAACGGCCCGGATACGCGCTCTGGCTACATTTCCAGCGTTGTTTGGGACACGGAGGATCCTCTGACCGTGCACGTCATGTGCGACGATGGCCAGTACCTGCGGATGTCGCACGTCACCGATATCGCCATCAGCGTTGGTCCACGTCACGTGGCAGCCAGCAGCGCCTCTCCTACCGCCGCCAAACACATGTCGACGGTCGCGGTCTGCGATGGCAGCGACTTGCTGTTGTCGCACTTTCAAAAGATGATTGTCCCGCCTCCCATGTCCTCGAGCAAGCTGCCGCTGTCGACCTGTGCTCGCGCAGTGTCCTTTGCACCGGATGGATCGGGCCGAATTGCCGTGCTGCGTGGTGACGGAACTGTGGCGCTGTTCCACGCCTCGAGCCCGACTGCGCTGGCCGCCGCTCCCACTTTGGCCGGCGAGCTTGCAGTGCACGACATCAAGAAGCACGCAAGCGAGCTTGGCATGCATGCTCCGGTGCGATTGCTGACATGGTGGCAAGCCGACCTGCTGGTCTTTGTTCGTGCGGGCACCAACCCCATTGCAGAGACACTTGTTGCTGTCAAGTTTGATCCGACCACGTACACCATCTCTAGCGTGCACGAGCTGACCTTGCCGGCCGCTCAAGTCATTGTCAGACTTGCTGTTGACCCGACAAGCGGTCGATTGTTCGTTGCTTCGGACAATGGGCATTACGAGGAGGTCACCTACTCGGTCGACTCGGGCCTTCAGGTCACGACCTTGCCTTTCAGGAGTCCGACTTGCCATTGGGTTGCCCCGACCACGGTCGGGCCGGACAATACACTGTTGGTCATCTCCCAAAGCAAGAGCATGGGTCTTTTCGTGAACGGTTTCAAGCTTGCCGCCAGCTGCAACTCGTTCGCGCTGCATGAGGAATTTGTCGTGTTTGCCTGCAGCGACCACGCGTGCCGCTTTGTGGCTCTGTCCGATCTTGCGCGTATTGTGACGAGCGGTGCTCCTGCAGTGGACATTTCGGCACGACTGGCCGCGTTGGTGCATGCTGCCACAGCGGCATCCAGCGGCGATCACTCCGTCCGTCGTGTTGAGCGCGGTTCGAAGATTGTTGCTGTGATTGCCAATGACATGCGGGTTGTCTTCCAGATGCCCCGCGGCAACCTCGAGACTGTCGCTCCTCGCATGCTAGCGCTGTCGACGCTTCGTCAATATCTCGACCAACATCGGTAAGGTTTTGGGTCGTGTGAGCGAAGTGTGGGACCAGTTCCCGTCATACATTTGTTTGTGTTTTTCGTTTTTATTTGTCGACTAACTTTTCCCCCATTCCTTTTGATTTTCTAGCTACCGCGATGCGCTGGAAATGATGCGAAAGCACCGCATTGACATGAACTTTGCCTACGACCACAACCCCAGCGAATTTATGGCGTCTATCGACGAGTTTGTGCGCCAAGTCAACCACACCACCATGATCAACCTCTTCTTGACCGAGCTGCGTGACGAAGATACGGTGATTTCCATGTACAACACGAGCGCGACCACCGCGGCCGCCGCTGCTGTCCAGCAAGCTGACGCTGCGGCGCAAGTGTCCGAGTACGAGCAACAGCAAATGCGTCTCCGTTCTGCTGCCGTTCCAGGCAAGACAAACAAGATTTGCGACGCAGTCCACGCCGCGCTGAAGCGTCTCGATCCCGACAAGTTCTTGCTGTCCTGCTTTACGGCCCTCGCGCGCAAGTCGCCGCCGCAGCTCGAAACCATTCTTGAGACAATCAAGACGATGTGTGCTTCCGAAGCGGCCAAGTCGACGGTGCAGCCGTCCACCCCGAAAACGAGCTCTGCCGCCGAGGCGCTGGCGTTTGTGATTTTCCTTGCCGACGTCAACCTGTTATTTGATGTCGCTCTTGGCATGTACGACTTTGAGCTGACGATCGTGATTGCAGAGCAGTCGCAAAAGGTAACGTGATTGTCTGACTTGGTTCCTTGTCGTTTTTTTTTTTAACTTGTCGTTTTGTTGCTTGACTCTAATCCTGCTCTTTTCTCCTCCTCTCGATTCCTTCCCATTTCCTCTCTCGGACTTGACGTGAACAGGATCCCAAGGAATACCTTCCATTCATCCATTCTTTGCAAGCACTCGACACCCATATGCAACGCTTCACCATTGATCGCCACCTCAAGCGCTTTGACAAGGCCGTGCAGAGCCTCGTCCGCGCGAGCGCAGAGCCAGCCGTTTCAGTTGAAGAGCGCACCAAGCGCGCGTCCGAGGTCATGCCGTTCGTTCGCAAGCATGCCTTGTACCGCACGTGCCTGGCCATTTTCGATTTGGGGGATGCGACGCACAGCACTTCGGCACTCAGCGCCCGTATTGGCGAGTACTCTCGACGCCAATGGCTGTATGCAGCACTTGATGCGTATGCGGACTACCTGCAGACGCAAGATCAGCACGAGGAGGCAGGCCTGTTGTTCACCCGTGCAACGCGACACTCCAAGGCAGCGCATGCCTTCCGCAAGTGCCGAAATTGGCGCCGGCTGTTTGTTGCGTTGGATCGGGTCAATCAGCAGCGTCAGGCTTCTGTCGAGGGCTCGCCGTTTGTGACCGAGTTTGGTGCTGATCGCGAACTGATGCTGTTCGACCCCACCGAGCGCGATTTGCTGGAGCTTGACGATGAGCATTGGACTGCTCACTACGAGACGGTCGCCGTCGACATGGCCCGTTCCCTGACGGAGCGAGCTCTGCCGCGCGAGGCAGTCCAGGTTCTGCTCTACCACACGCCCGGTGTCAATCGCGTTGAAGACGCCATCCAAATCCTGATTCGTGCACAGCTGTGGGAGGACGCGACGCTTGCCTGCTACCAATGGAAACGCCAAGATCTCATCGAAACCAACCTCGAACCGCACGTCGAAGAGATGCATGACTTGCACTCGACGACCATCGCCACGTTGAAGGAGGACATCGCCAAGCACACGAGCCGTCTTCTGATTGTGCGCGAGCAAAAGCGAGCTGCCGCGGCCGCGAATGTTTCTGGTATGTCTGCATGTCGTTGGCTTTGGTCCTGCGGTTTCTGAAGAATGCTCATCATCGCGGCCTGTTTTTGTGCTGTGTCGCTTGTTTGTGCGACACCCAAGATCTTGGAATGGACGGAGAAGGTGTGGCAGACGATTCAGACTTGTATTCGGACACCACGAGTGTTGCGTCGATGGCGACGAGCCGCAGCGGTCGTTCCGCCAGCTCGCGCACGAGCATGACGTCCACTCGGTACGTTGTTTGGTGCAGACCCGTTGTTGCATTGTTGTTCGCATGTCTTCTTCTTACTTTAGTTTCCTTTTGTGCATTTGCTCGAGTGCAGCCAAACGGGCAAAAAGTCTCAAAAGGCCCACAACAAGAAGCTTCGACTGCGCGAGGGCTCGCTTCACGAAGAGGAGGCCTTGATGGAGGCACTCCGCGAAGCCATTGCACGTGGCGATGCCATGCAAGGTATGTTTGAAGGATTGCGAGTCGAGGTTTGATCCGATTTTGATTGACAATTTCTGGGGTTTTTTGCTTTGACCACTCGAAACTGCCAGAGGAAATCCGCGATCTTTTGCGGATTCTCGTGTCCCTTGGACGCCAGGCAGCGGCAAGCAAGCTGCAAGAATCATACTCGGCACTGTTGAGCATCATGCGCACAAATCATCCCATCATTTGGCCAGCGGCGGCGTTGTCGGCTCAGACCGCTCCGACAGGGCCTGCCTTGAGCACTGCCCAAATGATCTCCCTGCTCACGCAACAAGCAACGCTCGCGGCGTCTTCCAGCGCCTCCTCGTCCACTGCTGCCGGTAATTATTTTCGCAGGTGTCGCGTTTGGAAGTGTTTGGAAGGAAAGCTGCTGCAGACTCACTCTGATTTTCCTCATTCAGGTCCATCCGCTTCTTCGTCAATGGTAGCAGCTCCGGTCCTACGCACGCTTTCGTGGCAAATGTCCTTGTTCTAAATTCCCAATTTTACATCAATACAGATCTTTAGTGTCGCGTTTTTACCACTTGAAAAATCACTTCAATTTTTTTTTGTTTGTTTTTTTGTTTGTTTTTCGTTTTTCGCGTCTTTGCGCACCTTTTTCCAACTGATCAGGTTTTTGAACTTGGGACGCCGCGTCCTCCCACTCGAGCAGAATGAGTCATCTGGATGCGCATGCGGATGGCTTGGCACGCCACTCTGCACAGAACGAGCGCGACAACGTTCGTAAAACCCGTTCAATTGGAATGGCTGAAATTGCAACTTTAACGCTCGCCGAACCGACCCATCAAAAGTTTCGCCGCCGACATCACCGTCAAGCGTCATCATCTTCACTGCGGCCGGTGTTGTCAGCAATATCGCTGCTGCTTGTTGCACTGCTGTTGCTTTCAGGCAATGTGCGCGCACCTTCAACCCTGCCCGTAGGAGGAGGAGGAGGTTTCCTACAGTCAGCTCCATTTGGTGGTGTCGACGCGCTGCCGTCCAATAATCGCCACTCTGACGATGCAGATGCCGATGCGCTCGAGCCGCCGTTCCATCTCGAAGATGAGCCGCTAGTCGTCCAGCAAGTTCGCTCGGGCGGTGGCATGGAGGGTGCTCTGGGCAGTGCACACGAGCTCAATGAACAGGACGGCGAAGCAAGAAAGAACGACGCGTTTCAACGCAGTCAAGGTCAAGCCGCCGCGATGCATCGCCGCCCTCGCGAACTTGCCGAGGACGATAATCTTACAGGTCAGTTCATTTGATTGATGGGAGTTAGAGCAAAAAAAAACAGTGAAAAGGAGGAAAGGCGAGACGGACGACGATGCAAGCGTCGCCACTCTCTCTCCCGCTCAAAAGGCTCAGGCTGAACGACTTGCAACTCATCACTCAGAACGCAACCCCATGTGGTGACGCGCTTTCTTTTTGTTGTGCTTGTCCTCTGATAGAGCAAGCGGACGGCGATTCCGCGGCTTCCATCTCACCCAACAATTCAAAAGTTTTCATGGAGCAGGCTTCAGCAAGCCCGACCGCTCCGACAGGGACAACCATTCGTCTCGTCTGGTACGACCATCGGGGATGCAAGGCGTTGCAGACTGTGACCTCTCTCTATCCAGAGCAGAACGTTCACGTTGAGGTCGCGTGCCTTCCCGCGGAGGAATACAATCAGATTCCTCTCACGCCCGACGGCGCAAAGGCCTACAGTATGGATCTGGTGACCTTCTCCCCTTACTTGCTCGGCGAGGCCGTGTCGACCGGCATGCTGTTGCAGTTTCCAGATGGGGTGCTCGACACGACGAGCACCAGCTTTTTCGCTGAGAATCTTGCCTTGCACGGCGAGTTTCCGCCAAACTCCAACCGCTTTTATGGCGTTCCGTTGGAAGGAGATGTGCCGCTGCTGGCCTATCGCAATGACATTTTGCAGCTCGCGGCCATCACCAACCCAGAGCTGTTCGGCTCGGCCGGTCTCCGTGCGCCGCAGTCCCTCTCGGATCTCATCCAGTTCTCGCGATTCTTTTACAACAGCTCGTTTGTGCCATATGGCTTTGCTGCTTCGTGGTGTGGCACCGAGACCTATCTAACCAAGGCCTGTCGCGGTCAGACGACGCTCGTCGCGACAAACTTTATCTGGGGTGCCGACGGCTTGCTGTTCAACGAAACCACGTTCCGCGCGTTCGTGAGTGAGCCCTACAACAGCAATGCCAACATTGGTCTTGCCGTCGTGAACGCGCTCTACCAAACGTCGGCCAAGGACATGACTGGCGGCGAATCGGAGGCCATCAAACTGTTCTGCACGGGTCAGGCAGCCTTCCTCATGGTCTGGACGAGTGTGGTGAATGAGCAGCTGGGTGATCTTTGTCGGGGATTCTTTGACACTCCACCCCCGTACCCGACGCTTTCGAGCAACAATCTCATCATTTGGGACCCAAAGGACAGCGTGCTGAAGCGCCGCCAGGTCGACGCAATTGACGACAACGACGACGCGTTTGACGACAACGCTGACGAGATGGACAACTCCCAGGCCCACTTTAGAAAGTCGAAACTGCCAGTTCATCGTCGTGCGCCTGGCGACCCATTCACCGTGTCATACCAAGTGCTCCCGCTCACCCAACGGCGCGCTGGTGTGGGCAGCCACCAGGCAGGCGGATGGAGCCTGGGGATTGCATCGACCACTCCCAATCTGGAAGCGGCAGCACGCGTGTTGGACTGGATTTTCGAAATCGACCAACAAGTGCAGCTGGAAAGCCTGGGCATGCTTCCGACGCAGCGCTCGCTGGTGTTGGATCGCTACTTTCTCGAGCAGCTTGCCCCATCGTTTGGCCTGGCGTACGCGCTGAGCTTCCCCTCGGCCACCTCGATTTTGTCCACAGAGGTCACCCGACAGGTCACCCGGCTTTCCGACTTGTACTTTTCCCAGGCCATCTTTGGCACGCTTGACATTCGATCTGCCATGACCGTGTACCGCACGCGAGCAGACGCCATCCTGGTCGACGCCTATCCCTGCGGGCCCGAGTGTCCGCCCGTGCCTTCCTCGCACTTGTCTGCGGGAGAATACGTTGCCATCATTGTGCCGGCCGCCGTGGTGATGATCATCCTCCTTGTGGTGTGTTTGTACCGCAGGGCCGAGAAACGCATCAACGCGATGGAAAAGAAGCAGTATCAGATCGACTACAATGAGCTGGAGAACATTGAGGATCCGAGCTGCGAGCTTCACACCACTGCGTTTTACAGCGCCAACCAGCAGCCCGTGTTTATCAGTCGCGTGGACCCTGTCAAAGTGGCGCCGCTCTTGGCCAGCGCCGGCATCATCACGCGAGCGCGCATGTCCAAGTCGGCTGCGAGCGGCGGTCTTGATGTTGAAGCTGCAGGTGGATCTCCTGATGCGGATGGTGGCCCTGATGGAGCGGCCGTCGCGCCCAGGCGAACATCATGGCAGCAGTCGGTTCGTGACACGACCAACAACTGCATCAGCATCCTGCCTGGTTTAATCTCCGCGCACCGCACTTGGCGCATCTCTCGCGAGTCTAGTCAGGCGCTCAAGCGCTTGCGGTCACTCAAGCACCCGAACGTGGTCGAATTTCTCGGAATCACCGTTGCGCCACAGTGCTTTGCCGTGTACGAGTTTATGGTGAAGGGCTCTCTTCTCACCGTGATTGAGCGCGACGGTCTGCCCCACGACATGGACTTTAAGTGCTCGATGGCAGCGGATATTGCGCGCGGAATGCTGTACTTGCATTCGCACGGCGTTCTCCACAAGCACTTGCGCTTGACTAAAATTCTCCTGGACAACAGATTTGTCTGCAAAATCTCGGGCGCTTCCGAACAACACAACCTTTTGCAACAGCGCGAGTACAACCATCATCCCCACCATCACTCGGCAATCGAATCGTCGGCGATGGCTGCATTGGCGGCTGGAGCGCTGGGGACAGCCATTCCCCCAGACCAGCTCGCAAACTATCAGGCCACCACGACGCCCGGTCGACGCGCAAGCAGCATGTCGACATCGTCGAACAGCTCGGCACTCAGTGCGTTACGGGTGCGCGCGTTGCTGGGTCAGGGTGGCGACGGCCTTGGCAACGATCGTGCAGAGCATCCGGTCGACCAAAGGATTGCTGATGGCCGCCAAGAGCTCTTGACCGAAACGTCGACATCTGCCAAGCCATGGTACCAACAGCGGACAACCAGCTGGCCCGCCTTGTTTGCCAACAAAGCAAAGGGCGCATTCCGACGACCGTCTGCATCCACACAATCGGCCGAGTCGCAAACACCAACGAGCTCGAGAAAAGGGAGCGCAATTGACGCGGCAGCCGCACCCCAGCAGCAGCAGCAGCAGCAGCAGCAGCAGCAGCAGTCACAAATGCGACAAGCGAACAACACGGCGCGTGTTGCGTTGGCTCCTGCGTTGTCAACGATTGAAGAGCCTTCCGTTGACGATGCCGTTGTGTTGGCGTCGACCGGCAATACCAACAACCAACAGAGCGCCGCTGGCAGGACGGCAACCCAGAATTCTGCAGTAGTCTTTGTGCCAGCAGCAGGCGAGGAAATGTCGCAGCTTCCGCGAACAACCGACAACAGCGCTGCGCAACAGCCGCGCCGACACTGGCTGCATCATCGCGCCAACGGAACAGCTTCCGACGACGACGAAGATGAAGACGCATACGACGGTGTGGAACGCAACGAATTATCGAGCATTGACGAGTCGATGGAGAGCGTGACGGATGAAGATCGCGCTGCCGAGTACTCCATTGCACAGGATCAGCTCCGCTCCTTGGCCCAAGTTCGTGACATTATGAACGCGCGTGGGCGTCGCAAGTCTGCCATCGACATCACCCTTCCTCCAATCCTTCGAAGCGCCTCGTCCAAGCGATCCAGCGAAAGTACTCGAAGCTCGCAGCAGTCCCAGCATGCGGCCGTGCTCGTGCCATCGAATGTCATCGTTGAGATGCCTCATCCCTTGGATGCCCAGGCCAAGGAAAGCACGTCGAGCCACGCACACTCGCGCAGAGAATCGTACCAATCGCACTTGGCACCGCTTGTCATTCCACATGACGACAACCACTCTGAAGCACGGGCGAATTCCAAGCTCGTTGAACCGACAGACGAGCAGAAACAAGACGAACAGACGGATCATTTGGAAGGTCAAGACCAGCCACTTGAGCCAGTAGTCAGCGGCATTTCGCTCGCCAGTGCATCGCCCGGATCAACTTCACCCACCCGAGCGCCCTTGGCGTCCCGCCGAGTCACGATAACGCACGCCATCAACACCAATGTCAATCCGGAACACTTGCTGTGGATGGCTCCCGAAGTTCTCCAGGAGAAGATTCTGGCGCATTCTCGCGTCGACGAAAAGCTGTACATGACCGAGAAGGCGGATGTGTACAGTTTTGGCCTCATCATCTACTGTCTGTTTATGGATATTACGCATCCGTTTGACCTGGAGCTGCAACCGGAGGCCATTTTCGATGCCATTGTCAAGCGACAAGTTCGCCCTGAACTGGACGACACTCTCGAACTCACGGACGTCGAGATGCAAGTCGTCCAACTGATCCAGCAGTGTTGGCAGCCCCACGCTCTCTTCCGACCAAACTTTCGAACTCTTCTCGAGTCATTTGAAAAGCTCTACCCCGCCGAGAATAAGGGCTTTGAAAAGATGGCGTTTATGGTAAGGCGGCAAGGAGGGGGAGAGTGTTGACGTGTGTGTGAGTGAGTGTGTGTGTGTGTGTGTGTGTGTGTGTGTGTGTGTGTGTGTATGTGTGTGTGTGTGTGTGTGTGTGTGTGTGTGTGTGTGTGTGTGTGTGTGTGTGTGTGTGTGTGTGTGTGTGTGTGTGTGTGTGTGTGTGTGTGTGTGTGTGTGTGTGTGTGTGTGTGTGTGTGTGTGTGTGTGTGTGTGTGTGTGTGTGTGTGTGTGTGTGTGTGTGTGTGTGTGTGTGTGTGTGTGTGTGTGTGTGTGTGTGTGTGTGTGTGTGTGTGTGTTTTCAAACCAATGGCATCTTCTCACTTCCTGGCTCGTCTTCAACATGACAGCTCGAAAAGTACTCCACCCATCTGGAAGAGATTGTGGACAGTCGGTCCACACAGCTCAAGGAAGAAAAGCTGCGTGCTGAAACGTTGCTGACCAACATGCTGCCAGTGACCATTGCCAATCGTCTCCGCAGCGGTGCTGGCTTTATCGCTGACGAGTTTCCGACCTGCACAGTGTTCTTTTCGGATATTCAAGGTTTCACGGCCATGGCGCATCAAGCCTCTCCGAACGAAATTGTTCGCATGCTCAACAAGCTGTTTACTCGCATGGACCGCTTGGCGGGCAAGTACGAGCTTGAAAAGATCAAGACGATTGGCGACGCATGTGAGTAGTGATCTTTTTGGTTTGTTTTGCTTGACAGGGGAGGGGAAGGGTTTCCTTCTTTGTACTCACCCTTTTGCTGTGCGCGGCGCGCTATGGTGGCTTCAGATATGGCGGCGTGTGGTGTTCCAACGTACATTGAGAATCACGCCGAAAAAGTAGTGCAGTTTGCAATGCATGTTCTTCGCAACAACACTTGCGACATTCACAACCAGCCGATCAGAATGCGCATCGGAATTCACACTGGGCCACTTATTGCGGGAGTTGTCGGCACGCGCAAGTTCACCTGTAAGGCCGTTGAGATATATGCGTCACCTTAGTTGGATGCATGCTAATGCTTTGGAACTGACTTTTTGTTTTGCTGACCCAACACCTGGCAACCAGATGACTTGTGGGGCGATACGGTAGGCTAAAAGAAGTTGTTGGTGGTGGTGGTGGTTGCGATGTGTCCTTTTTGTGCTCGCGACTCACTGCTCGTTGGAATTGCTCTTGTACGGCATTCATTCAAATGATTAGGTCAACACAGCCAGTCGCATGGAGAGCAATGGCGTGGCAGGTCGCATTTGTGTCTCCCAGGCGGTATACGACGCTCTGCAACACAAGTACATCTTTGAAGCCCAGGAACCACGGGATATCAAAGGCTTGGGCATGACGGTGACGTATCTGCTGGTTGCCCCTCGCGCACCCGTGGAAGCTCCTCTCATGGAGATGGATGGAGCCGACTTTGACAACACGGTGGAGCCGATTGCTTCTAGTGTGGGTGCTGAGGCGATGGAAGCGCGGGACACAAGTCTTGACAGTGCTCTCGGCGAGCAGCAGCAGCAACAACAGCAACCGCTGCCGCAGCAACCGCAGCCGAAACGCCTTCAATCGCCCAAGACCGCGTCTGCGCTGATGGAACCCGAGGGCAGTCCCGGCAGCAGTCAGCCGGATACCACTCTCTCCAAAACCGGCTCTGCAATGGGGTCCAAACTCTCGCAGAGCGGGACAGCGCCTGCTCAGCCTCAAACGGCTGGGTTGTTCTCAATGCTCGCCTTCCCGGACAGCTTTGAGGAAACGGCGTCTGCTGGCTCGACCACCAGTTCCAAGCCGTTTCAAGAAGAAAAGGTGCTGCCCGTCACCGCCGCCTGGGCTCACCAGGATTTGTGCGAGCCGGACAGTGTTCGCTATCGGCGAGGGTCCATGTCTGCACCACGGTTGGCCGCCGCTGAGGCACCCCCGCAAGGCATTCGTCGCGCGAATACTGAAGTGGGCTTGGTCAAGCCTACAGGCAACCTTTCGCGGTCGGCGTCAGTGTCCTCCACCGAAAGTGAATCGGAAATGAACAACCAGCACCTGCACGCCCTTGCGCGGGGCCCCATCGACGACCCGGCATTCATGGCGCCGTTTTCCCAGTATGTTCCATCCTCGGCGGCCCAAGTGCACACCAACAAGCTGTCCAGTTTGGCAGGAAGCGTAGCCATGTCCAGCATGGTCGGCGGCATGTCGGGACTGGGATCGGCAGGACCAGCTGGCACGGCCAGCTCGATGGCGGCGGCTGGAGGCCTGGCAGCAGCGGCTCGCCGCAAGCAACTGGAGCGACAGCAGTCCACCACGTTTCCATCATCGCACATGCCCTTTTCGCCATCCGTCTCGTCGCTGCACACTGTGGCAGAGTCTCCCAACTCGAGTCGTCGTGAGGGTGGCACAACTAGCAGCAGTTCTGGCAGCTTTATTCCCAATCCGTACGGACTCGCAGTGGCTGCTAATCAGGCCTCTACTCCTACTACGACAACTACAAGGAGCGCTGGGGGCAGCGCCGAGAAGCCGCTTGCAAGTCTTGCCAGCTTGTCGCGCCCGAGCCGTTCGACGCTCGGGAGAAAGGTATCGCTTGCTCCATCCTTCCGATTCAGCGAGTCGGAGACTTTGCCGTCGCCTGCTGAATCGTGGCTGAGCAACGAGACGTTCGACAAGTTTGTGCGATCCAAGGGCCACACGAATGATGAAGCGCTCAAACGGTGGCCGGGCGGACGCCGCGTTCCTTCCGACGGCGAGAACAGCAGCAAGAGCCCAACTTCGGGCCTGTCCGACGAAGCGCTGCCAATGCTCAAGTCCAGCGATTCGGACAAGTCGGCTGGCTTGTCCAAGTCTGGTTCGGCGTTTTCGGCCATGCCCCCGACCACAACAGCTGCTGCCGCTGCTGCTGCCGCCGCCGCCGCCGCTGGTGGCTCTGCTTCTGCTCTTACCGGCAGTCCCGCAGCTGCTTCCATTGCTTCGACAAACGCGCCGGTTTCATCCAGCGGACGGAGCTCGACGCCGACCAACTTGCGCGCCATGTCTCCAATTTTGGAAAACACGTCTTCCACGTTGCAATTACGCCCCGCTTCCATGGACGCAGAGGCGTCTGGCGAGCTCAATTCTAGCTCTCAGAGCGGATCATCACCTGGAGGCTCTCGCACCGCGCCCAAGTCGAGGCTGAGCGTGCGATTCGCATCCGAGCTCAACTCGTCCGCTCAGCAGCAGCAGCAGCAACAGCAACAGCCCACACCTCCGCCGTACGGGATTGTGCGCCAGTCCAAAGTGTATGGCAGCGGCGGTACTGGTCGACATGAAGAATAAGCCGCCACCTCGTCCATTGTCGATTCTTGTGTTTTGTTTGTTGCTTTCATTTTCATTTTCATTTTCTGCGTGTCATATGGCATATCCACCTTCAATGACAAATCATCCATCTGTCTCGGTGTCAACTTGAGCAAGCGGAAAGCAAACAGAGAGGGTCGAAAGGAAGAAGAGAAAAACTTTACACGAAAACAACAAAAAGGCACGCCTTTGAACATCCAACAACAACAACCGCCATCCACACAGCAAGCATCTGTGGCCGTCAGCACCGCACTATTGGCGAGGCATCAAAGACCAAGGAATCGAGCGGAGCGGCGCGCGAAAAAACGGCAAAGTAACAAGCGCAGTGTTCAGCTCGTTACGAGGACTTTCGGCCCTTGTTGAGGGACATTTGAGTGAGGCCGATCAGGACGACGGAAACGGTGACGGCAACGGCACCCATCGCGCCACGGTAGATGGCGAGGTCGTTCTTGCCGCGCAGGAAGATTGGCAGGTCGCGGACCTCAGGGCGCTGTTCAGAGCAAGCGAAGACCAAAGCACAAGTGTGAGTTTTCGGCTCGTCCCACTCTCCACCGCTTAGCCATCTCGTGCAGTGAATCATAAAGTGAAGCATCATGACACGGATTGCTCAATGATGAAAGGTGCCTCCTCAATGCAAAACTCATACAAATTTTGCTTCCAATGCAAACTCCATACAAATCAAAAAAAAAAAAAAAAACCTCGAAAAATCTTGTTCGTTCTTCTGATTCTGAATTGCAGACAACGGCCACTGCGGCCACCGTCCCCCCCTTCGACATTGGTTTGTTGCTGCTACAGTCGCCACTCACGACCCTCTCCCCGCCCCACCCCCAAAGACCGAGCCAAAGCTTCAACTTGCAGCCGAACAAAAAAAAAAAACAAAAAATTGAACTGTTTTTTTTTTTTTTTTTTTTTTTGTTTTTTTGTTTCTCCTTCCTTCCTTCCTTCCTTCCCTCTTCAGGGATGACGACAAGTCAACGATTCACGCAATTTGCTTGCTACAAACAAAGATTCAACGTCTCAGAGCGGCGAAAACGCGACTTTGACACACACAAAAACCCAGCCGCAGTGCGATGAAATCACAAAAAAAAAAAAAAAAAAAAAAAAAAAGCGCCAATCTTTCGATTTTTTTTTTTTTCCTTCTTCCTTTGTTTCCTTTCCTTCTGTTGTCTTCCGTCTGTGAGATTGACTGCAGCGTCGAGTTGAGAAAGCGCAAGAAACTCAAGAAAGGGGGCGACCGTTTGCAAGGAACGGCGAACGAAAAAAACAGCAGAAAAGGAGAAAGGCAATTGTAATGGTAATGCATTGTTACAGCAAAGAACGATTGCCAGGCGGCAACTTGGTTTGGCTTCTTGACAAACTGATCCATGAGTGGAGACAAAGGAAAAGGACTGAATATGAATCATGAACAGATAGACTACTCAAACAACATTTCAGCAACTTTGTTGGTTGTTCAATCCATCCTCATCAACAAAATCGCACTCATCCCCATTGTGTTCAACCCTCCAAAAAAAAAGCAGCAAGAAAAAAAAACCAAATCACTCTACTATTACTTGTTTTTGTGTGATTCTTGAAGAATGGGCAAACCGGGCAAGGCGGGCGTCGGCATCTGGAAGCAGCACCAGGGACAGCCGGACTCGACCACCAGGGCGCTGTCCAACGCCAAGGCGGCGCGCGATCGCACGACTGCCGCTCAGCCCGCAACAAGCGACAGCAATGCGAGCTTGAACGGCGTTGCGAACGGCGGCGGCGTCGCTGGCAGCAGCAGCAGCAAGAAGCCAAAGCCAACCAAGTACGGCAACGACGCGCTCAACGCAGCGATCGACGCCATTGCCACAGCACCCAAGAAGCCCCCGCAGACGCAGCAGCCGAATGCTCAGGCTGCCAAGAAGCAGCAGGGCAACAAGGCCGCCGGATTGCAGCCAAAGCCAAAGCAAGCCGCCTCGGGTAAATGCGCGCACATGCGTTTTTCCACATGGCACATGAGCGCGAAGATCAAGAGCTCTGAACCAAGAGCTCTGAAAATCTTGGAAAAACTCAGAAAGATTCACAAGACTCAAAAATCTCAGAAAACTCAAAAAGCAAAAGATCAGAAAGCTAAACCAAAGTTTAACACTCATTTTCAATGCTGCTGCTCTGAAAATTCTGCTTTTGGTAGACAAGGAGGCAGTCCTGTTCCAGAATCGCCCAGCGGCTGTGCCGCAGACAATGTTCACGGGATTCAACGAAAGCGATGTCGAGTCGAGCAGCTTGGACACGGCTCGCCGGTAACGAGTTTTTGCCATGTTGGTTGTTGTTTTTGTTGCCTGATTCGAATTGGTCCTCTTCCAACAACACCATCCTCGTCTTGTGCTCATCACAGGGTTCTTGAAAGCTTGCTCAAGCCAATCACCATGGAAGAATTCTTCAACTCGTTCTGGGAGTCCAAGCCGCTGGTCGTGCGTCGATCCCGACCCAACTACTACTCGGAGGTGTTTAGCACCGCCACAATGTTTGAGCTCTTCTCCAAGCATGACATCCACTTTACCAAGAATGTGGACGTGACCTTGTACGAGAACGACGAGCGCGTGACTGTTAGCCCGCCTGGCCGTGTGCTCCCGCCAATCGCTCAAAGCTTCCTCGATGACGGCTGTTCGCTGCGTCTGCTCAACCCCCACTCGTACGACGACCGCGTCTGGAGCTTGCTTGCTCGCTTGCAAGAGGCGTTCGGGGCGGGTGCAGGCGCCAACGTCTACTTGACCCCGTGCGAGAGCCAAGGCTTTGCGCCCCACTACGACGACATTGACGCGTTTGTGCTGCAGCTGGAGGGCACCAAAGAGTGGAAGCTGCATCGTCCACGACCGGTCGATCCCGTCCTTCCCTTCATCTCGAGTCGCGATATTCCCGCCGATCAGCTTGAAGAGCCGTTCATTACTGTCCAGTTGAATCCTGGTGATTTGCTGTACATGCCTCGTGGCACCATCCACCAGGTGAGCTTAGGATGAGGGGAGTAGGGCGTGGTTCCATTCGTCGTATTGGTATGGGCACATCTCACTCGCTCGCTTTTTTCTTTTTTGTCCATGATGTTGTCAGGCACGCACTACTGATGGCAAGCCGTCGCTACACATTACCATTTCAACTTGTCAAAAGAACAGCTGGTTCCATCTTTTGGAGAAGGCCATGCCCGCCGTGCTCGAGCACGCATCGCGCTCTGGCACCATTGATATTCGGCAGGTAGGTGGCCGAAAATGTGTGTGTGCGTGCTCATCGACATCTTGCCAACCGTTCTTTCTCATCCCCCCTTTTCTGCAGTCCGTTCCTGCATCATTTTTGCACAATGGAGCATCGGCGCGTGCACAGCTCAGCGCTAGCATGACGGCCATCCACAACTCAGCGCTCACCACCGAGGTCGTTCGCGACGTCTTCTTACGCGAATATGTGATTGATTGCTTGGCACCTCGTCTGAGCGAGAAAGAGGTACATTGTTCGCATGCTTTCCTGCTTTGGCTCGACTGGTGTCCGATTCGTCCGTGTGGCTCACGCTTACACAATCTGTTGTCTCTTCTTCTTAGCTCGCTCTCACGAACGCCACCGTTCGATCCGATCACATCCAACTCAAGTCGCAAGTCAAATTCATTCGAGCTCACATCTCTGCTCTCTATCCCGATACCGAGAACGATGGCGACTTGCTCTATCACTCGGCTCAGAACGCCCGGTAAGGAACAAGCCACGCAGAGTTTTCGTTTTGCCCGTCTGCCCGAGTTTGACTCACTCCAGCTTTTCGGGCTTTTTTGACTTCTTGCTTCAACTTTCTACTGCTAGTCTGTACCGTGACGAGGAACCGCTTTCCTTGGTGCTGCCAGAAGGTGGTCGAGTTGTCGTTGCCGCCATAGAGAAGGCCTATCCCGCGTTTGTTCGCATCAACGCCCTTCCCTCCATCGGAACCGACGAAGAAGGCAATGACATGCGATTGGAAGTTGTGCGCGCCATGTTCAACCAAGGTGTTTTGTTTGCTCGCGTGTAGCCAGCATTCTATTTGTTGTTCGAAATAAGAAGCAACGACGACGACGAATTTCGGAGCTTTCTCGTCCGCTAATTCATCATCATTTTGAGATCTACTGTCGGTATATCCACATTGTACTTTAGATCGCCTCAGATTTAAAGTTGGAAGGCCTTCAGTCATTCCCCATCTCAATGCATTTCCTGCAATCGGTGACTGCTGCCGCGCTGCGCTTCCCCGCGCGCCCCGTTGGCGTGTCTGCAATGCTGTACCGTCGAATGGGCTCCACCGCGGCCTCAACCGCTGCGTCGATCGAACGTACGGTGATGCTAGCAACGAAAAATGAGTGGTTTTTTCATTTAAAATGCTCTTCCATACTGACTTGTTCACTAATTTCCACCCGACTCTCAACAAACTGGTACCTTTTTGCTTCCATACTCTCCATGAATCCAATTTCAATCCCCAATTTCTTCCGTCATTGTCTCTTTGGTCACGGTTTCGGCATGACGCAGCGTACTCGCCCGGTCGCTTGGCCAAGCAAGTCGCAGCGCGCCATCCGACCAAGCACACGCTGTTTGTGGCCAAGACGGTTGCCGAGATGCGCCAGGCACGGCACGAGCTGCGCCAGGTCCAGTTCCAGCAGCAGCAGCAGGAGGGCGGATCAAGCCCACCCGCCACCAGCCACACGACCGAGGTCGGGTTTGTCCCGACAATGGGATGTCTGCACCAAGGGCACCTGTCGCTGATGCGGCAGGCCAAGAAGGACTCGCGCGCGGTCGTCGCGTCCATCTTTGTCAATCCGTCCCAATTTGCCGCGAACGAGGACTTTGACAAGTATCCGCGGCAGGACAAGGACGACCTGGCAATGTGCGCAAAAGAAGGCGTTGACCTCGTCTTCCTGCCGGAAGTGGCGGAAATGTACCACGGCAGCACGGGCACCGATGCGTTCGGCAAGGTTGGCACGTTCGTCGAGGTTCGCGGCAAGTCCCAGCTGCTCGAAGGCTCGGTGCGGCCGCACTTCTTCCTGGGTGTCGCCACGGTTGTGAGCAAGCTCTTCAACATTGTTCAGCCAACAACGGCCTTCTTCGGGCAAAAGGACGTCCAGCAGTGCGTGATTCTCCGTCAGATGGTCCACGACCTCTTCATGCCGCTGAACATTCGCGTCTGCCCGACCGTTCGTGAGAAGGATGGTCTGGCCATGAGCAGTCGCAACGTGTATCTGTCCCCCGAAGAACGCGCCATTGCGCCAATCATGTACCGGGGCATGCAAGCCGCCCTCAACGAGCACTATTTGAAACGTGGCGAGCGCAGCGCCGCTGCTCTCCGCGAGGTCGTCCGCCAGGTGATTGCAACCGAGCCGAGTGTCACCATTCAGTACATTTCCATTGCCGATGGCAACTCTCTGCAGGAGGTGGACACGATTGACGACAAGAACGGCGCCATCCTTTCCGGCGCCATCAAGGTTGGCAAGACCCGTCTGATTGACAACATTTTGCTGGACTTTAAGATGTAATTACAGCTATCATTTTTTTCTGTTCTTTGGTTTCCATCGTTTGTTCAAAAAAGCAAATGCGACCGTTCGTTTGTTTTTGTTTGCGTTCCGTTTTGCGACAATCACCAAAGCGGCATGAATCAGAGGATAACTTGGGAGATAACTAACTGACTTGAAAATACAACTGAGAGACACGCAACAAAATCAGACAATGTTAAGAGTGCCGAGTGGTAGAATGTAAACTCAAAGCCGCTCCGCATTCTCGTGACGACAGCCTTCGCTTGGCATCGGTGGCAAGCATCATAGCCTTGCCGAATTGTTGTATCTGATACAAAGATTGAAGCAAATTGAGCAAACAGGTGGGTCATTCATCGGCAATTCGCTGCCTGCTCACCTTGACCATCGCCTCGACTTTGAGCTCTGCCACCCGAATCTTTTCCCAACCAACATGCAGCTTGCAATCGCCTCGCTTGAGCATGCAGCACGAGCCGTTTGTTTCGAGATGTCCACAGACATCCTTGTTTGTGTATTGCCGGATGATATTCTGTGCGGCGAACCCAAGGACGTATTTCGAGTCAGTCTATGGCTTTTGGCATGTCAAAACAAGCACAGATTCGTCCTCTACATCTCTCCGACATTTTGCCACACTATACCTTGCGTTTCATTTTGCGGTTGTGCTGTGTGCAAAATATCGCAAGATTGCGACAGTAGCTATCGACTGACTCTTGATAGTTGCAAAAGACGTCATTCTCCGCAGCGTCTCCTGCCACCCAGCCCATGGTTGGGACACGTTGTGAAACCTGGTTTGTACAAAGCATTCAGCGGAACGCACGGCAAAGCAAATGGCCATGAGAGAAGCCACCACAACAACAAAATCGTCCGCAAACTCTGAGACCCAAAGCACAAACAAAACCTTTGCAAAGCAGGACTCCAAGTGCTTCACAATCGACAGGCCAGTGAGGGACGAGCCACAGGAAAAGCAGTCAACCTCGCCGAGGTCGCCGGCACCATCAACACGACGCTTTTTGGTCGCGTGTTTGCCGTCGTCGTCATCGTCATCGCCGTCAGAAGCATCGTCGTCGTGGTCAGATCCGCCGTCCTCGCGCTCGCGCTTCACTGGCGTGCTTTCTGCAGGGGACTCTGGCTTGAGATTGGGTATCCGAGCGAGATGAAGCATGAGGTCGCGCATGGTTTGATTGATGGCGAGAACCTCTTGCTTTCGGAGCTCCATCGTCTCTTCCAGCTGCTGCAACACGCGCTCGTCGTCGTCGGTCGCCGCTGCGACGGCAAAAGTGACGTGAGACTGCTGGTTCCATTGAGCTTGCGTTGGCGGCAGCACTCGCCGGATTGCGCGAGCAGCCACGCTGATTCCGCACGCTGCTGTGCAATACTTTGATCCCACGCCAGCTGGCTGATCGCATCCGGCGTTCCTACACGACGCAAAGCTCTTTTAAAGTGCGAGTGCGAGCCAAGAAAGCCAGGTCAGCAATCGGGGCTCAAATGTCTCAAGGCAGCAATTGAAATGCAGAAACGTTTGGTGATAATTCTACAACGATTTCCAAATACATCCCTCGAGTAGCAATGTATTTGGCTTGTACTTGATTCGCCGTGCTGCGTTCTGAGCTGTTTGAGAGAAAATCAAGTATCCGATACGAAGTTGGTTTTGCGAACATTGCAAAGGCGTCATGCGGATCGATATACTCGACCGGCACTACTCTGATACTCTGATTCTCTGAGACTCTGATTTTCTGATTTTCTGAGACTCTGAGACTCTGATCTGAGTGCATTAGGATTGGTTACCTCGACAGAGCGGGCAGACGTAGCTCTCGACAATCCGCACCACTTCCTGCGATAGGTTGACACAGTCTGCGTGGCATCCGACGCTGCAGTTGTCGCAGGTGACTGTCGGACGGCCTTCGGTCGGGATTGCTGGCGACTGGCAGAGGCAGAAGCCATGGACGGCAGCTGAACCAGACCCCATCCCCGTCCCCGTCCCAGGCCCCGTCCCAGATCCAGACGCAGACAAGCTGGAGGACGGCATTGAGGCTGTGGCGGCGGCGGCGGTGGCAAAGGGGAAGTCGGAGAGCGAAGCGGACGAGGCCGGTGCCGGCGTTTGAGCGGAGGACGAGCTCCCACTCGCCGCAGCCGTGCTCGAAGCACTGGCAGTGGTCGCAGCGAGGGCATTGGCAGCCGCAGCAGCCAGGACGGCGGCAGTGGCGGCGGCGATGGCGTCCTCAGTGATTGCAGAGGACATTGACCAAACGAACAAGAGACAGAGAAAGAGACTGAGACAAGTTATCTCAGACTCGGACATTAATGGAAGCGACCATCGTAAATGTAGACGGAGGGTTGAGAGAGAAGGGAGGGGAAAAAAGTCTGTTTATTGCGAACGGAAATTTTGCTTCACAACTTGGAACGACGAGAGGCAAACTTGATCAGCGCTTCAGCACATTCGTCGGACGCCCAGCTGCAAGACAAGATGGCAGAAAGATTCGATACAAAGAGCAAGCAGAGATGGTCAGCTGCGAGATGAAAACCCCCACGCGAGAGCAACAACAGCGAGATACGTACCGTTGGCTAAGCAAATTGCATTCTCGCTCGTTTGTGTCGAGGTAAGCAGGGATCAGCTTCTCCCGGATGAGCTGTCGAGAGAGAGAGTGTGTGTGTAAGGTGGATTGAAAGATAGGCTCGTTTTGAGTTCAATGCGAGGCAATGCAAGGACGGACGAAATGACAAGCATCGAAACGGAGCGTGAACTGACCTTCTTGCAGTCCAGCAACGAGCCAGGCGGCTTGTCGGCCAACTTGGCAACACGCTCCTGGACCTTTTGCCGGAACTCTTCCGGAGAAAAGACAGCACTGAACAAGCCGGCTTGGAAGCACTCGTTCGCATTGAAGGTTCGTCCCAAAATCAGCACCTCGTTTGCGCGCGCCATGCCCATGATTGCTGGCGAGAATCAACGCCATGTTAGAGTTGGTGATAGCAGAGTCGTTTGAGCGCGTCCTTTTCTTACCTGGGAAGGTCATTGACGACACTGCCTCGGGCGATTGGCCAAGATCCGTGAATGGAGTGTAAATGGTCGCATCCGCACTGGCGTAGACAAAGTCCGCGTGAGGAATGATGGTTGCGCCGATGCCTGTCAGCGTGAAAGGGAGAGACAAGCGCGAGTCAGCGGTTGTTTCCACAGCCAGACACACAAAGCAATCCGTGCTTACCGACGGCTGGGCCGTTCAAAGCCAGCACAAGGATTTTCGGGAAGGTGATGAATCGAATGGCAAACTTGGAGAATCGGTTGCGAGAAGCGTCCAACATTGCTTGCGGGCCGTCTATCACATCACAAGCAAGCGACAAAAAATCAGTTCCAAACACATGCTCCGAGAGATTGAACAAGACGGAAAGCAAACGCAAGACACAAACCTGGGTTTTCGGCGGCTTCGGCGTACTGCTGATTCATGCTTGCGAGATCGTTTCCGCTGGAAAAGTACTTTCCGTTGCCCGACAGCACCTATGAATGATGCCAAGCAGCAGATGCAGATGAGCGCTTTCCTGGACAATCTCAGCAGAATTCTCTCCAAATCGGTTTCACAAAATACTGCACCACGATATTCACGCCATCCGTTTGCGCCGCATAATCCAGGGCGCGGACAATGTTGTCGTACAGCGGTCCATCAATCGCATTGTACTTCTACGCAATCACAATTCGAGTTGAACATACGAGTCGTTAGAATCACCAATTGTGCAAACAAATCACAGGTCGAAACTTGGATCCATCCGAAGTTCATCCACATATTCGTATCCATGATTCAAATACCCCCATTTTTCGCTTAGCTTCTCCCCAAACTCCAAGAGCCGGGTTGAAACACTGAAGATCAAACAAATCCCGTCGGAAGTCGGAAGAGCGGGATTTGAGCGGAGAGAGTGCGCCGGGTTTTGCCCAACGGACTGACCTTCGGGCGGTCGAGCGTCATCCACAGGACGCCGTGCTCTGCATCGAGCACCAGCTGGAGCGATGGGAAGGTCGGCGGCGGTGGAATCGGCATTGGAGAGGGCAGCAAGTTGGAAAAGTACCCAAAAAACAAAAAAGCTTGACTGAGCATCCAAATCCAGCCCAGATCGAGGTAGTTAGTTGAAGCGAGTGCAAAGTGGATGAGTGTGTTGGATGAATGGCAGCAGATTGGGCAGACCAGCGAAAAAGCCCAGACGAGTGGAGATTTGAGGTTTTTTTTGTGAGTCAGTGTTTCAAACCACGGCACTCGCATCGGGGTCGCTCCACCTACAAGGACAGTGCAGTCAGACATTGACCAACTTTGCTCCCTTTCAATTTAAGACCTCAGGCGGCAGCATGAGAGACTCGGCGCAGCTTTCTTCATCGTTTCAAAGCAATAAAGCCGCCACTCATCTCCACTCCAACTCCAGCCCCCCTCCACTTTTTTTGTTTTACTGATCTGAATAAACTCGCGATTTGCATCTCACAATTTCATCATTTTCACAGATCTCTCGCCATCTCAGAAAACCCTGCTCACTCTTCTTTAAACAAAAAAACCCCACTTGCAAAGAGAACGAACTCAAACGATGGCTACACCGATGGACGAAGGAGACGACTCGCTGTACCCGATTGCGGTGCTGATTGACGAGCTGAAGAACGACGACGTGCAGCTGCGTCTCAACTCCATCCGCCGCCTGTCGACGATCGGCCTTGCGCTTGGCGAGGAGCGAACGCGCGTCGAGCTCGTCCCTTTCCTCAACGGTCCGTTCTCTGTCTCTGTCTCTCTGTCTTTTTCTGTCTCTCTCTCTGTCCCTCCCCTCCCCTTCCGTTCGCTCTCCCCTTCTCGTTCGCTCTTTCATTCTCGTTCTCGTTCTCGTTCTCGTTCTTCTTCACTCGGTTTTCGGTTTCCTTTGAGTTTTGTTTGCTTTCATCGTTCAAAAAGCAGACTTTTTTATTATTTTTTATTATTTTTTTTTTATTTTTTGTTCTTTGCTGTTTCTCTCTTTGGCACAATGTGAGGCTGCTGCGGCTGAACGCCGTCCCTCTGTTTTGGTGGCTTGGCTGGCTTGAAGACAGAGTGCGCGGGAGAGTGGTGGCTGCGGTGGCGCTGCTGCTCCTGCGAACGCTGGGCCGAAGTGAAAAAAAAAAAAACGGAAATAAAAAAATGAAAAAAAAAATCGAATGCAAACAAATCGCTGGTTAGTGAGCGGTCGTCGTATCCGATGCCATATTTAAGCAGCTTTAGTGATACGGCGCTCTAATACCCACCTCTACCATTTTCTTGCTTGGTGGCTTTTTTTTTCTTTTTCTTTTTTTTTTGTTAGTCTTCCTCTCATCGCTCTCACTCTTGTCCAAAAGCTCATTCACTCACTTAACAACAAAAACTTGCGCTGTTTGTTTCCCTCTGACGCGCAGACTCGATCGACGACGAGGATGAAGTCCTGCAGGCTCTGGCTGAAGAGCTTGGCAACTTTGTCCCGCTGGTCGGCGGCCCCGAGCACGCTCACACACTCCTGGCACCCCTCGAGAGCCTCGCTGGCGTCGAAGAGACTGCCGTGCGCGAGAAGGTAAAAACAACCCACGTCGTGTCGTGTCTGACTCGCTGTCTGTCTCAGTTGGCTCATTCTTATTTTTTTTTTCTGTCTTCCTCTAGGCCGTTCTCTCGCTCCGCAAGATCGCCGAGAGCCTCGACGTTGCACAGCTGGACACGCACCTGGTGCCGCTCGTCCACCGCCTTGCCACGGGCGATTGGTTTACATCGCGCATCTCTGCCTGCGGCCTTTTCGCCGCTGCGTACAGGCTCAACAACGATGCCAAGAAGGCCGAGCTTCGTCAGAGCTTTGCGCAGCTGTGCATTGACGAGACCCCGATGGTTCGTCGCGCCGCTGCCGCCAAGTTTGGCGAGTTTGCCGGTGTCATCGAGCCCGCCTTTGTCAAGACCGAGCTCATGACTGCCTTCACTGCCCTTGCCCAAGACGAGCAGGTTTGTGTGCTTGTTTGCTTTTTCTTTTTGTCTGTGACGTGTGTGGAGGCATGAATTTCGTTGTGCTCATACGTTGTTGCCTATTTTTTTTCTTTGTTTTTTCTTTTGGTTGCACTACCTCCTCTTCCGTTCTCTTCTCTTCTCTTCTGTTCTCTTCTCTTCCTCTCAGGACTCGGTTCGCCTTCTCGCTGTCGAGGGCGGCGTCGCCATCGCTCGCTTGCTCACTCCTGCAGAGAATGAGACCTTGATCATGCCATCGGTTCGCGCCGCAGCCGTCGACAAGTCATGGCGTGTGCGCTACATGCTCGCTGACAAGCTCATCGATCTGCAGCGCGCCGTCGGCACTGAAATCACCAAGGCCGACCTGCTCAACTTCTTTGTGGCTCTGCTCAAGGACAACGAGGCCGAGGTCCGCACCATTGCCTCCCAAAAGATCCCCGATTTTGCCAACAACCTCGACGAGGACGTCCGCCTCAACGCTGTGCTCACCCTCATGATGCCGTGCGTCAAGGAGCTGTCCAACGACAACTCGCAGCACGTTCGCTCTGCTCTTGCCTCGGTGGTCATGCTTCTCGCTCCCATTCTCGGCCGAGACCACACCGTCGAGCACCTGCTCCCCGTCTTCCTGCAGCTCCTCAAGGACGAGTTCCCCGAAGTTCGCCTCAACATCATTTCCAAGCTCGACTGCGTCAACCGCGTCATTGGCATTGACATGCTGTCCCAGTCCCTCCTCCCTGCGATTGTGGATCTTGCAGAGGACCGACAGTGGCGTGTGCGTCTCGCCATCATCGAGTACATTCCTCTCCTCGCTTCCCAGCTTGTACGTTGTTGATCTTGCTTTGGGTTTGCATTGAGCCCTGCGGTGTTTGTGGGTTGAATTGTGTTGACTGACTTTTCTGTTTGTTTTGTTTCGTTTTGAGTAGGGCGTCGAGTTCTTTGATGAAAAGCTCAGCAACCTGTGCATGACATGGCTTGGTGACTGCGTTTTCAGCATCCGCGAGGCTGCCACCCTCAACATCAAGAAGCTTGTCGATACCTTCGGCCTCGACTGGGCCCGATCCAGCATCATTCCCAAGGTTTTGTCCATGTACCGACACCCTAACTACCTTTACCGCATGACCACTCTGTTTGCAGTGAATGTAAGCGGCGAGGCAGATGATGTGGTTGCTTATTTTCGGTGGGGGGGGCTATGTGTGACTAACTTGTTGTTTCTGCGCTCCTCTGCCAACCCCGCTCTAATAGCTCCTCATCGACGTTGTCGACGTCGACTCCCTCACCCACATGATTCTGCCTGTTGTTTTGCCGATGGCCAAGGACACCGTCCCCAACGTGCGCTTCAACGTTGCCAAGACCCTTGAGAAGATTGCCATGCGCATCTCCAAGGATGTTATCGAGACTCACATGAAGCCCGTCTTGCAAAGCTTGCAAGAAGATGGCGATGGTGATGTCAAGTACTTTGCCACGCACGCTCTTGAAGCTGGTATGTTGCAGAAGCACGAACGTCGGGTTTGACTTTTGACGAGGTACTGACGTTTTATTTTTGTCCTTTTCGTTTGCTTCTCAATGAACAGCTGGCGTGTAAAACCTCCAGTACCTACCCGTTGAGAAAATTTGGATTGCTGTTACAATCTTTTTCCCCCCTCCTCCTCCTCCTTCTCCTAGTGTGCATTTCACTGTCTTGTTTTCCTTCGCTGCTGACTGCCCCGTTGTCGTGTCGAGTTTTAAGTGTGTACCTTTGCTGCATAACTATGTTTCCAAACGACTATTGTTGATGTCGATCAAGCTTTTACTTGTGGTGTTGCGTTCGAATTGAAAACCTGCGGGCTTGTCGCAGCATCAAACCAGCAAACCAAGGCAAAACACACAACGCAGGCCATGCTCACCAAACCCATGCAGTACAAAAATAGATGTGCAAAACAAAACAAAGAAAAAGCCAAAGCGAGATCAAGCTCAGTTTTCTGGCTCCTCCGAGCCAGCAGAGTCACCTTCCTTCTTGTCAAACTTTGGACGACGAGGGCCACGGCGACGAGCAGTGCCGGGTGCAGCGGCAGCAGAAGCAGCAGTTGCCGAGTCCTGCCCTTCAGGCGAGCTTGGCTCGGGTTCAGCTACAGCAGCAGCGGGAGCGACGTGTTCGCTGGTTTCCACAGGAGCGGAAGCAGCAACGGCAGCAGGAGCAGCGGCAGCAGCGGCAGCAACAGCAGCAGCGGCAGCGGCGGCCAGGTTTTCAGCGGTTGCTTGCTCGAGCGAATTCAAACGGACGAGCGAATCGACCGGCTCCGAAGCGGGCGTTTCCGGGACGGCCTCGTCAGGCGTGTCTTCAGCAGCTTGCAGAACTTGCATTGACAGAGGCACAGGCTTTTCCACTGGCGCAGCAGCAGGGGCAGGCTTCTCAACAGGCTCTGTGACAGCCGCGGTCGTAGTCGCAGGCTCGGCAGAAACAGGGACTGCCACTACTGCAGGAGCAGAAGCAGGAGCCGATGCAGCAGAAACCACCGCAGCATCTCCTGCAACGGGAGCAGCAGGAGTGCTGCCAGCGGCCGGTTTCTTCTTTCGAGGGGCAGGAACGGGAGCAGGGCCATCATCCACAGGCTCGGCCGGCACGACAACAGCTGGCTCGGAGGGCTTGGGGGCAGCCGCAGCCGATTGTTTGGCAAAGTTCACCTTGAAATGCGGCTTGCAGTACGGCTTTTCGCTGAGCATGGCAAAGTCGCCTCGCTTGAGCATGATGCCACATTCCGTGCATGCGACGGTTGGCTCGGCAGTAGCAGCAGGAGCAGTCGCAGAAGCAGGTGCTCCGATAACCTATCAAGTCAATCCACAAAAACTGAATACTGCGAGACTTGACCAAGATAGAGATGAAGCAAGAAAGAGAACTCCAAATTACCGGTAATACGCGAACTCCAACGGGCGGGCGGCGCGTTGGCTCTGCACTGGTGGTCTCAGGTGCAGTAGGTGCAGGCGTGGTATTGGCTGCTGCTGCGGCCGCATCCTGTGACGATCGACAGGAACGATAGGTCAGTTCACGTCCCAGAATACGCATGCGGCAGAGCTCATCCATCGAGGCAAACCTTTTCCATTGCGCCCTTAGCTTCAAGAGCCTGTTGGTTGACAACAGCCTTCATAGTTTGATCGAGATCGCCAAAGCGGGACGTTCGCTGCAGTGAAGTCACAAACAAACAACACCCAACCAAAGTCACGAAAGGTGAGATGGCGCTCCAATCCTATTCACCACTTGCTCCATAACTCGACAAACAATTGTCCCATACCTGTGCAGGGGCGGGTGCCGCTGGTCGCGGCGCTGATTGCGGCCGAGCGCTCGGTTGGGGCTCATCTTCAGCGTCCGTATCGCTGGTGTCGTCGTCCGAGTCCGTGCCAGAGCCGCTGTCGTCGTCGTTTGCCGGAGCAGAGGGCGAGGAGGGCCCGTTTGCAGTGGACGATGCAGTCGGCACTGCGGGCGGTGGCTTTGGGCGTCGCGGAGCTGGCTGGGGACGCGGAGCAGCAGCAGCTGCGGCAGGAACGGGAGCAGCAGCGCTGGATGGGGTTGCAGTTATGGCAGGAGAAGACGCGCCAGCGCTGGATTTCTTCAAAAGAGCCACACATTCGTCACAAACACGCTGCGGCTTGGAGGACATCGGAAGGAGCCACGACTGCGAAGTGCAATTTCCGCACGCGACTTTGCCACAGTTGCGGCAATGGTGCTTGCGGTTGAAGGTGGTAAACTTGCTGTTTTGACAAACCATGCAAGTCGTTACTTTGGCGTCAGGGACCCACACTGCCGCAACGTGGCTCAAGGGAACTTTGCCTGATTGTTCGAACAATTTGAAACAGTTGAAAAATAAATGGAAGGACAGCAATCGCAACGGCGTGTAGATACGAGGACGGTAGCATGATGCTTTCACTCACCCTTTTTCTGAGTTGCCTTTTCGATATACTGCTGAAGCAGCGAAAGCCAGTGCGCCTTGTCAGCAGCGCTGTGGGAAATGACATGGAAGGACTTGGTTTTGTGGCTGATCTGGAATCCGTTCATGGCATCTTAGAGAACATCAATAGAATTAAGAGTAAGGGGTGAGTGGAATGATACAATGGGAGCAGCAGCAGCAGGAGGAGCTGACACGCACCAAAATCAATATTGTTCTCCGAGTCGTAAACGGTCGGGAGGTAGTGGCATTGGGCAGTGACAGTCATTTGGTCCAATTCGAGGGCGACTTGCTTGGCATAGCGGCCTTTCGCCAACGATGTTCCGTACACCTTGAAAATAAGAAAAGTCGTGTCGACCATCATCGAGTGAGTACTTCCCCACAGAAACGAAAAGACCCAATACAAACGAATCAACAGCTACTTTCCGCATACCAACAGGTCATTGAACATGACAAAATAACGGGGCTTGAGCGATTTGCGGCATTGCTTGAGCAGAGTGCCTTCATGCAGAAAGACGCGTCCCGGCGCGAGCAGCGACTGTCGATGATTGAATTTTTTTTTTCCTTCTCAACGTGAGCCAAACAAGACATTTGATTTTTCAACTGGTTGCAATCTCGCAAAATCTCAGACATTTGAACCCAAAATTTGAAAAATTCAACAAAAAAGGGTTTTTCAATGGTTTTTCAATGGTTTTCAATAGGTTTTTTTTTTTCGCACCTGTCCGCCGACGAACGACGCCTGGATTTCGGTGATCTTGTTGATGTTGTACTCGCTCTCTGCGAGCGGCACCGCATCGTCATCCGGGATGGCTGAGGACGCGCGCACGACCACTGGCGGCGACTGTGGGCGGTTTGGCCGCGACGCAGACACGGGCGACGTCGCGCCAGTGCGCGGCGGTGCGACAGGGCCAGAGCCAGAGCCAAACGCAGCGCTCGTCGCCGAGCTCATGGGCACGGCCGCAACGGGCGCCGAGATGAGCGGATGCTGCTGGCTCGACATTGATGGGAGGAAAACGAATGGAAAAAAAAAAAAAAAAAAAAAAAAAAAAAAGGACTGAAAATTTTGTATTGAATTGCATTGGATTTGGATTTGGATTACCGCTGCAGCTTGCAATGCAATGCAAAGGGTACTCAGAGAAGCATGGATCCAAAACAAAATCAAGTTGCTTCACACACTCCTTCTTCTTTCATCTCTTATCATACTGTAATAAACAAACACATGTCGAGCAGTGGAGCATCGACGGCCGGCAACGGGGCGGGTGCGAGCGACATGGCGGCAGAGCGGCTCGCCGTGGCACAGTACGCGACAGTCAATGCCGACGCACTTGGCACTGTGCAGCTGTCGTCGCTGGACACCAACGTGCTGACTGCGACGGCGGGCGCCCCGCGTGAGCACCTGGTCGACCTCGCGCGAGCAATCCAGGACGCGGACGTGACCCTGCGCGCCACGACGGGTGCTAAGATGCAGGTCATTGTCGACCAAATCCGACTGCTTCAGATGCAGGCGCGAGTGTTTATGGAGGAGGCGCGACGCGACGCCGATCTGCACCGCGCTGCGTGTAACTTTACCAAGCGTGCGGGAACCACGTACCATCTGTACCGCCGCGACGGGCCCCAGGACGATGGCGTGCCATACTTGTCACTGTTGTCGCCTGAGGAGTGGGGTGCGCGGGGCACGCCACACACATTTGTCGGATCCTACCGCCTCGAGGCCGACCAGACCTGGACGCCCGTCGAGCGCATCCGCCATCGCGAGGACAACTCTGCGTTTGTGCAGCGATTGCTGGGACCCAACATTATCAAGTACACGGACGCGCCGCTCTTTACGCAGCAGTTGAACATGATTGACAACTCGTACAGCAGCGTCGCGCCGCAACAGCTCCTCGGCCCAAGCAGTAACAGCAGCGGCACCAGCGAGTCGCTTGGATCTGCGGGTGGACAACAGCCACAGGCGGTGCAGAGCTACCAATCCTCACAGTCCATGATGATGATGATGACACCTCAGCAGCAGCAACAAAATCCAATGGCGCAACAGATTCTAAATCAGTCGACCCTGGTTACTCCCGTGCCAAAGCGCCAACTCGGCAACGCCGTTCCACTTCCCGCGTCTGTCCGCCAACCAGAGGGATTTGAGCAAGCGCAATGACGGATGGTTGAGATTGTTGGATGATCTTCAATGTGCTTTTTGTTCATTCTTGTTAAAATGGAGAAAAAACAATGAAAACCAAACCCCAAAATACAAACACAGTCTGTAGAATGGTCATTCTATGGCAGCAGATAATAAACAGGGAATAAACGCATGCATTAAAAGATCAGGAGTGACAATGGCACAAAAGCAAAAGAAAGAAAGAAAAAAAAGTACAAGAGAACGTGAAAGTCGGGGTAAAAATCAAAACAATGTCTACAATCACGACAACAGCGTAGAGATGCTAGTTTGAAAAAATGAGCACGAGCAAATGAGAAACAAGAGCTTGAATTCGGGGGGAAGAATAAGCTGGGGGGTGTGTGTGATAGGATGAAGCAATGACGGAGAAAAAACAATGACGAAAAGTGAGCGAAATCAGCTGGATCCGGATGCAGCTTCGACGGGCAGCAGGTGAGGAAGCTCGCTTGCAGAGCCAGACGCAAGCGTCGCACTGGGAGTAGCATGGCCGTCCTGATCCAACGCAGCGTCGGACGAGATGCGCAGATACGCGTCCGTCACAACGTTGGGATTGTTCTCCCGACGCGCATGTCGTCGCAAATGCATGGCGAGATGGTCGGACCGCCGGAAGGTGTGTCCGCACCGTGCACACAAGTACGGCTTTGCACCGCTGTGCTTTTGCATGTGTCGAGTAAGCTCATCGGAGCGCATAAAGGACGACCCGCAATCGGGCCAGGTGCAAGCGTAAGGTCGCTCGCCAGTGTGAATGCGAATGTGCGCTTTGAGGTGCGAGTTTTTCCAATACGACTTGCCACATGTTTCATGAGGACAGACAAACTGCTTGTGCTCCTCGTGGTCGACAGCATACGAGGCCCGACGGCGTTGAACGCGCTTGGCTCGGACAAAGGTGGTCCCATCGTCAACCCGTGAATCATCCGCGTCTTCGTCGCTCTCCTCAGAGTCTTCCTTTTCCTCGCCGGGCGCGGCCTCTGTCCTGATGGCAACAACGGAGATTTCGTCAGCACGAGATGGATGGCTCGAACCAGTCGGTGTGCCATTGCTTTGCTTTCGCCTCCGCGGCGGCTTGATCGACCGGCGTTGCTGCTGCTGTTGTTGTTGTTGATGATGATGCTGGTGTAGTTGCTGATGCTGTTGCTGCTGGTGTTGTACCGACGCTGGAGGATAGACTGTAGGTCCAGTGCCCAGGAAACCAGAAGCAAATGCTGCTGTTGGAGGCAACGCTCCGCCATTTGACTGGGAAGGAAGGACTCCAGGAAATCCCGAAGTAACACCAGGGTGGCCTGCATGCTGGCCGGGCGGGGCAATGAGTTGTTGGTGCTGGCGTTGCAGATCAAGATCAAAATCGGCCTGCGAAGAGGAAGCTGTGAGGTGCAGCGGCTGGTTGACCGGATGAGGAGGCCCTTGTTGGAGGTGTTGGGGTGGGTACATGTACGGTTGCAGGGGCGTCGGGTGGAAGCCTTGCATCCGTAGATGCTGCTGCTGCTGCTGCTGTTGTTGTTGTTGCTGTTGCTGTTGCTGTTGGTGTTGCTGCTGTGGGTGGGCCAGCGGCGTGGACGTCAGGGGCATGCCAGGAGGTGGTGGGAACGAGTTGAATGGTTGTCCGAGTTGACCGGACTGGAGATGCGAGTGGGCATGCTGTGGCAAGTCCTGTGGCGTGAACATGACGGGCGAGCGTTGAAACTCTCCAGATGGAAAGGAGTTGAGTTGCGTTGGCATTCCAGCATGAATGGGGTGTTGTTGTTGCTGCTGCTGCTGCTGCGGTTGCTGCTGCGGTTGTTGTTGTTGTTGTTGTTGTTGTTGTTGTTGCTGCTGCTGCTGCTGTGATTGTTGGGGTTGCTGCTGGTGTTGCGGCTGCGGTTGCTGCATGTACATGGGCGGAGGTGGAAGCATTGAATAGTGCGGCGATGCCGAATTCTGCGAAGCTTGCGAGCTATGCGAGTGATCAAAGCTACCCGATGCTTGCATGGCAACAAACGGACTTAGTGACAGCAAGCTGCTCCGCTGGGAAACGGTGGAGCTGGCGGTACTCATCGAAGCGTTCATCGGAGAGGCGCCCGAAGCAAGCGAATTGTTCGACCACCACGCTAGCTGTGAATTGGGCGCTTGTTGCTGCAGTTGCTGTTGCTGTGCAGGCGTTGTGAGTTGTCCGTTGATGCTCGTGCTGGTTGACAATGCGGCAGAGATGGAGCCGTTTTGCAAGCCCGAGCTGGACACGGAAACCTCCGAAACAACAGCACCACCGTCCACAGGCTCGGCCACAAGCAAAGGCAGCGGACCGGGTTGCGCAGATTTAATGTCGCCAGGGAGGCGTGGTTGCATTGCTTCGTCGAGCGACGAAGAATACATCCGAGATGAAGTTGACTGCTGCTGCTGCTGCTGCTGCTGCTGCTGCGGTTGCAGCTGTTGAGGAAGCGGAAGCTGCGACTGTGGATGCTTGGCCTGTGGGTGCTGCACGATGTGTTGAAGTTGCTGATGCATCTGATGCGGCAGCTGGATGGGTTGCTGGGGCATGGGTTGCGGCTTCCACCCGTAAAACCCCGCAGCAGTGGACATTGGAAGTTGCTGCTGGTGCTGGTGCTGGAGGTGCTGGTGATGCTGCGGCTGCTGCTGCGGCTGCTGCTGCTGCTGCTGCTGCTGCTGCTGCTGCAGTGCATCTGCTGGATTCATGGGCGCAAACCCAGGCATGCGTCCGCCATCGACGGCAGCATAATGGCCGATGGGGTGCGACAGCGGCATTGACGGCATTGACGGCATGTGAGAGGGCATGAGGGGTGGCGGATACGGGAAGATTGGCGGTGGGGCGTGGCTGCTAGGTGCGAACGCGTAAGGGTTGCTACCAGATTGATCCAGCATCATCGAGGAAGACCCAGGCAGCGAGAACATGCTCGGGGACGTGCTGTTCGTGTCCTGCTGCGGCAATCGTGGAGGGAGTGACACGTTGCCACTGCTGCTGCCGTCCGCAGACACGTTCGAAGACGAGGAAAAGGGGGCAACGTCCTGGGACGCTGCAGCGAGACCGCTTGAGCCAGCAGCGAGCCGGTCGTTATCCTGCACTTGAGCTGGATGAAACGCAGTCAGCCCAGCAGCGGCAGGTGGCGGATGCGACGCAAGAGGAGCGGCAAGCGCGCCCCCAGCAAAAGTTGCGCCTGTTGGGTTGCTGCCGTTAAGGAGCTGCTGCTGCTGCTGCTGTTGCTGCGCAGTCTGCTGGTCTGTGCTGCCCGCCGTGCTTGTGCTGGAATGGGGCTGCGCGGTGGTTGTGGAGGCGGGGTGGTCGGCACCACCAGCATAAGGGGCGGCAGGGGCGGGCGATGCGATGAGTCGGGACCGCGTGTCTGGTGGCAGCTGCTGTTGCGGCGGCGGTTGGTGAGCGTGGTCCTGCTGCTGCTGGTTCTGGTTCTGGTTCTGGTTCTGGTTGGGGTGATGGTGATGGTGATGATGATGATGATGATGGTGGTGGTGTTGCTCATTGGACGCGAGCCCTTCGGCTGCTGCAGAGGCCGCTAACGGGTACGTGTTCGACATGATGATGATGATGATGATGATGGCGACGAGACAAACCGCGGCGGCGACACAAAACGACGCGACGACGCCAACGCTGCAGCTCCAAGGACAACGGTGGCAATGACGATGATGACAACGGCAATGACCAACAAAGAAGCTGCTGTCGTGGTTTTGCAGAGTGAACTTTGGCGCTGTCGAGGTGTGATTTGTGATCGAAAAAAAAAAAAAAAAAAAAAGCTGTGGTTTCAAAGGGGAAAATAGAAAAAAAAAAAAAAAAACAATGAAAGGTTCAAACCAACAAGCAAAATGTACGTCAGCAACGGCAGGGGGAAAAACCCGGGAGAAAGTGGACAACGAAAGGAGAGGAAGAGGAAGAGGAAGAGAAAGAGAGGGCATTGGATGGACGATGGGTGGGGAGTGCCTTAAAGAAATGTTGGCTTTGGGGTGTGGGCAAAATGGAAGAGGGAGTGGAATTGGGAATGACAGAGTTGAGTGTGTGAAAGAGAGGGGAAGGAGAGCGCGCAACAGAGTGTGCTTTGTGTGTGTGTGAGTGCATGAGCGTGCGTATGGAGGGCGAAGGGGGGCAAGCAGAGGGCAAGGAAGGATGGAGGGAGGGAGGGGTGGAAATACCGGTGTCACCTCCTCCTCGGCTTCATTCCATCAAATCACCTCCTCTCGGCTTTATTTCGCATCCATCGACGCGTCCTCGACCCCCAACCTGCAAGGAATGTCACACCTTGCTCCAAGCACCAAAAGGCACCCCCACACTCACAACGGAGAGGAAGACCACTTGATAGCTGTCCGCAGGGGGTTTGGGAACGCCAACAAAGCTCGCAAAGAGAATCCGACGACACACACGATGGCCTCACACACACGCCTCGCAGCCATCCCAACGGCACTCTGTGCTTTTAAGGGAGACAGAGCTCGTTGTGCTGAGGACGATCATCGCGGACTCGCTCGGTAATTTGAATGTGAATGCAGCTCACACGAGTAACGCACGTTTTCTTCTGGTTTTTTTTTTTTTTTTTTTTTTTTTTTTTTTTTTTTTTTTTCTTCCCCTTATCCCGCGCAATCGGCATTGCCATCGCGCAATCACACTCGTGTTGCTGGAGATGGGACGGATTTCCAGTGTGATGATGTGCGGTTGGAGTCGATCGTGGCTTGGGAGCGAGTGGTGACTCAGATTCAACCAAAGGAGAGGGAAAGAGAAAATCCGCACCGTTAAAAACAACCAAAAAAAAAAAAAAAAAGAATGATCCGATTCTCAATGATGAATCATTAAAATTGATATAGAGGCCAATGTGGAAGACCACCACTCTCGCATTGCTTTTGTGAATATCTTCGCTTTTCAACTGCTTGCGGGGGGTGGGTGGAGGGCAAGGTTGGAGTGGATGGAGGTAAGCAGGACAAAGCGAGAAAGAACGACGAAAAACAAAAAGGTGTTGAAACGGATTGCGGACTCCCCAACAACAACAACAACAACAGCCCCAGGCAACAGCCCCGCGCGCCAGTTCCCCCCTCCCTTGTGCGTGACAATCATGAGAAATGAAGGTACGAGTGTGTGAGTGCATGTGCGAGGGAGAGAGAGCGAGAGACAGAGAGAGAGAGAGGCAGCGACAGGAGGCGAGACAGCGAGGGAGTGAAAAAGAAGGAAATCAAGAAACAAACTAAAAAAACAGTCCGCAAACCAAGCAAACCCTCCACAGCCACAACGTCCAAAGGACCAGAGCGAGAGAGCAGATAGGAGCATGATAATCATCACAGTGACCGACTGCACACTGCAGGATAGGTGAAAGAGCGAGAGAAGAGCAAAATGAAGGTCGCGTTCTGACCGCAATCGCAAAAAAGCGACCACTTTTAAAAACAACAAACAAACATTAAAAAATGCGGGGTTTGAGCTTTTGGAGGGCAACAACGCGATGACACTGTGCTCGTTTGCTCAGCCTTGGATAATAAAAAACATAAGATAAGCACTCGTTGGGGAGACATGACGTAGCAGGATGAGCGTGTTCGCCGAAGCACTTTCACGGAGCGAATCAAAGGGAAAAAACCGCTTGGTCGCGAAAAGATAACACCCGAAAAATGGGAACTCCCTCGCAATTCCATTTCGCCGCTGAAATGCCCAGCCCCCTTCGCTCACTTAATGAGGGGAGTGGGGAGGGGGATGCAGACCAACCATCAGACATGTTGACAAGGCAAAAGGGGAGCGATGGGGGGGACGGCCGCATCGGGGGAAATTAAGGGGAGCCGATCAAAGGAGTCACCCTTCCCTTTGTTTTTTACATTGACAACTTCCCAAACCAATCCGCGTGTTATTGACAGATTCGTAGCAATCCACTCCCCGACACCCTCGCTCGCACTCGATCACACTAGGGATCGAGCTGCCACGCAACGAAGATGGAGTCGGGAGAGCCAACCCATCGACCCCGAAGCAACGAGCGAATCGGCGAACAACAAACAACAAAACATCCAACGACAGTTTTTGTTAGATGGACTGCGCGTTGGGGCGTAGAGGAAGCCCCTCGATCGGCAGGCGAGCTGGTGACGCCAGCAGTGCCAGGCTCAACCAACGACAGCTCACAAACAAGAGGAGAGGCGGTGCGAGAAGAGGGGACGCGAGAGAGCACAGGCCGTTTGATGGCTGCCGCCGTCCGCGGGCTTCATCCCTCCTCGCCCCTTTACCTCCCACTTGCGCCGTGGCTGGAGTGCGCGAGAAGGAACAAGCAGCTCCCGCTCCGCCAGTGCGATCGAGTTGACACCTTCCATCTCGAACGCGCTTCCACTGGGCGCTCGTTTTGTTGCTTTTTCCATTTGTTTTTTTTTTTTCTAACATCTCAAACCGAATTCTTACAAAGAAGAAGAAACGAAAACGAAGACTGCTGAACACCAGAAGAAGAAAGGTCGAGAGAACAAGCAGCAGGGTGCAAAGAGATGCAGCTGTTGTGTGGGTCTCAGGAAGCGGAGAGAGAAGGGGAGAGAGAAGGAAGCGGGGCGAGAGCAACAGCAGTGAAACTGAAACCAGAAGCGATGCACAACTCGACCCCCCACCACCACCACCCACTTCATTCCGCACAAGCACCAGCACCTCGGGAGGATGGGACTGCATTGTAGGCAAGCGCGAGATGAGTGACTGCAGGTGGTGGCTGTGTTTCAGCAAAAAAAGTGCGCGCGGTCGGCGGTTGCTCGAAAGTGAAAAACCGCCGAGAACCACCGCCGCCCTCGCTTCTTCTCCAGCACCTCCCACATGAGTGCATCGCTCCTCTTCAAAGCTCGTTAAATGCTCGTTGTGGTGATAAAGTGCGCGTTTTGGGCGCTGAGGCACCAACGAGGAGCGAACACTCAAAAACGACCAAAAACGGTTTGAGGATCGAAACGCCACCACTTTCGAAACGATGGCGTTTTGCGGAACGAGTTTGCGCGAATGTGTCGCCATAGCCACATGGGCAGGTGCTGCAAACGATGTTGCAGCTACCGCGAGCGAACAGCTGCACAGAACGCGCGTCTCTGCCCCCCGACAGCACTCGTAACACCGAAAAGTTCGCACGCGACGCTGCGAATTCAATCGCCCTTCGTTGCTTTTGCAAGTTCCCGTGCCACCCGTCACGCATCGCTTTGTCTCCAGCACCACAAAAGTCGGGTATTGCCCGTGTCACCGGCAAAGAGCTCGGACGAGGATGTCCGGCAACCTCCGAACAAGCGGAACAAGATCAAGCGCCGTAAAAATTGCGCTTTTTTTATCAATGTCCCCGCCCAATAGTCTCCCCGCCCCCCTCCCCTTCTCATGTCGCCTGCATCAGTCGGCTGTCAATACCACCACTCTGCACATGCGGTGTTTTCCGCTCGCAGACACCGCTACAACAAAGACCACAAAAGGGCTTTTTCTGGGCAAACCACGCGTTTCCATCGTTTCTTCTTCTTCACTTTCTTTTGTGCTTTTGTTACCTCGCAAGTGCCGACTCGTGTCAAACAGCGTACGGTCATACACCAGCGCCGCCGGCACTCGTCGCCAAGTACGAGCGGACGCTGAAGAAATGAATAACGCGGCTCACAATAAACAAACAGAACCGACCAGAAGGTAAAATGCGCACAAAGCTCATTCGGTGCACCAAACTCGAACCGTTACAGCTTAAGGAAGAACTCCAAAATTAGGAGCAATGAAAAGAACGAGTGGATGCAGATAGGTGAAGGGGCGACGCAACGAGAGCAGAGAGAGGAGGAGGAGCAGGAGCCGGCGAAACGACAAAAGGGGCGGAGGTGAGAATTCAGGGCGACCACCGGCCAAGACAGCCCCAGCGCCGCTCCATCATTCGTACACACAAGCGTTTGGAACACATGCAAGCTGGAGCAAACGCAACGACCAACACAGCGGAAACGAGAAAAGGAGGGGGGGGAGAGAAAGTGGTGCGGTTCAAATTTCGCATGACAAAGTTAAAATCGTCCCTCGTGTTCCAATTCGCACATTCAGCGAAAAGCAAACGAGTGTGCTCGCACTCAACAGACCCCGGGATGTGCACGATGTGCTACATGCGACATTGGAAGCCGCTGCGACGGTGGAAGCCGCTGCGACGAGAAGCGCGCACGTAACACCCAACAACACGAACGACACGAGCGCAAACCGCGCGGCAATCGCCCTTCGAATGTGAGGCGAAATTGGGGCAAGATCGGATGCTACAGTGATACAGACTGCACTCATACACCCATACGCATGAAGGGGGGTGTGTACAGCAATGGGGGAAAAGGGGTGGATGCAATGGGCGGGTGGGGCGGGGCGTGTGGCAAGACAAGAGCGGGGCAGACCGCGGCTTACTTACAGCTTCACACGCTGCCAAGGTACGAGCTGCGATGCGTTAAAGAAGCGAGATGGAAAGCGCACGACGAACGATGATGGCCGCACGCGAGGAAAGAGCAGCAAAGGGTCAAACGGAAAAAGAGTCAATCAAAATGACACAACGCAGAGAAAAACAAACGAACGAAGAATCGCGACTGAGCAGGATGGTTAATGACAGCCACACCAAGCAACGCACTCTCATTGGGCAATTCGAGTGCGTCAGGCACCCTTTGAGTCAAAATGCTGGAGTGATCAGACACAGTTGTCTGAACAGTCGAATGTCTCAGTTTGAACTTGTTCGCGGGTTTCTCTCTCCTTCTCTGTCCATCTCCCTTTCTCTTTCTCTCGCTCGCTTTCTAGCTGCAGTCCAGGTACGTGCATTCATCGCACCCGCTACACCCTTCTCCCAGAATGTTTTTTCCCCTCATGTCCGACCTTCTGCGTCACGGCGTTCGCATATTTTGAAAATCGATCTCAATCCATTCCGATCGATCCTTTTTTTTTTTTTTTTTTTTTCGCTTTGTTTTTGTCGTGAATTATTTCAAATTGGTTGGTTTGTTTTGGCATTTGAGCCTTTCCACAGCTGTCGGAACGCTTGTCCACAAGCACACTCAAAGACACAAAGGGAGGGGGGGCAAAGAGCCTGCGGGGAAGGCGAGAGAATTCGGCGTGGATGGTACTGAGGGTGTGCACAAAACAGGTGTGTGTGTTTGAGGCATGTTCGCTGAGTCGTTGGGCGTGGCGTTGCGCTGAACTTTCTCATTCAAAAGGACGATGGTATTACGGCGGCAATGCCAAAGCCAAGCAATCAAAAGTCAAGTCACACGAGAACGCCACTCCTTCTCTCTCTCCCCTCTCCCAGTAGCTGCAGCTGTCCTCTGCCTTGTCGTGGTTGCAGCGCAAGTATCACGTTTGCAAATGTACTAGGGTACTGAAAAGCCAAAAGGGGGAAACTTTAACCAAAGGAGGCGCCACCAACCGGAAAAACGCGGCTTCATCTCAAAACCTCAACGACACGCCTCCGCCACACATCAGCGGCAGCCATCTGCCCATCGCGAATGAATTCAGGTTGCATATGGCAACAAATTTTCATGACTACATGTTGGGCCCCATGTTGCACCAACGCAAGGAACAACGCGGCGTGGAAAAAAAAAAAAGGGGGAGGGGCGTCTTGAAATAAACAAACAACGCCATTCAATGTCGCGGTCGATTGTCCGCAGCGCAACAGCAAATGAGAGAAAGAAACAAAAAAGACCCAAACTGCGTCACGCTTCTCGGAGCATTGCGGTTCGCTGGGTGTCGCGCTTTTAGGTCCATTGCGCGCAAACCGTTGCTGCGACTCCAACTTTGCACACCTTGCCGACTCTCCTTCTGTAAATCTCTCTCCCTGCCCCCGTGATCGAGCCGTTGCGCCCCTCTCCATTGATAAAAGTCAAAAGCACAAAGCAGAGTAGAGAACAAGAAGGAAGGACACCTCGAAAGAGGGAGAAAACAAAACAACAAGAGCCCTCCCCCGAAAACCTCGCTTCGTGCCGGACACGTTGTTGGAGAACAAAGCCATGCAAAATCTGGCTCCCTCATCTGCAAGACATCTTCACGGTTCAATCAGAAATGTGCATGGAGGCTGCACGAGTTACGAAGAAAAAGCGTAGAACCAAACGCACACCAACACGCTCGCGCTCGCCAATTTCAAACAACCAGCAACTTACAAAAAAAAAAAAGTAAAAGTAAAAGTGAGCTTGTATTACAAAAGGGGATTGCGTTGGCAAAGAACACGTTCTTAGATACTCATACGACACAAACAGAAGCTTCATCAACGAGCAAAGAACAGAAAAGAACAAAGCAAAAACAGTGACACCAAAAAATTTTACACAAGTACCAAGAACACAACGACCAAGCGACGAAAAAAAAAAAATCAAAAGGAGGGGCAGAAAGAAGCTAAACCAAAAACTCTTCGAGATAGATAATGGAACAAGAAACAAAACAAGAAGCAAAACAAGAAGCCAAAAAAAAAAAAAAAAGAGCTGGGTTTAGAATTTGGTGATGCGGTCGCACAACTTCTTGGCGTCCACCGCCAGCTTGAACGCCGCGTCAAGCATCTCGGCTTGGAACAGGTGGGCTTGCGGCGAAAATTGGGTGGCTTGGCCAGTGCGCTCGACAAGCTTCTCAATGTCAACCTTGAGCAAGGAGACGTCATCGGCAAGGGCAATGTGAACTTCGGGAGCGACTTGACTGTCGTTGAGGTCAGCGAGACACGCCATGACTGGATCGACCATGTCCATCACCTCTCCGGCACACATGACAATCACGCGAACCATGTCAACAAACGCCGAGGTCTCGTTGAGCCGCACCGACTCTTTGAGATCCATGACGCTCTTCATGACAGCTACGACCTTGTCTTGGTACATGGTTTTGAGGGCATCCAACCGGACTTGTGCCGTTTTGATATCCTCCTCGTCCAGCAGGTCATCCAGCTCGGACAGAATCTCATGCGCCTGGCGCTTAACCTGCGCGTCAGACATGCGAGGCGATTCTGGAACAACGAATGCGTGGGGTGCTGTCAGCGGAGCTGCAATCGCTTCCAGCTGCTCCATCGATGTCGACTTTTGCGCTCGAGTTGGCGGTTTGAGAGCCGCGGTGACTTGCTCGTTGACGGCTTCCTCGTCGTCATCGTCGTCTTCGTCTTCGTCGTCACCGTCCATGTCGGGCAGCTCGTCGATCGCTTGACGCAGCATCATGGTAAAGTCAGACGTGCGGCGCTCGAGCTTGGTCTTGCTTGCGGCTTGCGCCTGCGTTGCCTGCTCCCGTTCCTTTTCGAGACGAACACTCTGCACGTCCTCATCGAGGTCTGTCAGTAGGACTGACAGCCGACCCGGGGCATGAGCAGGGTTGCTGCCGCCTTCGCTCAGACGAGCCTGCAAGCGAGCAGCCAGCGGCGAAGGCGCAGAGCCAGCCGCCGGGCTTTCCGGTCCCGACGGGGGCTTGTGCACGGCCGAGCCAGGGGGTGCGGGGGCTGGAATGGACGGGGGCTTGAAAGTGCCTGGCGCAGCGGGGGTCGCGGACGGGGGCTTGAACGCGCCGGGCGGAGCCGGAGCAGGAATAGATGGCGGCGTCAGCGTGCTGACTGGTCGCACTGGCCTTGGCGACGTTTTCAAGGGCGCTGGTGGCGGTGGCAAATCTTCCGCGGCAACATCAAGCGCCACATCGCCGTCAACGCTCGTACTACGCTCGGGCAACGGTCGCGATGATCGCGACTCGCTGGCAGACGCGGCGCTCGCTGCTGGCCCCGGTGTGGAGGTTGATGATTTGCCGTGGGGCGCAGTCGTCGGCCGAGAACTGACTGGGACCGTTGGCGGCTTGCTGTTGGTTCGGGCCGCGGAGGTCGCGTTGAGCGAGGACGTCGAGTCCATCGCACCCGATGCGTTGAGCGAAGAGGTGGACGATGTCAGGCTGGTGCGGGAAATAGTTGTGACGCCAGGAATGACGGGCTTGGGCGCCGTCGGGACGACGCCTGGAGTAAGAACGTGTGGTTCGTCTCCCATCGACGCAAAGGCCGACGCGGGGAGTGACTGCTGATGCGTTAGTCGTGAGGCGCGGGGAGACTTGCTGCGACCGCTGTCCGAAGCCGGTGCCGTGAGACTGCTCATGGCGATGGACGACTGCGAGCCGCGCACGGATTCGACGATGCGCTTGGTTTGAGCACGCATTTCAGCCTCCGATGTCGACTTGCGCAAATGGGACGTTGTGACACCCTGAATCTCGATACGCTCCTCCGCAATGACCTGCATCATCCGATCGTACAATTCTCGGAAGGAAGGACGGTCCTCCGGCTTGTACGCCCAGCAGTCGTGCATGACTCTGCGGAAAGAGGCGAGGGTGGAGTCAGAACAAAATACCAAAAACAAAAAAGCAAAGGGAGAACGATAGAAAGAGAGAGGGTCAAACAACCGTGAAACTCACCGATATAATGAGTCAGGACAGTCATCCGGACATTGCAATCGTGCCCCGGACTCGAGGTGATCGATAACGTCGCTATTTTGGAGCTGGGGGTAGGGCTTCTCGCCGTACGACATGATTTCCCACATGCAGACACCTGCAGAGCAAAAGAAACACAACACCGAGCCACACAAAATAAGACGAGAGCCCGTGGCACAGCATCACAAGGACCAGAACAAGGCAGAGGCGTTTCCACATACCGAAAGACCACACGTCGGTTGCAGTCGTGAACGTGCGATAGTTGATGCTTTCGGGAGCCATCCACTTGACAGGCATTTTCCCACCCGTAGCTGGCGTATCGCATGTTAAGATTGTTTTGGAGGGGGGAGAGGAAAGGAGGGGGGGAGGAAGGAAAAGCAAAGGTACAAGTCAGCATCAAAAAATCAAGGCATTCGCATCGGCGGAAGACACCTACCAGTGTAAATGTCGTCCTCAGTCAGCACTCGAGAAAGGCCAAAGTCCGTCAGTTTGACAACCTGCCGGGTAGCAACAAGAATATTACGCGTTGCCAGATCACTACAACAAGTAAAAAAGTTCAAAAAAGTAAGGAAACTTTCGCAAATGATTGTCGCTCAATCCAACAGCCAACATGTTTTTGCTGCACGTGCTTGACTGGACGCCTCCTTACCGATGAATCACCTTGACGTGCTCGAGATAGGACATGGCGGAAACAATTTGCCAATTGTACCCAAGCAGCATTTTAAGATTCAAGCTTGGTTTGTTGTCGAGCAAATAGTTGCGAAGCGAACCCAAAGGAACAAGCTCGCATACGATCAGAATTGGGCTTGAAAGACTGACGCCCAGAATACGCACGATATGCGGGTGGTTGAGCTTGCTCATGAGCGTAGCCTCGGCCAAAAACTCGCGTTGGACTTCTCGCGAAACGTTGTTTTTGCACGTTTTGATGGCAACGGGAACATTGGTGTTGTCGGGACGGGTCCAGACGCCCTCGTTCACCGAGCCAAATTGGCCTTCTCCAATGACACGCGCGATAGTGAGCTGGTCGCGGAAAATGGTGTCGCAGTCGAGCTTGTCATCCAGCGTCATGTAGTCGTCCAGTTCTTCGTCGGGCGCGACAGTATTCACGGGCGATGTGGGGCCGGAAGACGGGCCTGGGGTAATCCGCATCGGAGGCAATGCCGGCTTGGAGCCAGCCAAATTGCCCTGGCTGCCATGAAGCGCTCGAGACGACCCAGATAGCTTCTGATGCAATGGTGCATCGGATCGCGTGCGACTTACACCCTGCAGGTTCATTTCTGACGCTCTTCGCAAAACATTTGCAAGGCTAGTTTGCTGCTGCAGCGCATGGTCGAGCTCGGCATCATCCACGTCTTCGTCGTCAGACCGCGACCCCACGTCCCTGGACGGGTCGGACATCATGCTCGGGCGATCGGGGAGATACAGGCTGGCGCGGGAAGTGCCTGGACTGCCGCGGCCTGCTCGGGCAAACCGACTGTTGGCCTGCTGCTCGGAGGCCAAAATCGAAGAGCGCGCATCCACGAACAGCTTGTAATAGCCGTCAAGCAAGCTGGCAAGCTCCTCGGCGGCGATGATGCTCTCGCAAATGATTTTGAGGACTTCCGTGTCATACCCAATCAAGCGGATTTCGACCTTTGCCTTGTTTCCCTGCGGGACAATGCCCACAGACCGCAGCTGACTGTACTCGGCAACAGGCGTGATCTTGTCGCCCTCCTTGCGCGAAATGCCAGAGCGAGGGCCAATCAAGAATTCAACTCCAACACCCCAGCCAGACATCATTTCCAGCTGGACCTTGAACGTTGTCAAGCCAAGCTCAGAGTGTTCTTGCAGCGTTTTGAAAAAGACGAGCTTGCACTCGTCCTCGCTTAGCTTTTCGTACTCTTTGCAATGCGGACTGAGAAGCTTTTTCAACTCTTTCACCTTGTAGCGATGCAGAATGCCTTCCGAGAGGATTTCGCTAAAGCCGATTTCCTTTCTGTTGGAGGAGCGTGGCAAAACCAACAAAAAAAGATTGGGGGATGAGAACAAGGAAAGGGCGTGCACAAGCGACAGGTTGGCCACGGAATGAACGATTGGAGGAAGGCGGCAAACAACATCATCAAAAAAAAAGCGAGAAGTGACGTACTCGAAATAGTCAAGATTCACCTTGTGCGACGCCATCCCGAGACAGCGACGCACAATCTCGGCGCCTGCAAGTTGCACTAGGCTCTGCTCTGCAATATCGTCAAACTTGCCCTGCTTGAGGAATCGGCAGAGCTGCTGGTGGAGGTACGAGAAGACGGTCTTGTCTTTCGAGTACAGATTGACGGCGTTCTTGGGCAGGAAGCGTACTCGAAACGTGTACTTCCACGACGAAGTAACAAATATTTGTGTTTTAGACTGATAGAACGCCTCCACAGTGGCGACGGGGCGCAGCGGGCTCAGCCATTGCGACTGCGCAGCGTCCGAGTGCTCCAAGTAGAGGCCAAAGTGAGCGACCGACTGCAAGCCAATCTTGAGTCCCATGATATTGATAATGTCCTGGACGGTCGTATTGGCCGCGTACTTGACGGCCTTTACATCGCCCGTTTCCAGGTGGACACGCAGATTCGCGCCTTCCATTGTTTGTCAAGTTGTTGTTGTTGTTGCTTGTCTTGTGGTTTGTTTGCGCCTCCAAGCAATACGAAACAAAAAAAAAGGAGGTCAAGGAAACCAGGACGAGAATCAAGCTCCAGCAGAGACGGGTCCTTGGTTGGGGGGATTTCTGCTCAAACTGTAGAAGAAGGATGGCAACAAGAAAGAGACAGGGAAAGGAAATTTTGAAAAAGAGCAAAAAAAAAAACCGAAAAATAAAAAATAAAAACAAATAACGGTGAGAGACGTACAACAAATCGAGATCAAGCGGCAAAGTGCGACATGGAAGCTGGGGTGAGAATGTGACAAAAGGATGACGAGAGCGAACCAACCCCGTGCTCTTTGTTTGTCGGTGTAGGAACAGAGCAAATGGGGTCGCAATGTGCGATCGTATTCGCATAGGAGTCAGGTAATAATAATAAAAAATAATAAAATAATAAAAAAGAAAAAAAAAAACAAGAGCGTCTGCTGCGAGCGCTTGCTGCATGACGAACCGAACGAGCAACGAGTACAGTGGTTGGTGTGTGAAACTGAAGGCTGTGCACAGCATGAGCCGTGGAAGAGCGTGCGAAGAAGCAAAAAAACACAATGTTCAAGTGTCAACAAACAAAGAAAAGAACGGATAAAAACGATCTCGTCATAGGACGACAAAATGCAAAAGTCAACAAAAGCCTAGGTTGAGGCGAATTCGCAGTGAGGGCGCGTATCGATTTTTATAAGTTTTGGATTTTTTTGATTTTTTTTTTTTTTTTTTTTTGAGATTTGTTTGTGTTTGGTTTGACTCGCAGCAGCAGCCACAATTTTCTACGGCTGTGCAGGAGGCTCCATCGACTGGACCTGCTCTCACCCGGCAAGCGCCCTGCAGCACCATGCACTGCACACACGCGTCTGCAGGCTGTCGAGCGCGAGGCTCCATGAGCAGTGGACGGTAAAATGCCGTGTTCCGCTCTTTGCACACTTGTCCAGGTTCGCGCGCCCCCGCGACCATCGCCACAGATCTGGGCCGATGCTTCGTCCACCCCCTTGATCACTGCGTCCGTGTCCCACCAACGGACCCCGCACCGCCATCGCCATCGCCAACGCTCGCGTCGCTCCACGCAATCCACGCAATCCGGGGCGCGCAACGAAGCGAGCCAGCCTTTTTTTTTTTTTTTTTTTTTTTTTTTGTCGTGATTTTTTTTTTGGACACTTCTCCTTGGCACTCAAGACCGCTCTCCGCTCGTGCGTGTCTCTCGAGTACTTGCGACAGCTCATTCATGAGTGTTTGTGGCAGGGTCGGCACTGGCCAATCCATCGCTTGTCGAGCTTCAAAAAAACGAGCGAGAAAACAAAGGCAAAAAAAAAAAAAAAAAAAAAAAAAAAAAAAGGCGAATTGAAACAAAAAAAAAAACAAATCCAAACTCACCAAACACACACAAAATGAAAGAAAAAGAGTCAAGACTGAGTGCAACAACGAAACGAAGACTCAGACATGTGGGAAGAATCAGTCGGCCTCATCAACGCGAAACGGGGAAACAGGGAAAGAGGGTTGGAGAGAGATCGAAAAGTGAAAAAGGATGCAATCCCTGCGAACATGGTAAGTCCCGAAGCATCACACACAAACAGCTCACTCGTCGTTGGCGACACAATTTGTAGGTGGCTGAATGGTAATAGGATCACCAGCAGTTCTGCGAACGCATTCACAGGCCTGCCTGCGCTGGCACTCATGTAAGCAAGCAAAGACAAGAAGAGTCTCACTCGTGTTTCTTGCTTGAACCTGCTGCTGGAAAGCGGATACATGCAAATAAACACAAACAATAACAGCTCGATTAAAGGTGTTTCAATCCAAAGCAAACAAGACAAGAGATGCGCAAAACAAAATGTCAAAAGCTGGTTCACAACATTGCACCAATGTCTCGAATAGCACCTTCCGATGCGCCCACCGCAAAGAACTTTTGCAGCTCTGATGCTGTCGGTCGCGCAGTAGGAATCAAATCCCAGCAACGCTCAAGCAGAGCATACGCTGCATCTGGGCACGACTCTGGCTTCTGCGGTCGCAAGCCAGCTTCCACTTGAGCAAGCACCTCCCGGCCTGCAGCCAAGTTGCCATAAGGCGTTGCGCCATACGCATAGACCTCCCCTACAATCAACGTAAATCATTGTACAGTCGTGTGTTAGGCTTCAATGGCAGACTCGAGCCAAAGGATACCAACCGACTTACAAGCCAAGACACCGTACGCCCACACATCGCTATGAGGAGAAAACCTTCGAAAGTTCAGACACTCGGGCGCCATCCACTGATAAATGAAATAAGCATAGTGAGAATCGACAACAACACTACCACGCTCCCTCCCTCATCCAACTCAACACACCTTGACAGGCAGGCGACCGTTCGTCTCCATATGATAGTAGTCCTTCTCTTCCAGCGCCCTGGACAGACCAAAGTCCGAGATCTTGACAGAGAGGCCTGCTCCGACCAAGCAGTTGCGAGCAGCGAGGTCGCGATGGACAAAGTTCTGTGTCTCAAGGTATGCCAAGCCTGAGGCCACTTGCTGCAGCGCAAACGACATTTCCGCAGCACTCCAGTACACATTGTCCTTCAGAGAGTTCCGCAACACGCTTCGGAGATCTCCGTACGGCATCAGTTCCAGGATGCACATGTTGGGGTCGCGTTCGAGCAGTGCCGCAAGCGCCCGCACAATGTTGGGGTGGCTAAATCGGCAGACCATCTGCGCTTCTTCGAAGAAATCTTCGCGAGAGTTCGCCGTGGCATCAGCTGCGAGTTGCTTGACCGCTACCGCGAGCGTTGATTGATTTCGCTTGGCGCAGAGATAGATGGCATCTTGCGGCACAAACTCAAGGGAGAGCTGCCCTGCTACGACAACACCAAACGCGCCAGAGCCCAGTGTTTCCCCAAGGACAAGATTGTTTCGAAGCTGGTTGGATATCGCAGTTGGAGTTGTGTGGATGCGAGAAAGTGGCACGGCGTCGTCGTAGATGGCTTCGTTGGGATTTCTTCGGGCATCGATCGTGTCGTAGTTGGCAGATCCGGACGTTGCAGATGCAGCACTGTTGCTGTATGTTGCAGTTGCAGTCGCATACAGAGGTTCGCTTGCATCCCCCTTGGACGGGATGGTGACTGTTTGCATGGGCACTGCATATCCTGATTCTGTCGCCTTCAAGAGTTGGTTTTGATGGCGAGCTCGTTTGCGACGGCGCAACACAATCACAACGAGCAGGATCACCGCCGCGCATCCGACCACCACTCCAATGGCAATGGGCACTGCTGCTGCAGCGCTGTTAGCGGCCGAGTCTTCGCCATCACGAAGCTCAACCATAATGACATTGCGTGCGTCAAGCTGAGCACCATTCGTCGGGTCTTGCAAAGCAAGGTATAAGGCTTTGGCCCCTTCAAGCACGTTGTCCTTCAGAATCGTCAGCACAAGCGCGCCCGACGCAGTGCTCTGTCCAGCAGCAAAGTGCACCACGAGTGGTGATGTGACATGCAAGTCGGAAGTCAAGGATACGCCTTCGTCCGGATGGTCACGATTCAGGAAGGCCGTAAACGGGGCGATGGACGCGTTCGTGCCAGCGACGACAGTGACGTCCACTGCGCCAAATCGGCCGCCGTTGCGCAGCACAGGAATGTTAAGTGAAGGGGTATCTTCTCGAACCGTATAAACATCGTCGCCAAGCGGATTGCCGGAGGGTGCAAACTCTATCCAGCCGTTAGGATCGTCGTTGGCTGCAATCGTGACCGTGGCCACAGAGGCATAGGTGAGGTAGGCGGAGCCCGCAGTGATGCCCGTCAAGAGCACAGTGAACGTCTCGTCCAGCTCGGGAATATCGTCGTCGTCAACCGCAATGCTAATCACAGTGCTCGCTGCACCGGCTTCAATCACAACGGGCGCGTCCTGGATGGAGGCGTCAAAGTCTTCACCGCCGGCTGTGCCAGTTCGGACACTGTAGGTGAATGTCACGGCACCAAGCGCTGAGCCAGTGCGCTCCACCGTGACGAGCGCAACACCAGCGCTCTCCTGAGCAATGAATGTGAGGGAAGTGAAACGGACGACGCCGTCCACGGCGTTGCTGGCCTCGATGGCACATGGAATGACAGAAGGGGCGTCAGCATCGAGGGTCGCCAGAGATCCCGAGCTGGGACTCAGAACAATGTCGAATAGACGAACAGGGGCTTGAGCGGCAACGACGTTGAAAGAGTTGGATGTCTGCGACGTCTGGCCAGCCGCAAAGCTCACAGTCCGCACCACTTGATTGTTAAAGTCAGCGGCAGTCACCGGTGTTGTGAATTGCAAGGTGGCATCGCCTGTCACAGTTCCGAATGTGCCGAAATAGCGCGCAACCTCTGCAGTGAAAGTTGAGCCACCAGTGACGAGGAACCGTGCACTGCCATCAGCCGACTTGGTCAACGTTGGAGTGACAAAGCCAATGGTGCCGTAGGGTTTGTCGTTCTTGTTAATGGTCACTGTGATTGTCGACTGTGCACCCAAGGTCGCACCGCCAGTGGGGCTGGACAGGGTAACAGCGAACGTCTCGTCCAGTTCCGGAAGCGAATCCGCACGAATGACGACCTGAATGACCGCACTCGAGTGGCCCTGAAGCAGCGTCACAGTGCCTGCGCCTTCCACAAAGTCCAGTCCAGCTTGGGCATTGACGTTGTGGTCGGAGCCGGTGATGGAGGTCGCCCAGGCAAACGTAACGTCGCCAAACAGGCCTGCCGTTCGAGTAATGGTAATGGACACGCTGCTGTCAGAAGCGGGCTCGTCAACCGCCAATGTGGCAGCGTCAAATGCCAAAACGCCATGCGGGCTGTCGCTTTCCGCAATTGTCACCAGAACGTTGGAAGCAGTCGAGTCAACCGCACCGCCGCCGCTGACAATCTCGAGGCGAACGCCAAAGACCTCGGCGAGTTCAGGAATGGTGTCATCCAGGATGGCAACAAGAGCGTTCTTGGTCAGGATTCCAGCGGTAAACTCGACATCCACAGGTGTCGAAGCGAAATCCAAGTCGATGGTGGCCACAGGTGTGCCAGTTGACGTGTTGAATGCGACAGCGTACGGAGTGACGCGGACAGTGACAGTGCCAACGCTACCACGAGCACGAGTGATGGTGAGACTGGCCGATGATGGTTCAGGCCAAGAAGACGCAGTATTAGCAATGCTGAACAGACCGTAGGGGTAGTCATGTTCGGGCACTGCAACGACCGACGATCCGTAGTAGCCGATCGGAGTCGCTTCGCCAAGAGTCACAGCGGTCGCAGCAGTGATGGTGTACGTCAGCGTTGAAGGGACAGTCGGAGTACCCATGTTTGGCACTGTGATGGAAACCGCAAAAGTTTGCTGGCCTGCGGGAATTGTCGCAACGAATGTGGTGGAACTGGCCACAGTGGAGGTCACGGAAAACGTGATATCGACGGCCGAGGCATAGGAAACGGCGCTGAAACGCTCCAACGTGATTGAGAACTCCGGGTTGGCCATGACGTTGCTCAAGCTGATCTGACGGGAGCCAGCGGACACGCCGACCGTGCCAAACTGCGACTGGCTGGCTTCAATCACGATCTGAGACCTGTTAAAGTGGTCGTCCAATGCCATGTTGACGGGGCTGGCAAGTTGAATGTCGATCGTTTCTTGAGCCAACGCGCTGCCGCTTGCAGCAAGGTTCAGTGTGATGGTCTGCTGATGCACTGTCGAAGAAAACTGCAGCGGTGCCGAAGAAACAGCAGTCAAAGATGCCGAGCTGATGGAAAATTGAACAGTCGCATCAACCTGGACTGGAGCCTCAACAACCAGGGAGATTGTGCTCGTGCCTGACTCGGGTCGACGAACCACCAGGAAGCGAGACGACACATCAAACGCAACGCGACCATCAGCCGCGCACTCCAAACCATTGCCCAAAAAGCCAGGCTTGCAGGCGCACGAGTAGTTTCCAGGGGTGTTTGTGCATAGGGCGTCACTGCTGCACGGGAACGGGATGCCATTGCACTCATTCACGTCGTCGCAGTGCGTTCCGTTGCCGGAAAAGCCAGCCTTGCAGGTGCAAGTAAACGAGCCAATAGTGTCGGCACAAGTGGCATTCGCAGCGCAGTTGTGCATTCCAGTCGTGCACTCGTTGATGTTGATGCAAGATTTGGCGTCAGGCTGCAGCTGGTATCCACTGTTGCACGAGCAAGCGTAGGACCCAGGCAGATTGGTGCAAGTGTGCTGGCAGCCGCCGTTGGCGCTGCTGCACTCGTTGTTGTCGAGACAGCCGGTTTCGCCTTTGCCATCGCCGTTTTTCGTGTAGCCAGTGAGGCAGCTACAGTCGTACGATCCAGGGGTGTTGAGACAAGTTTGGTTGCAGCCGCCGTTCAAGTTGTTGCACTCGTTTGTATCAACGCATCTGAGAGTTGTAGCTGTAGGTGCCCATGCGCCTGTTGTGCTGCAAGTGATGTTTGGAGAGCCTGCAGAGATTGAGTAGCCAGTATTGCACTGGTAGGTGCAAGTGGAGTTGGCGCTGACAGAGCTGCATTGGCTTTTGGTGGTGTTGGTCGGCGCAGCTGGAGCGGTCGGGCAGGAAACGAGCGTGTTGCAACTGGCACCCGTGTAGCCAGGAGTGCAAACCTTAGTGCCTGTTGATGAGCAAGTGTAATAGCCACCGTCATTGGGTATGCAATACACACATGAACCAGAGCCGCTCGGATAGTAGTTGGTGGCGCAAGTGGAGCAGGACGGAGTGCCAGTGTAGCCTGATTTGCAAGCCGTGCAAGCGCCAGACACGAGATCGCAGGTACTACAGTTTCCAGTGGAGGTGGTGCAGAACGTGTCGCACGTCGGCCCGTAATAGTTGGCTTGGCAAATAACACGATACGCAAACTTGATCCAATATGCAGAAGCGAAAGGATTATTGACAGTAATGGGAATGTAAGCAGCAGAAGAGCCCGCTGTGTAGGTTTGGACGATGGAGCCCAGAATCTGGTTTGACAAAAAGTCTGCGTCGTAGAATTCCAACTCGAGTTTGAATGAGCCCTGTAAGATCCGAAACAGCAATGGTGAGATTTCGCCGCGACCAGACTGTTTTTAGAATTGATTACTCACAGGGTAATTGTTGACCTGGCTGGTCGTGAAGTATTGTTCCCAGACTGGATTGTTGTCGTCTTGCAGTTTGGCAACTGAGCCAGAGTACTCAGTGGTTCGAAAAACTGTCGCAAGCGGTGGCTCCCGAACTGTCGTCGCACGCAGGTCCATTGAAGGACGCTGAATCGTAATACAAGCCGATCTTTGCTGGGCCGGCATTGACGTTCACAGCACAAAGCACCGCCAGCAATGCGGTGATTAGCGTAGATCTCATTTTCTAATTCAAATTCAACCAAGTCCGAACAAATTTGTCAGTGTCGTTCTTTGGTGATGCCCAACTAGCCCTCGTCTGCTTCACGTTGCATGCGTGCAAGTTGGACTTGCTGCCAACTACCTGCGGAGCTACGCTAGGAGGGCAGGCGATTGAAGCAGCCGAAGCGGAGCGACCTGTGGGAAAAACGACCGAAGGGTATCCGTTCGACCTCACCCCTGAGCGAAACCGGCTCTCACACACCCGCCCCCACCGCCTTCGGGATGAGAAGGCACAGAAAAGTATCACATCGTGCTTCATCCCGTGTCCCTGTCACCCCCACCCCCTTGCAGGCCGTCTCAGTCCGACTAAACACTTTCGTCTGCTCTGCAACGTGGACGACAGCACGCCCCCTGGTCCGCCCCGTCGTCCACCGCCCGCCCCCGCTCTGCTCCTTCTGAAGCGCCCAAGTGCGAATGACCACCCACTGCCACTATGCGGCTGAGGTGGACGCACGCAAAAACGCGTCGGTTTTTAATGTCATTTTTAAAAATCTTACCATTATTGACGAATGATGATCACGAGCCGATCCTGAATTCACAAACAAAATCAAACAAACCTCGTCTGAGAAACTCAAACGAGCGTCTTGTTGTGCGCTTGATTTCAAGCGTTGACAAAGCAAATCAAGGGGGTGGGGAGAAAGCGCCATTCTGTGCAGGCGTGGACGCCCTCTGCTGCTCTCAGCTTTCAGGATCTGCTTGACTCGAGGCCCTCCCCCCCCCCGTTCTTTCGCTGAGTTGTTGCAAATCGAGCGCTGTGAAAACCACTCGGTTGAATGCAGTTAGTTCACTTTCAGCAGCTTTGCAGTATTGCTCTTTTTTTTTTTTTTTTTTTTTTTTGTGTCAATCTCAGCAGCTTTGTTCAAAAACTCTTCATTGTCACGGCTTTGTGCTCTTCTTCTTCATCTTCTTTTTTTTTTTTCTTTTTTTTTTCCAATATCTTTGGCGTTTGTTCGCCTTCCGTGTTGTTCAACTCTCGCCAGCATTCTCATACATTTGGGTTGAATTTCCAGTTCTCAGCAGCTTCTTCTTCGTCCATTCAGTTTTCATTGCTTGATTTTTTGCGCCTTTTTCAACAAGCAATGGAAGAAATTCAACAGCTTGTCGCTGCGTTGCGCTTTGACGCCGTCGCTGCAGCCTGCGAGGCGCACGAGCTGAATGTGCGTCGACCTCACGACACCCTTCCCCTTTCCCCAGTTCCGCAAATCGGTCTCAGTGGTGGTGGTGGTGGTGGTGGTCGTGTTACTGGGCTGATGTCGGCTTGCTTCTTGGCTGTCGTTCTCCCGCTCGCCTCACATCATCACTCTTCCACTCTTCCACTCTTCCACTCTTCCACTCGCGCTTTGGCTCGTTTCGCTCCTTGGGCCATTCACTCACGCTTGGCTGCTGATTGTTGTGGATGTGCTCGCGGCTGGGGAAACACAGGAACTCGCTCGAGGCGTTCTGCTGCAAGAAGACTTTTACGCCATCGCACTGGCCGCGCTGCTCATCCAGAACGATCTGTAAGAGACGAAGAGGAACAAGAAAAGCGCTGCCTCACTTGCGCTTGGTCGGCTGGGGCGGAGTCGGGTCGAGGGCGGGCTGCTTCGATGGTCGAGCGCTCAACCTTCTAGACTCTCAGACAGGAGCTCAATCGGCCATTCGTGTTGATTCATACCTGCTCTGACTCATGTCGCTCTTGTTTTTGTTGTTTCGCACAGAGAGAACGCAAAGTACCTGTGGAAGCGAATCCCACCAGGAATCAAGCAGCGACCAGATTCGAAGGTGGCCCCAATCTGGAACGTCGGCAAGTTGCTCTGGCAAAAACAGTACACTCTTGTGCACCAAGCTGTGCAAGACCTCTGGACCGTTGGTGTGAATGAGGTCTTGGCTTCCAGCATTCAAGGTACGACGAAATGGCGAAATGACGGGGCGCTATCTTTCATGCAGATCGCGCGGTTGAAATGTTGTTGCTCCATCATTCTCACTTCTCGAACATGCTTGGAATGGTTGGCGTTTGTTGGTGTGTGCTGCCTTCCAGCTGCCGTGCGAGGGCGCGCATTTGATCTCGTTTCGCGCGCATACTCGACCATTTCTGTGACGGATTGCGCTGCGTTGTTGGGTCTATCGGAAAGCGAGACGCTTTCTCGTAAGTGCCGTGTGAGCTCGTTGTTGGCGTGGAGATAGAGAGAGAGCGCATGCTGCACAATGAATACCAATCTCGAGGGGTTTTTTTTTGTTCCATTTCCCAGAAGCATCAGCGGCCAAGTGGCAACTGCAAGACCAATATTTCGTCATTCCTCCGCCAGGTACGTGATATGTTGTGATTTGTGATTGCACACTCCATGTTGGAGGAGCAGTTTATTTGTGTTTTCATGCTGTTGTTTCAACTCACGCTCTTTCCTTGATCTCTTCCGTCCTTCTCCCCCCTTGGTTGGTTTTCCTCTTGCCTATTATCAGTACAAGTTCATTCTATGGAACTCCCAAGCACACAGCAGCTTGAACAGCTAACTCGTTACATTTCACATCTTGAAAAATAAACGGCTGTTTCTGTTCTTTAACTGCGCTTCTCTTGTGCGTTTCGCCGTCGTTCATGTCGCGATGTTATCCTCCTGAAAGCTCTGTTGTTCAATACACATTCCATGATTTTGATCTGCTCGCATTCGACCAATGCAAAGCTGGATCGCTCATTCAGCATCCATCCTGGCAGCTTCTTCCTTTCTGCTGCCAATTTCTTTTGTGACATTGGTTTGTATTTACATTCTAAAACGTCATCATCCATCAGACTCAGTCGTCTTTTGGTTTCCTGTCCATTCAGCGACGATGGGCAAGAAGGACAAGGGCGCCAACCCGGCCGAAGCTGCTCGTGCGTCTCACTCACTCACTGACTCACTCTCACCCGCCACCCATCAACCTCAATGACAAGGACTTGTGCTTTGATCTGTTTGTCTTGTTTGCTTGTCGTGCTCGATTGGACCTCTCGGGCTCCATCCACTCTTCCTCTGCCTTTGCGCCTCTCACTGAACCTCAGTCAAACGCTCCACAACCCAGTCGCTCACTGCCTGTTGCCCGTTCCCAAACAACTTGTATTTTGCTGTGGTTCTCTTCTCACTTGCACAGGTAAAGAGCTGGCGCGTCGGCAGGGAATGAAGGCAAGCGACGGATACGCATGGACATCGTTTTCCCAATGGAAGTGCACTCATCATCCATGGGCGGTGAATATGCATGTTGTGATTGTTTGATTGTGTGTGTGTGTGAATCGCAGAATAAGAAAACCAAGGAGGCGGCGCAAAAGTCGCGCATGTCCTCTGCAGACCCAAAGCGACTGTATGAAGAGTTGGCCGAGCTCACTCGCCAAGGTATATCAACGCGCTCAGACAGATGAGTGATGTGTGCGATGGAGTGTGGGTTGCCGCGAAGATTAATGTCCAAGATGGATGGTGAATGGGAAAGCAAAAACTCTGACTCTGCCGTTCTGGGAACGTTGTTTTTGGTTGCTCTCAGAAACGAATCGGCCAAAAGACGTCTCAATCTACCTCATCCGCGATCGCAAGAAGAAGAAGCAAAGCGAGTTTGATAACGTGATTGCACATTTGGTAAGGCAGCTTGGCGAGCTGAAATCAATCATGCTCACCCTTCCTCGCGTGCACTTGCTCACGTGCATCGCTGTGCATCACTACCGCGCAGACACGCAACGACAAGGCTGGGCTGGACGCGTTCAATCGGTAGCTAACTTTATTTCCTCGTTTTGATCCCATCTCGATCGCATGACGCTCACTGGTGCTTGTTTTTGCTTCGTCTAGTTGGAAATCAGACTTTGATGAAGTAGCTTCGGCAAAATTAGTCGAGGCGACCGCCGCAAAGCACGAGAAAAAGCGTGCCAAATTGACCAATAATCGGGACCAGTCGGCCAACAACGAAAGCGACGAGCTCAACACGCACGCCTTTCCCCCACCTCCGTCTGCGTATTACGGCGACACATCCGCCCCTGGATGGGCACCTCCAACACTGCCAGGTGGAGGCTATGCGCTTCCGCCAGGTTTCTCTGCCCCATCCGCGTCGCGGCACCCTCCGCCGCCAAAGTTTGTTCCAGGGCCACCCTCCAATCTGGCTTTCGACGACACTGCTGCCAAGAGCCAAGAACGTCAGAAAGAGCGTCTGGCTACCCTTGCTCGACTGCGCGAGCAGGCCTCCAAGGCGTCCTCGATTGTTGACGACGCATTGGCGGAACTCCAAACGCGCCAGCAAACCCTCATACATCATCCCGACAATATTCGTGCACCAGAGTCGGACGACGAGGATGGTGATGTGCTTGATTCAGAAGAAGACGAGGAACCGAGAAGCGGTCGTGCCAAGAAGCAGGACAAGGAGGTGAAATGGAGCACAACGGACGATTTCGACATGGACAACACCCCGCCCAAGCAAGCGCCACCACCACCACCACCACTGTTGCCGTTACCTGTTGCGGCCGCTGCTGTTAGTGCGCCGCTCAATGTTGGTGGCGGTTTGCTACCTGTACCTGGAGCGGCTGCGCCGCCGCTTCTTCCAGCCCCAGCTCGCCCTGCGTCTTTGCTTCCTCCCCCGCACCCTTCATTGCCAGCGCCTGGCATGGGATTCCGCCCACCGCTTGCTGCTGCAGCCTTTCCACCCACCCAACCTTACTCGAATTTTCCACCCCCGCCGCCGCCATTGCATCAAGGTGGCCCTGCATATGGCCTCCCTCCTCCTCCTCCTCCACCACCCTTTCCCTACGCTTCATCACAGTTTCCGCCACAGGTTGCCGGGCAGCATCAGCATGCCGGATTCCCTCCGCCGCCACCGCCGCCCTTCTCGCAGCATCCATCGCAACAGCAGCAATACCCCTTGCCACCGCCTCTCCCGTATGGCCACCCTGCCCATGGCCAGCCCTACTATGCGCTTCCTCCTACTGGCCCTGCGTACGCTCCTGCCGCTCCAGGCGGACCTCTGCTGGCAACGCCCTCAATGACGAGCGCTCCTGTCGCTCCTCCGTCCCAACAACCCGTGGCCGCGCCAGCTCCGATTACCCCGATCGAGCAGCCTGTCGTACCAAGTTCGAAATCTGCTGCGCCTTCTTCCGGCCTTGGCGGCTTGCTCGCATCGTACGGCGATAGCGATGATGAAGATGATGCAGCTGCAGAACCAAGCAAGCCGCAGCAGCAGCAGCAGTTTGCTGCGCCTCCTCCACCACCCCCAATCCCACTTGCTCCTGCGTTTCCGAGCGGAGCGCCTGCGTATGGCGGGCGTTTGCCTCCGCCACCGCCGCCGCTGCTGGCCGGCATGATGGCTCGTCCTCCGCCTCCTCCTCCACCCCCGCTCGCCCAGCATCCCCAGTTTCAGCACTACCAGCCTCAGCCGCAGTTTGGAAACGCACCTGCGTATTACGGGCCGCCTCCAGGCGCGGCGCAAGTCGGCTCGTCAGCAATGCCCATCACTGCGGTCGTGCCCACCATTTCAGCTGCGCCGGCAATCCGCAACCTGAAGCAAAATCTGACAAAGTTTGTACCAACGTCGTTGCGGAACAAGAAACCGCAAGACGGTGCGACAGCGGGTCCGACAGCCTACGCGTCGTCCTCATCTTCTGCGGCTCCTGCTGCGGTGGACGATCAGGAAGCGTCTCAAGGCAACGCTCAGGGTGCCAAGCCGTCCACTGACGATGCTTACAACAGCTTTATGAAGGACCTTGAAGGCATCCTTTGAGATCCTTTTGACTCGAAAAGCAACGAACGCACCTTTTCAAGGCTAGAATGTCGTCATTTTTGTTTACTGTTTTTTGTTTGTTTTTTTGGTTGTAGAGTCACGAGTTGGTTTTCTTCCTCCTTTTAAATGTTGGAATGGAGGATTGGTTGTGTCTTTTTGCTCATGGCTGACCTCACACGAGAAACTGCAAGGGATGGGCTGGAAAGTGAGTCAAAAGTGCATGAACGATTCAATTTCAATTCAATCCGCCCAGAGTCATCCCCTCGGCGTTCATTTTCATTCGCAGAGAAATCAGTAAAGCGATGGTTGAATGTACTTCCAACAAAGACTCCTGGAGCTGGCTGGCTTTGGGATCCCAGCAGCAGAGCGAATCGCGACTTTGGAGCACTTGCGTATGCGTTGACAAAGCGTTGCGGTAGTGCAAATCAATTTGGCCCCTTTGTCCTTCGCACGTCTCAAAGACAACCATCATCCAACGCAACCGCAATGCTTTTTCCGCCATTGTCTAAAACTTCTCAATCGACGAGTTGAAGCACTTTATGGTGTGAGTGGTCGGCAAATCGAGTTTTGGTAGCTTTTTTTTTTTTTTTCCATGCACTCGTGGCCTTCACAACCACACCTTCTCACTCATCCTAATTCGAATTTTGAATCCATTTCAACTGATCGTTATGGCTCAGTTCACTCTTTGTTCTTTTGAATTTCGTGACTGACTGACTGACTTTGCATTGGGACCAATTGTTCAGTAAAACTGACCTTGGTTCGACTCGCTGCAAAATCCTTCGCTTCTCTCGCTCTTCTCGTTCGCCCATTTCCTTGGCTACGAGGACGCCTTGTACCTTGACTTGCGCATCGCCCGACTTCAGCCACTGGCACTAATCGACTCCGAGAGGGGGGGGGGAAAAGGCACAAACACAATGACCCAGCGGTTGCACGAGCGGCGAAATGCAGCGGCGGCGACCACGGATGCTGCTACTGCGTCGTCGCACAACAACCACCACGGCCACCCGCACAGCCACGCGCATGCGCATCACCACCAGAGCCACCACTCGGCCGCGGCGCACGGCCGGCACGACATGCAGGCCGACCATCCATCGCCTGCCGTCTTCACCCCGCCGGCGTTCAGCGACCATCACGCCGCCAACCACGCCGACCGCGGCTGGGGCAACTTTGGCGGGCCCCACTTGCGCTCGCACGGGCTCACACCGGGCGCCTCGGGCCACCACGAAACGAGCAACCTGCTCTCCATCCCAGGTAGCGCAGTACGCAGTGTATCAAACAAACAAAACTCACCAAAAAACTATTGAAAAAGAAAAAAAAAAAAAAAGGCGAATTTGGCGCGCATTTTTTCAAATCTTGGCTGTTTCAACATCAGATTCGCTGTGTTGTTTCGGGTTGGATTGTGGAGGGGGGTTTTTTCGACTTGCTTTATTTAACAGTGGTGGAAATTTCGGAGATTGAGACGCTTTGAATTGTGATGCTTTGCTGGTTGTTTTGATTTTCGCTCATTTTTTTACCGTGTCTTGCGTTTGGTTGACAGGATTTGCAGGTCCTCTGTCCACGAATAGCGAGCTGGAACTCATCCAGCAAATTAGCCCTTTTGATGCAAGCTTTGCGCAGGTTTTGACGGATGACGGGGACCGCGCTTCTCGAAGGTCGCGACGGTCGAAGGAGAATGGCGCTGCAGCGTCGCCGGGCGTCATTCACATCACGCCAGCATCGCCGCGTCCCCGAAGTGGTCGGGTGCGCATGGAGGCACATGAACCGGAGCAGGCGGCGGATGCGAGCAGCCATGAAACAGACGACGAGCCCAGCGCGGGTCCACGACGAAGGCACTCGGAGCGCAACGGCCGCCGCCAGTCCCCATTCACAATTTCAACCGCGCCAGAGCAACAGCTGTCCGCAAGAATCATTACAGAAGCCGACATGGAGCACTCGTCCAACGCCGCGCATCCGCGTCGCTCTGCTCGCATTGCGGCAAGTCCTGGCCTGCTGCTCTCCACATTTCAAATCACGGAAGTCATTACTCCGTCCGTCCTGTCGCGAGTGGCTCTAAATACGCCGTTCTTGAATGAGGTGCATTCTGGAATGCTTGATCTGGACAACATGCCGCACGAACCCATCACTGCCTCGATTGTCCACACAACGACCCCGGCTCAACGCGTGATTGAGCTGGCCAAGCCCGTGCTCTTGCCTGGACGGCAGCGGCGATCGCTCAACGGCACGCGTCCCACTCTTTCATCGCCGGGGGTGGATGCGTCGTCTTCGTCGTCTCCCTCACTGTCTGCGTCCGACGCGACATCATCCAATCTTCCCGTGTTTGTTGTTACTTCAGCCACAGCCCGCGAAGCCCTGCCTGGCACCACTTCAGCAGCCGCAGCCTCAGCAGCCGCAGCCTCAGCAGCCTCGGCGTCCCACCGGAACAAGCCCACACACCCCCATACTGCGGTGGTTGGTCCCCCGCCAATCACCCCTGGCACATTTGATCGTTTCATCTCCCCGCTGTTCCAGTCTGGAGAGGCGGCTTCGGTCGCAAACACGACAAGTGCCGCCCCTTCTAGCTCTGTTAAAAAGTCGAGCGCCGCGAAAGCAGTCAAGCCCAGTAAGCGCTCTGCGGCGGAGGCCGACTTGGACGTGAACGACTCGGACGCGGACAGCACTTCCGAGTTTACTGCCCGGCCCGGCGCCACAGAGGAGGAGCGTCGCCAGCTGGCCCTTGCACGCAACCGCCAGGCAGCCTCTCGGTGTCGCGCCAAAAAGAAGAGGTGGCTGTCCGATCTCGAACAGCGCGAGCAGTCCATTCAAATGCACAACAGCGCGCTCGTCCTCGAGGTTGAGGAGCTGCGCATGGAGATTGAGCGTCTGCGCCAGGTGCTCTTGAAACACACCGACTGTGCAGTGACTCGTGCACTCCAGGCCAGCGGTGGCGACACAGGGATGGAGGTCAAACCCACGATTGCCTCGGCCTCGAATCGAGTCGCACAAATAGAGCAGAATGCCGAAATCCCAACCAAACCCACTGTCGTCAAGTTTGCCCTGCGAACCCCTGCAAAGCACTCTCAATCAACGTACAAGTATGCAGGGTGAAAAGGCGAGGTGGGGGAGTTTTGCATGGCAAAAATGTATCCGCTTTGATAGTTGGTTGTATTCGCTTGCTTTTGGTGAGTTTTTTGGTGTGATGCTCTGGTCTAGTACACTGCCAAGATCTCCGTTTGTTTTGTTGCAATGTTTACATTGTGTATTGTTGTTGTTCTTAACACTTTTTGTTTCTTTTTTCGTTTGCATCTACCGTTGATGATCTTTCAAGTGTTGCAACTTTTCAATCTTTGCGCTTCGTTCGTGGTACAGCCGCCGCAGACCTTGGTAGTCTCGCACAAAGTCGTCCACGGACGAGCATTCGCCTGAGCGCAACTGTTCGGCCAGCGCCTCGGATTGGCTGTCGGCCTCGGTCGCTGCCACTTTCAGTGATTGGAGAAGAGCATCTGTACTAAATCGCTGCGAGATGGCCATCATAAAACGACAAGTAAATCGGTGAGTGCGCGATGATGCGCAAAGACTGCGAGTCGTGGTGGCCTTACCCGGGAAGCCTCTTGTTGTTCTTGGAATAGGGCATCGTATTGCTGCTTTTTGTTTGCCAGCTCGGTGTGTAGCTCTGCCAGCCGCGAGAGTTGCTCAATAAAGCGCGGCTCCAGCGCCAGGTTTTGTTCTGTATGACGGGGGAAAACAGTGAGAATGAACGCTTCATCCGGTTTTGGTTTCTTCTTTCAATGGCATGCACTCGCTGTCGCTTACGCGCAATATCGTGGTTCTTGGCCAGCAAGTCCGACCGGGCTTTTGCGATGGATGCGCACATTGGCATTTCTGAGCAAATCTGGTCGAGCAACTGCTCGTCTTCCAGCAACGCGTTCAACTCGCTCAGCGACGTCATGGCCTTGAGATCCGGGAACTGCTCGTAGATGGTGTGTACGCCGACTGTTTGTATCTGTGACTGCTGATCGTGGTAGACCTGTTGTGTGTACAAAATGGTAGGGCAGCGAATGAGGTTGGTTAGGTTGGATGGTAAGAACTCGCTGTTCCAGTGAAGTGCCGGTTACTCTCCGAGTTCACTAACAACGACGCTCACGTCACCAACAATCACCATTTCCCCCTCTCTCCCTCTCCCTCACTTTCATTCCGCTGGATTGGACCTTACCGTTGGCTGGCGTGGTGGCAATCCCCTGCTGTTGCTGCTGCTGCTCCCGCTGGGCTGAGGCTGCGCTGGCATGGACGCCGGCGACTGGCTCCGGAAGCTCGGGTACTGAGGCTGTGGCGGCATTGGGTACGCCGAGCCCTGCTGCTGCTGCAGCGATGTTGGGTACGGCAGCTGCTGCGGATGATACCGTTGCTGCAGCGGTGGTTGCTGCTGTTGCTGCTGCTGCGGCTGCCCGTGGTAGTTGGTGTACATTGGCGCAGGGAGTTTGACAAAGTGGAGTTGAACAGCGAAAAACTCAATGGAAAACTCAATGGAAAACTCAATTAAAAAAAAAAAAAAAAAGACTAGAAACTTGTTTCAACTTTCTCAGATTGTCGTTTGACTTTCTGAGATTTGGTGATCAAGTTTTATTTTAACGTTTTGTTTTTCTGTTTTGTGATTTGGTTCACTTTTTTTGTTTCTGAGTTTTTTTTTTTTCAGGTTTTTGGATGGTTTTGAAATTTGCGCCAAAAGTGCCGAATTCTGGTTTGTCGACGGCGACTTCGACGCGGCGAAGACCGGTCGCGGCAGTTGATGCGCCTGCAGTGTCACAGCAGCAGGACGACGAGGAGCACGACGCGAGCCGGGCGACCGCAGCCCCGCCAGCAACAGAGGTCGAGGCCGAGCGCGCGAATGCACCACGCGACGACGCCGACAACCACCGCCACAACCACGACGACGCTGCCCCGACTCCTGATGATGCTGCTGCTGCTGCTGCTACTGCTTCTGCTGCTGCTTCTGTTGGCACTCAGGAAGCATCGTCATTGTCATCGTCATTGCCATCGCAGCTGCCGTCCGCGGCGTCGTCCATCGCTTCGAATACTGCCGTACCGTCGTCGTCCCCTTCTGCGCTGCTCTCGTCGGCGGCGGCTGCCATTGTCGGACTGACAGCGACGGCAACCGCTCCTGCTGCAAACAAGCTCCGGTTTGCACCGCGCATCCCGCCAGCGGGTGGAGCTGCTCGGAGACCGGCCGCCGCCGTTGCCATCGCCATCTCCACTCCAGCCAACTTCAATGAGGACGACGCGGCCACCCAGGGCGCTTCCCAGGACACTGGAGCACCGTCGAGCGATGCACACAGTGGAACAGATGCTGCTGGGACTTCTGCTAGTGGGGGATTGAGCACTCGTCCCGCTGCTTCAACCTCGGCCTCAAGCGGTCGCCCGATTGCCTCACTCATCACCATACCCTCGTCATCAGCAGCAGCATCATCATCATCGTTGTCGTCGAGTGCGCTGCCATCGTCTGCATCGTCCTCGTCCTCGTCCCGGAATGCGGCAACTGCCATTTCTGCTCCAGGCTCTGGCGCTTCGTTAATCTCCATGCCCGAGTCAATCGAGCCCGCCTATATCAGTCATCATGGTGCTAGTAGTATTAGCAGCAGTAGTGGTACTAGTAGTACAGGCGCCAGTCATAGTCAGATGGACGCCAGCAGTCAGTGGTCGCTGCAGCGATGGTCGGAATCTTCAACAGCTCACCATTTAACAACGAGCGCTTCGATCGCCGATGGCAACGACCCTTCGTCCATGCTCGTGCCGGCGACAGCCGTCAAAAAGTCAAAAAAGCGCATTACAGGTGTCAGCGATGTCAACAAGCTGACCATGCGTGACCTGATTTACTACAATCCGACCAACAATCGCATGCAATCCACCATCGAGACGCGCAAGCGCCGTGCCGCTGCCTCTGCCGAGGCTCGCAAACGCACCAAGCTCGATTCTTCCAGTCAAGCTGGCGATGACGACAATGCAACGCGGAGTAACGATGTGAGCGGAGGGAGCGAGGACGAGGACAGTGACGACGAAGCAGACGGCAGCAGTAACAACAACAGCATGCTTGGTGCCAGTGCCACTGAAGAGTCTGCTGCTGGTGGCATCAGGGATCACGCCGTCCCCGTGCCCAGTCTCGTCGCAAGCCGCTCGCTGGCCGTCCCAATTGCCTACGGGAGCAGCGAGGCCCCTCCTCTGGCTACAAGCACCAATGTGATTGCGCCTCAGCTCACCATTGACGCTGAGGGCAACATTGTGATGGCCAAGGACAGTTTGGTGGTCACAACGACCACAATTGCGCCAGAGGCCAAGGTTGTTGGCGAAGCCATCAAAGAGACAGGCGTCATGTCGACCTATGCATCCTACCTCAAGCGCTCCAAAGCGGAACGCTGGACGCCGCAGGAGACGGCACGCTTTTTCGAGGTACTGAGCATGGTTGGCACCGACTTTTCGCTGGTCAACCAGTTCTTCCCGGACCGCGACCGCCGCCAAATCCGCAACAAGTACAAGCGAGAAGAACGAGAAAACCGGGCGCGGGTCGACTATGCCCTGCGCAACCGCAAACCGCTCACAATGGCCATCGACGTGCACGGCACCGGTGAGCCAGACTTGCTGCCCGTCCTACCGCGATCTGCCGCATCGAGTCCCTCCAAAACGTCAGATCTTCTTGCTGCAGCCGCTGCTGCAGCGGCCAGTGCTGCCTCCAGCCCTGACGTCAAGACACCACGGCGGCTCGCCAAAGTCCACATGAACGGTTTGCCCGACATTGAAGCCGGCGAGGACGAGCGCCTGTTCCTGGAGCAGCTCTTCCACCGCATGGAGGAGGATGCTGCCGCCCCGGGCTCTGTCGCGTCGAGTGCTGCTGCTGCTGCTGCTGCTGCACCGGGATTGCATGCTGCACTGCCTGGGCCGCCTACTACTACTACCACTGCTGCCACGTCGGGTAAATCCGCAAAAGCTGGATCTTCGCGGCAACGTCCGTCTTCCGAGTCGCTCGGCTTTGGCTCTGGACGTCCGACGACCATTGGCCTACCGCTGGGTAGTGGTGAAGATGCATCTGGCTTTTTGTCAAGATCGACGAACGACGGTGGTGGCAACGACGACGACGATGGCGACGACAACGAGCTCGTCCACACTGGATATGCCCAAGACAACCGCGACGACTATGATGAGGCTGACGAGTATTAAGCATTGCTTTTGGTGCTCGTCTTGTGATGTCAGCAGCAGCGACGTGAGCTGAGCTGAGCTGTTTTGTTAATGACCCATTCATTCTCTGCTTTTTTTATTTCTGATTTTCACAATCCTGCAATCCCGTAGATCGAAGCTTGAGTTTGTTTGCTGTACACTATTTAGTATCTTGTTGTTGGCACTCTCAGAAATGCGGCTCAGAGCTCAGTCCTTCATCACAGACACACACAGACACCAAATGGCTGCTGTCCAGAAGCTCGCACAGTTCGGCACTGCCCTCGTCCAATCGAGTGGCAAGCTCGTCAACACCACCATCCGTACGTCTGCGGTGACACACTGACTCTGCTGGTTCCCCCCTTCCCTTCCCTTCCCCTTTCTCTCAATGAAAGCAAAGTTTGAAGGGTTTGTGATTTTTTGGCTGGAAACCCATTATTGTGGAAAAAAAAAAAAAAAAAAAAAAAAAAAAAACACGAGGAAATCAAAACGCTTTTTTTTTCTTTTTTTTTTTTTTTTGCTTTTGCTCCATTCATATCATAGTTTCAAAGTGACTTGTGTTTCATGCTCTGTTGTTTTTTGGTTTTGACATTGAATATGTGCGAATTGGATGATTGTGAGCGGGGGTCGAACTGTGAGCCGGGGGAGCGCGAGAGAGTGATCGCACACAAGGAGGAAAAACGAGATCTTTCCCCCCACCTCCCACTCTCCCTCTCTCCCTCTTACCACACGCAACGATGGCCAAAGCGGCTCAATGCATCAAGGAGAGGGTGTGCAATGTGAGACGTGGTCGCAAAAAAAAAGCGATCGCTCGTGCGTGACTGGGATGCTGGACTGGCGACGACGAATGCAATCCCCAGCCATTCGCACTCCATGACTCCATCACTCCATCACTCCATCACTCCATCACTCTGCAATGTCATTCACCAGGACGGATTGAGTGCTGGGTGTGAGTCTGGCAAACGCGAGTCGCATTCAGCAAAACAACCCACTCTCAAGCTCACTCTCAATCTCACTCTCAGTCTCATTCACTCCTTCACTCACTCTCGTCCGCTTTGACCTGTGTGACCTGTACACCTCTTTAGGCTGCGCTGAGACTGTCGCGCCGCACGTCAAGACCTTCGCCAAGAACGCCAAGGCCGAGCTCCTCCCTCCCCTGCCAGCAGAGTTTGGCGAGGTCTCGCGCGACGCCAGCAAGGTCATCCACTCGGCCCAAAAACTCTCCTTCCTCAACCTCCCCATCAAGGAGGCCGTCCAGAAGACCCTTGTCGGCGTTGAGATTGCTTGCTGGTTCTTTGTCGGCGAGATTATTGCCCGTGGCAGCCTTGTCGGCTACGCAGACAAGCACGCCGATGCCCACCACGACGCCCATCATTAACCAAGAGGGGGAAAAAACAACAAAATAGATCGTCCTCGTCTCCCGTGAACAACAATCAACCACCGAGGAGGCGCAACGCGTCTTTGTGCAAGGCAATGTTGAATGCTCTGGGATTGGTGGCTTTGTTTGAGCGGACCGGTGATTTGAGTTTTTTTTTTGTTTTTTTTTTTTGTTGGTTTGTGTTTGTATGTTGTGTGTGTGTGTTTGTGTGTGTGCGTGTATTTGTGAATGTAGTTATGACCTCATCCAACCCACGAACCTTCCCAAAAGTACCAATCCTGTGGTACAAACACGACTCGGCAAAAATGGTTGAATGCACTCTTCAACACGCTTGCTGCGAAGGTCCGTGCTTGTTCACTGCGTTGCTGGCTGACTCAGGAACGATTGGTTGCGCTTGCGGTCGGCTTGGTTTTTGCGATCGTGGTTGGCGCGCTTGGCCTTGTTCTGGCGCGCGTTTGCACGGGCGCGGTCGTCCGACGGCCCACCACCTTCACGGCCTCCATGCTGAGAATGGTGCGGGCCCCCGCCGCCGTGTGGGCCTGTGCCAGGCGGGCCTCGACCGCGACCTCGTCCGCCCTGTTCACGAGCAGCCAATGCGCAAGTCAGAAAAGGATGGCGAACACACCCAAAAACAAAACAAACCCCACCCAGAGTAGTACAAACTTACAGCCGGCGGACCAGCACCTTGAGGGACTGCTTCGCCAGATTCTTCATCGCTGCTTCCACCGTCAGCGCCTTTCGTGCTGCGGTGTATTTGAAGACCACGCTGGTTGAGAGGCTGCAACAAGGACCCGTCGGCCGATTTCTCTTGCACCGCCAGCTTGGCCTGGTTCATCTCTTGCTGCGAGAGCACACGACCGCCCTTGCCATAAACCAGAGCATTGGGACCTGAAGCTGCAGCGACTGCAGCAACAAGCACCTCTCCAGACGACTTGTCGCGATTGGCCGCAGCAGTACGAGCCAAGATTTGGGCCGACGGCACAGCGACGCCGCTGGTGTCCAAAGCCGACTTGGCAGCGCTCGCCTTGCTTCGACCGGTCTGCTGAGGCAGCTCTTCGCGATCGTCCGCTTGGAGATCGCCAAAGTCGAGGTTGTCGTCGTAAGTGTCATCGTACTCGTCGTCGTACTCGAGCTCATACTGCGACTCGAGGATGGCTGCCTTGGCTTCTCGAACAAATGACTTGTCATCGAGAAGGTCACGGGCATCAGCAGGCTCAGCACTAGGAAGAAACACGAAAACCAAAAAAAAAAAAATGAGCGGGATGATACACATTGAAAAGTCGACGCCTTTCTAACATACCGTCGTCCCACATGAATGCGTGACGAATCGATGGTTGTTGAAGCACCCTTGAGCAGATCAAACTCATCGTGATCGAACACGTTGAGGCGCTCGTCAAGCAGCGACCGCCCAGCTTGGTGGACAGGCACAACTTGTGCGGCATTGGAGCTTCCTGATGATGTGGGATAGCTGGCATCTTTTCGATCATGCGCGCGAAGCTGCGGGGGCAAACTGCTTTCGTCAAACAGCGCATCTGTCGTGCGTTCGACGCTCATGTCAAAGTGCTTCAAGCAAGCCGCCACGAAGCCGACACCCAGGTCGGGGAAGATGTCACGAATCGCTGCAACCTTTTGTTGGAGGTCTGGCGAAGGCTGTTGCGAGTATTTCGTGGTGATGAAGGAGAAGAGAAGGTTGGAATCGAATCCGGTTGCGCCAAAAACAAACAAAAAAAACCTAAATCTGTGTGTTGTTACCTGGCCGGGGTGTTGCTTGGACGCTGGACCAACATCGCCGAGTCGCTTTCCCGCAGTTGAGGTAGATGGAGGAGGAACGCGAGCGGCAGTTGCGCCCTTACGCTCAGAAATGGCCGCAATGCCGTCGCACACAAATCGGATTCGTGTATCATCGCTGTCGACGACGACAACAACAAGTGGAATGGCACATGTGTGAGCATTTCATTACAACCGAGGAGCAGGCGCAGAGCTCCAAACGAAACCAACCAAAAACAAACAAAAAATAAGGAGAACGAGGGACGCTTACATGAACTTGTTGACGCGGCTCAATCTTCGCAGACGATCCGTCAAGTAGAAACGCTGCTCGAGAGCAAATACAACCTTTTGCATGGAAAGAATGATGGTAATGTTATCAAACATGCTGTCCAGTCGCGCAGAGAAAGCCGGTGGTGCCCAGTCGCCGCCAGAGGTTGGCTTGTCGGCATGGGCCTCGCTTGAGACAGTCAAGGGCACGAGATACACTGCATCGAGAACTGCGTGTACGAGTGCCAGCACACTCCGTGAAAGGCGAAGCAGGCTCGATCGGCCAGCCTCGACCGAAGCCCAGGCAGATTCCGGGACTTCCACATCCGGTGTCGACGGCACGGTAGTCACCTGGCGAGCAGCAATGCTCCAGTAGGACAAGAGGCGAGGTAGAAGCGAATCAGCGACGAACGCCGACCGCAAGAGCAGGTTGCCTTGCGAGGTAAAGTCGGTTTCACCGATCGGAACTTCTTCCACAACCGCCTTGCGCCCCTTGACGTGGGAAACGGGGAACATGAACAAATCCGCAGAGACAGGCAAAACATTCACAAACGACTCGAGCGCATCGAACGCGTCCGCGAGCTGGCACGAGTGCTGAATGATGTCGCGAGGAGTGGCTTTTGGTTGGGTGGACGAGACCTGGCTGCCAGCTCGAGGCACAGGAGCGCCACTGTCGTAGAGGGAGGAAGAGCCGCCGCAGGCGGTGGATAGCCAGACGACTTCAGTGGCAATGGATTGAAGCGTGGCAGGACGAACCAGCGTGCTCAGGTCGGACATGTACTTTGGCTGCCGCGCAAACAGGCCGGCAAGCAAGCCTTGAACCAGATCATGGTTGCTGCGGGCGTACAGCGAGGCAATGTCCATCATCTTTGGAATGTCAAAGATAAAGTTGTCGTACACAATGCTCGCGTGGACGGCGTCGCTCATAAAGTGTTGCCGCGACTCGCTGGGGACGCCCATCCGGAGCAGCAGCAAGAATACGGCGTGGTGCAGCTGCTTTTCGAGTTGAAGGAGCCGAGTTGCTTCTGTCTCGACCTCAACGACATGGGTAGTAGGTGGTTGGGCGGCGGCTGTTACAACTGGCGGGCGGGTCGCTGACATTCCATCCTCGCCATCACTCTGAGAATCGTCACTCGGCGCAGCAGCTGCTTTGCCCTTGCCTTTGCCTTTGCCCTTGTCGTTGGCTGGAGCTTTGCCCTTGCCCTTGCCCTTGCCCTTGCCCTTGTCGTTGGCTGGAGCCGGCGCGGGAAGGGCGGCAGGCTGGAGTGGTGGGAAATCGCCACTCGTTGCGTCAAACTCGTCCCCGCCGACATCGGTGAGTGCCGCTGACAGGCTCTGTGAGAGTTGATCAAACCCTTGCTGCCATGCATTGCGCCAGGAGACGAGTCTGATCAATGGCACCCAGGACCGCGGGGCAAACTTGAGGTACAAGTCGATGAATCGCTGCAGCGGCAAGCAATAGACGGCATGGCTCCAGAAGACCGAGTAGTTGAGCTGCAATAGCCACTGCACATCGCCCAGCATGAGCGTGAGGGCCTCGACGCGCAGCCGAATGCCCGCGTCAATGGCGGCGGCAGCGTTCGGGTTGGCGATCAGCGCGCTCGGCGGCGGCAGGACGGGCGGCGCAGTGTATGGCAGGAAGCGCATCGTGTGTGCATCTGCAGAGACCCACTGTGCGTCGAGATCGCGCACGGGCTTGAGCAGCAGCGCGGCCTCGTCCACGACCATTGTCAGCGAGTTCTCCAACGCGACGGGCGGCTTGCTCTGCTCGTGCGCCGCGGCCTTCTCGCGCAAGTCCTGTCCATACAACAAAAAATAATCAGGCAAAAGCATGCGAGAGAAGTGTGAGTGGAAAGGCCAAAGGTTTGGGGAGGGGAAAAGTCGAGCGTTTTCGTTTTTGGTATGGGTGAAAGTATTGTGTAATACTGCTTCAATGGATTGCATTGGATTCAGTGAGCTTGCATTACGATGGTTGGGTGATTGCATAAAAAAAATGTCGGTAAAGCGCTTCAATGGATTGGAAATTGACCCCGATCTGGTGTTGAAGCAACAAAGAGTTTAGAGAGGGGGAGGGGATGAGGGTACCTGCAACTTGGCAGCGCGATCAGACATGGAAACAACAACAACAAAAAAAAAAAAAAAAGAGAGAGACTGAGAAACTGCAAGGATGTTGGATGGAAATGGAAAACCACGAATATCACGATGATGATGATGACATCGACATGATGGGGGGGGGTGAGGAAGAACAAAAGCGCGGAACGTGAATGGGACTGGGAACGAAAAGCTGTAATCGGACATTGGTTGGGTTGGCTGCAGAAGCATCATCATCCGCCACGCAACATGTTGATCAAAGGCATGTTCACGACAAACAGCATGGCTAAATCACCAAACTGCACGTGAATAGAACACAACAAAGGTGTGAGCATCCAAACACACACACAAACAAACCCAACATTAGAACCCATTGCTGGCTCACCTCAATCAGTGCGTTGTGCGGAAGATGCCGCTTGGAATTCGGGGGAACAGCGGTGCCGTTGATAAATATGGAGCGGCGGCCAACATTAAACAGCCTAAAGTTGCCAGTCGGTTTGAGCTTGATGATGGCCTGGAGTCCAAACACAAGAAATGACCTCAGTTGAGTTTTTTTGCTGTTGTTGTTGTATGTCTGATAGACACGATTGCAGCCACAGGAAAAGAACAAGTCGCGTTGTCAAGGGGGGGACAACAACAAGACTCACCTGGCGGCGCGAAACTTTGGAGCTCGCTCCTTCACGCATCAAGTCAACATCGACAGGGCTGAGTGGCGTGTCTCGACCAATAACAATCTGCCGCGATGTCATGGGATGCCGGTGTTGGCCTCCCACAAGCATTGCCAGCGTCTTTCCATCAAACAGCGCATCGGGCAGCGAGCGAACGTGAGCATCGCGCTCACGTTGCAGCGCATTGAGTGCAGCAGCTTGATCGTCGCCACTCCCATTTACTGCCGCAGCTAGCGCCGTAGACTGCGATCGTGCAAACATTGTGAATCCCAGCCCAGCCGAAAGCTCGAGCTCCAGTCGACGTAACTGGCGTTTCTGTGTGTGATCGAACATGTCGAGCTCTGTGGAAGCGCAAAGCAGTCGGGACAAGAACAGTGTCATGTTGCATGCACAGATGAGTCGTGTGAGAGAAAGGAGACTGGTGTCAATCAGAATCAAAATGCGGCGAGAGATACACGATGAAAGCAAAAAAAAAAAAAAAAAAAAAAAAAAAAAGTCCAAACTCACCTTTCTGAAGCAACTCGTTGACCTGATCTACTTGTTCAATGCGCTCCTTGACAGTTTGCTCGATGGTCACGGATGATTCGGGATTGACAGCGGCAGAAGCAACATCCTGCCCGGAAATGTAGGCGTCAAACAAGGCGGACGCCCCAAACCGCACGAGCGTTTGATAGTGTTGAAACAGAGACTTTGCAGTGCGACACAAATGGAACTTTGCTCGATTTTGCTCCAGAATGTCGGCGAAATGTTGTGGCGCGCATGCAGAGAGCAGTGGGTCGAGCTGCCCGGAATTCTGTGTGGGGGTGACGGTGGCATCGGTAGCGGTGGCACTCGCATTCGCGTCTGTACCAAGCGTCAAAGAGCTCGGTCCAACTGCTGGCGACAAGGCGGCAGTTGACATGAAGGTCGAATCGGACGGATCTGCAGAGGGCGTTGCTGCGCTTTCGGCCGCGAAGGGAGCGGGCGAAAAAGCGGTGGCGGGACTGGCCGCAGCACTGGATGACGATAGCGGTGTGGCAGATGATGTGAGCGGCTGTTGTTGCACGCTCAATGGCGCCGTTGGTGGTGGAGATGCACTTGCAGAGGGCAGCGCAGAGGAAGCAGCGCGCTGGACTCGCCAATCCGCGACCGCCTGTAACAACACCAGCTCTTCAGCAGCGGACCATGGAACTTTTTGCAGCACCAGGTCAGTGGCCAGCGTTGGAACGACAGTCGCGATGCCTGCCACCAATTCGGCCGACACTTCGCGATCGTACAGCAGCGCCTGCCACCGCTGGGTGACCTCGGCCAATGTGTGGTGGTGCGAAAACGGAGCGGCAAGGAAGACGCGCTCCAAGCTTGCAGTGTGCTGCACGCCAGCCACGAGCAGAGCATCGTCCAAGGGCGTCCAGCGCGCCCCGTACAGCGACGGCTTGGCGCCGAGCAGCGCGGTGATGGCCTGAGGTTTGAGCCTGGCCTGCAAGCTCGTTGCAGCCATCGTATTACCGTTCGACAGGAACGGATCTGCGCTACCTGCACCCGCAGACGACGACGACGCGCCAGTCGCGACAGTGGGCCTGCGCGGGATGCTAGCGGGGGCCTTCTTTGGCGCGGGTCTGGCTGCTGGTGCAGAGTGGTGCATGTGCGCATACGACGCGGCCAACGACGACGCCAGCGATGCCGTCAATGACGACGAGGAGGAGGAGGATGACGATGATGATGGTGCGGCTGCCGACGTGGCGGAGGGTGCACTGACGCTGGACGAGTACAAGGACGACAGAGCAGCAGCAGTAGCAGAAGGCAGAGGACGAGCCAAGCCGCCGGCCAGCGTGCCAGCAACCGCTGCTGCTGCTGCTGCTGCTGGTGCTGCTACCAACCCACCACCACCAGCAGCAGCCACTGCGCTCATGTCGCTGCTGGAGAACGGCCGGGACTTGGGCAGGACGGCCGTGTCGACCACCTCGTCGTCAAACTTTGGCCGCTTGATCGACCGGCTCGACGCACGCGCGGATGTTGGCGTCGATCGCGAGCCGAGCGGAGTGCCAGACGCAGACAACTCTTGCTGCTGCTGCAGAATCGCGTGGTCGGCCGCCGAGATGGACGGCAGCCGCTTGCGTGCTGAGCTGCTGGAGTGTGACGACGTCGACGATCGCCCAGCCAGCGACGACGACAACGACGACGCATCGAGTGGCTGGTGGGACATCTGTGACGGTGCTGATGCTAATGCCGCGCTGGAAGTGGTGCTTGATGCCGGTGGCTGCGCGTCCGCCATCTGCAGTCAAAAACAAACAAAAAAAAAAAAAAAAAAAAAAAACAGACTGAGTTTTCCATTGGTTTTTTTTTTTTTTTTTTTTTTTTTTTTTTTTTTTTGTTCTTTGATGTTTGAATGACTGTTTGAATGTTGGCAATGAGGTGTATGTGGCCGTCTACTGGGACAACATCTCCAGCTACTGGTGGGAATCCATGGCATGATAGGTTCCAGGACAATTGGCATTCGTAACACCTTAAAAAAGGCAGCTCAAAATTGGAGCGGACGTTGCCATCTACCCTCCTTCATGCGGCGCGTCCGTGAGATTGTGAGATTGTGAGACTGTGAGAATTGTAATCCCTCGTTGGGTCTTAGAGCTATTGGCCACATGACGTCGGGTGATGGGCACAAAAATGCGTCCGATTGCCCTTGACTTCACTCCATCCTCGTCAACAACCCACCGACTACCTTCGTTAGCTGTTCGAGTCTCGGTTTTGACATCGGTCGGGTTCGTTTTCACTGTGTAGGGCCTGGTTAGCTGAGAAGGAGACAGTCAAAACCAAACACAAAAAACACAACAAAAACTACACCAAAACGAAAATTTTAGTTGACGCAGGCAAAATTCGAGTTTGCCCGAAAACTGCGCTCCAAATCCAACAAAGCACCTGTTTTGCTACATAGCTCAAGCATTGCCTGTTAATTTGTAAGCTGTCGACAGATTTACAAGAACGCACGAACATGCGTCCAAAAATTTGAGCCTCCACAGCGATGCAACCTGTCTGCCTTGACTTGTCCCATTTGACGACCTACGCTTTTCTCCGCTCAACTTCCAAGATACGCAAGTGATAAAGAATAATATTTTTGATAACATGGCGCAAAACCAGTTCAAAGAGGTCAACAGACCTTGGCAATCGCCGGGTCGGATGTTCAGCTATTGCGAACCGCGAAATTTGCAGGTTTCCCCCCCCCCTTTTTTTTTTTCAAACCGATGTGTACTTGTATTTAACAGTACTCACACCGTCGTAACAACAAAAGTTCGCTGAGCTGCGCCGCTGGTATTGGCGTACGCAGCTCTAGTCAAACATTTGCAGCCCAGATTTGATGTCTGGGGGTGCTAACAACATTTTGGTCGTCGCAGAGGCCGAGGATCATCTTTTGGAAGTCGAGTCGGGCTCGATTGCGAGTGCGTTGCCCCAGAGCTTATGGAAGCCTGGGCTTGTCTTGAGTTCTTTGTTTGTGCGGCATGTGTAGGTGTCTTGCCTCGCGCGATTGAGAACAAGGCTTCGGAAGTGCGCAATAGCGTGGTCCGTGTGGATGGTTGCGTGGTCGAAGCGAGCTCGGCACCGCAACGTCCAGAGTGTCCATCGGGCAGGTGGAACAACATGGTGAGACACGAGCGGGAGTGGTCGTGCTTCTTGTCCACAATGAGTAGTTCGTATCGGTCTGTGCGCCAAGGTCCGAGCAGCTTCGTTTTGGGCAATGTTTTGTTTTTTTGTTTTGTTTTCCCTCTCCTTCATGTTTCAAGTTGGCGTCCGTACTTGTCATCCTCGTCCATGCCATTGTTGTGTTGTTGTGTTTTTCAGTCTTCTTGATGATGTGGCGGCGCTTTTTTTCTTCTTTGTGTTTGCGTCGCTGCCGCACTTTTCGTGCGTTTGGCACCGGCTGGGGTCTGCACTCTGCGTTTGAGAGATGATTTGTGAAAGCACAACCAATGAGACTGACTGAAACAACCGCGTTGTTCCGATGGATTGAAAGTCAGCCATGCTGTCGTACCAGAGCATGAGCGCGAAACAGCGGGAGTTGTACGACAAAGTCAAGAATGCCAGTCAATGGTTCGGGTACGAAAAGGCCGGAAATATTGGAAATAAATTGCGACAACATGTGTACTGATGAAAAGGAGGATAGACTGCCATACAATCAAATTGACGATGCCGGCGCACAGGCGATTGCTGAGGGACTCAAAAGCAATTCGAAGGTGACGGGACTCTCGTAAGTCATCTCGCTTCGAGTGATGAGTGTGAATGGGTGGCTTCGGCAGAGTGGCTCACTATGGGAGGGGATGGACAGTCTGTGGAGCAACCAAATTGGTGATGCTGGAGCGCGGGTGATTGCTGAGACACTCAAAGTCAATATGACGATAACTGTACTCGAGTAGGTCGTCTCACTTTGACAAGTGCATGTGAGTGGGCGATCTAGTAGAGGGCATTACGAGTGCTCACTGATGGACGGACAGTCTGAACAACAATCAGATTGGTGATGCTGGGGCACAAGCGATTGCTGAGACACTCAAAGTGACCACGACGTTGATCAAGATCGAGTAAGGGGTGTCACTTTCCCTCAACAGGGTGCATTTAGAGTGCTCATTGATGGAGGGGATGTACAGTCTGAATTGGAATCAGATTGGCGATGCTGGAGCACAGGCGATTGCTGAAGCGCTCAAAGTCAACACAACAGTCACTAACCTCGGGTAAGTCATCTCACTTTGACGTGAGTCGATGATCCAGCAGAGGTGTTCATAGTGCTTACTAATGACTGAACAGTTTGTACAATAATAAGCTTGGCGATGCTGGAGCGACGGCGATGGCTGAGATGCTCAAAGTGAACAAGATGCTGACATCGCTCGTGTAAGGCATCTCACATTAACTGATATTTGTAAATGGTGATGTCAGCAATGACATTTAGCGTGGAGGAGATGGACAGTTTGGGCAACAATCAGATTGGCGACGCTGGAGCGAACGCAATTGCCGAGTCACTCAAAGTGAACATGTCCTTGCAAGCGCTCGAGTGAGTCACATCACTTTTGCTGGCGCTTGTCAGTGGAAGTCTTTTCAACAAATGGTACTCACAGTGCTCATTGATGGAGCAATTTGACAGTTTGCGCACGATTGGCAACGCTGGAGCGCAGGGAATGACTGAAGTACTCCAAATGAACACGACCTCAGGTGAGGCATAGTCACTGATGCATGTGAGTGGGTAGCAGAGGGTACTCAAAATGCTCATTGAATGGAACGGACCGACAGTCTGCGTCAAATTGGCGACGCAGAAGCGCAGGCCATTGCTGAGGCACTCAAAGTGAACAAGACCTTGACTTATCTCAGGTAATCCATCTCACTTTGACGAACGCGTGCGAGTGGGGATTGTAGCAGAGGGCATTTAGAAGGCTCACCGATGGAAGGGACGGACAGTCTGGACTTGGGGTATATTGGCGAGGCTGGAGCAAATGCGATCGCTGAGTTACTCCAAGTGAACTCGACATTGTCGCGTCTCAAGTAAGTCATCACACTTTCAACGATGCTTGTGTATGTGCGATCCAGTAAAACGAATTCAGGATGCTCACGAATGGAGAGAATGGACAGCCTCAAGCAGAATCAGATTGGTGATGCTGGAGCGCATGCAATCGCTGAAGCACTCAAGGTCAACACGAGGCTGACACATCTTGGGTAAAGCATCTCACTTTACAGATGCTTGTGAGTGGATGATTCAGCAGGGGGCATTTCAATGCTTACTGATGGATGTACAGTCTGAGTGAGAATGAGATTGGCAATGCGGGAGCGCAGGCGATTGCTGAGGCACTCAAGGTGAACTCGACGCTGACTTGGCTCTTGTAAGGCAGCTATCCCTCATAGTTCCACTTGAGCTAACTGATGGATGGAACGCACAGTTGGGACGACAATCTGATTGGCGATGCTGGAGCCCAGGCGATTGCCGAAGCGTTCAAGGTGAACCCGAAGCTGAGGGATATTTTGTATGATGTCGTGCACTTTGACTTTGAGCCAGGGTGAGCCATACATCCTGCTTACTCGTTGCATTGCTCAACAGTCTAGCGCGGAATTGCATTAGCAATGTTTGTTCGCAAGCAATCAGAAAACGCACAGACACCGGCCAAAAGGGTCCTACGTAAGCTAAGTTGTCCTTGCCAAACGAAGCCATTGAAGCTCACGCGAGCTGCTTCCAACCAATAAAGTGTGCCTTCCGATTGCTCATTTATGGTGCTTGTTCGTTGCGCAGCATTTACGACCAGGTTAACCCTCGTGCATTCTCCTTACTTTCACGCGTAGCAACCGCTGACGACCTTCAGACCGTGTTTTGCTTGCTGACCAGCGGACCGGAGCTGAAAGATCAGTCCACATTTCTGCCAGCATTACCAGCCGAGATCGCAGACATCATTATGGACGAAGCGCAACACTGGCAAGGCGTACAGCATACCAAACGAGACCCGTACGATGACCGTCCTGTCAAGGTCACAGTGCCTCAAAGCATCCATGGTAATTCGACCCGTGTGAAAGCAATTCAAGTGGTTCGGGACACGAAGAATCTTTACTACCGCATCGGTGACAACGTCTTTGACTTGATTGTTCGAGATGAGCAAGGTGCTGTTCAATATGAATACGCGGCGAAAGCGACGTTTGTCAATTCTACGCTCGTGTCCGCGACGCTCTGGCCAGCGAGTACTCCTATCATCAGGCAAATCCGCGTGGGTTGGCAAGTTCAGGTTCAACCCAGTGAGTCTGCCCGAGATGTGCTGTTTGAATCGCTCGTTGTTAGATGTTTGTAGAGTACCTTGTGAGACTCCGATTCCCACGGGTTGGGGCATAGAGCTATTGGCCAGGTAACTGTTAGGATCCCGGACTGGACAGGGAAGGGTACTCAGGTGTTGGCGCAAGACAGGACAAGGAATTGGGGATTTTTGGGATTTAATAAAGACAAGACAAGAAAGGATCCAAATCGAATCAGGTTGATCAAATTTTGACGACTGACAGACAAACATATTTGTCATCATCAAATCAGAAAATCAGACAAGAGAAATCAGAGTAAGACAGAAGAAATCAGGAAGAAAGACAAGGGTGAGAAAACACGCAAGAAATCATTCAAAGTGGCAGGTTGTGTCATGCCCCACTGGCATGCCTACTTACTTGCATGCATTACCTTGTATTGTCTGTCATGTCTCCAGTACTGGGAATGGTTCATTCGTCAATATACCTTTATTCATGAACATTGCCTGACAATCGACGTACCTTTGCACTGACTCTGACACTACGCTATCCCTCTCAG